GCGGCGGCGACATGGCGCGCAGGAGCTCGCCGCGGGCCAGGGCGTAGGCGCCCTTGCCCGGCATGGCGGCGGTCGGGTCGGCCCGCGGCTGGAACTGCTTGCCCCTGCCGAGGTTGAAGTGCGAGGGCATCCACCAGGGCTCGCCCGTCTCGGTGTGCGCGACGAGCTTGAACTGCTGGTGGAAGAAGACGGGCAGCGTCGTGTTGGTGACGGGGCAGTGGCGGACGGGCGAGGCCAGCGCGTAGGCGTAGGGGTTGCGCTTGAGCAGCCGGTGCAGGTTGAGGAGCGGGTCGAAGGCGCCGTCCTCCTTCGCGTGGTTGGGCGTCGGGTGCCTGTACTTGTAGCGCGCCTTGGCGATCTCGTCGTTGGTGACGGGGGACAGGGGCAGCGAGGGCCTCGTCATGGCGGGAGGCTCGGGCCGCGAAGACGCATCTGCGGCCTGGGGTGCCGGCAGCGGATCGGTGAGCGTGACGACCTTCTTGCCGTCCACCTCTACAACCTTCAGTGTCCGCCGGAGGCTGTTATAAGACCCGGGCTGCGCAGTTCCAGCCGCGCCGTGAGACGAGCCCCGGAGACGTGAGGAGCCCTCGGCCGCAGCCCGCCCGGCCCTCTGTAGCGCTGCGCATGACTTCATCGCCAGCTCATAACCAGTAGTGAGAGATTGCACTACCGTATGTGTGGCCTTTTTGAGATGTTCATTCCAGCGAGAGGGGCGTGAAAAAGTTGAGGAGATGAGGTTAGAATGTCTTCCATCTCAAATCATGCCTCCTCGTATCTCGAGCTAAAAAAGAGAGTGATGTGACCCCTGCCAATTTGGGAGCCGTAATAGTTAGTGGAGCTCGCACCGAGTTTAAGCGAAGCGCGTCACTGCATTGGCGCGAAGTCGGGGCGGGCAGAGAAACGGAAAATTCCCCACAGGAGCTTCAACGTCATTCATCCAGCAAGCAAGCAGCCCCCGAACACAGCACACGACACTTTTCCCGCCAGACATTGACAGCCTGTATCGTCTGTCGAGTACAGAGTCTACGGTCGACATGAACTGCCAGAGGGCGGCGTGGAGGATCCTCCGGGCCACTGCGCCCAGGCAATGCCGCCGCTTCTCGCAATTCCCGCCGGGCTTCTCGACCCAGCCGCCGACGGCGTCGATTCCCATGCCCTACATCACTGAAGTGACGGTAGGATTGCGCCCGCGACGCTGTCCATAGATCCCGCATTACTAACGGCTCGCACAGGCAGGCGGATGGCGAACATGTTCGTGCCCAATTGACAGCACAAAACCCCGACCACCACCCCCAAAAAGACCATGCTAACATCGCCGTACTTGCAAAGCCGACATCTTCTCCAAGCTATTACAAGTACGTTCCCGCGTCCCCCTTGGCCCTCCCCCTTCAACAGGCAACTGAACCCCCCATCACCCTCCAAAGGAACGAATAATCTGCCTCAACGGCCCCATCGACGACACCGTCTCGGCCGCCATCGTCGCCCAGCTCCTCTGGCTCGAGTCCGACAGCCCGGAGAAGCCCATCACCATGTACATCAACAGCCCCGGCGGGGAGGTGTCCTCGGGGCTCGCCATCTACGACACGATGACCTACATCCGCTCGCCCGTCTCGACCGTCTGCGTCGGCGCCGCCGCCTCCATGGCCGCCATCCTGCTCCTCGGCGGCGAGGCCGGCAAGCGCTACGCCCTGCCCCACAGCTCCATCATGCTGCACCAGCCGCTCGGCGGCACCAAGGGCCCCGCGGCCGACATCCTCATCTACGCCAACCAGATCCAGCGCGTGCGCGAGCAGGTCAACGAGATCGTGCGGCGGCACCTCAACAACGCCAGCCTCCTCGGGGCCAGAGGGCAGCAGGAGGCGGGGGAGAGGTACGACGCCCGCGCCGTCAACGACATGATGGAGAGGGACAAGTACGTCACGGCCGAGGAGGCCAAGGAGCACGGCATCGTCGACGAGATCCTGTACAGGAGGGCGAGCGGGAAGGGCGGCGATCAGGGCAAGGGGAGTGGCGGTGGTGGCGGCGGTGGGAAGAAGAGCCCCTGAATAGGAGGGCGCTACGTTGTACAACGAGTGCCGTTTGCGTGCTCGAATCGATACCCTGACTATGTATGATTGATGTGGTTCGCAAATATCGGTGCAGGAGATGAGTCGAGGGAACGACCGGCTTGGAGATATGGGCATGCCTTGATCCGTGTCTGTCCCCCGCCATGAGCGCGATGGTTGGGCCGTGTGAGATTAGTGTAAATCGTTGGGCGAGGATCGTTTGCATAGGATTTGGAAAGTGATCGTGCAAATACACACAGAGAAATATGCTGCGCAGCAGTCGATATCAATTTGTGGACAGGGAGGCTACTAGAAATTTGGTCCGAGAAGAACGAGGCAGGAAGCACCTCAATAGGCGTCTCGCTGTCCCACGGATCTGAGCCTTGGACAAAATGGTCTGACTCACTGTCTGTTCAATCTGATCCTTTTACTTACCTTCACATGTTCGATAGCTTATACGATAATGAATATCAATACCGACATCTATCACACAGCACACGCCATCGATGGACCATTGCAATCAGAATGTAGAAGATCATCTCCTGTCTCTTGTGCTTCTGTCTCTCTACTCTACCGCATCATATCCGCATCTGGAACGTCCCTTCTTTCCAAACTCCCCTGCATCCTCCTCCCTCTCGCAAAAAGTCGAGCTCGCCCATATAAAAAGTCAGCCCCGTCAGAAGAGAAAGGCAAGGCGGAGAGCAATGGGTATTAGCAGAATGATGTGGTAATGTATATCCCGTAGTAGGATCTCCTGATAAAACCCCCCCTCTTTCTCCTTTTCCCTCTCCCGTTCGGTGGCGGTGAGCCATGTGTTATCGGCCGAGTTGCAAACCATGCGGCGCTTCAAACTGATCGGAGACTATGTTGCCAAGGACAACTGCTTGCTGCATTGGCGATATTGCGCAGCAACAGCGGTTGGCACGGGATTGTTCATGTTGTGAGATATCTGATATATCCCGCAAGAGAGGTAATGTCGGGAACGGCAGTCGACCCTACGAGTTGGCCGCCTGGGGACAGAAGACGGGGGCTCTGATACTTGGAGATTCAGACGAAACGAGCCCGAGCAGAATAACCCCCCGAATAACAAAAGCAGGTGTGTGCGCCTTGGGAACTCCGCTTGATCAAAATGGTTGGTGTGGGAAGCAAAAACAAACAAGCTCAAATCGCGCCTCCCTGGGCGGTCGATTTGGTGCTGCCGGAAAAGCCGAGCTGAATACGCTGAAATAAAAAGGTCCCCAAAATACCAATGACAAAAGGGATAGTAAGGTGTGTGTCGGTGCCAGCCCGGGGGGGCTGGATGTGATGGCATGTGGTGTAAAATAAAGCGGTATGCTGTGCAATTACAAGCTGTCGAATGCAAGGTCGGGCTATTGCAAGAAAATTCGTTACGTCGTCAGGTGTAGCGGGCGAGGCGAAGCAGGTTGGTATCTTTCGGTGGTGATGTTGAGCAGGACGTAGATCTGCTGGTGGTGGTGGTGATGGTGTATCCTGAAGAGTGGCTGTATGTAGGATCTCGAGATGTGTTGGTTTGCGGACGAGGTTGGGGGGCGGGGCGAGAGCGCATACAGTATTGGTTACATGACAATGCAGCAGCCGCAACCGCCGCCCTTCTCCTTCTCCTCTGGCTGTGGCTGATCCTGCCGCGCATCGGGCGCTTGTGCCATGGGCTGGAACTGGCCCTGCTGCTGCATGTTCGGACTCCTCGGGCTGGGAAGCGGGCTGACATTCGGCTTCTCCTGGATCTTGGGGATGGTCGAATAAGATCCGGTGCGGCCCTGGCCCAGGGTCGGACTTCTGGCCTCGGGCTTCAGCGGCCACTCATCGGTCTTCTCCTTGTCGTCTTTCAGTGATTGTTTATCGGCCGGTATCGCCGCGGGTTCAGGAGGCTTCAGGAAGGCCTCGTCGTTGAGGGGTCGGAACTCCTTGTCGTATACGTTCCCAAACTTGCCCTCACGCTCCCACTTCTCCTGCTGTAGACGTTTGGCGACAGTGGGCAGCAACTGCTGGTCTGGAGGCAATCGCGGGTCTGGTTTGTAGGCCGAGATCATCCATGGCGGATCTCCTTCAAGCTGTTTGATGGGCTTCCCGGGCGAGAGAGGGCCCGAGAGCTCGCGGTCTCCAGAACGGGTCCCTGGTCTCGTCTGGCTCCCGTTCGAGGAGTCCTTGGTCCCATTCCGGGTCCTGGGTCGGCTCCCTGCCGCCCCTGTCTTCGCTGGCGCTGAAGTTTTTCGCGTGCCTGCAGCGCTCTTCTTTGGTGACGTTTCCGTGACAGAGCGCTTGACGGCTGGGAGGGTCACGTTGGACGCCTCGGTAGCATTCTCGCTCCCCGTCCGTGAGCGCGGCTTGGGATACGTGATGGTGTCTTCGGCACCGGGGCTGTTATCCCGCTTGCGAGTCATCGGGACGTCCCGTTCGATATGCTCGGCTGCGATCGGGGCAGGACTGGTCTTGGCGACTGGTATGCGAGACGAACCTTTGGTACCCCCGTTGGGGACGAAATAGCCGTCCGCATCCTCCGCCGCCTCTTCTGGCAGCCTCAGATCCCAGCTGGGAACGGCGTATCCAGATATCTTGACGTCGACCGTGGCGGCCGAGTTCTTCCTAGATCGGCCTTCGGTATGGCTGTCCGCATCCGTCCCCCTCCTATGACGGCCCATGTGCTCCTGGCTGTGCTCTCTCCGGGGTTTGCTGCGGGCGCGACCCTTGGGGATGATAATACCGGCGGCCTGCAGCTCCTCGCTCTCTATCCTAGCCAACTTGTCTCTGTGGATCCACTTGGAGCTGTCGTGCTCAAACAAGTAGAGCTCGTCATTATTGCGCTTGAGCGAGTCGGATCCGGAGGCATTGGCGCTGCGGTTGCTGCCATAGAGATCTAGCAAGCTGTCTGCGGGGCTGTTGTTTTCTTTGATGCTGCCGGCTTTCTTGCTGTCGGGGTTGTGGGGCGGTGATAGCATCGAGGATCCTTTCGCAGTGCTGTGCAATTCTGCAGCGCTGTGCTTTTGTGGTGAGGCGTTGCCATTCTGTTGAGCGAAAGGGGGCCGGGAGTAACCGTTCGCACCATCATTGTTCGTCGCGGCCGGTTCCTATCTTCAAGGTTAGCACCATCCATGGTAGAACAAGACGGCGCAGTGTGCAGGCTGGAGCCATTGGCGCGACCGGGATGATCTCTCGCGAGATTTGGGCGCTGTCGAACTCACCTCTGCGGGACCAGAGGCCGACATATCCCATGATGAGTAGCCGTTCCCGTGAGAACTGCTAGGAGGAGTGAGCGTGGTCGTGTTTGGGGCAGCAGATACGGCTGCCATGGTCGGCGGCTGGCAAAGGGGCTAGCCCGCGCTCCGGCCGAGGCGTGTGTTGGTAGCGGCGGCAATGGGAATAGGGGAAAGCGAGACGGCTCGGGCGACAGCAAAGACGACGGACTGTCGAGGAATCTTGGATCGCGTAGACTTCTCGTCGGAGAGGGTGATGAAGGCAGTCGCCAGCGGCTGGAGTCTTGGCCCCGGATCTTTTTTATTTTATGGGCACAGGAGTTTATCTGGTCAACAAGCCCCCCGAGCGATCCCAGGTAATTTCCCAGAGTACCTGGGTCTTGGTGCTGCGCGGCCGGGTCCCGACGAGTGCTACCGGTCCATCAACGGTGAAGACAAAAAGGGCGCCGCGGACAAAAGAGAAAAGCGCAGGCGCGATAGACAATGACTGTAAGAAGGGACAATTGGCCGACGGGGACCATCAATGGTGAAGCGAAAGTCGCGGGTTGCTTCGAAGGAGACAAATCGGGACCAGCGAGATTGGATGGATGGCCGTGAATTGTGTGGCCAGGCGTGAAGGCAGCGTGCAAGCATGCAAGCGTGCCAGGCCCAAACCTGAAGCCAGGAGCCAGGCCAATTTTGAGGGGCGGGGGGACGCCGCCAAAAACAGACGGGAGCGGGTCCTCGGGCCTTTCCCTACAAGTAGACCAGCAATGGCGAGTGAAGGATGAGTGATGAGCCTGGATGACCCCTGAAAGGCCGATTGTTTGACAAGCCTTCTTTTCCAGGTTGTGGTCGTGCTCTCCGCTGCCAATCCTGTCGCTGGGTCTGCCCTTCGTTCAAATCTATCTCAGGACTGGCCGTGGGTAACTATGTGTTTGTACGTGGGTAATACTTGTAAAAGCAGCAAACAGCAAGGTTGGTCGATTTGATGGGGGATCAGATCGCGAGCCTGCATATGCACATGCACACTACCTACCTACGGAGTAGGTATTGTACACTTCCTTCCCCCTCTTTTCTCTCTTCCTCCCACTTCACTTGTAGACTACATTCTCGCCTCCAGTGGTTACGTCTACGGCGCCCGCTAGAGCTCCCACTAGGCGGTGTGTGTATCCAGCTTTTTACTTGCTTTTGCCCGTTGCATTGTCATACATCATCCATCAGTCCTCCCAGCTGCACCTTTGACGCCCGCAGCATGCAGGCCGTACGTCTGGCAAGGAGGACGAGGGATCCGATTGTCCTCGAACAGCGCAGTCTACGAGGCCAGCTGGCGAGCGCGGTTGTTCCCAGATAATCAAAGGAAGAAAAGGGGCACACCGTCTCTGAGTGGCCGCCTGCCAGCAAGCGAGTAGGGGTCCCCGTCCCGAAGATGACATGAAATCCCCACCAAAAGCTTAAGAAGCGCACTATGAGTGGGTGAGGTTGAAAAAGGGGGTTCCGCTCTCAGTGCCGCGATTGGTGACTCCAGCCTTCCAGCCACCAGAAATACGACTCTGCTCGCGTTCTCAAAGCGACGAAAGCTTCGATGGCAGGCAGAGGGCCAGGGTCCATTCATTCTTTGAGATCGATCCGAGACACGACAAGGCCGTGATCGAGGACCATGGAAAGAGAATGACGCGCTCGATATGCCATGGCTTCTAGAACTTGACATGCATTGCCGATTGAGAACTTGCGGTTGTGTGACTACCCAAACTGTAGCACTAACCAGGACTTGCCGGCACTAAATGAACACGGCAGGCGCGATCTCTACCTTAATCATGGATCACAGTTTTGACCATCGTCAACTCTGACACACAAAACTCATTCATTCTCTTCATTCCTCGATCATTCTTACCAGCCGGTTCATTCTCATCGGACAACACGGGCCCTTGAGGAAAATAATTGACGGCCTTGCGAATCATCCAAAATATCAACATCTGAACAACAACGAATACTGTCGAATCTCAACCCTCGACCGTGACACTCCTGTTCCAGACACAGCAACGGGCACAGCAACGGGAAGAGACTTCTCGCATGCTCCAGAAACAGGCATGCTCCAGAAACAGGCATGCTTCAGAAACAGATTTGACTGTAGTGACACTTCCTTGGGACCATCGGAATGTAAAGGCGGCACGGAATCACGCGAGAAAGCACAGCCGTGCCTTTCTTGAGACAACGCGGAGCAGGACACGAAGGGTCGCCACGTGAACCTCACCAAGCTCACTTGCAGTCCATGACGTTGATGCTCAAGCAAGCGGTATGGCTCCAAATAAGGTTAAACGCACTAGGTTTGTGTGTGTTTCAGACACACACAACTGCACAGTCAAACTGCCGAAAGGCGATGTGCTCATCCATGCCGGGGACCTGACGAACCAAGGGAGCTACAGCGAGGTGAGTTTTGACGCAGGGTCTTTGTTCAGCCATCCTACTTTTCGTTCCGGGTCACTTCACTATTCATCCTTCTCTATGCATCTCGCTAATTGTGGTGTCATAGCTCAAGAAGGCAGTGGAGTGGCTGGAAAAGGCCGAGTTCGAGGCCAAGATTGTCATCGCAGGTACGCAGAAGCATCAAACTAACATGATGTCTCTAAACTTGCCTGACCTCAGTCCAGGGAATCATGATCTCGGTCTGGACTCTCAGTTCTATCGCGAGTATGGGGCATACTTCCACAATAACCAGGAGGCGAGAGAATCGCAAGAATGCATCGACCTGCTCACGTCCAGTCCGTCACTGACCTATCTCAACCACACTTCAGCGGCAGTTCGTCTCCGTGATCCCAAAGGCCCACAAACTGTCTTCAAGGTATTCGGCTCGCCGTACAGTCCCCGATGCGGCGCGTGGGCCTTTAGCTACGAGCGCTCCGACGCCTGGAGACCAGATGCAGAGCTATCGAGCAACCGCAAAACCCTGCCGTCTCTCCAGGAGTACCACGCATCACTGTCGGCAAAAGATGTCTGGTCTGCAATACCTCTAGATACAGATGTGCTCGTCACCCACACGCCACCGCATCTACACTGCGACGAAGCTGCCAGCCAGCGACGAGCCCTCGGCTGCGAAGACCTCCGCCAAGCGCTCTGGCGTGTCCGGCCACGGCTTGCGGTCTGCGGCCATGTCCACGAGGGTCGTGGCGCGGAACGCGTGACCTGGGACATCGCTGGTGCGCCAGGTGGGAGCATAAACGTCAGATATGGCGAGCTGTCGGTCGAGCGGTGGCAAGATCCGGGTGCTGCCGGACCGGGCAGGAACACCAAAATGTCACTCCTCGACCTCACGTCACGCAACGGAAACAGAGCGCTCGACAACGACGGATCCGCGTCTGTCTCGGCACAGCATGCGGAGGCGAGTGCTGCCGCCGATCTACGCACGAGTCATGGGAACCAGCTACAGGATGGACAGCTGTCTCCGGACACGGCCCGTCCCGGAAGTGGGACCCTTGGGCTCGGCGGAGACCCGGACTTCTCGGCTCGATGTGACCGGGCTGCGCTGAGCGGGCGTATGGGCCGGAGGGAGACGTGCGTTGTGAACTGTGCCGTCATGGGCAGCAGCTACCCGCACGTCGGGGGAAAAAGGCTCAATAAGCCGATCGTGGTAGATCTCGATCTACCCGTCGCCAAGCCAGAGCCAGAGCCAGCTTGACCGGTTTCTACCCCGCTGAGACAATATCTCCTCATCTATGGTCCATCCCAGCCACCATTGTGCTCTGCTCATGATTGCATATCCGTGGTGAATTAACGAGCTAGCTATCTTTGATGCCGTCATCCATATCATCCAGCAGGGTGCATACAGAAATCCCGGCATCGGGTTGAGACCAAGGATAACACGTGCCCTAGTCCATCTCGGCCCAACGATGTCGCTCCAAGGCAGGCAACAGGTTGTCCTTCCCGATCTGTCACATTCTCAGACGTCACTTGTCTCTCGATATATATGGATCTTAAAAGCACCACACAGCGGAGCTGGACAGGGTTCCAAAAGGAAGCAAATGGCCGTGGTTCATTGGGAACCAGTGTGGCACACCCGTGATTGTTGCATCTGACCTAATACAATACCAGGCCCGGGATCCCAAGGTGATGGATGAGTACTTATGATTCACGGCTATGGTGAAGGATGGTCACCACCAGGCAGCTTACACCCTGTAGTAGGCATCCACTGAGCACACCGAAAGCGGTATGAGGTTTCACCAAATAGAAAAACGGCGATATTTATCCAAGCGCCGAGTTTGTCAGACGACACCGAGCGGCCCGCGTATTACACTCCTGGGCTTTTTTTTTTGCACAGCTCGTCGCAGTCAACGGGTAGTCGCACTCAACGGGTAGTCGCACTCTGGGATGGTCACCTGTCAAGAAACGACGCGGCCCAATCATGGTGACTGTACCTTGTGTGAGAAAAAATTGCAATTCAGCACATGTGCAATCCAAGTGTGTAAGACAGCCCTCCACATCCATTCCCATCCATGAACGAGGGCCAGAGTTCACGTAGGAGACGAAGGGGGTGTGTGGTCAGAGTGCCAGTCGCTTGCCTCCAGGGGACCAACCCCCGCGAAGCTCAGTACACCACACCTCATCCCCGTCGTGACGGGATTCTAGCGCTTCTGGACTGGCGGGCAGGACCAATCGTCCCCTGAGGGAGAATCGTCGATTGGGCCTTGCATTTTTTTTCTCTGCCCTTTGGCACCCAAGGGATGGAGGGTAGCACAGCAGCACCACCGGGGAAGGTTGAATGTGTGCACGATTGCCATCAACCCGTCAGCCTATGCGGTTGCGCCATTTTTATTTGGAGGGAGAGACCGGAGTACTACGGCGGAGCTGTACGGACGAATCGCGCTGGCCGAGAGAGAGGCCCCCCCTCCGTCCCCGTTGGTAGCTGCACGTGTGCCTGAGTTCAAAGCTGAGATATGGTACGCTTCGGTGGCGATCTACTACTTGTACCATATCAATGAGTTTCAAAGGTATACAACGCCTCACACCCCCGTCAGACAAAAACATGTTACTTCCTGTCCGATCGTCTAGGCAGCATTCTTGTTGGTTACCGAAAAAAAGCTGAAGGGAAAGCGGGCGCCGTGTATGACTGCAACCCGGGCGTTTGAAAATAGAAGTTGTAAGAAGAGGCGGTGCAACTTTGTCTGTGGAGTGGAAGCTGGGTGACTTTTTGTGCACGAAGCGGCGCGGGCTTGGCTCGAGTCAGCTTTTCACGATGCACATGTAAAAAAGTCCAACAACGTAAAAAAGATCAGACGGGAGCAATCTTTGAAATGTTTCCTTGGCACCTGGTACGGGACGCCAGGCATCGATTCATCACCCCAACGGTCCCGATCTTAGTTGCCGCTGACTTGAGAGATTGGGTGTTGTGTATTATTAACCTTACAAGCCTTAGTAAGAGACATTGGAACGACGGCCTTTTCCGGGGCCGCTCTTGACGCAACACACCACCAACAGCGACAAAGTCCCCTTCAAAGTTTGCAGAGTTTTTGCTCCCACGGAATCCTAGTGTAGGTACCTCTTTAAGTGCTGACGGCCTCGGCCGGGAGGGAGATCTGATTCGTGATCCCGCAGCGAAGATCCCCGGGCTGGTTCGAGTCAGACAGAAGTGATGAACGTAAGCGTTACAGGACGGAGAGGTGTAGTCATCAAGGACGCACGCCCCATTCGGCCTGTGTCTGTCCGACAAGCGAACCACCCAAGTTCTACAGGTCCAAGTGCGTACGGATGTACAACCTGTGATCGTGCGGGTGGGTTTGGTGACCTTGCCACAGAGTACAAGTAGACACCGGCGGCGTTTGCCCTCGTGGCGGGGTATTTCAAGCTGGTAGTTGGATGGTAAAGCAGACTAAGAATGGCCGAGCCCGTGGTTCAGAGTTGTTCTAGTGGTTCCTGAACCGTCGTTCTGCAGCAGACTACTGACGCCAACCGACGTGAGCCTTCTTGGGATGTTTCTCCATTCCCCGTCACCAGTGCCTCAGGATCTTTTGTTCTGTGATCAGCATGTCTGTTGGAACGGTCTCTGCTGGACGGAACGGCTTGCTCGGCAGATCAACTTGGGAAGATGGACCACCAACGACTGGATCGCAGATCTACCGCCCGCGCAGCGAGTCGCACGGCTGGCGCTGTGACGGGATTTGGATTTACAGGGTGACATTGCTTTCCCCCGCGCGCGGGCGGCAATCACTGTTGCTTGAGCGAGGGAACTGATGGGCAGGCCAGGTGTCGATCCGGCGGGCGCCCCCCTGTCGTCCTCCTCTTTGGGTAGGAAGATACAGTGCCCGCAGAAAGGGCGTACCAGGCCAGCCAGCCACGACAGCAGCATAGCCCGGCCGCTCGATGCGATAACCAAGCGAAGAAGGGGACCGGCCACGAACCCAGGTAGAAGGGGCCCGTCCTCTTCGCTTCGTACGGCACAAAGGGGGGGCACAAGGGAGGCACTCCAGTCTCACAGTGTGGAGTTTTGACTAGAGAGGAGAGGAGAGGCGTCTCCCGATCACTGTCCAATCGATCTTTGCACGACTCTTGACCGCTTATCTTGGCCCGGCAATGGTTCTGTTCTCCCTGCCCTGCCTCTCTCTCGAGATCGTCCCGGTACAACTTGTACAGAACTAAAGAACCATGTGGTGCTGAAACGCAAAAAAAAGGAAGCCCAGCGGCTCCTCCTCCCCCCTCCCCCGCTTTGCCAGTCCGTCCCTCTTGACACGGACGGGGAGTGGCGCTGTGGAGCCCTCCCTTTCGGGAGCGACCCGCCCTGGGACACAGCTGTGATTCGCCTGCCCGTGGTCCGGACATCACTGGACCAAAGCTCACCAGCGAAACGGAGCCCTTGCACTGGATGGATCCTCGGAGTGGAAGCAGGCCCACGTCGTTTGCAAGGCATACCAGCGCGGTGCGCGCGGCGTGCGTCTGGTCACCGCCAGATTGTCCAGATGGTCCAGATTGTCTCCGGCGGCGGGCGGGGGAGACCGTCAAGGATCGTTGTCTCCTGTCCTAAAAGGGTAGCTTGTTGACGAAAAACGCGGAACAAATACGCATTGGCGGGGTAAGAAAGCAGAGGGAGGGACGGACTTGGCCCTCATCAGCCACGGCCTAGCTGACGATTTGCATGCCCGTCCACACAAGCGTTGACACAAGCGTTTGGGTGCTCTCCTCCTATGATATCTCTCCAAAGCGAAAGAGAATGGCAAAGACACGCGTGGCCTCTCCTTGCTTGGCGGCCTGCGCACTCCCACTGTCCGCGGGCTGAGATGGATGCCTTCTCCTGTTGTCAGGCATGTACCTGCGTTATTCGCGGGTCTCGACATGGCCGCATGAGGCGTGGGTAGCATCTCCTCCCCCCCTTCCATCCTGGAAGTAGAGAGTGTGTGCGCCTTTTGATATGTCTGATTTGTCTCTTGGGCTTGCCGGACCTCTGTAGTCGAACGCATCCCCATGCATCCATCTCGTGGGGATCAATCTGGTTGGATGGGGTGATAATCGATAACGAGCGCCAGAGCCAGACAATGGCCAGGAGAGAGAGAGAGAGAGGAGCCGCTCTGCTCCCACCCTTCCACCAATCTGTATGTGACAAGAAAGCTGCATCCAACCTGTCCCACTCCTGAAAATGGTGTCATGCAGCTAGAGAGGCACTTCCCACTGGCAGCAGCCCTGTGAATGGCTGGATGCAGGGGAAAACATGCATCTTGCTTCCCATGGGCGGCGCGAACGAACAAGTTCGACCCTCTGTGACTTGCTACCTACCCCATTCTCGACAGAGTCTCGTGAGCTGCTCTCCCCCCCTGGACTCCATTCGTCACGATTTTGCTTGTGCCAAAGGAGGGATAGCTAGTAGACCAGGCGGCACCATACACTGGTGGCCAAGTCAAGGGTCGCAGAAGCAAGGTTATCGCGATTTTGTTGGCTGGACCGCGGACGCTCCGCCTGCATGATTGCCTGGTCCTGGTCTTGGCCCTGCTTTGACGGCCTCTTGGCCGTGGCCTCAGGGCGCGCGCACGCGGCCCTCGCTGTAGGCGGTTTAGACCTGGCAACGTGCTACGCCAACAGGGGCCGAGCCGTGGGCCTCCGGATCGTCTCTGCGGGAGGGAGGCCCATGGTATGTACCTTGTCGTCTGTGGATGGGGGAGACAAAGACATTGCCGGTTGGATAGTATGGCGCACAAGTATGTTTGTTGGTGGGGGAGGAGGCTTTGTGCTTCCTTCTCGCTGTGCCTGGATCACTATATCTCTTACTCCTTCTGGGCAGCAGTTTTTGCCGTGCCCTTTTATTGGGGTCCAAGATTGATGAGGAGGCAGGATATTGTAGGATTCCACAAGCCCGGAGAAACCGGGTGAGGCTCGTGGCCGTTGATTGCACCCACTTGCGTAGCAATCTGTCGGTGAAGAGTCGTCAACTGATACCAACAGGAACAAAAAACCTCTGGTGATGTTTGAGATAACAGGAGATCAGCCGTCGACTAACGATTTCGAGCTTCCCTCTCACACAAGACAGGCGGCCTCATGATGCCGCCCACTTCGGCTCCCCTTCGACACCCCCTTGTCCCGCGCCGGAGCGGTCCACTAAGACGCTGCGCTTCCGGCGACAAGTCGATTGATTGATTGATTGGGACGAGAGATGGGGGGGGGAAGGGATCAACTGATGAGCTCGGCAAAAACCTACCTGGGACGCATATCACTCCGCAACTAGACTGGCTAACAGCGCAGCCATACTCTGCGGGTGTCTCCAATGATAGCAACTCTCGTATCACCCCAGTTTACCTTTTTACGGAGGACAGCCGTCATGTGTTGTTTGTGCCGGGGTGGGCTGTACGTACATTTCAGATCTGATTATCCCATCACCCCCGACTGAGGGCTGCATTAGCTGAGCCGGGGTTTTCGTGCTATTCCCTCCTTCTTCGCGGGTCCTATCGTATCGAGCCTTTCGAGCTTCGTTCTCTGAGGGGGTCCAGTTTGTGGGCTGGTGTTTCTCCAGAATCTGTGGCCTCGCAACCGAACCCCTGGTGGCCCGCGGGCGACCAGCTTCGTCGGCGGCCGAGTATCGCTCGCGTTGCTGTGGCCGCGACGAGCGGCCAGAAGGGCAGGGTTCCTATTTGTTTTTGTATGTACCATCCAGAAAGGTGACAGATAGACAATGCCGGTAATCTCGGGCCTCATTCAGGTTGTCTCCCTTTTATGACCAGTAGTCGAGGGTTTATGTCATCAATCCGTCCACTCTGGAACTCTTGACTTTGCTGTGCTTCTATCAACTTCACCCTCCTTCGCTCAACTTATACCGCCCGGTTCCGCACATTGGGCTTTCTGGCGTTGGAAAGCTGACTTCTCCCGGACCTATACGAAACCACAACGTTACCTTGCCTGCAAGAGCCTGCATGTATCGGGACTCTTTTCTTACGAAAGCAGCGCCGGCATAGCAAAGGTCAACTGGGGACGAGCAGACCAGAAACAGCTTGCTGACCACAGCATTATCTATCTCCCTGCGACCCCGAAAGGCCGAACGGCACGAACGCTCGCGGTAAGAGAACGCACGAGAAGACGCCTGCAAGATCTCGAGCTGTCTATCTATCTGTGTCTCTCCTCTGTCCGGGAGCTCCAGACCGGAACTGAACTGAACTGAGCTGAACTGAACCGGACCAAAACCCTCTTACACACCGCCAATTCCTTCATGACAAAGGCGAGGCAGATCACTGTTTTGCATCTCCTGGCCGACCTGTTATCAGCAGGCATTTGGTTGCTCTGCTGCAGTATTATTATTGCTTTTTTTTTTCTTCTTCTTCCGGCAACGATACGTTCTTCCCAGGTGCTTACACACCTTTTTCGCCTTACTCACCTTGTAAGCCCGTTGGGCTCATAAACCTAGCTGGCATCGCCCCTCGGCTACGCCTTCACCTTGGGTCGTCTTAGTCGCCTTAACGCTCGCCTCCTGTTGCCACCACCACCAAATTGGCGCCCAGCCACTTTGAAGGGTCACACACACATCCTTACAGGTACCACAGGGAGCACACACACCTCCAGCTATCGCCAAATTGCCTCCTCCAGGCAAAAGATCCCTCGACTCGCGCCTCAACAAAAGGGGGAACTGATAGGAATAGGGAAAAGAAAAAGAAACCAAAAGAGCTTTTTCCCCACGAAAAAGGGCGGGGAGAGTCCACGAGTCGTTTTCGCCTCCAACAAATTCTGTACCGAAAGAAGAGAAGCCACGGCCCTGAAGATTCCTCTGGTACTTACTCCTTCCGGGCTTTTGAGCATCGCCAGTCCAGAGACCGGTCCCAGTTGTTGCTTCGCTGCGGCGGCTGCCCCCTTCTAAGCCCGGTCCTGATCAACACTCTCTCTCACCTTGCTCCAAACTCACAAGCCGCATCTGGCATCCTCAATCCTCACTGATCATCTCCTTCTCCACCTTTTGTTTCCGTTCCGGGCGATTGTTTGGCTTGCAGACTTGGCCGATCCTCAAACGCCAGCGGTTTGATTTACATTTGAAGAGAGGCAGCGCCAGCGCATATTGCGTGCCAATCCAGACAGCAGCAGAGGTACTTCTTCCGCCCGCCATCGCTGGGCTCGGACCGACGTCATTGCGCTGAGCAGCTTTTTCGACATCAGATTGCGACAGTCGAGAGAAAGGGAACTTGGATTCGTTCTTTCAACCCCTTTCCCGTGTTTGCTTTTACCAGGAGGGCGCTTTATTGCATCAATACCCTTCCTCCAAGGGATTTTCCTGCTTTTGTCCTCCCTGCTGGTTGGTCCAGGCCAATCTGTTGTCGCTGTACCCCCCCGGGCCCGTACCGGACGCTTGCTCGCTGCAGGACCATTCGTTACTCTCTCTGTTAGACCACCGACTGGAAACGTTCTCAAATCTTTATCGCTCTCGAGTTACAGCTATCGGCCACCCCCCGCCAATAGTCCTGGACCGGGTCAAACTGGACCAAGAGTTCTGGGCAAGCCGATTTGCTGCCCGCACCCCGCCTGCCATTGTCTTTTGCCGTTCCAAGGCAAGGGAGAGAGTGAAGGGTGTGTGTGTACAGTGGGAAAAAGCAAAGCAGCGGAACCTGGTGGTGCATCTGCGAGTGTCATCTGGTCCAATCTCCGACACGGTAGCCGTTTCGCAACCCCAGAGCCAAGCGGGGGACTGGGGACCTAAGGCCATTGACTGGGAGAGGCGAGACAGACAGATAACTACGGAGTAGACAGCGGGCGAGCAAAACGAACGAAGGCGCTGTTGAAGAAAAAGAAACCGAGAGACGGGAAGGGACCGCAGCACGTCGTCATCTACTCCGGATTCTCGCAGCCTCTTACAAGTGGGCTGCATCTCTGTGGCATCTGTGGCAGGGCCCCCATATCAGTCCCTCGCCCATTTCTCGGCTGTCTTCTTTTGTTGTTGTCACCCCATCCCCATCCCTGCAGCCAGCACGCAGGCCAGCAGCAGCAACCCACCCCCGGACCAGCAAACAACATCACGAACGAGGAACACCCACCCCAGGAGCCAGCTGCCAGCAAGCCAGCACAGCACGAGCAAGTCGGTTGCATTTCGCCTCGCGCAGGTCGCCCATCCACCATCCTCGCTCTTCTTCCCGCTAAAACGGACCGCGGCCAAAGGAAAGCCCCAGTGCTCCAGCGTATCCACTCAGGAGCCCGGGACTGGACGCACCACTAACAGCCGCCGCCAAAACACACAGCACTCCACTTGATGGGTACCCGTGGCAGTCGGCCGTGAGTGAGTTCACAGTGAGTGAGCTAGCGTCATCACAGACCACCCACCACCCACCACACCACCACCGCCTTGGACCACGCCACGCCTAAAAAGGCGCCCCGGCCCTCGCCCACCCTAAAAAGCACGCGCCGTCAGCACCCGTACCACACCCGTGTACCCTCCGCTCCCTAGGGCCCGCCCACCCGCTGTAAAACGATCCGATCAGCCCGTCAGCCCCCCTTCCACAGGTTCCAGAGGTTCCCCCAAGATCCCCAAGGTTCCAAACAAAATCCCGCCCAGGCGCCGCTCGCCCTTCTGGCCGCCCCCCCCAGCCATCTCTCTTGTACTCAGCACCACCGCTCAGCACTAGGACCTGAGTGACTTCATCACCACCACGAGCCCTTTTCACTGCCACCGTTCCGTCCTACACAGCAGGTCTGTACCCTTTCAACGCTCTGTTGCCTGTCAAACCAACGCACAAGGCCCTTCTTCGATACTGGGTCGATTCTTTTTTTGGGATTACACGACCAGCCTCGCCTCACTCTGGTAGTGACTACACCGACAGACTGAAGCGAACCTCGTCCAGTCTACAGAGGACAACCCGCTTGTCAGCCGTTGCCTGTGACGGATCGGCCTTGTTCACGGACACAAGGCTGTCGACACTGCACGCCAATTCACGGCCAAAGAGCATTCGTCAAGTCCCACCCTGTTGTAATTCTTGGACAGTTGTACACTACTTAATCCGGCTGTGTTCCCCGTCGAGTCCCTCTACACCGACACAGCGCACCTCTTTTCTATGAAGCATACGACTTTACGACTTCTCGATTTGTAACATCGAGCCCCCCCACGTCGTCAACCTTGTGTGAAGAACAATCTCGACGATTCGTGTCTCACTCGAACTTGCAAGATCTTTGAGTAGATCTGTGCCCCCTTGGAAGCAGCCACGACGGCGAACTTTCAGGCCCTCGACACACATCTATCATGGGTCCCTTACCACCGGATCCGTACAAAGCCCTCGGCGTCAAGGAGGACGCCGACCTCAAGGAGATCAAGACCGTCTACCGCAAGCTTGTGCTCACCTGTCACCCGGACAAGTTCCCCAACCTCTCCAAGGAGGACAAGGCCGTCAAGGAGGACGAGTTCCAGCGCGTGCAACAAGCCTGGGAGATCCTCAGCGACGATAACAAACGGAAAGAGTACGACGATGAGAAGAAGATAAAGAAGCTCCGCGACGAGGCCTACAAGAGCAGTCCCCATCCGTCGGCCACGAGGCCGGCGCCCAAGAACTACTACGAATACAACGTCAACGTCAGGACGACCGAGCCCCCGCCGGCTTTCAAGCCTGGCCCACCTCCCGGCGCCTCGCCGTATTCGCCCTACCAGCACAGCAGCCCGCAGTTCTCGTCGTCATGGGACCGAGACATCCCGACGCGGTCAAAACCTGTCTACGAGGAGGACCGCAAGGCGCGCCGCACGGCTAGTTACGAGAAGCCGTCGAGGCGGGAGGAGGACCGGCGGAGAGCCGCGGAAGAGGAGCGCGAGCGGGAACGGGAGCGCGACAAGCGGCGGGCCGAGCGCGACGCGCGCGAGGCGGCCCGCGAGGTGCAGAAGGAGAAGGAGAAGCGCGAGAGGCGTGAGAAGGCCCTGGAGCTCGAGGCGCGCGAGATGCGCGAGAGGGAAAAGCGCGCCGAGGCGAAGCGCATCAAGAAGGAGGCCGAGAGGGCGCGGGAGAAGGAGCGCGACAAGCAGCGCCGGGTAGACACGCAGGAGAAGTACCGGAGCACCAGGAAGCCGTATCTCGAGCACCACTCCGAGTCGGACGAAGAGGTGCGGGCTTTCATGAAGAAGTCGTCGTCGTCGAGCAGCAAGAAGCACTCGGACACGCCGACGCGCGAGAAGTCGTCGCGCAAGGCGTCGCGCCAGATCGAGGTGCAGCCCTTGGAGGAGAAGATCGAGGCCACCATGGGGTACGCGGCAGACTACATGATGGCTGCGAGGAGGAAAGGCAGCAAGTCTGCCCCTGCGCCGTACGCCGAGGTCTCCTCCTTCAGCCCTCAGTTCCCGAACCCGGACAATATCGCCTTCAAGCGGGCCGCGACCGACCCGCCTCGGAGCCGACGGGCCTCGCAGGACGAGAAGAAGTTCACGGCCACGGTCGAGGAGGAGTCGGAGTCGGACGACGACCCGCGGGGCGCCACCTCGCGATCCTTCCGCGCGCCGCCGCTGACCAAGGCCCAGACCATGGCCGTGCCCAAGCCGTCGTCGTCGTCGTCGCCGCGCGGCCCGCCCACGCTCAGCCGCGCACAGACCATGCCCACGGAGCGCCTCTCGCCGCCCGAGGTGCCCGCGCCGCCCGTGCCCGAGTCCTCATCCCGCCACTACTCAAAGCACGTGTCGTCGTCGTCGTCGTCGCGGCCGCGGCGCGACAGCTACGACTACGACGTCGTGCGGCCCGAGGGCCCGCGGCGCGGCGGCTCGTCGTCGCACGGAAAGGTCTACACGATCGACCAGGACGAGTACGGGCGGCGGCGGGCCGGGTCGGCGCGGTACGTGCCCGTCGAGGAGATGGCGTACTACACGCCCTCGCGGTCGTCGGCCGCGCACCACCACATCCCCGGCGCCGGGTTCGACAAGGTCAAGATGACGCCCGCCTACGACCACGTGTACCAGGGCAAGTACTACACGCAGGACGACGTTATCCAGAGCAAGTACAGCAGCGCGTATGCTTACTAGACAGAGAGAGCTCTTTTTGTCTCTTTCGGGTCTCTGTGTGTGTGTGCGGCCCCTCCAGCCCGAGCCGGTTGCGGGTTTCTCGCCTTTTTTACTTCTTTGCAATTTTCTTACCCTGTTCCGAGCAAAGACTTTTGGGGGTTGGTTGTATGGCATGATCCGCGGATGGATGGGCTTGAACCAACTCTTCTGCGTAGAGATTGTCGGACCGACGCCCTTGCTCATGGGAGGGAGAATGATTTGAAGTACGCTGGGCTTTTGTGAGGCCTGGTGGCGGTACAGCCCAGCCCGCGAGAATCGGAGTCGAGAGGCGGTCGAGTCGCGAAATGCGCTTGCCGGAGCCGAGCCGAGTCGAGTCGAGTCGAGTCGAGCTGAGCTGTTGTGTGAAGCGAAAGAAGCATGAGAACCTGGCCAGGTTGGGCAAGGTTCATTTGTTGTTGTACTGATAGAACGGCGCATCCCTTCAGCTGGGGGATAGAACTGTTCGCGTGTTCTCTCATCATCTCTTGTTTTCTATAACGAACCCCCCCCATCATCATCATCGTCATCATCATTTATAACGTCATCTACACGACATACATACATACTTATATAACTACATCATAAATAGGCCCACCCCCCACACAGATACAGAAACAGAAAGGACAGACGGATATTAGTTGGCCCCGAGTTTGTGTCTGCTGGCAGAGGGCCAGGTAGGACAGGATTTTCTTTCAAGGATACGGGATCTTGTTGTGTTGGATTTTTTTGTCACGGGGGTCGGCCTTCCGGGCAAACGATATGGAAATGAAATCATCACCTCGGCGTCTCTTGGGTGGTGTTCTTAACTTTTTTTTGGGAGTATGCCTTCTTTTTGGTCATTTGATTCGGGTTTGGGATTTGCAGTCTGTCCTTCTTGTTGTCTTGTTTCTCTGACGAAGGAATATCAACGATCACATCACCATCTACAAACATCACATTGGTGGGGTTTCCGAGTTGCTCACACTTTACCTCTACCGTCTTTTTCTATAAGGGATCGGCAGTAATGGTTGGTGGAGAGTCCGCGGCCTACCTACCATTTTTTATCTTTATGAATACTATGAGAAATATGGATCTTATTTTACCAGCCCTACTGCAAATCTCTGTGTGTGCGTGGAAGAACGGTTTGTGAAAACAAATGTGCTTGGTGCATATCTATGTACTTGTACTCGAGGGGTATCGCCGTCTGATGCTGCGTCCTATCACGAACTTCGGTTGCAAGCTACCTAGGTATGGAGATGGTGCTAGAGGATGACGAAACAACAACATATTTAAGCAAGGTCATTCATTAGGGCAGTTAACGTAGTGGCGGTCCTCTAGGTAATGCATAGTAGTAGAAAATGCAAGCAAATTGACCCTGCTGCTGGATGGATTTTTGATTGATGACAACGCGGACGGGATGCTATGTACTCCGTCCTCCGCTCTGGAAGAAAAAAATAAAAAGGATATATGTAAACAAGGGACAACAGGACCTGGGACAAAGGGTCTTGTCGTGTCGGGGTATCTCGGTATTATGCTCTTTCTTGCTTTCTCTCCCCCCCTCTCTCTCCTCCTCTCTCTTCTCTTCTCTCCCACTCTCTCTCTCTCTCTTTCCTCCTCCAAGCAAGCCTGCCGTGAATGCAATGGGTCCAAGACAAATCCCCCTCTTGTCCGCCACCACGAGAAACTAAGAAAAGCCCAGGTCTATACGAGCACGTACAGCGAGCAGATCTACACCATCACACACACACGCCAAATGTCAGCAAAAAGGGTTCCGTGGCACATACATCCGCAGCAGCAGGGAAAGCAAAGGAAAGGGAGGGAAGGGGAAGAAGGAAAAAAAAAAAAAAAAAAAAAAGGCAACATACCAGGCTCAGCCCCATGATCATCGAGCACCAAAAGCACACGTTGTTGAGCGTCTTCTTGCCGCGGACCCACCTGGTCCGCTGCAGCACGACGATGGGCAGCTGCAGCATCTGGCACACGAAGCCGTAGCCGCGCAGCTTCTTGGTGATGCAGGCCATGACGATCTCGTGGCCGACGGCGCTGATGAGGAAGGTGAAGACCATGGCCTGGGACCGGCCGACGTGCGGCCGCGAGGCCGAGTAGACGTGCCGGCGCAGAAACGAGTAGACGGGCACGTTCCACTCGCGCGAGAACTCCATCCAGTCGGTGCTGTTCCACCAGTCGCTGTAGAAGTGGCGGTCGGCGAAGCGCGTCATCTCGGCGAAGGCGCCGAGGACGTACTCGAAGATGACGAGGAAGACGAGTAAGAAAGTGAGCATGAAGGGGAAGAGCAGCCAGGAGATGGTCTCGGCGAGCACGAGCAGCTTCTCTAGAGAAGGGTGGGCCGTGGCGGGCGTGCCGGCGGCGGAGAGGGCGGACACGGCGTCGAGGCGCGCCGAGGACTCGACGAGGATGGGCAGGATGAACTCCTCGGAGATGACGGTCAAGAGGAAGATGCAGCCGAAGACGGCGACGATCTTGGAGATGAGCGACTGCCAGTCGATCTTGTCGAGGCGCGGGTACTCGAGCTCGTAGCACAGCGTGGGGCAGAGCAGGTAGTCGAGGTAGTTGCGCCAGGTCAGGTTGCGCGGGTAGGTGATGTTGCCGATGGGGCTGGTCAGCTCGCGGGCCAGGTCCTCGCGCAGCTGGGCGACCTCGTCCTCGCCCTCGTCCTCGTCCTCGTCTTCCGCCTTGTCCGAGTCGGCGGCGGCCTTGCCGTTGGCGGAGCTGCCGCCCTCGGGGTTCTCGGCGGACGGGTATAGGTAGGCGGGGGCCTTGGAGGCCGTAGAGGGGTCGTCGAGGGCGCGCAGCCGCTTCTCCGCCTCGGACAGGTGGCCGTTGTAAAAGGCCCACGAGTGCATCTTCATGAGCAGGACCATGGAGTGCAGCAGGAAGAAGACCTGCGAGGTCCAGGTCCAGCCGAGCGCGAAGGGCAGGGCGACGAAGAGGCCGAGCCAGAGGCACTGGTACATGCTCTGCAGGGCCATGCCGCCCCGGTTCCACGTCATGAAGCTACCCGGGGCGGCGCGGCGCGCGAGGCCGTGCAGGGCGAGGGAGACGGTCGTGGAGGCGACCATGAACAGGTCGGCGAGGGCGAGGTGCCACAGCTTGACGGTGAAGAGGGACCAGATCTGGACGCGCAGCGGGTACCCCGTGTCCTTCCAGTTGCGCAGCATGGTGGTGATGCCCATGATGGCGAGGCTGATCCAGAAGAGGTTGAAGAAGCCGTGGAAGTCGCGGTAGTCGGACTCCGGGTCAAAGTGCGACTTGCGGCTGGCGAACTCGATGGTCGGGAAGATGCGGCGGCGCTGCTCGGCGCGGACCTGCTTGCGGGCCGAGGAGAGGGACTTGACGGAGGGGAGGGCGTCGCTGGGGACGGGCGTCGAGCGGCCACTGTGTGTTCCCGGGAGGGGTCAGCCTTTCTGCGTGGATTCTCCGTACGAGCAAGCAAGCAAGCAAGCCAACAAATGCATTGGTCTGTATGTCTGATGTGTGGGTATGTCTTACCTCGTCGCGCCGGTGGCGATGCCGTCTACGGGCCCGTCGGAGGACGCATTGCTCAGCTGCGACAGCTGCGAGTGCACCGGTTTCCTGGGCCGGGGGCGGAGGATGTGGTCGTGCAGGCCGTTGGGGAGGGGCTCGACGGCGGTGGCCATTGTCTTGGTTCAGGGTCCGGTTCTGGCCCTCTCAGCCGCTCATTCGGCAGATAGCGCAGAGATGCCCCCTTTCCAGAGACACGGAAACAAGAAAAAGCGGTTCGTATGCAATGCGCGAGAGCTGCGTCTGTCTGCGACCGTAGGGTAGAAGAATAAGGAGACGTGGAAAAGACGGGATGAAAATTAATAGGATGCGTTAAGAGGTGAGGGTCCAGGTCCCTTTCGCCCCGATTAAACGGCGGGAGTCAACCTTGGAGCAATGCGGCTCGGGAAGTATGACGCTAAAGTTTGATAAGAGCTTTTAATAAAGCTAAGGAGGTACCCTTAGATCGCTAGCTGTAAACCGCCGTAGGACGATGATGGATGATGCGAGAATGAAGGCGAGTCGAGTCCACGATAACGGTTCGTGCAACTCGACAGCTCTATGTATGAACCTCCATCTCCAAAAGGCCACACGACACTCCCTCCAGCTCCAGGGTGTGACGAACACCCCCGCTCTCTTCCCCGTTCAGGGGCAATGGTGGTGGACTTGTTGCCTCGGCCTGCGTTTTACCTGGTTGCAAGGTGGGATTGATGGGATGACTGGAGGATAGATAGGACGAAGTGTGATGGGACGATGCTGTGTTTCCCAGACTGGGCGGAATGCATTTCGTTTGCATTACGTATCATTGCCTCGTACGGACATCCAAACGCCTCATCGCAAAGCCACAGCGCGAATCGCAAAGAGGCGACAGGCCGGCGACCGTTGGACAAGACGGTTCGAGTCTACGTCATTTTTCGCGATTGTCGGGTCCCACGCGTGAAACTCGACGGCGCTAGAACCACCAGAAGTGCAAGCGAATGCCGGTCCAGCCGGGACAAAAATTGCCCTTAAAGCCCCCTGAGGCCTGAGGGATGGATTCTCCAACCGAACTGCGGCTGCCTGCACGCTGATCCCACTGGACTTGTCTTGGGCGACGTCAAGATTGCTACCTGGATCTGACGAATGCATGTATGATCAAGATCAAGCAAGCGTACGACGCGTATTCCTCTTCTCTGGGGGAATGGCCAATGGCCACGCATCCCAAGCACCCAGCTAGCCAGAAAAGGCGGAGCGTTTGTTGCTAGAGCTGGCAAAGAGGCAATCTCAGGGCTCTCTGGACGTAGGAGCTTGGCAAAAGCAGCTTGGGAGGAGCTTCTCCCCCACTCCAGGCCGCGTTGCCTGACATCACGAGTCTTGCCGACGTCCCGAGCAGGCCGCTCAGTTTCCAACCCTTGCTTCTTGCAAGATTCCACGCGGGTGAGAGAAAGGGAGCTCCAGATGGAACCCCTTCATACCGTCGGGCCCATGATATTCTCCGATCGTTAGCTTCAGTCACTGCGAACCGGGCCGGCCCTGCCCGACCGGACGGAGCGGGTTCAATTTCTGCAGTCGGGGCCCGGCCGAGGCAGAGCAGGGGATCGTCCAGGACATCCCAACAATTGCCTCCTCAAGTAGACAGCAGATTTCAAGCGTTGCTGTAGCGTCCTCGTCTATCTTGACCATTGCGCTGGGATATCTCGAATACCTTGCGGCATGTGGGTGCTGTCAGCGATATCGCGGTCTGAGACATGCAGACGGTCGGTCGGTCACATATTTATCGCATCATAATTGCATGTCCCGTGTTTGATGCGATATTACAAGTAGAACATGTCTTTTTTGTTTTCTTTATGCTGAATATTGGCATTTCAGAGCTAACACCATCGCTTTAAGGAGAAACAATATCTCCTTTGGTGCGGTCAGGCACAGCGATCGCCCAAACTGTCGCCCAACTTGTCAGTAAACGGGAAACGGATCGGCAATCTCAAAGACAAAAGATCTCTCAACTCACTTCCATGTACCTCACAAGTCCCCCGACGAAAATAGCGGTCACTCCGGGCGGCCAGCCAATCACTGTTGCAGGCGGACCCCGTGGCCTGGCATGCTAAGTTGACAGGGCGTAGCGCCAGACCTCTTTTACCCCGGACCCTGTCCGTTCGGAGATCAAAAACGTGCTTTAAATAGAAAGAGGCTCCAGCATGCTTGTCATTGACCGTTTTGGTCAGCCATTGTGATGTGGTAAGACATGTTTCTGCTTGGAACTGGTGATCTGATCGAAAACGCGCGATTTCCGTAGCGTCCACATGGCACTCCGTTTGCCTCCGTCTTTATACGTGAGGACATACTTGGGCGTGCAGAGCAATTACAGAGCTTCAGCAACTACTCTGAGGAAACACTCGATTGGTCACTAATAACATACGGCTAGTTTCAGTCAGGTGTACAGTACATAGATTTAGCAAGCTTGCTGAAGAAATGCTACTTGTCTTGTGGACAGATGAAGAAGGAATAGTTCTGTTAGTTCTTGAGCGTTTCTTGGCTCGGAGGTCTGCGCTTGTGTCCCTGCACTCTCGATAAGGACCAGTCACAGTGGCATAGAAGGGCCAAAGCTTGGCAAGCCTCGAAACTATGCAGGACACACGCACGATGACTGGCGTTCACAGCAGGCGATAATGCGATCGGAAGAAAAAAGCAAGTTAACAAGCATAGGTCAAGAGGCATTCGATTGCGCTGAACTGAAAAGAGGACACAATCCCCATGGAGGACATGTCAGTTAGGCAAAGGTCAACTGGGCGATCATGGTTGGTTGGCCAGCATGCCAATCAACGGTTCATATATGACCAACAACACGCCCCGACCAGCCAACAGACGCGGCGGTGCACAAGACAGGACTAGACAAAAACCAGTCATTAGGGAACCTGTACTTGTTAGTACAGCGGACCCCAAGCAAGAGTTGTAAGGATGTGCAAAAAGGATATTTGAAGCAGTAGCAGTACACACTGGTAGATTCAGATTGGTTCACAAGCTGATACGTGTATGGTTGATTATCGAGACATTGCCCCCATCGAAGAGATGATTTAAGTAAACTAACCATAGTCGACTCTCCGAATCGTGAAAGCAACAACTCGCAAAGCTGTCAAGCATTTCTCTATGGAAATGCAAATCTTCAAGATATCCAGCAATGGATCCAGCAGCATGAAAGCACCGAGACAAAATCCCTAACACTCATAAATCGAAAGGGGGGCCGAATAGAATCTGACACAAGTGATTCCGGCACAATATCGTCAATGGCTGGCAATGCACTTCTTCTCGCTCTGGGTATTGATGACGAGTTACTGGCTCGGTCTGTGGTCGAGTTCCTACTAGCCCACTGTGCACAGCCTGAACACAACCAGCCCGGGTTTTCGCCTCCCAAACTGGTCTTGGGACAGAAAGAGAACGGTGATGCCGAAGACTTTTTGATAAACCCACTGCACCCAGCGAGCTTAGGTACCGATGAACTGGATGGCTCGAGGTCAAGCGCAATACATTTTGCTGCTAAGAAACAGCAATTCAATATTGCAGAACTGTTGGTAGAGAAACGCAAGGGCTGCCTTACCCAACGCGATACGGAAGGGAGAACAGCACTACATCTCTTTGCTGAACTTGGCAATGAGTGTCTAGTGTCTAGTCAAGCTCCTTCTGGAAAAAGGTGCACCCCTGACTGATACAGACTCGGAAGGAAGGAATGCCCTGCATTACGCAGCGCAAGGGAAGCAAGACAGGGTCATCACATTCTTCTAGAGCATTCCAAAAAGGAGAGATGCCAGGAGAATGAACCCCCATCGTCCCCTCAAGCCTATCAAGGCCACGATCAGGTCGACGTTAGTAATGATCAAAGTGCAAGTGTAGCACATGATCAAGCTGGCGAAAAGAAGGCTCAAGAGTCTGCATACATCGACCAAGAGACGAAGGATGGAGAGACCGCCCTATATATCGCAATCAAAGTGCGCTGCCAGCCGGTTGCAAAGTCTCTCATCGGCCATGGAGCTAAAGTCAGTACTGGGGGCAAGGATGGCCATTGTGCTTTCCTTCTGGCAGCAGAAAAAGGGTATCACGAAGTACTTAAGGTACTACTGATGGCGAGACGTGAGTCAATTTCTCAAGACCAGCTAGATAAGGCTCTGCTGTTGGCTGCTAGAGAAGGGCGCACTGAAGCAGCCGTTTTGCTCCATGAGAACAATGCCAAATCTGGCATCAAGGGGCGGGAAGCCATGACAGCTTTACACTGGGCTATCGAAAATAAGAATGAGCACCTTGCTGGGTTGCTTATTGGCGCACTGAAGGACGGAAATATCGATCCCGAAGACCAGAATCATAGGACACCGCTCAGCATGGCATCAGGAGCGGGCCTGAAGACTACAGTGGATAAGCTTCTGGGAAAGGGAGCGGATGCTCGCCATCAAGATGGACTTCGGCGCACCGCCTTACACTGGGCAGCTATGGGCCACCATGATAAGATTGTCGAGGGTTTGCTCAACGCAAAACAATCGCCTGATGTGAATAATGGAGACAACCAGGGCCGAACTGCGCTGCATTGTGCAGCTTATACCGGCGCATCGAACGGAACCGAAACCATAAGACTTCTACTTGATGCTAAGGCGTATCCTTACAGCAAAGATACACACAAGCAAACACCGTTGATTTTAGCGGCTCGGAAGGGGCATTTATCGGCGGTCAAAAAGTTGCTTGACACTCAATGTGACTGGGAAGCACTCGATGAAGACAAGAGGACGGCCCTCGATTGGGCAGCAGCAGAGGGGTTTGAAAAGGTGGTTGCAGAACTACTTCTCAAGTTCAATGAAGACTCGAAGAAATCGGCCCTCGATCACGCAGCGAAGAACGGACACTTCGCAATTGTTGCCATGCTATTCAACAGTATCAAGCAGATCGCCATCCGAAACTCTGCTATGAACACCATCTTATTTGCTGCAGCTGCTACTACTAGACTCCCAGAATCGCTCGACAGGCTGATAAGCAGTGCGACTGATGTTAACCCCAGAGATGGTCTTCAACGGCGCACACCTCTCATGCTAGCTGTGAAAAGTCGAAATCGCCAGCTCATAGACAAGCTTCTTGATCTTAAGGCACAGACGGATTTGCAAGACGCAGACGGAACAACAGCACTGATGACTGCAACTAGAGTGCTGGACGAGCAGACCGTCCAGGCACTACTACTCGCCCACGCAAACCCGGATCTCCAAGACAACCAAAAATACACGGCTCTTCACTATGCTGTAGAGACAGGCGATAATCCCTGTCTACAGCACCTTGTAAAGTACGGAATTACCAGTGCAAACATCTTGGATTCCAAACGGCGAACTGCGTTGCACATAGCTATGGAAAACCTCGAAACTGGCGACGAACCATCGTCTAGGCGATACAGGCGGTACTGCCGCCTTTATCCGGATCTGGCACGTCAGAGGGACTTTTGGCAGTATCTTCTTGCTCTTGGGCATGACTGTCCTGACTCTGGGTTCTACACACTAGCTGAAAAGACGGATCTGCACTTGAAGGATGAAAGAAGCCAAACACCTTTGCACTTGGCTATCCGCAAAGATCAAATCAACATTGCGATACTGTTCCTCCAGAGGTCAGAAAAGTACGATATGGACGTCGGAGATACTTCTGGCAGAACACCCTTACTACTTGCAGCTGAAAAGGGCTCGGATCTAATGGTACTACTTTTGCTGGTCCACCAGTTCAAACACAACGTCCAAGATAAAGCAGATCGAACCGCTTTACTATTGACAGCGGAAAGAGGTGCTTTAGATTCAGTCATTGCGCTTCTAGATGCAAAGGCAGATCCAAACATACCCGATTCTAGAGGACGTACTCCTTTGTCGGTCGCGTCACAGAACGGGCACGAGGAGGTGGTGAGCACGCTGATTAAACGTGCGGAGGACTTGACTCTCGATTCTCGGGATTGGATGGGCCGGACGGCACTGATGCTTGCAGCCGAGAATGGCCACAAACCTATTGTGGACCTGCTTTTGGGTCACAAGGCGAACACAACTATTACGGATTACAATGGGAAGAAAGCTTGGGAAAAGGCAATGGAAAAAGGCCATGCTGACGTGGTTCGACTTCTATTGTCAGAACCCGACGCGCCCGTTCAGGACAGGAAATCTGTCAATGACGCATTACTCTTAGCCTCTCGGCGAGGCTGCGTCGAACTCGTGGGTGTTCTCCTCGAACAGGGTGCGAACGCCACTTTTCAGAACGACAAGCGTTGGACAGCGTTGCATCTGGCAGCCATGAATGGTCATCACAAAGTGGTGGAGATCCTGATTAAAAAAGGTACGGATATCTCCCTCAAAGACGGCACAAATCGCACCGCTTTAATGCGAGCTACCGAGTATGGGTTCGAGTCGATTGTATCTCTTCTTCTCGAAAACAAGGATGACAAGAATGAAATCGACGAGTGGATGGGTCGAGAAGCTCTACTATTCGCCGCCGAAAGGGGTTATGCTGGTATTGTCGACCTACTGATCAAGAATGAGATTGATCATAACCATACGGATTCGACTGGGAGGACTGCGATGTCACTGGCCGCCATGAATGGCAATAGTGCCATAGTCCAAACACTGTTGGAAGCAAAGGCAGACTCAGCCATCAAGGATAAGCACGATAGAACTGCTCTACACTTTGCAGCTTGGGGCGGTCATAGTGACGTGGTGGAAGTATTACTCGAACATGGCGCAGACGTCAGTGCCTCTGACAAAAGCGGACAGTTGCCTCTACATCCAGCGGCAGAGCGTGCCTCAGAGCGAGTTATCAAACAGATCGTTGGCAAAGGAGCCAACATTAATGCCAAGTCGAGGAATGATGGCCAGACTGCGCTACACCGCGCGGCCTGGGGAGGCTCTTTGGAAATTGTCAAGCTCTTGCGAGAGTGTGGCGCCGACTCATTCATCCGTGATGATCAAAGCAAGAAACCGTGGCAGGTTGCTGCAGAGAAAGGCCACGAGAGCATAGTGGAAGCACTCCTGAAGGACGAAGAGAGCGTGTCAGAAGAAAAGATTCTAAGGAAGAAGGCGCTGATCTTTGCGGGCGAGATGGGATGTCCCATCATTGCACAGGCGCTGATAGAAAAAGGGGCAGATCCCAGCGTGAAGGATGGGAAGGGACGTACGGCGTTGCACTGGGCGGCAAAACGCGGAAATGGAGCACTTGTTGACCTTCTCGTGAAGAGAGATGAGAGTTTGCTAAACGTTCTCGATCCTGACCGCCAAACAGCCCTGTGCCTCGCCGTGCTTGAAGGCAACGCGGTGGTAGTCGAAAAGCTTCTTCACCATGGCGCCGATGCCAACATCCAAGGAGAAAACAAGCAAACAGTGCTGCATCAGGCCGCCAAGATGGGGAATTGGGAAATTGTGCAAGTCTTAGTCAAGCACGGGGCAGACCCCCACGCCCGTGATTGCGACAAGAAAAAGGCTTGGGAGCTCGCTGCGAAGGAAGGATATCACCAGATCGTCCGCCACTTGCTGGAAAAGGAAGTTGATTACTTGCTGGGAAAGGAGGTTGATCTGAAGCTCCATCATAAGAAAAAAGAGGAGTTCTTCTTGCAGATGGTGGAGCAAGGTTCACTTCCTATGGTCCAGTTACTCCTGGATAAAGGTGTGGACGTGAATGCTAGGGATCGACATGGAAAGGCAGCCATTGGCCTGGCTGTGGAAAATCGTAAAGATGATGTCCTGAGGCTACTTCTCTCCAAAGGAGCGGACCCAAATCTCACAGATTCCAAAAAGCGAACACCGCTCCTGTGGGCTGCGAAGACTGGAAACACGAAGGCTATCAGCCTGCTTCTGGAGCAGGACTACACAGGAATCAATCATAGCGAAGAAGAAGGAGAAGTCGAGAAAACAGCGGAGGAAGCAGGGGAGCAAGAGGGCGGAGAGGAGGGCGGAGAGGAGCACGGAGAGGAGCAGGGGGGGGGGCATGGAGAGGAGGACGGAGAGGGGCCCTCGGCTACAAAGGAGGACGAAATTGACCAAAGCTCCAGCGATGAAACTAAAACGGAAGATGATGAAGGTGGCGATGTTCAAAGGAACCAGGCCGACTCACCAGCATGCAGAAACACGTACCAAAATAATAATAATAAAGGAGCAAAAAGCTCACAGACTCACCCGGAGGGGAGTCTGCTGCGAAAATCGCTGAATAGAGATTTTACTGCCGTGCTCGACGAGGTGGTGGCGTGTTGTCGTTCGGTTTTTTTATCGGAAGGTAATACTTCGTCAGGGGATCCAAACCCGAAATTTTATCAGAAGGTATTACTTCGTCAGGGAATCGAAACCCGAACCACCTCGGAACAATCTCGTGTTCTTCCTACTTGACCATAGCGGTCTTTTCCTCCCCGACGACTGACTGCGTTAACCTCACCTATAAGGGCTTTGGAAGGGGGGGGGTCCGGGCGTCCCTCCTGGGTGCAGGGACCCTCTAGAACAAGGAAGCGACGGCCACAGGGAAGAGCAAACTCACGGCGACGACAGACCTAGTATGAATCTTGACGCTTCTCTCACAAGTAAAGACGGGGAAGGAGAACCTTCCAAAAGCAAAGCCAGTCTGGGATCAAAAGGAACAAACGGCCGAGACACCAATGACGGCACCAGCTCCGGTCTGAACAACGCGGGTCAGGATAGCGAAAATGAAGGCCGAGAACGCAACGAAGCCGGAGATATCCGAACAGACGATGAACACCACAACACAGATGTCTCCGAAGAGCAAGTTGTTCAAAGTAGCGACGATGGAGCACCTAGTAGTAGGGACGGCGAGGAGGGAGGCTTGCGCGAAGCTGATGAAAGCGATGAAGATCCACCCATCGAGGCAGGCTCAGTGAACAATGAAGCCATAGAGTCGACAGTGAAGCGTACTTTCAGATACGAACTGGTCAATAGCTGCGACTACAAAGGTCGGACAGCATTGTTGATTGCCATCGGAAACAAACAGGATAATGCTGCGAGGATCTTGCTCAGCAAAGGTGCCCCAGATATCGATGTCAACCTCCACGACGAATTGAAGAGAGCACCTTTACATCTGGCAGCAGAAAGAGGTAATCGATTACTGGTCCAGAGTTTACTGGAAGCGGGGGCAAACAGATATCATGAAGACCAACTCGGACAGACAGCACTGTTCCCAGCCGTGGAAAGCGGAAAGATGGACATTGTCAATCTTCTAGTCGGGGATGGGAACTCTGAAGATCTTATCAATACCTGCGACAAGCAGAACCAAACTGTCCTCCACGTGGCTACCGACCAAGGGAACATCGCGATACTTCAGAAACTGCTTGACAGTGGAGCGAATCCCAATCGGAAAGACAAGCTTGGTCGTACAGCGCTGCTCATTGCTACGGAGAACGGTGAAAAGGATATGGTTCATGTTTTACTCGGAAAGAATGCAGATGTGAATACCGAGATGCTTCGGCAGGCGGTTGCGAATGGTGACAAGGAAGTGGTGGAAACACTCTTTGGTCAACTCAAAACACACCTGTCCACGAAAGATCTGCAGAGTTTATTGGATCTGGCGCGTAAGAGTGGGAACAAAGAGGTCACATTTATGGTCGCGCAAAAGCTCGATCTCTCGTGAGGTCAATAATTCCAAATGGAACAGAAAGGGAGTTTCTTATGTTGTACATATTGACTTTTATGTTTTCAAAGTTTCAGGTGTGACATTTAACTATCTGTATTTCAGGATCAGCATTATCTATCTTTGATCATGCTTGACATAGACGTTTGGATAAGACAGTAAGTACAGCAGGTAAAAACAGATGCTGTTCCGCGCTTTCGAAAAAAACAACAACAAGAATTGAATCGCTTGATTTTCATGAGGAAATGAGCAGTTTCCTCTTGATATCCCAACCCCATCGATCAATACCATCGAGTGCCCAGACGACACGGAACCTCCACAGAGTGACCAGAACGAGAAACCATGAGTACAGGACCAGATACCACGCCCACTGTCCCGCCCATTCCATGAGGTAGAGTGCCCACCAGGAGTATACTCTCACATAATCAGCAGCATATGCCAGATACCACCAAGTGTGGCTTGTGATGAGCTTGAATCTCCACCGAGCGTGGGCCATGTGGTATTGCACACAGCCCCGTAGGTAGTATGTGTACTCTGCTCGGCGACTTCTGTTGGCTGCAATCCGATATAGTGTGTTCAAGTAACCGTGCTTCGTCGAAAGGGCCAAGAGCCATAGCGTAACAAGACCGGTGGCGGTCAGCACGACATGTGTCAAGTTTATCATGAGGTAACCTTCGTCCGGGATACCAGGTGCGTGAGCTTCATATTTGAACAAAGGAAGCGGCTCAGGTGAGGAGGAGACGCGCACTGCCGTGAGGGGGGCGGCCTCAGTCATGGTGATATACTGAACGGTAGCAGTGAAGGGAATCGACTGGCGGCATGAGAATGAAGTTGTCTTTGAAGATTTGTGTGTGTGTAAGAGAGAGACAGCGAGAGGATCAAGGACATAGGTTATTTTCTTTGGACTTTGGAGTTGAGGCTCGCGGTCGCTGAGGATGATATTTTGAGGGATCGGTGAAACGTGGGTGCCTGCCGGGTGATTGCGTTGGCATCTTACATAATCTGCAGCTTCCACAGGGATCCTATTTGACAAAGATATCTTTCAATAATATGACAAAAGTGAAGAAAGAAGAAAGTGTAGTTGGCGTCCACAAAGCAAGGAAATATTTGCCCCTTGATAGGCCCGAAAAACAGTCAATCGATCAATGGCAACTGATCACTGGGGAGATCAACCATATCAGAGTCTCACTGACCCTCAACCAGCTGGGAGTTTCAGAAATACACAGGCATACATATTGCTCACTGATACTGCTGTCGAGATAGTGATATAGTCTGAATGTTTACTTTGATCCTGGGCAAGCACACTTGAGTTAGGGACAATGAGCTTGAGGACAAGACCACAGAAGAAACCAGATTCAGATTATAGGAGGCGTTTGTCCCCCGGTCAGACGAGGCTCAATTGTTACAAGCCACATCAAGAGCTGGTCACAAGATACAATATAAGAATGATAAAAATACATTGTTGCATTCCTAGAACAATAGAGTTTATCATTGGCTAGATCGAGTTGTCCTGGTATCATTGCCTGTGTGTTGCCCATCATGAAGCTGGGAAAAGACCTTTTCCAAAACTAGGTGCCTAACAAAGGCACTGTGCGTGCCTAAAGTGGTGGGTAACCAATTGTGAGTCTATTACTTTGTACAATACAAGCAGTTCAGTGTAACACGGGTTTATGGTAGGTACCTATCTTATACGAATATCCACTCTGCTGCAAGCGACTTGGCGATGGGCGTTAGCGGGTGCGTCGTGAAAAAGTGTCTCTGAGAGCCTGTGAGGATACGTATGTGAGCAATGTTACTTGGATACCTTCCTACCTGCATGTACCTTATGCAGGCGCTGAAATGAGGCACAGGCTGAGTGAGACCCGTGGTTGCTCAATTGCGGTAGGCGCTTGCGTGCATTCCACCCACACGCACCTGCCTCGAACGAGGAGCATGCGTCGCGCTCGCGGGTCGGGTCCTTCCCCAAATTAGAGTTGTTGACTTACTTCATCATCATCATCATCACCATCCTAAGCATTTACCACACTGGCAATTCTATCGCTTGAGTTCTCTGTTCTGCCGTCCGACACGTGCTCCCTCCTCTGCCATCCCAGCCAGCTTCAATTGGCTGCTTGACTCGTTGTTGACATCACTGTGTCTTGCACCTGTGAATCGCAGCGGGGGGAGGGTAAATGGTCCAGAGGCACTGATCCGCAGTCCTGACTCGACGCAATCAATATCCACGGCGCCATTCTCGACTTGGTCAAATTACACCTGCTTGGTGCGCTTTCTTCGATATCAAAGTGGGTATCCAGCGATAAATAACATATTCGCCGCCAAGTACTGATCCGCTAGACCCTCAGCTCGCAATACCTGGCAGGGGGATGGAGATTTAGGCCTTCAAGCTTCGTGAGTGCCTCCACCAACAAGGCCAAGCTACTCGCTAGACAGGCTAGTCTTCTGCTCTGGTCGACTCAAACCAGAGAGTCAGAAATGCTCTTGTCCTCGAGTCGCCGATTGGCCTAAGGTATTGGGATGCTAACCCCATGTCTGTCTCGCAGAAGCAGGTACCGGCCTAGTACTTGGGAGGTCATCTCTGGGGCGCTCCCAACACCAATACCAGCACCAAACAGAGTGCATTCTCTCCACAACCCACCCGGCTCGCTACGTTACTTTTGACGCATGGCCGCCGCCCGCCGGCTCGCAAAAAACGAACGCGGGAAACGCCTCAATCGCACGAGAAGTCTGCCCGCCTGCCTGCCGCCGCCTTGCCTGCTGTTCGCGCACAGCCCACCTTTCACCTCCCGATTCTCCCAGGGCGGTACGAGAAGACAAGCCAAAGGTAGCAATTAACAGGCTCGGGCACAAGCTTCTTGCGACACCTGTTAAGCTTTATATTAAATCTGGCACACTGGGCCCCGCAAGGCCAGGCCAGACCCACGACATTTCTGCTCACCTTTCTGACGTTAGCCTTCCAATCACCAACGCTGCCACCTTCCCAGACCTGCCTGCCCCGGATACGGTCATCTGCAGCTCCGCCGCGTACACATCCAGCCCTGCAACCACCCTCTTCGCCGCCGCGCCTAGTCTCTCACTCGTCGGCTCGAGACACCCACTACCTGGACGTCCGTTATATGAGCTTGGGGTCCCACTGCAGCGCTGTGCGACGGAGTCATGACCTCAGGGCCACCACCCTCCCAGTCTCCAGACAAGAGTCAAGGCGACGTCCACCGACAGCAACATGACCGCGACCTAAAAGCCTCCGCAGACCAGCCCAACTGGCACAATGCGACAGAAACCACCAAGAGTGACAACAACTCTTCCCTTCCTATCGACTCCGACCTCCCCACGCCCACCTTCGACGTATCTCCGCCCCAGTTCCCGACCAGCCAACTGCAGTTCCGAACAAACACCATAGCGCCGTCACCACCACTGCCCGAAACCTCGCCGGGCCCGTCGACACCCCAGAGGTTAGATCTGTCCGGCGCCGAAGAGCCGGCGCGTTATCAGCGCAGCCCTCTCAGCAGCAACGCTCTACGCATCCTCACCGATTTCCACCCCGGACCTCCCCCGCGGACGGATAGCCTCAATAGCACCGCGACCGGCACTCCTGGCTCGCATCGGCCTTCAAACTTGACCCTGCACCGCCAGCCGTCGAGCTCTTCGCTCAAGCCAATCTCGCGCACACCGAGCCTCAAAGCCGCGTTTGGTGGCTACTCGGCCGCAAGCTCGACCGTTCCGAGTCCGGTCATCACTGCCATGGGCGACGTAACCCCGCTACCTTCCCCGCTGCTCTCGAGCGACTCGCCGGGCCCATGGAAGAAGTTTGGTCGCCCTCCCTCCCGAGACGCGCCTGTCATGATTACGCCCTCCGAGGGCGCGGTCCTCGTGACTAGCACGGGCGAGTCCATCTCCGCAGCTCTCGCGAATCAGATCAAGAGGAAGACCTACGCGGGTCTTGCATCCGGTGACGATGCGGCAGCTGCCTCTTCTGATCCCTTCAAACCTCATACTCGTAACAGGAGTGTTAGTGACTATGTCCCGGATCCGCTCGCCATTCCTAAGCGCATGGTGACCGTCTCGGGTTCTCATGTGCAGGTTGATGCTGGCTCAGAAACCCTTGAGCCGCATATGCGGCGCGAGCCCCACCTCTCCGAGGCTCGGGGCTTAACCCCAGTTGAGAAGCCGCCCACCCCGCCTCCGAGCGAGTCCTCTCTTCGCTCGAGCGACTCAGCATCGGGTGACGGCCGGACATCAGACGACAAGCAGCGCCATGAATATTTCGAAGCTCGAGGACGCTTCGACGGGAAGAAGCGCCGATGGAGAGCTGTCAAGGCTCTCGGCCAGGGTACTTTTAGCCGCGTGATGCTGGCTACGAGCCAGGTATCGCCGGCCGACGATGAAAGTACAACGCTGTCGGAGGGTCTGTTGACGCCAGAGCTACATAACAAGTACCCCCCGCGGACACTAGTCGCTGTCAAAGTCTGCGAGCACGGGCCAAAGGGCGGTGCGTCAGAGGATCGCATCGAGATGAGCTTGAAACGAGAGCTCGACATCATGCAGTCCATAAATCACCCCTCGTTGATACACCTCAAGGCGTGGAATATCGAAGCCACGCGGGCGATCCTCGTGCTGAGTTACTGCCCCGGCGGTGATCTCTTTGATGTGGCGACGGCGCACCGTGAGCTTCTCACTCCGCCCCTGCTCAGGAGGATATTCTCCGAGCTTGTCGGCGCCGTCAAGTACCTACACGAGAGGCGGATTGTTCATCGAGACATCAAGCTAGAGAGTAAGTCACCACGGCCCCTTATCAAGATCTCTGATGTAAATGTTAACCCAACTGCGCAGATGTCCTTGTCAATATACCACCCGCCGACCTCGCCGATCCGTCAATAGACTGGGCAACGTATCCCTATAGTGTCTCCACGCTGACAGACATGGGGCTGTCGAGGCGTGTTGCAGACGACGAGAAGCTCGAGACTCGCTGCGGATCCGACGACTACGCGGCGCCGGAAGTGATTATGGGTCAGCCTTACGACGGGAAGGCCATTGACGCCTGGTCGCTCGGTGTGCTGCTGTATGCGCTACTAGAATCGCGTCTGCCCTTTGATCCCCACCCGGGCATGAGCGACGCCCACCGCATGCGCAGCCGCACGAGCCACCGCATCGCCCGGGTGGAGTGGCGCTGGGTCGAGTACGCGGGCGAGGACGGCGACCACGAGGGCGACGTCAAGAAATTTGAGGCCAAGGGCCTGCTGGGGGCCATGGAGATCACCGAGAACCTGCTGAAGAGGGCGCGCAGCCGGTGGCCGCTGGATAAGGTGGGCGGCACGGAGTGGGTGCGCGACGGCGTGAGGGTCGAGGGCGGGATCAAGTTTAGGGAAGAGGCCGAGGGCGAGGAGGTGTCATGATCGTTGATGAGGATGACTGATTTGCATTGTGAGTGCACGATGTGGTCCTCGAGGTAGCACAAGAGGTGTGTTACTCGTAGGGACGGGGCTACGCTTTCCGAAAAGATGTGCGGCAACAGACAAAGATGATAGAGAGAGAGCCATTTGAGTGATTTGTACTTTTAGACCGGCCTTGACACATCAGACAAGAAGCTAGAAAGTCGGATGGGGAAATGGCGGCGGAGGAATTGGTGTGCGGGATAGAGGAGGAAGAGAGGGAGGACGGGAACAGAGAACAGGAGGGAGACAACCGCACGCAGATAACAAGTGCGAGCTGAATGATGTAACGAAAGCGTAACTTTTTCTGACTCTGGTGGCATTTCTTCCGCGCTGGAGTTGGGCAAGGTTCGGAATTTGAATATTTGGATACCAACATATTTGTTCTCTTAGCAATGAGGCGTGTTTGTCTTTGATGAAATGGGAGAGAGTTCTTGGTCAACGGTTGTGCCAGGCAAATATGCTAGAGAGACAGGTCATGCGTCCCCATCGCTGTGTGAGATACGAAAAGAGACAACAAGGTTGTTTGATACGCTCTGTGGTGCCGAGTATTGGGATATCTGAATATATGCGTGATGACTATCATGAACAAGCCTGCCTATACAGCCCTCGTTTGTACTTGTAATATCAAACCAAACACGCTTAGAGAAAACGCCATTCAAAGTCTTCCCGTCTGACCGTCTCGCATTCACTCACTTCCTTTCTACCAAAACCAAGTCTAATTATCCATTCCATTCCATTCCCATATTCCCCATTCCCATTTGTACCTGAGCTCCTCACACACAACAAAGAACAAAAAATTCACAACTCGCTCCTCTCCCCCTCGACCTTCCACGCGCCGCCACCTCGGCTCTTCTCCAGGCCGCGGCGGGCTTTCACCCTCGACGGCCCGGCCTTCATCTCGACCCACTCGCCGCCCTCGTTCCAGACGCCGGCCTTGGTGTAGTCCCAGCTCTGGCTGCCCTCCATGTACGCGAAGCGGAAGTACTCGTTGACGCGCTCGCCCGCGCGGCGCCGCCAGACGAACTTGTTCTCGGTGTCGCTGTCGTTCCTGCCGTCTACGGCGGAGAGGGCCTGGATGTCCTCGCCGTCGGCAAAGTAGTGCCGGAAGCGCTCGACGTCGTTGACGAGGACGCTGATGCCGTCGTAGCGCGGGCCGGGCGGCGGCGGGCCCCACGTGAAGGTGATGGTGGACAGGTTCGCCGCCGCCGCCGCCGCCGCCGCTACCCCCGTGGCAGCAGCGGCCGTGGCGGCAGAAGAGGCGAGGCTGATGACGGGCTCGGCGATGTCGGGCAGCGGCGAGCCCGTCTGCGAGTCGCCCTGCAGGGCGTAGGCGGTCTGCAGGATCGAGTCCCACCCCCAGCGCGTGACGCCGTTGATGAAGAGGCCGACGAGGAGGCCCTGGTACAGCAGGCAGGGCCGCGTCTGCATGCTCGTGCCGGGCAGGAGCAGCAGCGCGAGGATGTAGTGGTGGATGCGCAGGTTGAGGTCCGGCAGCGCGAGCATGAGCAGCAGGCCCGCGACGAAGAGCACGTAGAGCTGCAGGTATTTCACCAGGCGCGCCTCCTGCCGGAAGTACCAGATCTGGGAGGCGGCGACGCACACCAGGATGATGACGATGAAGGCGAGCGCGGCTTTGGCGCCGGGCTGCTGGTTCAGGTCGTGCGAGGTCAGGCGCGAGATGGGGATCCAGGAGAAGGAGACGTTCTCGAGGGCGCCGAACCAGCAGGCGCCGAGCCAGAAGAAGGTCTTCTCGAGCTGCGCCGTGAGGCCCGTCAGCGCCCTCCGGACGCCCATGCGGTCGTAGATGACCCAGGCGGCCAGCATGGCGGGCAGGTACTTGCCGAGCAGGTTGGACAGCAGGGCCGGCACGGTGCTGTGCGGGGGCGGGTCCGACGCGAGCCCCACGTGCCAGAAGACGCCCGAGAAGATGCTGAAGAAGAAGAGGGCGGGCGAGGAGACGAAGATGGAGAAGACGATGGAGAAGGCGACAGAGACTCCCAAAAGGGCCCAGCGGTTGTCCGAGGCCTCGCAGTCGATGCCCTCCTCGAAGGTGAAGGACAGCGGGAAGTACGAGTCGAAGCCGAAGCTGCTGGCGCCGTTGCGCACCGAGGCGACGAAGCCGCTCTGCTGGCCGACGAGGGAGACGACGCCGCAGCCGCCGCGGGCGTTGGATATGACGCCCGCGTGCACGGCGGCGGCGCAGATGAACGAGTCGCCGCGGTAGACGGGCGCGGCGTCCGAGTCGGCGCGGGGGGGCCCGCCGATGATCAAGGGCGCGTAGTTGATCTCTTGGTCGCCGACGGCGCGCGGGTTGAGCACCTGGTAGCTCAGGCAGCTCGAGGGGCAGCGGAAGGCGAAGCCGCTGCCGTTGAAGGGCCGGCAGTCGTTGCCGTTGACGCCGCACCCGTTGCCCGAGACCCAGTACGTGTTGCCGCAGCCGATGTCGCCGGGCTCCCCCCACCCGGCGATCTCGGTCGCCTGCAGGCCCGCGCGCATCACCAGCGCGAAGGTCATGAGCCAGAGGCCGAGCCACAGGACCACGAGGCCGGCGCGGTGGCGGCGCCTGGGCACGCGCCGGTCGAGCAGCTTGATGGGCCAGTGCTGCACCTCCGGGAAGATCGGGTGGATGCGCCAGGGCCGGCCGCCGTCGGGGGGGCCCTGGGCCCAGCGGGCGGCGGCGCGGAGGGCGCGGCGGACGGGGTAGGGCACCCACTTCCAGCGCTTCCAGGAGCCTTCGTCCTGGATGAAGCGCGGGGTCGAGGGCCGGCTGTCCTGCTCGAGCTCGGAGAGGGCGGCGCCGTCGGGGGCTGCGGAGGGCGCGATGGGGTCGTCTGGCTCGATGTTGCCTGAGGAGGAGGAGGCGGCGTGGGCGGTGGTGTGGCGGCGCTGCTGCTCGAGGTCCTGGTCCTCCTCGACGGTGGAGTCGACTGGGTGGGTTTGGTTGCCCATTGCGGATGGGACTTTTTCTTTTGTTTCTTCTTCTTTTCTACTGCGTGTACTTGGGTCGAGTATGGATGGTTTCGGAGGGAGATTGGGTTGGTTCTAGATGGTGTGAACCGAGGGAAGTTGGAGTTGTGTCGCCTTCGTATAGATATATTGAGAACAGACCCCGCGCAGCGGCTGCTCCGGAAGCGATGTTTGATTTACACGATTTCGCCGCCTATGAGGTACTCGTTCCTCTGTGCGTCAGAGTCAAAGCTACCGAGATCCGTAGGGCACGCCTGGTGCCATTGTCGGACAATGCGGTAGAGAGGGCACTTTGAGGAGAGGACGGAGAGGAGAGAGAGTGCTAAAGTGAGGTGTATGTGAATCCTTCGCCTCGAGAGTAAGAAGGACGAGGGTGATGGACGGAGGCTGACGAATGGGCGGCCCAGTTTGAGACACACGAATCGGCGGCGCCACCGCTGCCGCTCATTGGGCGTTGCGGGTGCTGCGGGCTCCGCATTGCCATTGCAGGGATTCCAGGGTCCCAGAGTGCCAAAATCTCGAAAAGAAAAAGCTTATTAAGGACAGACTTATTCGGCTCCGTCCCGATATATAAGACGCAGGCAACAGTGTTTCATGCTCCAGCCTGACAAGGACATATGCATGCAGACCTAAACCGAGTTGTTGTAGAGGAATGGCTAATACAAGCACACCAAGGATCACTCGAGGGACGGCCTATCTTCTACGCAAAACTGCAAGCAGATGGTCGGCACACCCAAGGTGCTCTTCGTTCACCGAGTACTTCTCAAACAGCAGGTCGGCCCATGCCTGCACGATCTCGTCACCGGCATCGACCAGCTTGGCGTCGAGTCCGCCGCCCAGAATTCCCTCGGTAGAGCGCAGTTCGACGAGGTCAGCCGTGTCGACAAAGTGGCGTGCAAAAAAGTCGCGGACGTACCGACTGCTGGTGTGGAACGATTGAACTGGGTGAGATGCCTGGGACCTTTGGTAATGGCCGTCGAGTAACTAGGGCAAAGAGAAAAAAAGCCACGGTTAGCATGTGCAGTAGAGCACGTAGTTCAATGCGACGAGTAGGTATTGCAGACATATTTGGCGTAGAAGTCCCTCTGCTCCACGATCCTCGCCGGGTCGCGCACAGCAATGTCCCTCAGGTGCGCCTCCTTGCTCACAAACGCGCAGAAGACGAGGCCCGTCCGGGGCTTCGCGAGGCGGCACGCGTTCTCTACCGCCCGTCTGCGCTCCGCCTCGTCCAGGAGGTGATAGAGCGGCCCGAGGAGCAGGACCGCGTCGTAGGAGCCCTGCGGCAGCGCCGCTGGAGGCCCGCCCAGGGCGTTGCCCACGGCGATGCTGGCGAGGAGCGGTCTGCTGCCGGCGGCGGCGGCGGCGCGCTCCTGCTGCTCGGCCCTCGCGAGCTCGATCAGGCCGGGGCTCAGGTCGACGAGGTCTACGTGGCACCCGTCGTCGGCGAGGGCGAAAGCCAGCTTGCCGGGTCCGCCGCCCACGTCCGCGATGCGCCGCCTGGACGACGAGGCGGCTGTGGGAGGCGCAGAGACGGAGGCGGCTAGCCAGTGGCGGATGGACCGCAGGGTGAGCTCGCGCTCCATCGGGTGGGTTGCGAGCCGAGTGCTCTCGTACTCGGCCATGTTGCCGTACAACCTGGCGACGCCTTCGGAGTCTGTTGGCATTCTGAAAGACAGGATAGATTAAAAGGTTGCTACAGCTCTGGGAAGCAATAGCGGCGGCGGCGGTAGCAGGTTAGAGGACTTGAGACCTCTGTTCCCCCGCAAAAACCCAACCAAGGTGCCAGCTTTTAGTGCTCCAGCATCTCCGTGTCAGCTACCATCGAGAACATTATCCTCAAAATGCCGCACATCAGCTCCGACGCAGAAAGCGTCACGCGCATCGGCATCTGCGCCTCGACCGCCGGTTTGTGTAAGACGGGGGAGACAGACAGTGGGGATCCTCTTTTCGGAGCATCTCTTGGATCAGGTAGGAGTTCACTAATACGGTAAGTAAGGTGGAGCTTCACGCTTTGACAAGTATTACTCCATTTTTCCTTGGGGGAATGGGATGCCGTCAATGACATCGTGGATTCTTTTTTGTCGGAAGGGACATTCTGCGCGCGACAAAACACCATGTCTCTTAATTGACCCAATTCATTCATTCATTCACGCACAAACCTCACACTCATTCCAATCTTTACGGTCACCAGATCAGCACACCAGTCCCTCTCACACGCAATGCGATAGGATAAGACGTAGATATCGCCCACCTTACTCCCCCTCCGCCACCAACCGACGATGCCGCCGCGCGTCCTCCTCCTCCCCAGCCGGCGGCCGCTCCTCGCCTGCGCCCACGGCGGCAGCAGCAGGCGGCCGTTCTTCTCCCTCCCCTCCGCCGTCGCCGCCGCCCTCAACCCGTCCTCGTCCACCTCCTCCTCCTCGGGCGGCGGCCAGACCATAACCGTCACCCGCACGCTGCCCTACCCGCCCGCGCCGCTGTACGACCTCATCGCCGACGTCGACGCCTACGCCTCCTTCCTGCCGCACTGCCACGCCTCCCGCGTGACGGAGTGGTCCGACCCGCTCCCCACTTCCGCCTCCGTCGACACACCCACCGCCACCACCGAACACCAACACCAACAACAATCACACCAGCACCAGCAGCAGCACGAGCACGGGCAGGAGCAGGAGCAAGAGCAGCGCAAAAGAGGGAGGCGCTGGCCCCGCCGCGGCACCCTGACCGTCGGCTACGGGCCCCTGACCCAGACCTACTCCTCGCGGCTGTACTGCCACCCGGCCACGTACGTCGTCGAGGCCGTCTCGGGCCGCGCTAGCCCCACGCTTTCTCCTTCGGAGCTGCGCGACATCGGGCTCGACGCCGACGCCGAGGCGCGGCGGGCCCGCGAGAGCCGGCCGGGGGATACCTTTGAGAGCCTCGTCACGCGGTGGAGGGTCATTCCGTCATCTTCGGCCGAGTCCGAGTCCGAGTCCTCTTCTCCTCCTTCTTCTTCTTCAGCGAGCTCTGGTGCGGGTGCGAGGAGGCAGTCCGGCGGCGTGGCGGCGATGACGACGACGAGGGTCGAGCTCGCCATCCGGTACAAGTTCGCCAACCCCGTCTTCCAGCTCGCGACCGGCCAGTTCGGCGAGGAGATCGCCAAGCTGATGATCGAGGCCTTTGAGAAGCGGGCGCGGGAGAAGCTGGGGCCTGCAGGGGGTGGTGCTGGTTCCAAGTTGTGAGGAGGCATGGCAGATTGGGGAAGAACGGGGTGAATAGGTGTGTACCAGTATAAAAAAAGCGAATAGAAGGGGGCTGTCATGGTGTATGAGTACCGAGTTAGAGCCCGGCAGACTGCCCCCGATGTAAGATATTGAAGGGGAAAAGGCATGTCAAGAGTGCGTGCGCTCTACTGTACAAACACTGCATACTACGAGTCGAATAGACAAGGATAGACAGTTTAGAATCCAGGTATAGATCCCACCACTTACTTCAAACCAGACCAGAATACCTGCGCAGTACTGGTTGACACTGGTATCAAGCACGACAAAACATGCCTGAACAACACCAAAAGGCAATCAGATGAACGTCCATTCTTTGTAACTCTGTATTGCATGAAAAACAACAAAAACCCCCAGAAAGCCAAAACACTCGCTAGACGCTGGATACATAAAAGATCTTCTAAGAATGGAGCGGAGCCGAACCCAATGGACGCAAAGTAGTAGTCTGCTCATAGCAAAGAATCGCTCTCCAAAAGTAGACGATGGCTAGGAAACTGGACGTCAAGATACACGAGCTTGTGAGTCTGTCCACACAGCTCGAGTACGTCCGTGCCCATCCCGGCTTCTCTCTCAAAAGCATGAAATCGCCACGTTGTCCTCGTTGGTAGAAGAAATAATAAAAATAAAAGCCCGATATGTTTGTTAATGTGTACGCTCCTCCCCCCAACAACCAACCAGCCCACCACGCACGCCTCGACCATACAAGTAGCTTTCCGCTTCCCCGCCCCCCCACCAGCCGGAAGTCATATTAACATACTCCGCAGAACAATGCAATCGTAACAAAAGTCAAAACAAGTAGGTAAATAACAGTGCTTCGTCATGAACTAGAACCAAAAGTTGCAAACAAAAAAGGGGGGGATATCAACGTTTTAAAAAACGACTTGGAGAAAAAACCGCATTCCAGAGTGTCCCAACCAAGTCCCAACCAAGCCCGGTCATCCAAGAAGAAACAGCAGGTGTATGCATAGAACATGAATAACAAGATAAGAAGTCTCGTCATATATCTCCGTGGTCCTCATCACCCGGTCGTCGAGTTTATTTGGGCTTCCTACAACACACAAACAGATCACAAGTCAGCCATCAAAGATCATTCACGCGACAAAACCCTCTGCAACACATCCTTCACGACCAAATTCCCCCACGAAGACATGGCCCGACAGATCACACCCTCAAGTGAGAGAACGGGAGAGAAAGAGAGAAGACTTACTTCTTGCTCGACGACTTCTTAGGCGGCGGCCCAAACATGCCCCCCAGGATGCCCCCGCCGCTCTTCTTGGACCCGCTCTTCTTCTTCTTCTTGTCGCCCGGCTCGACGGTCATGACCTCGATGTTGCCCCTCATCTGGCTCGGGATCCCCGACATGGGCCGCATGTTGGTGCCCCAGTTGGGCGGCGGCACGGGGCCCGGCCCCCTGCCCGGAGGCCTGACCCCCTGCGGCATGAACGGCATGCGCATGCCGTGCATCGCCCCGTGCGGTCTGCCGCCCCCGCCGTGCATCCCCGGGTGAGGCGGGACGCCGCCCGGGTGCGGCGGGTGGCCGCGCAGCGGCACCTTGTCCATGGGCCACATGTGCATCGTGATGGCCCAGTCCGGCTCCACGACCTTCTCCCAGACCGTCGGCAAGATGATCTCGCCGTTGGGGCCGATGAGGTCGTAGTGGCCCTCCTGGACATGCGGGCCGATGACGTCGACGTGGAGGAAGGCCTGCTTGATGAGCTCCTCCATACCCTAGCAGCAACGAATAGATAATCAGCACATGATTCAGAAGGAATTTGGGGTGATGGACAACTTACAGCCCACGTCTGACATAGGTGGAAGGGGAAGCTGAACTTCCGTCCTACGGCGTCCTTGAACTTGATGGGCGCCTTGTCCTTCTTGGTGACCTCCTCGGTCGCCTTGGCCTGCGCCTCCTCCATGAGCCGCTTCTTGAGCGCCTCCTCCGCGGCCTTCTTGTCCGCCTCGGCCTTGGCAGCGTCCTCGGCCGCCTTCTTCTCGGCCTCGAGCTTCGTCCTCGCGTCGATCTCGGCCTTGAGCTTGGCCTCCTCCTCGAGCTTCTTGCGCCACTCGGCCTCTTCGGCGGCCTTCTTGGCGGCCGCCGCCTTGGCCTCCTCTTCCGCCTTGATGGCGGCCTCGACCTTGGCCTTGGCCGCCGCTTCGGCCGCCTCGATCTTGGCCTTCATCGCCGCCTCGGCGATGGCGGCGGCCTCGGCCTCGCGCTTCTTCCGCTCCTCGTCGGCTTTCCGCTCCGCCTCGATCTTGTCTCGGGCCTCGCGCTCGACGCGAGCCATGGCTTCCTCGTGGAGCTTCCGCCTCTCCTCTTCTGCCTTGCGCTCGGCCTCTATCCGGTCCCTCGCCGCGCGCTCGGCATCCGCCTTTGCCTTCTCAATCTCCTTCTTGGCCTCCTCTTGCGCTTTCCTCATCTCGTCCATGCGCCGTTGGAACGCGTCTTCGGCATCTCTCCTAATCTTGTCTTCCAATTCTTTCTGCTTCTGGGCCTCTTCCTTCTTGGCCTGCTCGCTCTTGTAGAGCTCGAGCTGGGCCTTGATCTTCTCCATTTCCGGGTCCGGCTTCGGCTCCGGTGGAGGTGCCGGAGTCTGCGGAGGAGCTGGGGCCTCGGTGGGCGGCGGAGGGGGTACTTGGTAGTATGGTTGCATGTGCGGCGGGAGACCGGGTTGGTAGCCAGGGCCGCCACCGTAGAATCCCTGCTGTCCGTAGGGCACCATGTCGTAGGGAGACCGCGGGTCGCCGCCGCCAAAGTAGCCTGCTCCACTGCCGTTCGACATGGGCGCGAACGGATTGCTGCCGTAGCCGTTGTTGTAGTGCACCATCTGCTGGGCACTTCGGCCGTAGTGGCTCGGGGGCGCATAGCCGCCTCCTACATGGCTCGGTGCGTAGCCTGGTCCCGCGTGGCCGCCGCCGTAGTAGTGGCTGCCAGGAGGGCCGTAGCCACGGCCGCCAAAAGGCGGGGCACCGTAGTCGTCAGACGGGTCGCTGCTCATCGGGGGCGGGTTGGGTGCCCGATATGCAAATTGCTGGACCGGGGGCCGCGAGTGGCGTCGTGAGGGGTGCCGCTGCGGTGGTCTGTGGGGAGCGTGACGGGGAGGAGGGCGGAGATCTGCACTGGCCGACGCCGAGTCTGAGGGTTCAATGTCGTCGGACGGTTCGTCGTCGTCGTCGTAAATCTCGTCGTCGTCCCAGCTGGAGTGGTCCTCGCCTTCAGCCGAGCTCGGGTATCCGTGATGATGGTGTCCGCGGCCCAGATGTCTTTCTTCCTCTGAGACGGAATGTGACCGCGATGAGCTGGTCGATATCGGCTGGTTGCTCGCTGTAGCGCGACTTCCCCTTGAGCACGGTGCAATGTTAGCAAGATGGACCAGCACTGTAGCGCGATCTTGTTGTTTGGTATGTATGCTTGAAGAACAAAAGTGAAACCGGTAAACGGAAGGAAATAGTAGTAAAAGAAAATCAAAAGCAATCTGTTTCTCTACGGGTCGTAACTCACGACATTGGATTGGGATCTGCGGGGAGCGCCCTTCACTCGCGACAACCTGCACAGAGGATCGGAGCAAAGGCAATCCTGGGTAAAAAAGTAAGAGGCGGTCAAAAGTCTAGGCCCAAAGCGATATTAAGGAACAGTCCCGGTGACCAGGTGAGGGAGTGAGGCGGATGGATGTCAGCGACTTTGTCGAATGTGGGATCGCGCGCAAACGAGGAAATGGTATGGGTGTGCAGAAGTGCGCAGTGTCGCAAATGAGGGGCGCCGAGGAATTTTTGTGTGGGAGGAGAGTCTGAGAGCAGGCGGGCGACGAGCTTGTGTGTGTGTGTGTGTGCGGTCTGTGAGACTTGTCGTGTCCACTGCCCTGTTGTGCAAAAGTCCCCCGGGCAAAGATTATGGTCCCTCTTTCTTGTGTGTGCCGAGCAGATGTGCGACGGGCGGAGCTCTGAGAAATTGATCTGCTGATGATGCCGGGGCTTACAGGCAAACCTGGATTTGGCTCCGAAGACGCTGTTGTTTTGGCAGGGCCAGCAGGCAAGCAAGAAGGGCGATGAAGAGCGGATTTGCACCGTGATGGCCCGGCAGAATATTTGTCTCAAAAGAGGTGTGTCGTTCCTTGGCCGGGCACCACCCCTCTTGCACCCTTGCAGGCAAGAAAATCAGCGCTGGCGGGATTGGGCGCAAAGCAGGGATGTGGATTGGGTATTTGCCATAGATGCGGTGAAGCTGGGTGGACGGCTCGCCTCGGTGGGTTCAAGGTTGCTGTGGGTGACGGCCGACGCTTCGTCCAGAGGGTACTCGAAAGTAAATAGTCAAGAAGGCGGAGCTTCTTCCGGGAGTGCAGAGTTGGTGCTTATTAGGCTGCAGCACTTGCCAGAGGAAGCCTACAGTAGCGCGATGCGAGTCGGGTCGTCCAGATCCAGATGGGCTAGGTAGGTATCCAGCAGGAGTGAACTCTGTCCTCGTCTCTTCCTCTGTATGAAGGGAGAGAGAGCACAGGAGACGAGATGTATTGCAGGCGATGCCTCGACCTCCCTTGGCTCAAGTACCCAAGCTTGGCAAAAGGCAGTCCGATTGCACCACCGCCCACAAAAGGTACCTGGAGCAGCTGAAACGGCGAAGGGCTTCCTGATGTGTTTGTCTGGATGCTTCGGTGGTCCGTGTGTCTCCCTTGGGCGAATGGATGGGTGATGATGGATCACACCAGAAATCCCAGCACCAGACTCCGACGTGACGGCGTACGGTGCAATAATGAGGCCTCGATATAGGTATGGTGGGCCGGTACTTGCGGAGAGACTGGTGGAGATGAGACCGAGAGGCACCCGTTCTGTCCTCATATGACAGTGGCAGTGGCAGTGACAGCGGCAGCGACAGGCACCATCAACACCCCACGCAGTAGGAAGTGGCCCACCGAGTGAGTGAGTGAGTGAGGGGTTACCGGGCTCCCAGTCACTCTTCTCCCTCTGCTCCCCTCTCGAAAACGGCCAGAGAGGGAGGGGCATGCAGGCGCTACTGTGCGGCGGGCCCAGACCAAAGCGTGGGACAACAAAACAAATGACGAGGGCAGACAGCGGGTAATCCCAGCACCCAGCTTGGTGCGTGCTGCTGCTTGCTCCGCCAGTCTAGCCTCTCAGCCCAGCAGCTCCCCACGCTTTTTCTCGGTCGGGCTGTCTGGCTGGCTGCTTTTTTGCTCCCTCGGATGCGCGGGCGGGACTTGCCTTGTCCCACTAGGGACCCGGCAGCGCCCACTGGTCTCAGATTCGAGCCGAAGCGCATCTCTGTGTGGAGGAGGAGAGAGAGCGCTGTTCGTGAGAAAGAAGGAAAGGCAATTTGAAGCGAGATAAGCCAAAAGCCCAGTGCATCGCTGCGAATGGGCAATCGGCGTAACCGCCGACAAGGAATGCGATAACTCGGGAAACAAGGGAATCTGTCTTCTTACCACTAGTTCTGGTGGAATGCTGCTTGGAGCACCGCCTGTGTTGTTGTGTCTCTTTTTTTGGGGCGAGGGCGGATGACCACTTTCGGTCGTGGTGTGTGGATCTCGCACCGGTTTCTGGACGGTTCTGAAACCACCCCTGCGAGTCTGTCGGGTCGCCAACGCTCGTGCTGCCTGCTGCTCACTGAGGCTTCTTCTCACTCACACACACAGCCTGGCCGTTGGTGTCGCTGGTGTGAGTGTCGTTATGGAGTCCGGTCGTGTGTGTGTGTGTGGCTTGACGTTGTGGAAAATCCAGGGCCTGCTGGTGGCTGCTGCAAGTCATTTAAGGCCGAGACAATCTCTGCCCGGATCTTCCTTGATCAGCGCGCGACGGCTGGGCGCTCGATATAGCGGGTACTCTTCTTTGTTGACGAGTGTCGGTCGTTGTCGCTGTGGTTGAACAGTTGTGGTTGTTTGTATTGTTTGCTGCTGCGCCGGTGCTGTGGATGCAAGTCGCTAATGTAAACAAATCGAGTATATGCAACTAGATCTGCTCTCCAAATAGCAAACAACGTTCGCAAAGTTTGCCGTCCTGTACAATTCGAAAAGAGGCGGACAGAAAGAAGCAAGCAGTGTCTTCGTCGCAAGTCAAAAAAAAACGTATGAGTGCACAAAAAAAGCAAAGAGAAAGCTGGCTTGCTCTGGGCTGGGACAAGGGGAAGAGAATTATAAGCTGTCAATCAGGTTGGGGGCGATCCGGGCTTGATATGTAATTGTGCGCCGCTTCGTACGTCTCAGGCATGGATGGTGTCCCCTGTGGTTGGCGGCAATAGGCAAGTATGAAAGGTACCTGGCGGCCGGTACTGGGCGGTGGTGGTGGTAGTGGTGGTGGTGCCTATAGCGAGCAAAGGGGGCCAAAATAACAAAGCAATGCCGCTATCGTTGCCAGGGCAGGTTTTCACTTTTTTGCCGCTTCTTCTTCTTTTGGGCTGGACTGGCTGGCCTGGCTGTGATGGGCGAGATTGAGTGAGCGAGCGAGGGATGGATATGAAATGATGGCAGTGCGTACCAACAACACAGACACACAGACACACAGACACACACACAACACTCAACACTCAACAGCGAAACAAACCTGGACAGGGTCAGATCAGCTACTCGGGCAGGTAGCCAGATGACTCCTCTTTTTATTCCCTCTCGTCGTCGGGAAACACTCCCTTGCGCAACTGCTCACTCCCTGTCCCTTGTCCTGTTCCTCCACACCGGGGCTGGATTTGACGATGGTTGATGCCCTGTCGTCTGTCGTGAGAGCTCCCTGCTTCGACCAAAAAGGTGGAGATGAGGGCACTGGTTCTGGATCCGGTCTAGCCAGGGTCACCTCGCGGTCAGGTTTAACCTTTCCGTGCTGCCAGCAGCCGCATCAGACAGATATCCCGTCGCAGTGCAGGCGCCTCGCTTCCGTCGCTCGTCGTCTCCACCTCCACCGAGAATTCCAGCGACCGACGCAGGTGTACGGTGGCTGATCCTCTTGGATATCATGTTCTCCTGGCAGCGAGGAGTTTAGAAGCTCCTCTCTCGCTCCCTCAGTCGTCTCCACGCCGAGCACGAGAGCCAGTCGGGCTTCTCCTCTTTTTGGACATCTACACATACGCGTCCGCCGCGGAACAGCAGTGAACCAAGCACGACAAGCTGCACGACTCACCAGATATTCCCGTGGGATTTGTGGACTCGGTGGAGCACCGAGCAGAGTCTGGACTCTGGGACTTGGGCTCGCCTGCCCGGGAGATGTGATAATGCAACGGTGAGTCGGTGTTTGCTCCTCTTTTTCCTCGCCGTATGCCCACGGCGCCACGGCGAGCACAGCTTCTGCTCTCTTGACCGTCGTCTTTCACTGGCTCTGGGGGCATTCCGAGGCGGCCGCCTCGGGGGCTCGTTGATGCCACATCATGGAGCCAGGTTTCGCTTGTGCTTTGTGAGTCAACGTACGGGTTGGTGGTCCAGGAAGGTTGCTCAAAGGCTCAGGAGCGGCCGGTCCGGGATGGGCTCGATATAGACGAGCCTGCAGGGTTTCTCCGTGTTAGTCGCGTGTTGTGTCCGTCGTCCTGCTGCTGCTACTCTCAGGTATCTCGAGTCGCGCCGGAATGTCACGTAGCGAGGACGAGCCAGATGGAATATTCTCTTGTGGCTGTTCGCATGGTGTCTGATCTACGAAAGTGACTACGGGAAACCATGCCTCCTTTTCCTCGCCCGGGTCCACGATGCTTAAGTAGAAAGGGGGACCCGTGTCTTCCCAAGCTGTCACTGCGTCTAATCCACCTTCTTTTTTTCCCTTTGCGGATTGGCGATTCCCTTCTGGCCCGCGTCGCCGGCAACATTGGGCCATCATTTCCTCTTGAACAGCGACGATGGGCAGGGGCGAGCGATGCCAAACTGAGCAGTCGTCGCGGCGGTCAGAGCGGTCAAACTCCATTTATTCTGGTGATGCTCCTGCCAGAGGTGCATGCCGCAGAGCAATGGCACATGCCTGTTACAGACGACGGGGGACGGCAGACGTCATCGCCAACACGGACAGCCATGGATACCCATAGGGAATAGAAGCCAAGGGGACACGCACCCGGTCCGCCGTTCGGATGCGGGTCGGTCACTTTCCTTTGTCTGACACAACAGGTATGAAGGGCTGTTTCTGCCCAAATGCACAATGCGGCTTGGCTCGCCGGCGTGCTGCAACCAGTCGTTATTGGGAAAGCAAGTCTAACTGGTTCGCTATCCTGGGTATTCGTCCTGCTGAACTGATCCCTTTCCCTGCTCCCAAAAACGGAACCACCTGTGTGTTACCGCAGACAGACCCCACTGGCGAGCGCCGCGCCGGAGCCCAAGTGGAGCCAGCGCACCTCCGAGCAGTGCCCAAGCATCTCCACCAACGGACTGACTGCACTCTGCGCGCGTCGCCAGTCTGCGATATAATAAGGCACCAATGATATCTCCACCGCGTCATGTCCCCCTCCCCTGGACGTGTATCTGCGTCCGAACAGCGCACTCTGTGTGGTTTTGTGTGCTGCTGCTGCTGCTGCTATTGTTGTCTCATCCTCCCGCACCCGACCGGTCCTGACTCATCGCTCGCCATCCATCCGATATGTTGACAAAACACGCCATCCTGAAACCCTCCCAACTCTCGTCGTCGTCTTGTTTCGTTTTGCACAGCCATCCCGGTGAGCTGGTATCACCTCACGACGTCAGCCGTTTCCCTGGCAAGCAGCTCTCGGGCCGCTGACACCTCAGACTGCTCGTAGCCGCGCCACCGGGGCTCTTGCGCTGTGTTGCGGCGGACAATCTCGGACAGCTTCTTGGTGGCCAGCTCGCTCAACCGCTGAATGGTGGCAGTATCAGGCACGGCGAAGTCGTCTGCATCCAACTGCCTTGCCGATTTGCTGGGCTCTTTGAGGAGCCTGGAGGTAACCTTGCACTATTGTCAGCACTTCGAGCAGCCGGTTGCTTGGCAACGTGCTTACAAGCTTGAGTCCATAGTATCCACGTAGATAGTCGTCACAGAGCTCGATGCTGCGGGAGAAACGCTTCATCGCCTCGACGAGATACCTCAAGGTGCCATTCTCTGTCGCACCGGGGGCTGTGGCAGCCATGTACTCCAACTCGCCCAATCGCGCATGAATCTGTAGTTTGTCATCAGCGTGATATCGATAGTACCAAGGGTGGGATGTTAACCGACATTCCACGCATTCGGGGTCAACACAAGCACCTCCTCCAAGGCATAGATCGCCTGCGCATACATGCCCTGCGAAAAGTATAGGTCGGAGAGCTCTGACCATGCCTCCGCATCCGTTGGCGAGAAGTCAAGCAGCGCAATGCATGCAGTGACGGCATCTGCGGTCCTGCCAAGAGAGCGTAGCAGTGCGATTCGACGCTTGGTAATCGGCTGGTCAATTCGTCAGCTTTGGTGAACCCCTACCCATACGCCCAGGTGTCCTCACAATATTCGTGTCGTTCTCCTTCAGAATCGCGTCGTACTCTTGCAGGACCTTCTCCAGCTGGGATGGGTTCTCGGCAGCGGCCTCCTTGAGAAGTCCCTTGAGCCCCATAATCTTCTCGTTGTCGTCCCCAAACCGATTCGCCAGCCTCTCGAGGCATGCATGTGCGGAAGTCTCATCGCCAGTGCGTAGGCATGACAGCAGTAGGTTCTCGTATTTGACCCATAGTTCGCCGGACTCGGGCGCTGAGAAGAGAGATACGAACGGCGAGGAGCTGATGGAGCTCGGGGAGCTCTTGAGGACAGATGGTGCCTGCTGCGACAGTTGCAGAGCCTCGGCCGGCGAGAGGTGGCTCGGAGGCTGGAAAAGTGACGGTGCCATCTCCAAAAGTGGCTTCTGAATCTCCGAAAAGACGACCGGCGAGAGGCGATCGAGCAATGGGGAGGGTTGCGAGCAGCGGACACTGGTCGAGTAGCTCTTCAGGAGGTCGAATTGATTGATTGAAGCTATCTGGAATCGTGAAGGTCGGTTGGTCGATTAATCCGACGTCAGCTCAGTAAATTCCCCACAAATTCTCCCGACACGCGCTATCAGGCCTAGCCTTTCAGTTATCCAGCGAGCTCATCCATTACGTGGGGCACACATTGAACTCGTCGACAGCCCACCTAAACCGTAAATGTGACCATCACTCCGGACGCGGACCAGACAACACCCCGGCCGACGTCGAGCTACTCTTTGGGTCAACAGTAGCTCTAACAGCCTCCCTACTATGGCCGTCTTGCGTTCCGAGTGACACCCCTGCCTGAGTTACTCGCACCACATTTTGCTGCTCTGTCCGGAGCTCCAACGGTGAAGTCGGCCCTCTGGCCGCAGCTTCGCGACAATGTACGGCTCCCACTCTAGACTCTGGTTGTGCTGCCCAAACAACACTAACAAGCCTGCGCAGGTTCGAAAAATCTCTCTATGACCTCATCAGAGGTCTGCGAAATCACAAGGGCAACGAGAGGGAGTACATCCAGAACAGTCTCAAAGAATGCCGGGCCGAGGTGCGCAGCCAGGACATGGACCTCAAGGCCACCGCCCTGCTCAAGCTCATATACCTCGAGATGGTTGGGCATGACATGTCATGGGCCTCCTTCCATGTGCTGGAGGTCATGTCTTCTCCGAAGTATCACCAGAAGAGGGTGGGATACCTCGGGGCTGTCCAGAGCTTCCGGCCCGACACCGAAGTTCTCATGCTCGCGACGAACCTGCTGAAGAAGGACATCGCAGCGGCCTCGACAACGATCATCTCCCTACCGATAGCGACGTTACCGCATATCATCACGCCCTCTTTGGCACTGTCTGTAATGCCAGACCTCCTGCCACGCCTCAGCCACACTCATCCTGTCATTCGAAAAAAGACCATTGTCACATTGTACAGGTTAGCATTGGTCTATCCCGAGACGCTGAGGGCGGCGTGGCCGAAGATCAAGGAGCGCCTGATGGACAACGAGGAGGATCCGAGCGTCACAGCTGCTATCGTTAATGTCGTCTGTGAGCTGGGCTCTCGGCGACCTCATGACTTCCTGCCTCTTGCGCCTCGCCTCTTTGAGTTGTTGGTTGATGGAGGCAACAACTGGATGGCCATCAAGCTTATCAAGCTTGTGAGTTTTCGTTCCTTGTTCTCTTAAAATTTGCAGAGCTAACGCACAGCAGTTCGCCACGTTGACACCCCTGGAACCGCGCCTGGTCCGAAAATTACTACCGCCTTTGACAGACCTCATTCGCACCACCCCAGCCATGTCTCTACTGTATGAATGTATCAACGGCATCATACAAGGTGGAATTCTAGGGAGCGGAGACGATGTTTCCGGCACCGAAGAGATTGCCTCCCTTTGCGTCAGCAAGCTCAGGGGCATGGTGATGATTGACGGAGATCCGAACTGTGAGTCGATCTTCCCTCAATGTCGCGTACTCTACTGACAAGACTTAGTGAAATATGTCGCTCTGCTCGCCTTCAACAAGATTGTGGCCACACATCCTCTGCTCGTTGCGGAACAGGAGGACGCTATCCTGGAGTGCATAGACAGTCCAGATATCACAATTCGGATCCAAGCCCTGGACTTGGTTCAGGGGCTCGTCAACAGTGACAACCTAGTATCAATAGTCAGCCGCTTGATGAGGCAACTGAAGCTGTCCGATACCTCGTCCGAGCATCGGGTCGAAGCGCAGCCCATCGAGTTCCGGGCCGAGTCTGACGACGAAAGCGAGGCGCGCGTGACGCCGCCTCGTGGTGACAGCGATGCTCCTCCACTGCCCCTGGACTACAAGGTCGATGTTATCGGGAGGATATTGACCATGTGTTCACAAAACAACTACAACAATTTGATCGACTTTGACTGGTACATCGACGTTCTTACACAGCTGATTCGGACTGCCCCGACGGCACCTCGACGTGATAATGATCTCGATGAGACCAGGTCAAAAGCGACCGCCACGGAAATATCTGAAAGGATAGGAGATGAACTTCGAAATGTGGCTGTCAAGGTCAGGGCCGTCAGAGGTGCCACGATCAGTACTGCCGAGGCTATTCTAGCCCAATTTAATTCGGAATCTGCTGTCAACTATCCTGCTACCTCGGGAGCCCTCCGCCCCATCGCCTGGATTCTGGGAGAATATGCGATCCAGCTGTCTTATCCGGATGATACGCTCAGCTATCTCTTGCAGATGGTCCCTAGAACGGAATCTCCTCAGGTGCTAGCCGCTTGCGTGCAGGCTATTATCAAGATATTCTCGGTGGTCACGAGAGACGAAAGAGAGCTTTGGACGCCGGAGAGAAAGTCGAGGATATCACTCCTGATGGCCCGCATCATTCATGTCCTTGAGCCTCTGACTTTACACCCCAATCTCGAGGTCCAGGAGCGGGCTGTCGAGTTCTCTGAACTGCTCAAACTCACCGCAGAGGCTGCCTCTGGCCAGTCCACGTCAACTGACGAGGTGCAGCAAGATGCCCCCTTGCTACTCACCCAAGCCATCCCAACCCTCTTCAGCGACTGGGAGCTGAATTCTGTCGCCCCAGGCGCGCAGAGGAATGTGCCGCTTCCTGAAGGTCTCGACCTCGACGCCCCCATCCATCTCAACCTCCCCGGTCTTCTCGCAGAAGCCGACTCATTAGGCTTTCTCGCCGAAGACGAGGACGAATTCAAGATCTACTACCACCAGCGCCAACAACCAACCAGCATCTCCTCCGCAGAGCCGGCCATCAACAGGCTCGAAGACGCGCCTACAGAAGTCGGCACTTCCTACCAGCAGGCCGGCGAGGAATCGTACCTCGACCCGGACATCCTCGCCCGGCGCAAGGCTGAGCGGCGCGAGCGCAACCGCGACGACCCCTTCTACATCGGCGGCGAGGGCTCGAGCCGCAGCGGCAGCGGGCTGGGGGGCCGGTCGACGCCCATCCACAACATCCTGCAGCGCGAGAACGGGCCGGACCTGGACATCGACTCCATACCCATCATGCAGCTCGACCTCAACAAGCTCAGCAGCTCTCTGCCGTCATCGTCTGGGGCAGGTGCCGCCGGCGGCTCAAAGCCGAAGCCCAAGGCGCCAAGGCAGCGTGTCATTATTGCCGCCGACGAGACGCTGGCGGGGACGGGCAGCGGGGCCAACACGCCCGCGCGCAACTACGAGTCCGAGAACAACTCGGACAGCTTCACCAAGTCGAGGGCGCGGCGGCTCAAGCAGCAGCAGGGCCTGCTGCAGGTCGACTCGAGCAGCCTGGGATCGCTCAGCCTTGAGGACGGCGGCGGCGGCGGCGGCGGCCCGGGGGCGGCGACGATCGCGCCGTACGATTACGAGAGGCAGCAGAGGGAGGAGGCGGAGATGGCGCAGGCGATGAGGGAGGTCGAGCGCCTGCGGCTCGAGATGCAGCGCGCCAACGAGAGGATACAGGTCGCGCAGGGGGTGCCGGCCGGCGGCACGGTGGTCAAGAAGAAGAAGAAGAGCAGCAGCGGCGCGAAGACTAAGGCGGCTGAGGGGGGTGGTGATGGGACGGAGGGCGCGGTGGCGGTGAAGCCTAAAAAGAAGAAGAAGAAGGCCGCTGCCGCCGTCGCTGGGGACGAGGAAGGGGGTGGTGATGGGGCTGCTGCCGTTGTCTCGCCTGCTGATGAGGAAGGGGCTTCGTCCGCGGAGGTGGTCAAGCCCAAGAAGAAAAAGAAGAAGCCTCGAGCGCCTGTGGATTTACAGGAGGGTGAGGGGGCACAAGCTGAGTAGAATACAATGCATAGGTGTTCGAACCAAATTACAATGACAGTAATGGCATGCATATGCTTCTTGCTGTCCACGCAATATTTCTAGTATGAGAGTACGACTCATTTCCACGTGCATCTTTAGCATTGGCATCATCTTCGTGTTTTCGCCTCGACTACCACTACCTATCAATCTCAGCAAACCCTTTCTGATCCAACTCCGTCGCATCCCCCTCCGGCACAAGCGGCGTCTCCGTCGTGCTCCGCACCGGGGGCGCGCCGTCCATCCCAGCAGGCGTCCCACCTCCCGCCGCCGGCTCCGGCTCCGGCCAACTAGATCCGTCACCATACTTTCCCCACGAGGACTTGTTCAACCTGTCGTCCCCGCCCGCGCTCTTGAGGTGGTACCCCCTGGCCCGGGGCCGGCTGCCGCTACCGGCCGGCACCTCGGGCTCGTAGGCGCGCATGAAGGCCTCGCGGTCGGCCTCGAACTGCTCCTCGCCACTGCGGAGGCTCGCGCGCACGCCGGCGAAGAAGGCGTTGAGCACGTGGTGGTTGTGGATCTGGAGCAGGGTCCAGGCGAGCATCTCGCGGGCCGAGAGGAGGTGGTTCACGTAGGCGCGGTGGTGGGCCGCGCAGGCGTAGCAGGTGCAGCCTTGCATCAGGGGCGCGAGGGCGGTCTGGTGCGACTCGTGGGAGAGGTCGATGCCGAGCGGCATGGGGCTGGTGCTGGAGGATGAGGGAGGGGGAGGGGGGAATGTGAAGGTCAGGGCGACGCCCGAGTCGGAGACGGTGTTGAGGAGCGGCAGGGCGAGGATGTCGGCGCCCAGGGCGACTTGGCGGAGGATGTGGTGCGGGGAGACCGGGGCGTCGAGGGAGAGGCGCGGCAGGGGCAGGAGAGGGGGGTAGTCCTTGAGGTCCGGGATGATGTCGACGTCGTAGACGGCGAGGCCGCGTATCCTGTCCGTCATCTCGGAGAGGGTCTCGAGGTACTCCCACTGCGTGGAGTAAGGGAGTGGAAGGGTCGGCGCGAACAGCGCGGTACCGGACGGCGTCTGGCCGAGGGCATTGGCGAGGCTGTGGATCCAGTCGTCGCTGCGCTCGGCCATGCGGATCGCGCGCTTGGACAGGGGGGTCGTCTTCTTGTTGCCGTAGGTGAGGTCGGCCATGGCGATGGCGACGTCCGGCCGCAGGGCGTCGATGGCGGAGGCGTACTCGCCGACCGTGAGGTTCCTAAACCCGGTCGACGTGAAGACGGAGAGGAAGTCGTTGCCGTTTCCCATGGGCGCAGTGACGGCCGGGATACGGCGGGGCGCGAGGACGGAGATGGTAGACAACGGTGTCCCTGTGAAGGAATATAAAGGAGAAGCCCCGGACTTGGAAGGCGGTGTCTGGAAGATGGGCGGTCGTCTTGCTGGGTTCTTCTGGTGCAGCTCTATGACTATGGATATAGTTAGTGACCTCGTATGATCCGAGAAAGGCATGGAAGCCAGACTTACAGTCTTCAAGGCCAAAGTACGAGGCATTGACTAAGTCATGCTTTGTGAGGTTGTCTGGAGTGACATGAGGAACAGTTCCACGGGAGGTGACTGTGACAAAGTTTGGAGTCTCGATGGCTTTCCTGCCGGCAACAGCGAGCTTAGCCAGCCTCGGGCCATTGCCAAAGGCTTTTAGAATCTCAAACTTCATAGCCTCCTGTGGCCCTGGCTCACTCATTGTCACCGGCGAGCTGGGCTGAAGCCTTGGGAGGAGGCCTTGATATTGCGGCCTCGCGAGAGTCCACGGCGAAGGAGTTACCAGGCTATGGCTTCATATAGTCAACATCAATGAGATGTCATCAACTATGTATCGTTTCAAATGCTCTCTTTTGAGATAAAGTCTCTCGATGTGAAGAAAGAACCACTTAGATGAAGCGAGGTGATTCACCACAAGGATCAGATAAAGCCACACTAAAAATCTAGCGGGTCTCGACTTTTCCAGCCACAGTCGCGACCCCCAAAAGCTCCACCAAAATTTCACCTCAAATTTTTTTCTTACCTTCTTTCTCTTCAGGCCTCAACGCACAGCGCCCGGTCTCCGAGTGCGGATATGTCGTTCAGCACCCGTAACGACTCATCCATCTCTACCGCATAGGGAGCAGTTATTGACTGAGATTTGAACGTCTCAAGAAGCGTGCCAAGATGGTCGTGGAAACGCCCAACATCCCTACCAAGTCGGTGTCGGTTCGCCCAGCAGAGGCGGACACGGCAAAGCTTGCAGAGGGCGTGGCTGCTGTCAGTATCAGCACGCCTGAGGATGGCAGCCTCCCGCCTCATCGATCTCATGACCCTCAGTACAATCAGAAGCGGAGCGATCCGTTCCAGTTTGGGTCTCGCTTCCTGGGCGAGTCTGACGATGTCTTTGAGTTCAATGCTTGGGACCATGTCGAGGTTGATGACACCTACAAGGAGTATGCTGAGCAGCAGTATGCCATGCAGCGCGGGTCCCCTGTCTCCGATTTTGACAAACGTAAGTACACAGCCTTTCTCAATTTCTTCAATACGTTCGAAGCGGCGCCCAAAAGGCGTTTGTGATGATTTACAAATTATAGCATAGTTCATCTGAGTTCATGATGACAAAAGTAGCATTCTAGTCTTTCGCTCCCATCTGACACGCTTCTTGAGCATCTCTTTTCTTGCTTGCAAACAAATTTCTGGGGATGGCGTTGCTGACGATCGTCCAGGGAGATTCAACGGTGACCCGGCGAAGTGGTGGGATTTGTTCTACAAGAACAATACGGCCAACTTCTTCAAGGACCGAAAATGGCTCCAGCAAGAGTTCCCAATCCTCGGCCGCGTAGTCCAGGAGGTTGCTGGACCTATGACTCTGCTGGAGATTGGCGCCGGTGCCGGTAACACGGCCTTTCCTGTCCTCGCAAACAACAAGAATCCCAAGCTGAAAGTTCATGCTTGCGATTTCTCCAAAAAGGCAGTGGCCGTCATGCGGGCACACGCTGAATACGATACCCAGTTCATCCAGGCCGATGTCTGGGATGTTGCGAGCGATGTACTCCCGCCCGACCTAGAGGAAGGGTCCGTGGATGTCGCCGTGATGGTCTTTATCTTTTCAGCCCTCGCCCCGGACCAGTGGCAGAAGGCTGTGGACAATGTGTATCGGCTCCTCAAGCCTGGCGGCGAAGTATGCTTCCGCGACTATGGTAGAGGAGACCTTGCTCAAGTCCGATTCAGGAAGGGGCGGTACCTCGAAGAGAACTTTTATGTCCGTGGCGATGGCACCCGCGTTTACTTCTTTGACAAGGACGAGCTGGCTGGTATCTGGACGGGGCAGCTCAACGGTTCTGAGGAGACAACGACACCTGCCAAGTTTGAGGTTCTCAACCTGGGCGTCGACCGCAGGATGCTAGTCAACCGGGCGAGGAAGCTCAAGATGCATCGCTGCTGGCTGCAGGGCAGATTCAAGAAGATCTGAAACTTGGATACACCAAATTCCCCGATGGAAACCGAGAAACCATAAAGCCCAGGCCCTCCAGGATCTACGGCATACCGAGTCATAGAACTCGAGGACCCGAGAGTCGACTTCGAGATGACTCGAAGGGTCACAATCATCAGCGCCAAGTCCGGCAATCATAGGCTGCGCGGCTCGCCCCACGGACATCTTTTGACGCTGTGCTTGCGAGGCATGACAGCAAGACGTCCCCGTCAAGGCGCAGACCTGTCGCCGACTTGGAGGCGAGAGCACTACGCAGAATGTGTAGGAGGCAGAGTCCAATTTGAGGGGCTGTGCAAAGCTCAACCTCTCCGGAGGTCCCTAGAACAGTTGCGTGCGCAATAGCAATAGAGCCGGACAATAGAACGGGAATGATTTGCGTGCCTACAAACCGACTCACTGTTTCCAATCAGCCGATCCCTCCCCGGATGTCATAATGCATGTCAGAACCTTGATAGTACCCACTCATAACCTCACTTGTATCCTTCTGTTGCATTTGTCAAGATTTTGCTCTGACAGCTTTTACTAATCTAGGATTGGCTGGGTTTGTCATTCACCTTGACAACCTCTCGATGCTTTTAGGAGACAAACCGACTGGGGATAAACTTAGTTTTGCCTGTCTTTGGCCTCGGAGATCGATCTACCCCACCCAAGCCTCGATACCACGCACCTAGAACTGGCTGCCGACACTACCTAACGTTGACCTGGTTTGACAAGATCCCGCATTGATGAGGGGAAACTCAATCGCAGGAGCCAAGACTAAAACAAGATCTCCAGTAGATAGAAATTATGGCCGCTAGATGGTAAAGATACCCAGAAATAGCCCCATCCGCCCCCAAACCAAGCCAAATATGTACATGAAGCCTGCATGACGCCATCCCTATGATTTCTCAGCAGCTGTCTTGAAACGGAGCCGGGGAATGGAACGCGGCCCATTGCTTCTGAATACAAGTAGCCATCGCCTCTCCCGCTTTTTAGCTCTTAGTGTTTCTTCCCTCCAAAGTAGATCTCTCTTCGTAGAACTGGCATGACCCTGCGCCTTCGACAACTGGCATCGCAATTCCTCAAAATGGCTGACAAATCCGACATCCACCTCTACACGACGGGCACGCCCAACGGCATCAAGGCGTCCATCATGCTCGAGGAGCTGGGCCTGCCGTACGAGGTGACGGCGATCCAGCTGGGCAAGAACACGCAGAAGGAGGACTGGTTCCTCGAGATCAACCCCAACGGGCGCATCCCGGCCATGACCGACACGCTCAACGGCAAGAAGATCCGCCTGTTTGAGAGCGGCTCGATCCTGCAGTACCTCGTCGACCGGTACGACAAGGACCACAAGTTCTCGTACCCCGCGGGCACCGAGGAGTACTATGAGACCAACAACTGGGTATGTCTTTGGTGGTCGTGGTCATGATGCGCATGTGCATGCGCGCGCACACAGAGAGCTTCTATGGGTTTCTGGAAACAAAGTGCTGACACTCAGGCTGCAGCTCCACTGGCAGATGGGCGGTCTTGGCCCCATGCAGGGACAGGCGAACCACTTTACGAGTGAGTACTCAATCACAGCAGAACGTCGTGTGCTCGGAGCAATTGCTAATCAAATTCCCTGTACCATAGGATACGCCCCTGAGAAGATCGAGTACGGCATCAACAGGTACCAGAACGAGACCAGGCGCCTCTACCGCACCCTCGACACACACCTGGCCAAGTCCAAGTCCGGCTTCATTGTCGGAGACCGCCTGACTATTGCCGACGTCGCCTGCTGGGGCTGGGTTGCTGCAGCTAGTGAGTTTCATTGATACAGAGTCTACGGACACAGGCAAGAGTGTTGACAATGAATGCTTCTAGGCTGGGCTGGCATCAACATCGACGAGTTCCCGAGCCTCAAGAACTGGCTGTACAAGTTGAAGGAGCGCCCTGGCTTCGAGAAGGGCCGCAACGTCCCGACGAGGCACACTGCTTTTGACAAGCTGACCAAGGAAGAGATTGAGAAGAGGGAGCAAGAGTCTCGCGCCTGGGTGCAGTCTGGCATGCAGGCTGATGCCAAGAAGTAAAGGTCTAGTATAGGACAGATATCCTCAATGCAAAGGCGAGTAGGGCCATTCTGGCATCCAAGCATGACCTCAATGTGTGAATGGAATACAATCTACTGCACTCCCTGAGCACACAGCTCTTTGCGCAAACCGAGGCTTGTGAAAAGAGTGCCACGAAATGAGGGGCTTATCGGCGATAACTGAAGCTTGTCGCCACAATGAGCTTTATCAGTCTGTCTAGTTATCGCCACGTGACTGTCTACCAAACAGGCTAAAGTTTTTGGGCAAGATTGCTGGCCTCGGACTCGACTCCATCCACTCCTCCATTCTTCTCCCCTTCATCGTCAGAATCCTCTGATTCTGAATCTCACCTCACATCCCCAGACTGTGCTGTTCTGTCATAGTCTGTCCAAGATGGCTTGGCGAAACCAAGGGATCACCGGATCCAACAACATTCCCCTGGGCAAGACGCGCCGCTTTGGTGGCGACGCCGAACCTGCAGAGGACCGCGACAGCCAGCCGAATGGCTTTTCCAACGGCGATCGCGAGTTGAAGCGCGGTCGCAGCCCCGAACCCCGAACCGAGAACGATGGCCCTCGCCGCCGCAAGAAGCGCAACCGTTGGGGTGATGCGTCTGAGAACAAGGCCGCCGGCCTCATGGGTCTGCCCACTGCCATTGTCGCCAACATGACCAGCGAACAGCTTGAGGCCTACACCCTGCATCTTCGCATCGAGGAGATCAGCCAGAAGCTGAAGATCGATGACGTTGTTCCCGCCGATGGCGACCGGTAAGCAACTCAAGCAACTCGAACTCTTTCCCGTGTGATTCGTCTCACAAGCGTTACTAACCTGAGTTTCAGATCTCCCTCACCCGCGCCCCAGTACGACAATCATGGTCGACGTGTCAACACGAGGGAGTACAGATACCGAAAGCGCCTCGAGGACGAACGCCACAAGCTCATCGAGAAGGCGATGAAAATCATTCCTAACTACCACCCACCTCAGGACTACAGACGGCCCACCAAGACCCAGGAGAAGGTCTACGTGCCGGTTAATGACTACCCGGAGATTAACTTCAGTATGATTGCTAACCCTCTAACCCTTCTAACCACAATCCTTTCGTTCTTGTCCATCTGGAGATCTGCCAGGCAGCACGTAGCTTTTCCGATGCGCTGCCTCGCAGGCCTGCTCTCTTGAACTGAACAAACTCACCTGACTGCTGTCGCTTTCCCCCTTCTTGACCACATACTAACACTAGCTTTCCATTTTAAAGTTGGATTACTTATCGGTCCCCGTGGTAACACCCTGAAGAAGATGGAGTCGGAGTCGGGCGCCAAGATTGCCATTCGTGGCAAAGGCTCCGTCAAGGAGGGTAAAGGACGCTCAGATGCCGCTCATTCCAGCAACCAGGAGGAGGACTTGCACTGCCTTATCATGGCAGACACCGAGGAGAAGGTGAACAAGGCCAAGAAGCTCATCCACAACGTTATTGAGACTGTAAGTCAATCATTTCCCCTTTTCCTTCAGAGATGCCACTTACTGACCTGCTATAGGCCGCTTCCATCCCCGAAGGCCAGAACGAGCTGAAGCGCAACCAGCTTCGTGAGCTCGCTGCCCTCAACGGTACTCTTCGTGACGACGAGAACCAGGCTTGCCAGAACTGTGGTCAGATCGGTCACCGCAAATACGACTGCCCCGAGCGCCAGAACTACACTGCCAACATCATCTGCCGTGTCTGTGGTAACGCTGGTCATATGGCCCGTGATTGCCCTGACCGGCAGAGAGGTGCAAGCTGGCGCAACGATGGACCGGGTGGCCGACCTCCTGCAGGCCGCATTGGTGGCGGCGGTGATGCCGTTGACCGCGAGTACGAGGTACGTTTTCCCCTTTTTGCATGGTATTTACTCCAGGGATGCTGACAAAAGCCATAGCAACTCATGCAAGAGATCGGCGGCGGTTCTGGTGGCCCGCCTGCCCGTATCGAAGCCGGACCTGGTTCGTACAACAACGGCGGTGGCGAGGCGAAGCCTTGGCAACGTGGTCCCACCGGCGGCCCTGCCCCCTGGCGTCGCGGCCCTGATCGCGACGGTGAGGGCGGTGGTGGCGGATCTGGCGGCCCTGCTCCTTGGGCTCGTGACCGCAACAACCGCAACAACGACGACCGACGCGATGACTACTACGGCGGCGGTCAGAACAACTATGGCGGAGCCGCCGCTCCTAGCGGTGCTGCTCCTCCTTGGCAACAGAGTGCTCCCGGTGCTCAGCCTGGCGGCTACCCTGGCTATCCGGGCTACGGTGGATACGGCGCACCTCCCGGCATGGGTGCTCCCCCTGGCCTTCCCGGAGCGCCTGGTGCTGCTGGCCTCGGCGCCCCTCCAGGCATTCCTGGCAACCTCAATGCGCTCATTGCTCAGTACTCTGGTGGTGCTGCCGGCGCTCCTCCGCCGCCGCCTCCTCCCCCCTCCGGCGACGCGCCCCCGCCTCCACCCAGCGACCAACCCCCACCGCCTCCTCCTCCCGGAGCTTGAATGAGCACGAACCTCTGATGCGGACTAACCCCCCGACTCTCGAGTGCTGCTACAACATTGTGGAAGCTCGCCTTCCTTCCCCTCGCCCCCCCTTTCTGCCTCTCGAAAAAGTAACAAACAAAAAACTTGGAAGCGTTCTGAAGTTGAATACTCACTCGAAAAAAAAAGAAAACAAAACACCTACTTGTTTTAACGGGCCAGCGAATACCAAGATTCTGTCGTTTCTTGATGAAAAGGGCCTGACGCGGCCCACGCTTGCAAAACTAACTGTATTGTAGATGACAATCCTGACCTTTGTGTTATTCGTTCTTCTCATAGGCTGGAAGTCCTGTAACGCTAGATAGGAATACGAAGTGGTTTTTACTGGATCCGTTGTCTTCGGGGAAGCATTTCTATGTGAAATCTATGTTGCATACTGGATCAATGGCATCGCCTTATGGCGGCTCTCCAGCCACGAACCGTCGGTTTTTCCCCGTCACAATGATGGCCTCGACGGCTTGTAGGATGCGCTGCGCTCAGGACTGTTGAGCATGAAATTGTATTCCTCTTCAGAATGGCAATCGTCTACTTGAAAGCTATTTATTACTCAGAACTCCTTACTTCCCCACTCCGAAACAGAATTTCCGACTGGTGCAGACAGTCCCCTAAATTCTACGAAGCCGAGCAGTTTGTAATATCTGGGCAACTTGTCCAAGTCTTTCAAAATGGCTGCTCGTATCGCCTCCCCGGCAGGACCTTGTAAGAGGGTATCAACCCCATTTATGAACAACATCCTTATGATCTCGGGGTTTCTGCTGTCTTTGACAGCCTGCAAAGTTGTGCCATATCGCCCAGCCTGTGTATTGACATGAGCTCCGTGCTCCAGAAGGACCCTGACGACCTCAACATGTCCAATCCTTGTCGCCGCCTGCAACGCGGTCCCAGGAGGCTGGTCTTCGAGATTGACATCAGCGCCTCGCTCAAGTAATATCTTGACAACCTCAACATTTCCACTCTCCGCCGCGGCCCTTAAGGCTGCCCCTGAATTCGGACCTTGAGGGTTGATCTCAGCGCCCCGCTTAAGCAGCGCTTTAACAATCTCAATGCTCCCAGTGAATGAGGCAGCGCCTAGCGCTGTGCCATGAGGGCCGCCCTGAAGGTTGACGTTTACGCCCTTGTCGAGAAGGAGTTGGACAACCTCGACATTTCCAAGACGTGAGGCGACCTGCAATGCTGACTCTGAAAGTGAACCCTGGGGATTGATCTCAGCGCCCCTCTTAAGTAGCGCGTTTACAGTCTCAACGCTCCCGGTGTACGAAGCAGCGCACAACGCTGTGCCATAGCGGCCACCTAGTAGATTGATGTCTGCGCCGTTGTCGAGTAATAGATCGACAACGTCGATCCTTTCCAGACGTGAGGCGGCCCGCAATGCTGTGCCGAATCCTTCACCCAGATGATCTATTGAGACTCCTTTATCAAGTAGAAGCTGAATGGTTGGTGTGTCGACATTTCCGGCTATGGCTGCTTGCAATGTTGTACCGTAGTAAGGTTCTGGAATGAAAACATTGGCCCCCTTTTTGATCAGTATCTGAGCCATTTCACTGTTGCGTGTCCGTTCAATCATCCTATCCGTGGAGGTGGATTTAGAAGCTTGATGCAATGGCGTTGCCACAAGCTCCTCCCATGGTTCGACATCGTCGCCCTCGAAAAGATCCTTGCATAGAACACATCGTTCCATTTGGTAGGTCCAGTTGTTACCCGCCCCAAGGGCAAGCTGGAGGGGTGTCTCAAGCTGCGAGTTTCGAATATCGCTGTTGGCACCACTGTCGAGTAATAGCTGCACGACGTTACAGGCTGACGTCCTTGCGGCGACGTGCAGGGCTGTGTCGAGGTTCTTGTCTTGAACATCGATATCGGCGCCATTTCTAAGTAATAGCCGGGCAGCTTCGTATCTCGAGCCGGCTGCGGCGAAATGCAGGGCCGACTGACCATGCTTGTTTTTGAAGTTCACATCAGCATGGTGTTTGAGCAGCAATTCCATAACCTTAACCTCAACCTCAACCTCAGCATGAGCCGGAATAATATCGGAAGAGCAATCGCTCGCCCATTTCTGGAAGGCGGACAGGAGTGCTGAATTGCCATTCTCACCACAGGCCAGATCAACATGAGCGCCATGTTCAAGCAGAATTCTCATGATGTCTTGATCCCACTCCATTGATGCGGCGGAGAGTGCCGAAATGCGATCCTCGCCACAGACCATATCAACTTCAGCGCCGTGCTCAAGCAGGATTCGCACGACGTCTATGTGCTCCCGCACTGATGCAACGTAGAGTGCAGAACAGTGTCCCGGTTCGACCAGTTCGTTGACATTGATGTTCTCTTTGGCCAACATGTATTCAACAATCGACCCAAGACCAAGGAAACTTGCCAGAATAACGCCATTGCAGTCTTTTGAGTGCACGCCCAAATCCCACCATGGGGGAGGTCCAGGATAGGGATGCCAGGATGAATAGTAACGGTTTTCCCAGAATACGCTCTCTCTGTCGAGTTCAAAGAGCCTGACCACACCCCTTGCAGCTTGGTCTGTGATGCAGTCGTCGGCTGACTGACAATGCGTAAGCCAATTGCGAGCAGCGTAGGGTCGAAATGGAAATTCGTCATTAAGGTGGGCTTTAGTATTGTAGCGGGCAACATTATCGGACTGCTGTCTGAGGTCTTCGAGGTTCAAATAAGCCTGACAAACCTGCAACATTGTGTTGTGCGCCTCTGGCAATTTGAGACGTCCACCCCACTGGCCCTGATGATTGAAACTGATAAGAAACTCCCTTGCAGTCTGATGTATGAAGAACAGCTTAGAGTCGTAAACGCTCACGAAAAGGCCACACACGTTCCGAACCACGACTTTGAAGGTGTCTCTTGGCCACAGAGCGTCGCAAAGATCCGTATGGGCTCGATAAGGGCAGTTCGTCAGGGCTGACGTCAATGCAATGTTTGCCTCGTCCAGGGTCAATGGTCGCATAGCAGCAAGTACAATTTGTAGGAGTATCGTTGCCCGCTCCCGGTCTTTGCTTCGTTGCAAGATGCACTCGTAGGCATCCGAGACTTGAGAGGGTATTGTAGATAATAGGCCCTCTATGTCACCCAGCCGTCCGTACTCAGAAGGGCTCCGTTGAATGATGTCGAACGTGAGGTACAGCCAGAGATATGTGCGATTCTCTGCACTCTTTAGGCGATGGGAGATTGCGTCTCGGTGTTCCTTCTTGAATCCATTGGTAATGTCTTCAAGTCTGGCGTCGATAACACGGTCGATGTCGGCCGAGATATGAGTGTGCTTGTCATCGCCATCGAGGCGAAGATATGATGCTACCGAAGTGAGTCTTCTGAATGATGCCTCCAAATTATCATAAGGTCGGCTGGTGATGAGGAATTTGATCCAGTGAGAAGGGTTTGAGCCACGTGCCAGCGACTGAAAGTGGTTCAGAAGTTTGTCAATGAGTTTGCGACGGCTTTCTGTCTCGCATTCATCAAGAGCGTCCAGAACGCACACCAGGTGACAAGAGCGGGCGCACTCAATGAGGACGTTCCATAGCGCAGAAAAGTTGAGCATCAGGTTCTTGCCATGGGTTCTGAAATGACGCAACGCAATCTTCATCAGCTCATTGGTTGTGTCCTGAGCGAGGAGCTGATGAAGTATAGCCCTGAGAGCTCCTGTGCTGGTCATTTGGTCCTCGTTTCCATCCTTGAAAAAGAAGTAGCAAATTATTGCCGTGATGTGACCTGAAGATAGTCGCCAAGATTCGTCGATCATGGCCCGTGATAGCACTGACTTCCCACAGCCAGGACCGGCTGAGACCCATAGCAAAGCGGAAGTATTCGATTCGCGCCATGTTCGGAATGTGTCGTCATCGAAGAACCATTCGCATGTGCCTTCGACCTTTCGCGGATTGAAGTCTTTGTAGTCTTCGTAACATGATGCGAGGCTCTGTAAGAGCTCGGTGCGAGCATCTCGATCATCCTGAGGATCCTATCATGGAAGTGGTTGGTCAGTGGAGGAACAAAAAAAAAAATACGTGTGGTACGTTCTCATGAAATACAAGGGTCAAAGGCTCACGTACCATTCTGCCGTGTTTCTTTCTGATGACCAAGTGACAAGATCCTCATCAGAGTCAATTTGTGGAAGAAAAGTCGGAGATGGCCATGTGGTGCAGAGGAGGTGATTAAAGGCAGCAAGAAAGGCCAGTCGCGACTGATCGATATCGATGAGGCTCAATCAAGAAGGGTTAGCTGCAACCGATCTTGGAGGTATGCTTGAGGCAGTCTATGGGTCTTGAGCATCAAGAAAGGCAGCAAGTCGTCAAGGAGATTCGCGGGGACAACAATCAGCAAACAATAGCCACCTCACCAACGAGTTTCATCTGATCTTCAGGTGACTCGCACGCAGTCATGTATATGACTGGTCCATCTCTGTTTGGTTTGTCGTACATCTTGACTACGTGATGCAACATTCAATCACTCTGCCTGGACTTGTTGACTGAACGTACATCAATAAAGGCCCTGACTTTGCTGATGATGTTGGCTTGATGATGGAGAATGTTCCCCCCACCTTGATGGGCGCCATGGATTAGTGGTTTGGAGGCAGTGGAGGTGACGTCGAACGCGCTAAGGTCCCGTGCCGTTCTTCGGCGGCCGATCTACAGGTGGGACCTGGGCTGCACGACTTCAATGTTCACTGTTCCAACTCCTCAACCTACTCGATCCTTCGACTAAGCTCGCCTCCTAAATTGTTTGCTTTAAGTGAGGGAGAGAAGAATACATCGCATGCTCTGTTACCATTGATTTCCAGTCTCGCCAACATGGCGTGGAGTAATCCCATCGCGTTCCGGCCCGGCCAGGTCACCTTCTGGACGACCGTCATCTACCTCGCCTTGCTCATCCCCATCCTGGTTGTCCACAACACCGTGCCCTCCGTCCCCGCGGAGAAGAAGTTACCCCATGGCGTCAATATGACAGAGGCGTGGCACGACCTTGCCAGCTTGACCAAAGAGTTCCATCCTTATAACAGCCGCGCAAACGACAGGGTGCGCGATTGGCTGCTGCTGCGGACCCAAGAGATCCTCGACTCCAATGGCGTGTCCTGGTCTAGTGAGACCGATGAGCCGGCCTCTGCATCTCTCTCTGAGCACCAGGCGACTGTATTCAATGACATTGTGTCAAACATCACCTTCAATGAGACGAGCAAGCCCCCGTCGTACTTTGAGGGCAACAATGTAATGGTCTACATCCGCGGCCAGGACGACGATGAAGGTGATTGGTGGAAGCAGCCGTATGCCGAGATTGAGCATCGTGCAAAGGCCTTCGGGAAGGGAGGTGTATTGGTGAATTCACACTACGATTCGTATGTTGCACTGCGTACTGGGCTACGCTGAATTTTTACTGACCAGGATACAGGGTGTCGACTGGCTATGGTGCCACTGATGATGGCATGGGTGTGATCACCTGTCTTCAGCTCATACGGTACTTCACCGTACCTCAGAACAAGCCTCGCCGAGGTCTAGTTGTTCTATTTAACAATGGCGAGGAAGATCTACTCAACGGAGCTCGAGCATTCGGCAAAACCCCGCTCCTCCCTTTCATCCATACCTTCTTAAACCTCGAGGGTGCTGGGGCTGGAGGTCGTGCTACAGTTTTCAGGGCCACCGACACCGAGGTCACAAATGCGTACCGGCGCGCACCTCACCCCTTTTCATCGGTAGTTTCTAGCGACAGCTTTAAGCTTGGCATGATCAGGAGCCAGACGGACTATGTCATCTGGGAAAAGTTCGGCCACAGAGGTATCGACATGGCTTTCTACAGTCCTCGCTCACTCTACCACACGAACCAAGATGACGTACGGCACGCTTCTCAGGAGAGCCTATGGCACATGCTCTCCGGATCTCTAGCAACGGTCAGCGGCTTGTCCGGCGACACTGGCAAGACGTTTATTGGACCCCGCCCAGACGGCCGCAAGGATATGGTTGCCAACGGAAAGCCCACTCGTGGGGTCTGGTTCGACCTCTTCGGGGAGAAGCTTGTGTTGTTCCGTCTTAGAGCGATGTTCGCATGGTCTCTCACCATCCTCATTGTCAGTCCGCTAGCACTGCTACTCATTACCTACCTTGTGCACAGAAGCGACAAGAACTACATTTTCAGCACATATGTCTGGATCGGCGAGGAACCAGACCGGGAGAAGGTCTCCACCGGAGGACTCAAGGGTCTCTTCCGCTTCCCACTTGCCTTGATCGTCGCTGGCGGCTTGACAGTTGGCGCTGCCTTACTATTGAGGAAGGTCAACCCCCTGATTGTTCATAGCAGCTCCTATGCTGTCTGGGCCATGTCATTGTCACTGTTTTATTTTGCATTTTGGACCATCATGCGGGGTGCTGATTTTGCCAGGCCCAGCGCGCTTCATCGAGCATACACCCACTTCTGGCTTTTTGTGATCGGTTGGACGGCTCTTGTTGCTGCCACCGTCTTTGAAGACAGATTCAACATTGCTTCTGGCTACATTGCTGTCTTCTGGCAGTCGCAGGTGTTCCTGTCGGCGCTCGTTGGAGCTCTCGAATTCCTTGCTCTACCCAAGCGGAAGACATTCGCCCTGGAGGCGCAAGATGATGACGAGGTCCGTGATCACCTACATGCCGTCCCCCACAGCGATTCCCTCATTGCGCCAAGTGCAGACGAGGCTGAGGGCGAGTCGGCTGTTCGGGATGAGGAGGATGAAGAGGAGGGACCTACAGAGACCACAGCCCTTATTGGACGATCGAACGATGACAATGCCAGGACCACCTTCTCGACCGGCTACCGCCGCACTCTGTCCAACATGCTAGATCCCAGCCGGCGCGACACCGAGAAAGGACCGAACCAGCCCTACCTCCACGAGCAGAACTGGTCCGGTTCCCTGCCCAGCTCGGCTTGGTTCCTGCAGTTTCTGTTGCTCGGACCATTCACAATCATCCTATCTGCTCCGCTTGCTCTTGCATTGTCATACAGTATCAACCAGACTGGTGAAGACGGTAGTCCGCTCCTGCTTCCTTACTTGCTGATTGCTGTCTTTAGCATCTTGCTATTGCTGCCCGTCACCCCTTTCATTCACCGGGTCACTCATCATGTCCCGCTCTTCTTGCTATTGGTCTTTGCTGGCACCCTGATCTACAACCTGGTTGCTTTCCCGTTCTCGCCAGCGAACCCGTGCAAGATCTACTTTGCTCAGGAGCTTGACCTCGACACTGGCGCCACCAAGGTTGTCTATACCGGGCTTGAGCAGTATATCAGGCCCGTCATTTCTCAGATCCCCTCTGCGGCGGGCAAGCACCTCGATTGCCGACACGGCAACGGCTCAGACACCCTCGTCACATGCAGCTACGACGCTGCCGAACTCGCGCCTCACCTGAACCCGGACATCGCGCCAGGAATTCCGCCACAGAAGGGCTACGAGGGACTGATCACGATCAACACGTTTGCCCCTGGAAACAACAAGGCCACTCTCATGATTGACGCGGTGGACACGCGCGCTTGCCTCTTGAGCTTCAAGAAGCCGGTGGCGAGCGTGCATGTCCACGGATCCGACAAGGAGTGGGACTCGCGGTACGGGCCCGTAGACAGCAGGCACATCGACGAGTTTATGCTGTGGCGCAGGGACTGGGATAAGACGTGGGTTGTGGATGTAGAATGGGACGACGAGGACAGCAGCAGCAGCAGCAGCTTGCTGGTCGAGGGGTCGCATGAGGTCTCGGATCAGCTGAGTGACGCGATGGGTGGTCCGGACGAGCTGAAGAAGAGGGTCGCGAGCGGCCTCGAGGGCTTCGTGACCTGCTCCTGGAGCGATGCCAACACCAAGGGCGTCATCCCGGCGATTGACGAGGCGTGGCAGTACGCTCCGACGTGGGTGCGGGTTACGAAGCGCCGGGTTGGTCTGGTCGAGGGGAGGAAGAGCTTCATGATGTGAGATCCTTTCAGGGAAAGTGGATGGTTTTCCTGAGTGTAATCAGCATACGGTACCAACGGGTACATTGATGGGCAGGGTTGGTTCTTGTGACATTATTGCTTTTTCTTTTGTTGGAATCCTTACGGACACGCGCACCACTGTATGCATTATTCTTTACGGGCGGCCCGAGTGGCTATTGGTTAGTCAAGTATATAATATCTTCTCCTGGACGAAGTGACCAGGAGGAGCAAAGCAGCATAATGACAAATCCGGTATTCTTTTGTGCGAGCCTATGAGGTCTCTTTGAGTAGGCCTGTGGGACGTGAAGGCTGACTGCGAGGCTTCCAGACGACTCAGCACTCTAGGTGAGACTGACACTCGTGGGGACTTGATTGGGTTTACGATCCCAGATTCCACGTCGGATTGAACCTGCATCGTCAGCACGGCCGCTGTTGCTCAGCCGTGAGCTTGTGTTTGTACTTTGCCCCTTTTGGTACTGCTGTGCGAGAATAGGAGGCAAAGGTGTTTTGTTTGCGTCGAATACTAATACCGTCTCTAAAACTCAAATTTATGGAAAAGAACACCACATCACGTTTCATGACCACGGAATGGGGGGCAGCAAATCAAGAGAGGGTCTGGACACAGAGTGAACGGGATATATGCCGTGCAAGTCTTGCTGCATACCCCTGATGATAAACCCAGATAAGCAATGTGTGCGAGCCAGTCATGTGCTGCCGTTTCTTCTGACGCCTGTATTTCTTCCAAAGAACAATGAGACATTGTTTTTGTCAAAAAGTGTGCCGCAGGGGAGCCGGGCAACTCATCCGGGATCGCCCCCTCTGCGCTCCTACGGAATCAATATTAGTGGTGGTAATTAGCCGGCAGGCCACGAGGCCCAAAGTGTGAAGTTGAATTTAGACGGGAATAGCAAAGGAGTGTTCTCTTTCAGAGGTCTAGCACTTGGAACTCGCGGAGGGGAATTGGGGCTGCAGGTGGGAGGAAATCGGGGAGTGTGCGAGGACGTATCTCGGCGATGGTGAGAATCGACGGTTACACCGGGAGGAAGTCGGACTTCATCCTCGAGGTCCTATTCGTAGGGCCCAGGAGAGGAGTGGAAGAAAGGTGTAGGTGTACTGTTGTAGATGTGAATCCTGTGCTTTATTGATTCAGACACTTATAAAAAAGTATCTTCTTCATATCATCTGGCTGGTTGCTCTACTTCTCGGATCTCACATTTCATCTCATCATCACTGTCGCTCTCAACTAGCCCACCACTACTCGCAACGCCTCACACAACATAAGAAGCAGCACAGCTCTCACCACCCGACTGGAGATTCGGATTCAATTATCTGCAGCTATGATCGCCAAGACCGTCCTCGCCGGCCTGGCCGCTGGTCTGGTCGCTTTTGTCGCAGCCGCACCCACCGGCACCGATGCCATCGGAGCGACCTGCACCTCAGGCGCGGCAGCCTCCAACCCGTCATTTGACATCAAATACGTCAACGTCTCGTCCGTCCTTCCCGCAGGCCTCTCCGGCAGAAACTACGAGCCCGACCGGACATGGGCCGCTGAACATGCCCTTCACACTACGGTGAGACTCTCTTCCCTTGCAATTTCTGATGCACTCGTGTCTTCTCTTGGATGAAAGTGTCTGAGACGGTGTCCAATAGTATCTTGGCCTGACGGCCGGTGGCGGAATGGATGCCTATGGCGCATTCAAGTGCCAGTTTGCTTGCAATGGCGAGCAGGGCTGTCTTTCGTACTTTGGTCGATATGGTAAGGCGTTTTTGCCCATGAAGTGAGGCCTCGTGCGGGCAATGCGATGCTGACCCTCAGCAGTCCAAATCGGCACCAGCCAGGAGCACTTTGACTGCATCACTTATGATGCCCTGTAAGTACCTTGTGCATCGCCAGGCGTATATACAGGATACTGATCCGTGTTGTAGGCTCGACTCGTCTCTGTTCGTGGAGGATAGCGAATCGGGTAACCTAGCTGTTGGTGGATTCGACAAGCCTTGCGATGCGATCAAGGCTTGAGCAGGCCATGGTGGGTGTGGGAGGGCGGGATGGTAAAATGCGTTTGGGCGAAAAAGTGGTGACTAGCATTTGATGCTCGGATTCTCAAAATCGAAAAGTCCTTCATGATTGCATCATGGAGTGCCCGCCTGCCTGCCTGGGTACGCAGAAATGCCCTTCCTGCCCTGAACGCCTGCCAACGCCTGCAAACGCTATGCATAATCACTGGTCGAATACATGGAAGCTCAGCCTTCCATTTTGATGTCCTTTGTGGACGACTCCTGCCCATCTGTGCTGCTGGAGATGCCCTCCAGGTGCTCCTTGGCCCTTTCCCAGAGCTCTGCCTCCATGTCGCGCTCGACCTTGTTGCTGCGGCTATTGAGCCAGCCGACGTCGAGGTTGCCAATGTTGCCGATGCCGTTGGGCTCCAGCGACGCCTGGCCTTTGTTCTCCTTGAGCGAGATGATGCCAGCCTCTTCTAGGCCCATGATCTGGCGCTTGAGGCGGACGTCGACCGAGTGCAGCGTCAAGAGGAAGGCGTCCATCGATTGTTTGAATGCTGCCGTCTGCTCCTCGGGGCTCTTCTCGGGTGCTGCCGCTGCGCCGTTGTCGCCTTGGCCATTGGGCGTGGTAGAGTCGGGCTTCGTGAGGACTTTGAGGGCGTCACTGGTGAGGGTGAGGAGCTTTGTGATATCCTGTCGCGCGCTGTCAGTCTTGCAATCTAGGGCGAATTATGGTAGGAGGAGGAAGGCAGAGTGGCCACCTACATAGTCGATCTCGCTCAGTTGCTGCATGCGCTCGGCTTTGGTGAAAGGCTTGTGGACGTCTTGCGCCGGCTCGGGCTGAGAGGACTCTTCCATGCTGGATGCTGTGGAATGGATGTATGAGGAACTTGATGGCAACGCAGTATCGTTTCCTGCACGTGGAGTATATCTTGAAGGGAGGTGTGGTCTGAAAACTTGTCAATGGGATAAGGTTGAGAGCAGCAGAGTCGAAGCTCAAAGATGCGCACCCCGCGACCCATTACAGCTTCCCCAGTCAAAGCTCAGGCTTGCCAAGAACAAGTTCCTTTGCTGGAGTCAAGTACGACGGACCCACCAGTGTGCTCGAGAAGGAATAGTTTGCAGCCGCGCATTGGTTCGCCCAATCATGTATGGGAACCACGCTGATTCCCCACTTATGCCTTCGCAGTCGCGACAGAGTCGCATCCAACTCAACTTCATCTCGACCACTCTCATCAAATATCATGTTCCAAGCTCGCACTCGCTGTGTAATGCGCCATCCGTTATCAAAGTACACTGTATAAGTCTGTTTAACTCATACCAAAAGAGCTCAAGGCTCGGCCTGCACGCGGCAAATTTTCGAAATACGCGGCCACGTCTCAGCTTTGGCACACTCCATCGAAGCCAGGCCGGAGGAAGCACGTTCACCAAGGCATGGTGTATGACAAAGGATAAACAGGAGGTTCCAAGCAATCGACAAACCTCAGGCAAAGTTTCGATCCGAGGCCATGTCAGGCTCAGGCCCGCCTGGAGCGGCTCCGGCTGGCTCCTATGCTGGCCCATCACAGCATGGCGGTACTGGAGGAGCTCCTGCAGGGGGCAACACCGGTGGAGGGACAACGAACACCACTACCTCTGCCTCCGACCTCAATAAGATTGTGAGTATTGACTTTGCTCTCACTTTCACTTTCACTTCCACCTCTATCTCACCTTCATTTCGCCTTGCCTTTTACTACGGTCCTGCACTTAACCTGAGATTTCCTTTGATCACTACCAATTTCCTTGAGCGTTCCCAATTTCCTTTGATCATTCCCATTTCATTCGCTGGTTCCAGCCCTCCATCTACCATCCTCTTCATCACCTTCATCTCTCTCCTTCTTCTCCAGCAATCGGACATTTCCCCAGCCTGAGACCTTGTGGCTTCTCTTTCAAATGGATGAACGACAGACTGATGACCGTGGTGATCGCTTTGTGTTCAAAAAGGTGACGGACTATCTCCTTAAGAAGGGCTTCACCAAGACTGAAGCGACTTTTAGAAAGGAGTCGGCTCACACAGGATCCGATGGTAGGCCTATCAGGAAAACCGTACAGGATATGGGCCCTGAGCGGTACGCCAAGGCCTTCAATATTCTCAAGGACTGGATCGACAATGGTCTGGACCTATACAAGGTACATCCCGGCCTCACCTCCAAGCTTTTTCTAGCCTCAAACTGACGCTGTGCCTCAAGTTCGAACTTGCCAAAGTTCTCTGGCCTATCTTCGTCTACTCATATCTCGATCTCGTGTCGCAACAATGCGGCACCGAAGCCAAGAAATTCCTCGAGACGCTGAAGCCACACTTTGAGAATGTCCACTCTGATGACCTCAAGACGCTGGCATCGGTTACCTTGCCACCCCACATCAAGGAGAATCACACGACTAAGCTGTATATGGAGAACTCCTACAAGATTCCCCTGAATCAACATGCCGCAGGCCAGCTCCTCCACTTCCTCGAGCGTGAGACAGACAACGGCGGCTTTGTCATCTCGCAGATCCTCCAGGAGCGCTGCTCCGTCGACTCTACTGCACGAGGACCCATCGAGCAGTACAGTTTTGAGGCCATCTATCGCCGGGCCCAGAACATCGAGCTCGATGACATCGACGCGCAGGAGGGCATTCCCGGGGTTTTCACGGGCGTCAGCAACCGGGACGTTCTTAACGCAAACGCGCCTCTAAAGTTGGGCCCCATGCCGATGGAGCCGGAACTGCGGGATGATGTGCGTGCCGAACTTGAGAACGAAGATGCCAGGCATCCTCCAGCTGATGGAGTGCCGAATTTGGTGGACGAGTTCGATCGCAAGATTAAGCGCGAGGAGAGTGCCGACGGTCCTACCCGAGCTGAGCTTCCACTACCTCCGTCTCGCGCCAAGGACGTCGTGGTTGAGATGCAAAAGATTCGGGAGAACCGCGACCGATTCAAGATCGAGGGCCGCACCGGAGGAGTTGGCGTTCCCGTCTCGGTCTGCATGTTCACCTTTCACAATACATGCGGCAGGTAAGTGCAACCTACCCAGTTGATAGGCTTTCCTTCTCTGTACTAACAACGTCGTAGTTTGAACTGCATGAGCTTTTCAAAGGACAATAAGCTTGTAGCGTATGGCACTTCTGAATCGTACATTCGGGTCTGGAGCATAGACGGAAAGCCGCTGCGATCCAAGGCTATCGGAGATAAGGAAACGACCAACAATCGCAAGCTGATCGGCCACTCTGGCCCGATCTCGGGCATTTCATTCTCGGATGCGGTCCCTTTCATGGAGAAGAGCCCGTTTGATAACAACAAGCCGGCTCCCGAAACGGATGCCAAACTGCTCCTCTCTTCTAGCTTTGATGGCACTGTGCGTCTCTGGTCTCTCGAGACTTGGAGTCAACTGTGTATCTACAAGGGTCATACCGGACCGGTTATGAGGGTTCTTTGGGGTCCTCTTGGCCACTACTTTGCGACGGCTGGCTGGGATAAGACTGTGCGTGTGTACAGCCAGGATCATGCTTCAGCACAGCGGATCTTTGTCGGACACGACACTCCTATCTCCAGGATCGCGTGGCATCCCAACGGGACCTACATCTTTTCTGCTTCAGACGAGTCGGACAAGTCTATTCGGATGTGGTCTGTGCCTAAGGGAGAGTGCGTCCGGGTCTTCAACCACCATGCCGACTATATCAGCGCTCTGGAGTGTTCACCCAACGGCAAGTTGCTCGCGAGCGCAGATATTGGTGGCAACATCATCCTATGGGATATCGACAAGGGCACCCGCATCAAGCGATGTCGCGGCCACGGCAAGGGTGGCATCACGTCCCTGAGCTTCAGTGTCGAGTCGAATGTTCTCGCCTCGGGCGGTCTGGACGGTACCGTTCGCGTCTGGGACATTGATCTGCCGAAGGACGCCACCAAGGTCCCTACTCTCGGCGGACCGTCCTCGGCCGCTCCTCAGCCGCAGGCGGATGGGACGGGCGCAGCCGGCGACACCATCGCTGTTGGCGGAGGTACGGGAGACCGCAGCATCACTGTCGGAGGCCAAGCGCCTGCGCAGTCGGCACCTGCGGCCACGACGAGTGGAGGAACTGGAAAGAAGAAGGGCAAGGAGGTGATGATTACTGCTGACCAGATCTCCGCCTTTGCGACCAAGAAGACGCCGGTGCTCAGCGTCGAGTTCACGCGCATGAACCTCTTGGTTGCTGGTGGCTATTTTGACCCATGAGGTAGATGCTAGTGATTCATGGGGATAGTCGCTCTTAAGGCTTCATCTGGAGCCTTTGTTGGGTGTGAAAATTTGTATTCTTAGGGTTCAGTCTTGTGTTCTTTCACGTTCACGGAAACATTTCAAGGCTATGATGGATGGTCATGGTCAGCGGGTGGATTGCTGTCAGAGTCAGGGGTTACTGGCGTTAGCGGTCAAAGGCGAGGGCAATAAATTCCAGTGATTGATTTGAGCGATAGAACTTCAAAAGAGAATGAATTCCACCCATATGCTGATTCTATGTGAAAATTTATTCAATCGACTGCGGGCTTTGTATCGTGATATGGGTGTCTAGATTGTTCGGTGTGTTGTGTGTTGTGAGGCTTGCTGATACCAAGCCCGAGACCGGCGCACTGACCACCTCCAACACGGAGACCTTGCTTGAGTGCTGTCGCTAGCTTCCAAGCTTGATCCCCACTACACCTTACGTATTCCCCCAGGTGAGCCGCAATTGACTCCATCAGGCAACCTCACCATACACCAAACAACCAAGCCGGTGGTCCAGGTCTGCGCTCCATTCACGCACCCGAAAATGGACCCCCTGAACGACTCCCCCTGGGGGGACGCTCCCGCCCAGATCCCCAAGGACGACTCCCAGTCCGATCCTTCCAAGCCGTCATCCGCTGGTGCCGCTGGCCAATCCTCCTCCACAGCTACTACGTCCTCACCTTCCTCTGCCCGTGCCTCGCGCCTCCAGCCGCGCCGCCTCGTCGCCCAGCCCACACGCCTCACGGCCGTCGAAGATGACCCTCTAGGTCCCCTCGGCGCCGCGGCCGCGGGCCCCCTAGCTGGCGGTGGCGGCGACGACGACGCCGGACCTCTTGCTGGTGCAGGTGCCGAGTCGACGCCGCCCGCCCCGCCTCTCAAAGAGCAGCTCCCGCTGCGCACGACGATGCCTCCCATTGCTGGCGCGGCAGCGACGCAGCAGGGCCGCATCAGAGACCCGCACGATATCGGCGACGACGAGGAGGGCGCGCGGTTCGTCGACGGGGCGATGGGGGGCAGGGTGCCGCCGCCAGTGCAGCCGGCGACGCCGAGCGGCGTGCAGAGCGCGAGCAGGCCGAGCGTCAGCGTGGAGCAGGCGGCGAAGCCGAGCTTTGTGATATCCGTGGGCGACCCGCACAAGGTCGGCGACTTTGCGGGCACGGCGCATATGGTTTACAATGTGCGGACGCAGGTATGTTCGAATCACTGGTTACCTGGGGGGTGGGGGGGAGGGGAATAGGGAGATGAGAGAGAGAGCTTTACTGATTTTCCGTGGTGGTAGACTACCTCCAAGGCCTACAAGCAGAGCGAGTTCGTCGTGCCGAGGAGATACAAGGACTTCCTGTGGCTCTACAACCAGCTGCACGCCAACAACCCTGGCGTCGTGGTGCCCCCGCCGCCCGAGAAGCAGGCCATGGGCCGGTTCGAGAGCAACTTTGTCGAGTCGAGGCGGGCGGCGCTGGAGAAGATGCTCAACAAGACGGCGCACCACCCGACGCTGCAGCACGACGCCGACCTGAAGCTGTTCCTGGAGAGCGAGGCCTTTAACGTGGACGTCAAGCACAAGGAGCGCAAGGAGCCGAACCTCGGCGAGAGCAAGGGCATGCTGAGCAGCCTGGGCATCAGTGTCGGTGGAGGCAACAAGTTTGTTGAGCAGGATGATGTGAGTTTGATATTTTCGACTTCTCTACTTAGCTATGGACTTGTCGCTGATGTTGGAGGAAAAAGTGGTTCCACGAGCGCAAGATCTATCTCGACGCCCTCGAGAACCAGCTCCGGACCCTCCTCAAGGCCATGGACGCCATGGTCGCCCAGCGCAAGGCCATGGCCGAGGCCGCCGGCGACTTCTCGTCGTCGCTGCACGCCCTCTCCACCGTAGAGCTCTCGCCCACGCTGTCGGGCCCGCTCGACGCCCTGTCGGACCTGCAGCTGACCATCCGCGACGTCTACGACCGCCAGGCGCAGCAGGACGTGCTGACGTTCGGCATCATCATCGAGGAGTACATCCGCCTCATCGGCAGCGTCAAGCAGGCCTTCCAGCAGCGCCAGAAGGCCTTCTACAGCTGGCACGCGGCCGAGTCGGAGGCGCAGAAGCGCAAAGCCGCGCAGGACAAGCTCCTGCGGCAGGGCCGCAGCCAGCAGGACCGGCTGAACCAGGTCAGCGCCGAGGTGGGCGACGCCGAGCGGAAGGTGAACCAGGCGCGCCTGCTCTTCGAGGACATGGGCCGGCTCATGCGGGCCGAGCTGGACCGGTTCGAGAGGGAGAAGGTCGAGGACTTCAAGAGCGGGGTGGAGACGTTTTTGGAGAGCGCTGTCGAGGCGCAGAAGGAGGTGAGTTTAGTTGCCTTGGTATCCAAACTTGGGGGGGCGACTGGACAGGTGTGCTAACAAGGATATGTTTGCGACTAGCTGATTGAGAAGTGGGAGACGTTCCTGATGCAGCTGGATGCCGACGACGACGCTACAGCCTTCTACAAGCCGCCCGTCTTCCAGCCTGCGGACAAGCCGGCTGGCGATACGGCGATTGACCGGGCGCGGGCGAGGATCGACGATGACTCTGATTAGAGGTATGGGTCGTTTGCGTCCGGGGTGTCGACGGAGGATGAAGTGCCTCTGCCGCGTGGTGAGGAGGAGCCTAGCGTTTTTGAGGACGAGTCGTCTTCCCCTTGGAAGGATATCCATGCTGCACTCCCCGACAATCCACACGCTGGGTCGTCCGATTAGCTCAAAACTCTCCATACCTTTTTTTTTCCCCTGTGTTCCTTAGAAATGGGCAAATTCATCAAGGGCGGCGGATCGAGAAAAGGCAGGTATTGTCTTTCTTGTGCTCTTTTGGCTTGGTTGTGTTATTTGCAAAGTAGTGTACATAGAAGAAATAGGATGCAACCACCACCATGTTGTTTGGTCACATCCTTCATTGAGTTTGTCTGATACATACAGATCTCCCTCAAGGGATGCTTTCTTCCCTTGGTGAGGGAGGGTGCCTTGTTGGTACAAGTTGAGGTTTTCCAAACACAACACACGATCATCTATCCGCCTCCCATCGTACACATGAAACCAGCTCGTCATCGTCGTCGCCAGCATCACATCTATTTCTTCTTCTTGGAGGCCTTGTCCTTCTTCGCCTGGTCCTTGGCACTCAGGCCGCCGCCGCGTGGCACCTCGCTCTGCGCGGCATACCCGCTGATCAAGTCGGCCAGCGAATCGAACGGGTCCTCCGCCGCCGCAGCCTTGGGCTTGGCCGCCTCAGTGGCAGCCTCGGCCTCGGCCGCAGCTGCCTTGGCCGCGGCGGCCTTCTTGCCGGCCCGCGTCGACGTGTCCTCGACCTCCTCGGCCTCGGCGGCGTCCCAGCCGCGGCCGAAGCGCTCGCGGAAGGCGGCCAGCTTGCCGGCCTCGTCGACCTCGACGTTGCGCAGGGACTTCTCCGACGGCTGCCAGAGCACGTGGTTGCGGGTGTCCTTGGTCGAGCGGTGCAGGGGCACGGGCGAGGTCGTGCGCACCGTGTAGGTGCTGCCGTCGGAGAGCTGGACTAGCTGCGTGAAGTGGTAGGGCCGGCGGGGCCGGGGCACGAGGGTCGCGTGCCGGAGCTGGGTCGTTGAGAAGGGCGTGGGCCTGCTCGTTGCCGTGTGGGATGTGCTGGTTCGTGATGAGGAGGCGGAGGAGCTGAGCAGGAGGGAGGGTGATGAGGTGGTGGTGCGCCGGCAGAGGAGGCTTCCTCTCGAGGGGAGGTGGGCGGCCATTGCTGCGGGCCTGGCGGAGCGCCGTTGGAACGCTGCTGGCCTCTTGAAGCTTGGTTTCGGAGGCGTGTGTTTGGGCGAGCTGGTGGATTGGATGTCGCCCGGCGGTTGTGTTCCTGTCCTCCTCGAGTTTTGTCGCCGTCCGTGGTGAGCAGATCTGCAAGTGTCGCGATTGGCCTCACCCCAATTGACCCCGAGTGGTCTGAAAATTTGCTACGGCGGCCGGGATGAGCCGCATGCGCTATCGTTATCGCACCAACATGGGGCTGGGGAGCTGCGCGATAAGCGGGCTGATAACGAGCTATCCTGGTCTGATTGTGCCATTAACGTCACACCTACAATTTTTCGAGTCCGAGGTACCGACATGTTGCGCCGAACATAACGAGCAATTGGTTTTTCGTATCTTGGTTCTATACACCCCCGTCTACACTCATTGATGGGGAGATGAGATGCTGAGCCGCAGCGTGCTTGGCTCCGCGGCCGGGTGCGTAGCTGCGGTTTTGCGATCCTCGGGCCATGCCGGCTTGCCGAGTCACAATGTCACGGCGGCGGCGGCGGCGCGAGGTCCCGTAAGGTTACTACGTTGGTGTATGTATACCAATTGTCAATATATGGTCGTATAGAAGCTAAGTGTGCCCTCCAGCCCGAAACATACACAGTACACCACCATGTCGAAAGTCATGGGCGGTCTTGCCTCCGAGACAGCCATCCGTCCACCCCCACGGCTCCCGAACCTCCGACCTGCCCTTGCCGGAGCAGCAGCGCGCCCTGATGCGTCTCGTGGCTGGTTCCGTCACGGTGTGCACGACAGCGGCCCCAGATGCCTCCCACCCACCGCTGGGCCTGACCATGTCGTCGCTCGCCTCGCTCAGCCTGAAGCCGACGCCAGCCGTCTCCTTCAACATCGCCGTGCCGAGCCGCACCGAGGCAGCCATACGGGAGACACGGCGCTTCGCGGTGCACATACTAAGGGGTGACGAGAGCGGCGGCGCGGTAGCAGAGGTGTATAGAAAGGGCAATGCCGATGCGCAGGCTGTGTGGCGAGGGCTGGAAGGGGCCAAGTGCCATGTTGGAGAGGAGGGGATGCTTACCGGCCCTGGGGTGTTGTTTGCGCTGCGGTGCCGGTTATTGGACGAGCCTAGCGGTGGACTGGTGCCCGTGCGGGACCATGTTGTTGTTCTCGGCGAAGTGCTCGAGATTGTGGAAGGCGGTGCTCTGGGAGAAGGGGAGGATGAGTTTGGCCTGGTGTATGCGGATCGGCATTACAGGCAGCTGGGCAATACGCTGCTTAGACCCGAAGATGAGGAATGAGACTTGTCAGGGCTTGTATGATATTGTGTAAAGAGGACCGAGCATGGATTGGGCGTTATATTATGGGGGGCGGGAGCATGTGCAATCCCATTGGCAAGGGCTTTTGCAGTATCGGTGAATGGAGAGTCATAGAGTGTACCATAGGGCCAGGAGTAGATAAAAACAGTGAATCAGTCCCTCTCTATAGCTCCACTAAAATTCTTCGGGCCAGCCACGCGCCTTTTTAAAGTACAGCTGGTGGTTGTTGTAGGAACTCAAAGGGACAGCGACCGACCTCACGCCTCATTCTGACGCGCAACAAAGTGAGATTCAACTCAAGGCCAACCTGAGGCGACAGTCAGAATCATGGGAGTGAACTGACATTCGTTTCACTTTCCCGTCAAAAGCGTCTCGCTCACACTTATATATATATACCTCACCCTACCCAGGCGCAACTTCCCTGCCTGTTGCATATATATATCCCCTTTAATCCATTATTCAGCACTTCAACTCTTTCCAGCACAACCCAAAACCTCAACACCACCTCAGACATCACCACCATCCTTCCTTCCTAGTTCTCTCGTCTCCTTCACTCTTCAACTTCCTTCATTGGTCCCTCTTATCGCTCTTTCCTTCTCTTTGAAGCCATCATCGCCCGGCAGACATCAACTCTGATCGTGACTTCCTCAATCAGAGCTCACAACTTCATGACTTCGTCAAAGAGAGAATTTTCCATCTGGCCCACTCCATCTCAGTCAAGATCAATGCAATCAAGGGGCTCCTGTTGGCCTGGTAAGTTATGTCCTTTTCCTAGCCCAAACTGATCGAGATGAAAGAGACCTCTTCGCAGTTGCCCAAGTCAGTAGTAGCTGAGAAAGATGTGAACTCCTCTCTACTAAGCATGGCTGCCATATCTTTTCTCATTCACTTGAAAGACATATTTTTCTTGTCACTAACATGTGCATCTAGATCTGGGGATCACTCTTGCGCACCATCTACGGCACTTCTCAGAGCTCCATAGAGGCCACCCAGCGTGCTATTGCTTGAAAGAAGTTCAATGATCCGCCGGGTGCAAAGCAGCTCGCCAATTCCCATGCCACTCGCTGCATAGTGGTACAGGGTCCAGAGTCGTGGGTTTGTTTTGACGCCCTGAGGCAATTCTTGAACCGCCGCTTCGTCTATCAGAACGACGAGATGAGAATTGTCCACAGCTTGAATGGTTGCCAGACTTTCAAGGTGTGCGGTTCGGCAGCTGGCGGTCCCAGGCTGAATCTGCCATGCACGGATCAAAGCTCGTCGAATCCGTGCCGTCGCACATCGGGAGGTATTGATTTCTCCAAGTAGGCTCACCCGTGCTCCTTTCCATCTCACCTCACCATCAATCTGACATGGCCAGGATCGCCTCTATCGAACTTACCCAGGAGGGCCCGGTCCGGGTCAAGCCTGTGATCATCTTTGACGGCGAGGGTCTGCACCATGCCATGCGTCGCAATGTGGAGTTGGCTGGATTTGTCACCCCGACACCAATCCAAATGTACTGTCTGCCTGCCACCAACGATGGCCACAATGTCATCGGTGTCACCCAGACTGGTACGGCATATCTGAGCGCATTCTGTGGTGCTGCTTTTGACTGACGCTCTTTCTTTAGGATCTGGCAAGACCGCCGCCGACGTGGTACTGATTCTCAACAAGCTGGTGGGCAAGGCCAAGAACAAGAAGCTAGCTACGAAGCGTCTGAATACAGCTACATCGTTGAGACGGACTCCGAGTACATCGTCAACCAGTGCACTAAGAATAAGAGCGCCGTGGAGAATGAGACCACCAGCCGAGCCGTGCTAGCCAGTCAAGAAATTCTCGGAAACTGCGGGCTGTTTTCTGAATTGGGTCTCGGCAAGACCATGAGCATCAACCTCGAAGAGCCTCTTCTTAAACTACCACGATCAACGACTTCCAGCGGCTACGGACCATATTGGACCTGCTGGCGCAACTCCTTGGCAAATTACAACTCCCAGGGCATCGTCCCACTATCAAGATGTTCTGCTCCTTTTATGGTGTCTGACGAGCGTCTACTCTGGCACCTTAGACTCGCGTTTGCTCATCAGCTTGCAGCAGCTGAGAGATGCAAAGTCAGCCATGTTCTGCCTGACCATACTCGTTGTGGAAAGCCGGATGAGCGTGCTGTCTCCGGATTGCCGGCCGGGCTTGTTCAGCAGGGCTACAACCTGTGGTTCATCCTGCATCCCCAGGCCTCAAGATGCCCTGTTCCTCCTCCCTATCCTCCCCCCCTTCTTTTATTTTCTTTTTCTTTTTCTTTTCTATATATATATACCTTAATTTCAACAGTCAAAAGTCTACTCCCAGGAGTGTCAGCAGCAGCAACCCTCAAGCGCCCTGAAGCGGTCGCCAGCAACCAGCTGGGGTGCCAGCAGAGTGCCCAGATACGACCGGCGGAACAAAGCCTCACAACTCAAGATCACAGCAATTTAGCCGCGCTTGCACCGCTGCTGATGAATTCTTCACGCCTCCAAAGACAAGTGGGTCCGGGCTTGTACCATTCCATCCTTGACTGCAACATGGCGTTCGAGACCTTCCCGGCACCGGCCAATGGCGTCCTGCCTCCGGCGATACTTCATGGAAAGCATTTCCGGTCAGCTTTTCATCCCCAAAGCGAACAACAGACACGAGTGGTCTAAATTCCAACACATTGTCTTGAAGAGCCTTCATGAAGTCATGGATCACTGGTGGGATCATCGTGGAGAGGCACAGATGACTGCATCTCTCAAGCATTTCTGAGAATTATAGGGGGGGATCAACATGCTCATGACATTTCACATGAAAGGAAAGTCTGCATGCAATTATGCCATGCATTTTCGACCTACAGATTTGTATGAGTATCCTGTCTGTACAAGGAAGAAGCTCTTTCTGGCTTCATCCCACTGTCCCCTTGAGTTGCCTAGACCCTCGGATCAAGGAAGGTCAAAATCACAATTTCTTTTTGGCAACTTCTGCCTCGAAATGTGCAGCTTCGCTCGCATTGTCTACGAAGACTTTTCATCCGACACTTTCACTATCAGTTTGTACAATGTGGCTCTACACTGGTACAAAAGAGGACGAGAGAGGCTTCGAGATTCCATAGGGGGCCGACCTGTACGACACCATGGACACAGCGTCCGTGAAGACGGCAGTCCGACAAACTAGATCAGATGGCATCTGATGTGGCTGGCCTGGAGGGGCAAAGGGCTGTCAACATCCTTGGAAGTGGCCAACAACTAAAGAAGTCGCTCGGCCACAAAGACCTGCTCAAGAGGTCTTACTACACCGAGAGCGGCCAAAAGTTGGATCTAAACGTCAAGGACGACGACTAGCGGACCCTCACCAAGGAGCTCGCCTACGTTAGAGAGCGCCTACCCTTGGGCACAGCCCAGAGCAGCAGTGTGGCGAATGATCTATTCATAAGGACGAGCTCTTCTACTGCAAAATGGTCGAGGGTGTACTTCAGCATCCCAACTTGGGCTGAGTGGATCAGGACCTCATCTGCTTCCCACCATTCAACTTGCTGCGCTGCTGCTGGGGTCATAGGAAAATACATGTCAGGAGGCAGTGGAGACTGGTGTTTTACTGTAGCAAATATTCCTGTATCAGACAGATTACTGTTGCGAAAGTTGACTGGTTACTTCGAGAACTTTGTCTTTCACTAGATATTCCATCGTGGGTCATTATGCTCATGGCACTTAAGAGATGCATCGTGAATGGTGTTGCTATGACATCAACTACCACCCCAGTTCTATTTGTCCATGGGGTCCGGCATCAGTGCTTGGATACAGCGTCAACGATTTTGGGGCTGTCAGCATCTCCAACCGCGCATATCAACATCAACCATGTTTCTCACACTCCCGAAAGCAAGGTAGAACACATTTTGCCCGTAATCTCCCAAATGGCAAACTGGCTCTGCCTCTGCTGGACAGTTTGCAGTTGTGTCGTCAACAATCACTTCTCCTCCAAGGACAAAGCTTGCTGTGCAGAACAAGACAAAAAGAACAGAAATGCTTGCCCGCTATGCGAAGCAGTGACACCAGGAGTGGTTTGCCTCCACACTTGATGTGCCGGGTGCCACCTGTACAACCCGCATATCGAAGCTTTCATCAAACAAACTATCATCAAGGTCACCTGAATTGTTATGTTTGCCGAGATCGACCGCAAACCTACCCTTATGAGCCAGCATGGACTGTTCTAGAATCAATACTAGCGGGCGCAGATGGACAAACTGCGCAACTTGAGAGCAAATGCATCAATGATTCTCGTTAATGTTTGCTGCACAGCATCTCGTACTCTACCACATATAGGCTCAGCTCCCATTCTCTCTTGTGTTGTCTCACTTCCATCCAAATACATCGTCTGAGTCAACACTGACTGTTCTGTCGACTTAAGTGTTGACCTTCTTGTACACCCCAGAACCTTTCCATCATCTATCCTGACAAGACTGTTTGTTGCTGGCGAATGAGAGTCATCTCTTGGCTCTTATGGTATCGTCATTGTCAAGAAGGGAGATCCAGAGAGAGGTTGGTCAGTCCAAGCGATACCTCAGGTATGTCACTCGATCTTACCAACAGCTGCATCCAACTCCTCTTACCCATGTTACCGTGCTGCACTCTGGGTGTCTTCCTGCTCAGCGCTAACTGCATGTACTTCAAGGATCGACCAGGACGACCTGAGCCAATTGGCTCAAGTCCCATGCGATTGTCATTACTGTTGACCAGTATTTCCTTGTAAGTTCTGCACCTGGTCGTGATATGAGTGAGGAGTTTGCTAAGTTTTCTGGTCATGCAGTCATCCTGGGCCTTTGTCTTTCACCAGTGCGACAACAAGAACAATCGACAAGTACAACACTGTGGTCAATAGCTACTCAGCTGCTGGCATCCCGCCCGAGACACCGTAAGTCAACATCAACTCCATGGACAGCACATGGCCCGCGTCGGACAACGCCTAGCTGACCCCGTTTTCTTCCAGGTCTACGGTGACTTCCGTGGAGCCATATCGCCTTTTGAGCGACTCTTTCTCTTCCTCCTTGCGGGCAGGCACTGCTCGTCTCTGCCGACCTGGTCTCCACATCTGGCCTTTTCTATGCTCCGATCTCACGAGCATGGTCCTCCCAGGATCTCGAGCCGCCGAGTCCCGGTTGTTACATGCCTGCCGCCTTTCTATCCCGAGACTGTCAAAACATGCAGCCTGGACACGACTGAAGTGCCAGGCATGTAGTTGATTGACAAATCTCTGCCAACGAATTATATATATATACACCTTTATCACTATCACAAACCACCATGAACCGGGAGACGCCTTGGTCTTATCGAGGCCAAGCATCTGCCGAGACGAGGAGATTTCATCACAATGTACGCGACACTGTTCCTGGGCCTCAACAATGATTACGGCAGTCTGAAGATCGCCTGGTGGACTGGTCCGAACTGGTCGCCTGCCACTATCCTGGGTATGACGCAGAAGTGCACAAAGAGTGCGCAGACTGCTCGTCGCCCGGCGAAGCACAAGGGACAACACCCGAACAATCAAGACCTGCTCGTATCCCCGCTTGGCGCCTGGTTCGGACCAGACACAGCAGGCACTCGAGCACGTGGCCATTATCTCGGCACGTCACTTTGACACGAAGACGCGCACTATGAAACGAAACGCGCTGGAGGATCAAGCCGATCAAGCCGAGGATGGCGCCAGAGACAAGGGCTACTCGCTGCTCTTATCGGCCACGGGCTGGCCAGATCGACCGCTCCCTGGCGAGCTACGATCAGCAGTACCTCGACTGCCTTGCTGACCCCGATACTGCCCTGGCGAGCAATACGATCAGCAGTACCTCGACTACCTTGCTCATCCCGAGACTGCCTCGGGTCAGTCGAGACCATTCTGACGGGACAAGGGGAAGTGTCTACGGTCCTTGCCTTCTTCTCCATCGCCATGGAGATACCCGTGAGCAAGTCCTGGCACCCGCTGGTGCTGAAGCTCTCAAAGGTCATCAGCCACTTTTGTCTGCTCGGGAAGGCCTAGTTATCCGACCCGCGTATCAGGAACATGGCATCCGGCCTGGGTTTCGTGCACATGGCGTTCCGTGTGGTGTTCCCACGGGGCTCGACCTCGGCCCACTGGGCCGGCCAGCTGGAAATCGGAGAGCTCATCGGCAAGTACGGCCATGGGAAGGACGATCGGTGCGTGAGACAGGTCACCAAGGTCGACACCTCGAGAGCCACCATCAAATTGAGCCTTGGCTTTCCGGCTATGGATGTCCGGGACACACTCACGAACGAGGTGATCGGCGGCCGCCATCAGACTAGCAGAGGTAGGGCTTTGGTGGCGCTCCGCCCTCGCCAACCTGATCACGAAGTCATTCGACTGCGGCGTGGTCTGCGGCAGCACATGATTTGCATACTAGGCCAGACGTCTCTGATCCTCCGTTTGTGCGGGACGACGCTGTGGCTCTGTTCGAGACTAAGCGTGCGGTACTGCCGCTAAAGGAGGACCATCAGCTTGATGACAACAGTGTCAAAGGGAAGGAATTGCTGGCACAATCTTTTGGCGAGGCGGTGTCGGCATTTGCGGATGGAGGTGAGACACGATACGTGGAGAAGGACGGCCGAGTCCTGGTCTTTGTGATCGCAAATTCCAATGTCTTTTGTCGAGTTTCACTTTAGTACGATCAAGATAAGTTCGAGCTCGACATTCAGGGCATGAACCCTGATACATCTGGCGTCAAAACCGAGGACAACTATCTGCGGTGTGTGCGCTGCAAGAGGCCTCAGGGTACCAACTCGGGCCGTATCACGTCGTGCCGTGGCTCGAGTTGGTATCCTGAGGCGTTTTGCAGCGCATTCACCGCGAATAGTTGAAATCGTACGTTTTTCTGGGCGCAGAGATGAACCCATGTCGGTGAGGGCGGCGTGTGTGATCTCGCGCACCTGGAGAAGGTCAGGACTCGGAATGAAGTCAGTACATCGGTGGCAAACAAGTAGGAGAGCGCAATACATTTTACTATTGGCATGAAGTGAGAATCCAAAACATTTTCCTTGTAAAAGTCGTGGTTGGATGTCCAGCTTATGCATACCGTGGAAGCTGTCTTGCATGACAGGAAACACAATGCAGAATGTCTCTTTGATTGTTACCAAAAGGCACACAGGATTAAGGGCATTGACATGATGCCTAAGGTATCTGTATCTTAATAAAGCATCCAGTTTCAATTGCGTAGTGGTCAAACACTTGAGAAAAGTTTTCAAAAATCTGCTCGAGGTACCATGGGAAAGGTTTCATATCGAACCGAATTTGCAAAAATTGAGAACTTCTCTAGGGTATAAAAGACTCTTCATAGCCTTGTTCACATCTCCATCACACTCTTTCCATCCCTTCAACATATCCAAGAGCCCCCTCCCCACCCCTGCCTTCCCAGGTCATCCAGTCCTTCTCCCCCTTCTCCCCCTTCCCTCCTGTCTCTCTTTCCTCTCTTCTCTCTTTTCTCCCCCTTATCACCCTTTGGCCGCTTTGGCCCTTCCTCATCCCCCTTCCTCCTCCTCTTCTTCCTCTCCTTCGGGACGATGCCCATCGTCCGGGCACACTCGAGCACGGGGGCCGGCAGACCCGGCCACGGCACGAACCCTCCTCGGCGCTCACACGACCGCAGCAGGAACATGTACATCATGGCCTGCTCCATCGGCGTGTACCCTTGCTCCAACCGCCGCACCATCTCCCGCCTGTCCTCGTCCGAGTACTGCGGGCCCTCCTCCTCCACCGGCTCCTCCGAGTCCGGCGAGCCCGGCGAGCCGCTCAGCTCTGGCGGGGACCCGGGCTCGGACTCGGACGGGAGCATGGCGTCCGGGTCGGCGCCGGGGCGGAACGGGCTGCTGGTTGGAGCTGGCGATGGTAGCGGCCGTGGATGCGGAGGATTAGCCGGCTGCGGCGAGGGAGGCGGGCCGCTGTCGAGGATGGCACCGTACCGCTGTATCTGGCAGATGCCGCAGGTCGTCCGGTCCCCCCTCTTGCCAAACGTGTATATCCGGCAGCCGCAGGCGGGGAAGGAGTCCTCGTCGTCGTCGGGGAGGCCGATGTTGACGTCGAGTTCGGAGAGGCCGATGGAGAGGTCGAGATCGGGAGTGTGAGAGGAGAGGCGGCGCAGCAGCGAGTCTTGGTCCTTGCCGCCCGCAGGACAGCTTCTGGTGTCGCTGCTGCTGGAGGTCATGGTAGGGCTGCTGGGGGTGCCGCCGCCGCTGCTGGGTGTGATGCTTCTCCAGCCGACGACGACGATCTCTCCGGCGAAGGAATCGCCGGCGTGGTCTGTGCCATCCCTCTGGATGGCGTCTTCTCTGTCCGGAAGACCCATGGTGAACATGGGTTCGATCGAGGTCATCTCGGCAGAACGGTCGGTTTTTGGGATGCCTGGAAGATATTGTGTGTTAGTCGGCCCTTGTCGCTGTCTACCCTGCTCTGGGCTGGCCTGCTCTCGAATGCAATCAGGATGATTCTATCCTTGTCGGCTCAGCATCGCCAACATGCGCCTGAGAGGCTATGCTAGGCATTTGCCCGAGAGTTGGCAGGATAGGGGTGGGAAAAGGCACGAGGAATACTTGGCATAACTTACTCTGACTAGGCGATTTCGCGGAATCGAGACGGGCAGGCAGGAAATATCGAGCGAGTTCACGCACGAGAGAGATGAAAGTTTGAGGGAAATCCAGTCGTCAGAGGAGAGTGATGGTTGATGATGAAGCAGATGGGAGCAAGACTTCAGGGGAGATGGAGGATGCCTGCCTTCTTATACACCACAGGGCGGTGCAGGACGGCGATACGGAGCATGCTGCGAGCATGCTGCGAGAGTGTATGAGAGGGTTTGTTTCTGGCAGGTCCGATGGATATCAAAGTCTAATTTCGAAGAGATGAGTCGAACGCGCAGAATTACCATGGATTCGATGTTGGCGATTTCATAAATGCCCGCCCCCCTTTCCTCCTTTCCCAACTCGTCACACCTGAGCTAATATTGCTGCATCGCCTGTTAGCAGAATCTCTAAGCTGATTCCGGCCGTGAGAGACTGTCGAACGGGGACATTCCGAAAAGGAGCAGTGCTCCCTTCTGCGAAGTGCTCTGTCCCAAATCTTTATAATGGGGGGGAAGGGGTGTGGGTGGATTGGTCCATCCTGCTCAATCTCGATGCATGATGATATATGCCTTCCCAGGTATTCAAGGTCGAGCAGGTTTCCGCACCGTCCCCACGAGGAAACTTGACCTGCGCAGCTGCAGCTCGGTCTTGCCACTGCGGATAACTCACTTCCTCCTCGGCGTGCTCCTGCCGTTGCCTCGGCCCTTACCATCATTCTGCTTTTCCGGTTTCTTCTTCTCCTCGCCGATGTCACTGCCAGCGCTGGGCGTTATTTTCGCTGCAACGCTCCGAGCAAAGCCCAAAGCCCAGGCCAAGATGCCAGCCGGCTTGGGCGTCGGCTGGTTCAGCGTCCCAGACCAGTCCTCCTCGATGCTCGAGGGTTGGTCTGGATCTCCGAGACGGACCCATTCATCCTCTTTCTTGGGTTCGTCCATCTTCTTCTTCCCCTCCCCTTTCTTAAAGCCGAACATGGTTCGGCGGTTTGACTCTAACTTGGTTCGCTTGTTCGTCTGTCGAAATGGCTTGTTCTTCTTCGCTTGTTGATATCGAGCTCGTTGCTTTAATCGAGAAGCAGAGAGAGAGAAAAAAAGGGGGGGCTTTTCTAGCTTTGATGAGAAGAAGAAGATCATCACTCTTCAAGGCAGCTTCTTCAAGTACTCCCTTCATTGCGAATATGGCGGGTGAGTGTTGCGTCCCAGTCAAGCAAGTCACCTACTGTGAGCTTCCAAGCGGTGAACCACGAGTTATGAGTCCATCTCAAGTGTGTTGTTGATATTGAGTCACCCACCCCTTCGTGTGACTTTGCCCATTTTCTCCCCTATTCATTGCCGAGGGAATTATTCTGAAGTGAAGTTGAACGCAGTCTCATGCTAGTGGGAAGAGTGCAGTCAGGCCTTCAAGTTCTCCATTGTTATGAGGCGCCGGGACGAGGAAATTTGACAGCAACAACAGATCTAAAAAAAAAAAAAAAAAAAAAAAAAAAAAAAAAAAAAAAAAAAAAAAAAAACCAGACAGTAGCCACAATGGAAGCAGCCGATGCATTCATCGACGACAATAAAATGGCATCAAGCAGCTTGAATGGGCATTGTCATGTCGGAGCCTCAACGTCGTATAGTGCCTAACGCTCAAGAGCAGATTAACCAACCCTTCCTGCTCAAACGGGCTCAGTACCACGTTTATCGACAGGACTATACGCAACGGATGCTACACTCATTGTAATTCATAGGTTGCTTCATTCTATCTATGTACTAATCGGTGGTCGAACACATCGCTACGTAAACATCAACATTCGCAAAAGACTAATCCCTTGATAAACGCCCAGCAATGTAACATCATCAACGTCGACGAAGCCAGGAAAGGTCATGAAAACCCCTCAACTTCTTCCCTGTTGTCCCGTATCATCCCTCAGAAAACCAAAAGCACATGAATACATTCCCTCAACCCCCCTCCCTCCGAAGCCCATGCCGCACGATGGGGACAACAACACCTGACCCCATCCCTACCGACGCCCTGCTCTCGTTCCATCCCGACCCTCGTTCTGCTCTACTCTACTCTACTCTACTCCATCCCATTCCTGTTCCGCCGGTAGCCAGCGCCGCCCCTCTTCTTCCTCTTCTCGTCCTGGTACGCAAAGTCGCTGACCGCCGTGCTGCCCGCCTCGGACGCCGTGGCCGACTCGACCGCCGAGCTCGACGACAGGCCTGGGATGACGCACCGGTACGACTTGGTGCCGTGCGAGGTGTCCGGGCGGTCGACGCCGACGTCGCTCTCGGCCCACGAGCCGGGGACCGTGGTGCCGCCGCGAGAGTACGGCCGCTCCTCGACGCGGCCCAGCCCCGCGCTGTCGTCCGCCCGCTGCCAGCTAAAGTCGCGCCTGGCTCCTCCTCCGCTCGCCGCCGCCCCGGCCGCCGAGTTGGACGCCGTGCCCGCCTTCTTGCTCGCGCGGCCCTTCTCCTGCAGCCGGCGCGCCTCGGCCCGGATGCGCTCGCCCTCCCGCTCGGCCGTGCGGTCGGCGCTCGAGTAGACTTTACGGATGCCGCCGGCGCCGGCGCTCTTCTTGGTCGGCGTGCTCGTCGGCGTGCGCTCGCGGTTGCTCATGAGGTCCGACGTGACGGTGCTCTCCGTGGCCGAGGCCGTCGAGTGCGTCGGGTTCGTCGAGCCGTCCCAGGCGCTGCCCTCGGCCTCCTTGTTGATGCCGCCCACCCGCGCCGGCTTCTCGTGGCGGTACTTGCGCAGGTGGCTCTTGGCCTCGGCCTCGGCGTGCTCGTCGACCAGCACCCCTTCCTCGTTGACGTGGCGGCCCGTCTTCTCGCGGTTCTTGCGCTCGGCCTTCTCGCGGGCCTTGTCCTCGCGGCGCCGCTCCTTCTCGCGCTCCTTCTGCTCGCGCTTCCTGCGGCGCTTCTCGCGGCCCGCAAAGTCGCTCACGCCGCCTGTGATGCCGGTCAGGCCGGTCGAGTCGGTGGTGGCGGTGACGACGGTCGTGTTGTCGGCCTCGGTGCTGCCGTCGTCGACGTCCTTGTAGACGCTGCCGCCGCCGAGCTGGGTGGAGGGCGTGGCGCCCGAGAGGATGGTGCCGTTGGGGCCCTTGCGGCGCAGCACGGTCGACTTGTAGTCGTCCCAGTCGTTCTCCTTGAAGTAGAAGCCGCCGTTCCTGGCCCAGAAGAAGAACCAGATGCCGAGGCAGACAAAGGCGGCGCCGATGATGCCGAACAGGGCGAACAGGGCGTTGTTGTTGATGTCGCCCGCGTGGAGGATGCCGCGCTCCGGGTCAGGCTCTTTGCCTCCGTCGCGGGCTGTCAGGACGGCGCGGGCGGCCAGCGGGCCGAGAGCGGCGGCGTCCGGGGTCCGGGAGGAGAGGTGGGTGATGACGGAGCTGAAGATTGCGGGAGCCATGATGTCTGGATTGGCTTCGAGATGTCTCAGCGGATTCAGAGTTGGAATGTGGGGATGTTCGTCGTGGAAACGGGTGAGCCCGCTCTCGCTGGAATGGTCGCAGACGCAAAAGTGATGCAGTTTTAGATCGAGCTTGGCTGGTTTGGAGCTGGTCGACCAGCCAAGGTCGACGGTGGGGAGAGGGCAATTCAGGCTGCCGTAGGGAAGAGGGCGCCTGTCAAAGCTGAAATCGAAAGGGGAAATGCTGGTTCGACTGGAATGTCGTGATGCAAGCGCGAATGTCTTTCTACGCTTGATGCAAAAAATGCAGGCGTCAATAGATTGATTGATGGGCAGATGAGTAGCGCAGAGAGTGAATGGAGGTGGAGAGGGACTGGTGAGCCGACGACTTGGCGGTTGTCGTGGTGTTCTTGTTCCCCCAGAAACCAACCACAGGGGAAATGGGCGAGGCTGGTGCTGGCGGGCAGGGGATTTACAGCGAGGTTGGTGCACACAGTCAGGCTTCCCCTTGTCCAATTATCAATTGACCCTCGAGAGCCAAACAAAACGATTCTTCTCCTCGGGCAAAAAGAGTCTCGTTTCCTCCTAAAGAGACCTGCGGCAGACGCCAGATAATATTTGGTTATCGCACTTCCCTGGTGATTTCGCAGAAGGTCTTTTTGCAGCTCAGCAGCGATGGACGGATTGCGCGGTAGCCTGGAGGTGGGTGCAGTGACGTCGATGTAAACAAAAAAGGAGTGGCTGGCAGGGCAACACATCCATGGCCCCCACACGCTCGGAAGGCGACTCCTTCCAGACGGCAGCGCTCCACCACGCTTCAGCGCCGGCGCCAGCGGAAACTCCTTTCGGGCCTTGGCCTTTTTTCTGTAGCAGATCGACAACAAGACCCACCACCACCAGATTCATGCCTGCATGGATATCACTGCACTGCAAGTCTGTAACCACTGGTCGCGGGTTGTACCCGTAGCTTGCGCTGCAAGTGGTGAGATATCCCACCCATCACAGTGTCTCTTTAGAGGGGGATGTGCATGCCTGGCTCTTGAGTAACTACCTAGGTATTGACGGAAGGTGACGGGTGCTATGTGAAACTCATGAGAGACTCGGCACACTACCAACCATGGCAGAGGCAAAACTCGTGGCCTTCTCGAACGATGAGCCTCGGTCGAGGTACTAGGGAACTCCAAGGGGCTTGACTGATACGATGATAGGTTTGGAGTGATATACTTGTACGTAGCCCTTGTCATCCAGACGATTCGAACACACCTTCCAGAACATGTCTCCCATGCGCACACGCATAACGAACAGCCACCCACCCCTAGCCCCTTCCCAGTTTCACATAGACGAGCAAAAGACACACACATACAGCACACTCAGTCTTGTCCAATATCGGTCATTGTTGAATACATTCTTGTTGAAGCAGGTTCCGCAGCCGAGCACCTGATATCGCATTTCTCTCAGGGCTGTTCTCTCGCGACTACCTAGCATCGTAGACTATGAAAATAGAACGAGTCGTGTGGGAAATCTGTTCTTCCCTTCCCAGTATCCCCCTCCTCGTGTCTGAAAGATGTCATTTCAATCTCCAATGATAGATAAACCCGATGCCCCTTTGTTCCCAGCATCAAAATAACCAACCCGGCTCCTAGAACAAAACGTGAAAGCCGGCATCTCATTAGCCCCCCGGCCCACCAGCTTTGCCCATCTATACCGACAATGAGTTTCTCGTCCCCCCCCCCCCCCCCCCCCCCCCCCCCCCCCCCCCCCCCCCCCCCCCCCCGCCCCCCTCATTCCTTGCAAAGAATAGCTGTAGAAAACGGGTGGTTGCGACTGCATGTCCCCCTTCCCTGTGCCGAGCAGCTCCAGACGCGCGTCCTTCCAAGTCCTGTGCCAGGTGGCAGAGGGGAGAAGTCCAGAATGCAACCCGGCTACCTGCCGAAGAACAGAACGTTGTGTCTCGGCAGATAGCAGAAGGACAACCTTGTTCCCAGGCATTACGTAGTCCAGAAGCACAGAAAACCCCTCTTCTCCCTGCGTGACCCGACGGACGTTGGACAGAGGCCTGGAACTCCACACAATGTAAAAGAAAAAAGACGATATGCCGCTAACCGCCCTCATTCTGCAGAAATGCAAGAAACCCGCCCTTCCGCGAAGAAGTGTGAACTTCACTGCCGTACAGATCTATAGTAGTAATCCATTGCCCCCCCAAGAGAGGAGAAATGTCTGCGCCAATGCCGTAATTGTCAAGACAAGCTTCAGTACAGAGGTTCCAATGCACGAGCCATGGCGCAGCCATAACTCGTGATGAGGACGGGAGAAACCCAAGAAAGTCATGTGTGAAATGGCGCCGCCAAAAGAAACAAAGGGGGCAAAAGGAAAAGAAATGATATGAAAAGGGGGCCAGACGTTGAAACCGTAGGAACCACTAGGATTCACACAGTCTCTCCAAATGGCCCAGCAGAAAGCAGGCAACTGAATAATAAATAACAAGATTAACGGCGTTTTGCTATCCAAGACACCGGAATTATTCGACTCGTTCGAGTCACCGCCATCTTGCGTTCGTCAATCTGGTGTGTACAGAGACCAAGAAGAAACCCATGACCCAGTAAAGAAAGTCAAAATCGGTGACAGGTTCTGAAGGAGATGGGGGGAAATGTAGCCAGATCCTCCTGCTTTTGAGTGCCTGCGCCCTTGTTCGGGAGGGGTATCAAACATGCCGCTATCAAGACAATGACGCAAGATGTGTGTCGCGAGATATAGCAGAGGTAGCACAGGCTACAGAAAAGAAGCATTGGAATCGAAAGAAGAGGCAAAGCCCGAGTGATGCGTCGGACATGCCAGACGTCGCACTTCCATGCTGGGTCAGGAAGAAATTCGAAATGAGAATTAGCCGTATCCAAGGGAAAAAAAAAACCATCGCTCGCTCGCACGTAATCGCTGAGTAAAATATGCAAAATGTAGTAAACATGAGATTTCGTCGTTCAGGAGATTGTTGTCGTCATAAATCTTCGTCTTCCGGGGAAGCCTGCAGGTGACGACCAGTGGCCGTCAAAGCTCTCCATGGCCGTCCCCGTGATGACTCCTCTAGAGCCAGTTCTCTGGGGGTGCATGTCGCGGAGCGTACTCGTAATGATACCCATAGGGGTCATACATGGGCATGGGTGCCGTGCGACCGTAGGAACCTGCCTGCGAAGACGAGCGAGGAGCCTTGATGGCTGGCCGCTCGAACCTGGTGCGCCGGTCATCAATGTCGATGTAGCTCGACTTGTCACTGCTGCCACCACGGACCGAGGGCCTGTCTCGCGAGCTGATGTTGATCTCGGCGCCATCCTGGCATTGCATCTCGGCGCCGCCGACCTTGAGTACGGCGGATCCCTTGACGCGGATGGTCACGTCTTCATCATTGCTGGACCTTGTCGTCCGTGTCGTGGCAGACTGACGCCAGTCGCTCTCCTCGTGGCTGCCCGAACTCCTGGTGGATCGGCTGTGTGCGCTTGCCTTGCCAGCTTGGCGTAATGACTCCGCCGTCAAGGGTAGGGAAGGGCCCCCACTGACATCATCCTGGTAAGCAGCGGCCTCCCTGAGCTTCTCTTCCAACCCGCTGCCCGAGGACAACGAACGCCGGTTGTAGTAGGAATTCCTGCGGCTGCCGCCAGAAGCTGCCACTTCTGTTGAGTAAGATCCAACTTCGTAGGAGACGGCCGGGTTGCCAAGACTGGGCCGTTGGCGAGAGCCGTAGACCGAAGCGGCCAACGGAGGAACATCCTGGTAAAGATCGGGCTCTCCATCGAACTCTTCGTCATCAAAGTGGGCAATATGCCTTGGGCGAGATCCGTAAGAGGGTGGGGCGAATGGAGATGGCCGAATCGACAAGGGACGAGCCGACATGGGCCGGGGAGGTGGCGGCATCCGGGCGCGATCCTCTTCCTCCCTCGCCTTTCGAGTCGATCCTCGTCTTACGAGCCCGCCTCTCTCATTTTCTTGCTCATAGTCATCAGGGTAGCCGATGCTGGCCGGAGGGCGGTGAGACATGGCCGACTGAGGCCGGTTGAGCTGAAAACGCGAGCTGAGCGAGTTGTGCGAACGGGGAACGAAGTACTCGGGCGGGTGGCCCGTCATCGGGGGCGGCGGTGGAGGCATAGGGTAGCTGACGGGGCCAGCTGCCGCCCACGATGGGGGCGGGAAAGACGTCGGCGGCACAGCCGATGGCGGTGGGGGTTGAAAGTACTTGTTGTAAGTTAGTGGCGGCCGGGAGGTTGGTCCATAGTAGCTGGCGGGCCTCTGGCTGGACGTATACGCCCTAGGACGGGACGAAGCAGGCGTGGTGATGGCGCCTGTCTCAACTCCAAAGTAGTAGGGGTCATCTCGTGCTCGCCTGGAGCTGTCGATGACTGGTACGGGCGTGGTTTTGGAGTGCCTGTTCGGGGGGCGAGCCGTCACCGTCTTCTTGCTGTTGGAGGTCGCCGCCCTCTCCTTCTCCTTGTCTCGCGGCCTCGTCATTGACTCTCTCCTCGAGCGGCGGGGATGTGCGGTCGAGTCCGAGTCGTCATATCCATGGGGAGGGGATGCCGAGCCTCCCTTCCGCGTCTTTCGGGTATTTGGTCTCTCTTTCGTTGGGCTGTGCACAACAGAAGCGGCGTACGTCTCGGTGCCCTCGATTGCTTCACCAGTTTCGTCTGCATCCTCGCAATAAGCTACGTGACCAGTGTTGGCCCTGAGGCTGTCTCGTCTGGACATGGCGCCGGCGTCTCGTCAAGACTGTGGAAGTCGAGGCGGAAAAGAGCGACGAGGGGCAAGGTCTGAAGCGGAGGGAGAACAAGAGGTAGAAAAGAGGCCGAAGCCTCTGGAAGGAGGCGTTGGTGGGTGCTTTGATCTCAGATCGCTTGGTAGGAGGGATGGGCGTTGAGCGTAGATCAGCGATAAGATATGGTGTGTAAGTGGGGATGATCCGACAAATGTGATGCGATCCAAGATTTAGGCGTAAGCCCCGGGCTAAAGCTCTGGAACTGGATCGTCTGCGGAATTCTCGCGAGGTGAAGATCGCGACGACGGAGGTGCTGAGGGGGAGTAGGGGAATAGGTGGCGGTCCTATTAATAAAAGGGAGAATAGGCGGGCTGGCCCACGAGTATGATGGGTTGCTGACAGACCACCAAACGTGTCAGTCCTGTCTCTGGGCGGCGGTGGTGGTGTGTGCGAGAGGTGATGTTCGATCGAGACGAGAGCAGCGCAAGGAATAATTAATAAATTATTTTCTAGGGTACCACCACCAGCAGAGCAGCCGGCCGGTAGAGACCAGACCAGAGGGGGGGATGGGAAGTTGGGGGTGGGACGGGAACCAAGGGGAGCCAAATATTCAAAAGCCTGTGGAGGAGGATCTGCTACTAACTAGGTAGAATGGGCAAATGGGCAAATGGGGGGGAATGTGACACCACGTTAGGAACGGTTGCCAGGTGTCAGACGGCGTCCCTTCTCTCGCTCGATCGCAGTAACTACTCCGTACGGAGTACGTACCTTACCTACTTCGTAAGGTCTCCTCCCCTCCTCTGTGGCTCATGGAGGGAGGGACGACGGACGGGACGCGGGACGAAGCTTGGTGGAGCACTAGCTAAAGGGGACCCACTGACTGGCTCGACTGGCTCACCAATGCAATGCTGCTCGCTGGCTCGCTGGTCTGGCCGAATTGTGCTGCTCCAGAAACGGTCGTTTTTCCAGCTGCTGTGCACCTAGGTACTCTGTCATGTCCCCCTCCGCTTCCTCTCGTCCCCCTTTCAGTGTGTTGCATGCACCAGACGTGGACACTGGAATTCGCTCTTCGCTACCGGACAACAATTCACCTTGCACGCTGCCCACTCGAGTCAGGATCTGCTCTGTCTCGTGGCCCGACCGTATCATTTGCGGAGGCGACTTATGTCTGGCATGGGAAAAAACCAACCGGGATCTTACTTACAGTAACGCTCGAGGACGATCACTACGATGAAATCCAATCGTCCCCGTGGACACTGTCGCCTGTCTACCAGGATGGGGGGCCTTAGTTGCCATGTACCGCTGCTACTCCAGCAAGCCTGCAAGGTACTTTGCAGCCTCAAAGTACAACAGCCAGCTTGCGCCGGGGGGCCGACTGTGGGTGGGAGGATCCCCCCGTAGCTTCGTAAGGCGTCAACTGGGCTCGCGCTGGTCCTCTGGATCTGTTGGCCCTGGACCGTCCTGGTGGGCCTGCACCAGAGCTAAGATTGAGGGACTGTGGGGTTGGCGTCGAGCAACGAAGCACTGATGGGACGGCCAAAAAAGAACCTCAGTGCAGCGCGAGGGAACCTTGACCGGGGTTGCAAAGAGCACGAATCCCGGCGTCGTGGGCCTGTAACGACCGCAGTTTGCTGGCTGCTTCAGCGCCCGATGCCACTCGTCCCAGCGGTCCACGGTCCTACTTTGGTGCTTGGGTATCAATGGTGTGGTGACCTGAGAAGCAGTAAACTGCTCAAACATCTACACCGGAAACTGATCTGCACCTGCTTCGAACGCCTCGGCCTCGGATCGACCTCCCTTTCGCTGCTGGCTAGCCTGCAAACATGGTCCTCGGTCCTTGGAACCAGTTCGAGGAGCTTGTGCAGAACAAGGGACAGCGTGCTCTCGGCAGAAATCGTCATCTTCTCAACCCATTCCTTATCAAAGGGTTGTTTTTTTCTTCTGGCCCACCGAAGGCAACCATTCGGAGTGCAGGCAACGACGGCTGGTAGTGCAATCAGAGCATGCCGCCAGGCCACGACTAGCCCTCTCATTGGGTCTGTTGTCTTCGTGTGCAGACTCTCTGCATCATACACCCCGACGCTCCTGCTATCACAGCACAGAAGCGAACGCTGCCATCCTCTTCTGGGCCGACTCCGCCGAATCAAGGAGCAGCACTTGTGAGCAGTCGCTAGCCGAACGTAACGCACAGGGCACGTCTAAGGGAAGTAGTCTCAGCACTTGCCTCCAGCAACCTCCCGTGCCGTCGACACGAGCGTCTAGGATCCGAGCTGGCTCATGCGTCCAAGTGAAGGGGCTAGTCAGTGACGATCTTGTGCTCAATCTACCAGATCACTGCGGACCAGTTCATCGCCAGGAACAGAGCCTCATCCTAGATGATGACGCTATCGTGCTTGACCAGGTGATCACGTCACTGTAAAGCTGAGAAGCAATGTTGGTCAATCGGAGCCAGGGCCGGTGCACTTCGAAGCTTGACTCCTAGCTTCCTCTGCCTTGCCGGCATTCACATTACTAAGCCATTGATGCCATATGCAACACTCGTCGAAGCACCATTCTGTCTGTCAAGTGGCCACTCACTTGCTTCTTCAGCCAGCTCAGTTGCGGAGAACTCGTGTTTCACTGCTGAAGTATTGTTGGCCATCCGCTGAAACCAAGCTCCTGAAACTGGAGAGTGGCCCAGATTAACGATCTGACTCACAAAGGTGTGTACACCTGGAGAAATCGTGGATGGCCATGGTTTGACGGCTGGGTGGGAACACTGCATATAAGGCATTGACGCACTTGCAAGGGTGTGGCCGTCGAGCACACCAACCACATAGGTCCTGTGAACCTCCGTGCCTCACAGTCTGCTTATGTAAAGCTGCCTGCTCTATGATGCCAATGGTGGTTTGTTGATGATGATATAAACGCATGCAGGAAAGCATGTGTTGACTCATGGGCTCACCAGCGAATTGTGGTTCTTTGAGACCCGAGCTGCGAGTTGCTCAACCCAGATCCTTCACGATTCGGTCAGCGGTACAACCGTAGCATCCCACCGTTTCCGGAACGTTGAACCAATCCGCGCCGCAATTGGTAGTAGGAAAATGGTTGTGTATGCAGCCAAGCAAAGATAGTTAGCTCATATGGAGCTTCTCAATGGTCTGTTAAAGAGCTTGCATCTAGACAATTTGATCGGCACTAAAGACTTTGGAGAGCGGCGAAGATGCAAGTCAACCCACACCGCCTTTTTGCCGGAGACGTGCCCCAATGGCCGAAAGCCATGGAGCCGTCCCGAGAGCCAACCCTCTGCTTTGTGGCAGAGAAGAGGGTGCCATTTGAGGAGAGGCAGGCCCCGGTAGACCGTGGAGGGCGTTCTTGAAGAGACCGGGCATCGGGAACCGGATTTCCCAGATCGATATTGACCATATCATCTGATGAGGTTGACAATTCACTTTGCTCGCCACTTTATAGACGATGTTGAAGTGAAGGGATTGTTTTGAATGTGTTTTCAGTCCTCTTGAAGGCATTTTCACTCCCTACAAGAGGAGTGACACATCAGCGACAACCGCCCGGTGATCCGACAAGTAAATGTCGTCATCAAACCGATTAGCGAGGATCCCAAAGGTGAGAAAATCGGATCGGCTGCCGGCTTCCTTGACGAATAGGAAGTCAATCCTTTGGGGTGTCTCATTCGGCTCTCCGAACGAAGTGTATGTAATGTCGTGGTTCCCGTACTTCCGTTCACTGGACACCAGTTCCGATATGTCTGCCATGCCCCTTGGCGGTGAGGTGATGGTCCTGTAGCCGCCATCATCCGGAGTGCTGTTGAGATCCCCCCCAAGAAAGACTGGTGTGTTTCCGTATTCCTGCGTCCACATCTCGGCGATGTCGAGGATCAGCTTGGCGCTTTCGATTCGAGCCTTGGTCCCCCGGTGGTCAAAGTGGGTGCTCATGACAATGACACGGGCAGCGCTGAGCTGGCTCCGGAATATACCGACAGTCACCACACGGTTGAGGTCGGCATCCCATCCTCGAGAGGGCTTATCGGGCGTCTCGCTGAGCCAGTACATCCGCTGTCGTTCACATTGCCATTTGCTTGGCTGGTAGAAGATAGGGGAGAACTCCCCGGCGGCCACTCCGTCGTCACGGCCCCGGCCAATGGAAGCCCAGGAACTACCTAGGCTCTCCTGAATGTCAACCAGTTGAGCGTGAAGGACTTCCTGTAGACACACAAACGCATTATCATGGCCCTGTGTGACGAAACTGAGTTGAGAGCACAGCTTTGGACGGCGTATCTCCCACGGCTTCTCCTCCGCTGCCGGACTCGTTGTTGCGTATCGTATATTGAGAGTGATGAGGCGCAGAGGTATCTGCTCTTGGGCATCTATTTGTGTCATGTCTGGTCCGCATCCAAGCCTGGGCACGTCAAAAAGCTGGCGACGGAGTAACGTCTGAAATGGCTTTGAAGGGGCAGCTTGGCCGGGCAAGGCTTCGCAAATGAGGTTTTAATGACGAACTAAGTCGAGAATGGAACGACCAGACCACAGATGATTGATCGAGCCATCCACAAGTGCTTTGCGGGAACATGAGTGACGATGTGAAAAGGCAAGATGCACGTGATGGATCAACCCTCGCGGTTGCCTCAAAGGGCCCAAGACGGGAGATTCTCTGACTAACACGGTGTATGCTAAATTTGGCTACTCTGCCTGTGCCTGGATTTCAAGAAGCGGCCCCCGGCTGTTCGCTCAAACTGCACTTTTCCTTCCCATCGTCGACTCGATCCTGGACCCGGATCGACAATGCCGGGGCAAGGAACCGTTCAATGGATGCAACTTTTCGAGAAAGCTCTTGTTGGGCTGCGACAGCATGGGCACATCATGCAAGGCACGTTTTGCCGCCTTCGCCCATTGACTGGTCGCAGTTCAGCATCTGCTTATTGAAGCGAATCAAATGCGCAGGTCATTCCCAAGCCGGTGCACACAGATGATACGAATCCGGAATATGCTGTCTCGCTCAACAGAATCTCATTGCTGTTCCGGATTAGTCGGCACCATCTGAGTGGCTTGTGGTGGGCAGCACAGTCAGATGGTTAACCTTTCGGGACGGCTGCGCATTGTGTGGCTGTCTTGTGTCTCACCCTAGTGAGTAATCCGACCGCCCGAGGCTGTCACGGGTCCCCGAGCGGACGCACTACTCGAGGCTCCATCACGACCTTGGCTTCCCACAAGCAGGATTGATTGCGCTATCACATATCTCTATGTGATTTCTTCGTGGAAGGGTGAAGAAGAACCGGCTGCTTGGAACAGGGTTTTCTTCAGTCCAGATAAGCAACCCCGCTTCAGCTCGTGATGACCTCCTTGGCTTGCAAAGCTGCGTGTTCAGGACACCACTTCGCCCTTCCCAGGGAGGCGCAGGGATGTCGGAAAGTGATTCATCGACCCTTATTGGATCCCTGCACGTGCGAAGGCTCATCAGCAGCTGCCCCGCGAAGTGAGACCTTGAGCTGGGTGACCACCCTCCTTTGTCTTCACAAGGCTGGCTGAATGCGCCCCCCTTTGGTCCTATATTCGCCGGTGACAGCGGCCACTTTACGAGGGAATGGACTGGCATGTACCAGCAGACTGAAGCTGTGCACATGAGCTTGCAGCCCTCGACGCACGCATCTATATAATACTATCGGCCTGGCCTCCCAGTACGGAGTACTGCACGCATAGGATTACTGCAATCGGTTGGGTCTTTTTCTTCTTCTCCTTTTCCCATGGTTGCACTGCATCGGCACTCGTCCGTTGTGCAGATTGTCCTTTTTTTTTTTTTCACGGGCCGATACATGGTTCCCTTCTTACCGACTTGGACTCGATCAAATTTGATAAACAAGGCCCAAGTCGGGCATCCCGGATCTGCTTCTCGAGAGATATCTACTTAAGGCTATCATCTCTGCCTAAGGTGGCCACTTCTATCTCAGTCATAGGTGCACCGAGGAATGGCTGCCTGTCACTACCGTGAATGACATCCTGGGATGACCAACTTTTAAACCATTCGCTGTCCTGTTGTTCTCAACGGGAAATTTCCTCAAATATCAACACAGTACTACACAATGCCTACTCCCACTCCTGGCAGCCGCTCACGGCGGGACTCGTGGCCCCCTACTCAAGTACACATCGGTAGCACGATGGACCACGACAATATCAACAAGGACGAGCCTGATCTTGCCCTGATAGATGATGATCCTCTCACATACTTTCTCACGCCTGCGCCCGCTATGGAGGACGAAGACATGATGGACCTCGATATGGATGCCGGCATCGAAGACCCCAAGAACCAGACTGAGATCGTCCGGTCTGTGAGTCCCTCCTCGCTGGGAGGCCTGAGCCGACCGCCGCCCCGGCCGCCAACACCCCCACGCTCTCCGCCTTGCCGGCTCTCGCCCGATCCCGATTCGACAACCGACGACGACGATGACGGGGAAGAGTACATTCGCCTCGGCACAAGCTACCGACTCCCGCTCAATCTTCCATTCAGCCTCCGCGAGTTTACTGGCTTGAGGAAGAAAGCCTCTGCAGGGAAGACGTCGAGACCGACGCTCCTGTCGCCCAATAGCTTTCCCGGACCAGGTTCTTCGTCGTCATCGTCTATGCCACCATCGAACTCATATGCCTCGTCACGAGGCCGCTCCGCAGTACGATTTGGATCAGGGCCTCCTGGATCCCGTCGTTCAGTTGGGCTCCGCGAGCGGACTCAAAGTCTACCCACAAGACAATCACCAAGAGCTTGGCGGGAGCCGAGTCCTGATGTCTGGTCTATCGAGGAGGAGGCCGAGGACGATGTGGAGATGGGCACCGCAGAAGGCGGCACGCAGGCGGCTACTGAAGCACCAGTCACAAAGCCCAAGAAGAGGGTACGCTTTGTGCTGCCCGTTCAGGAGATATGATCACGGGCTGTGGGATGGAATGCGAACACGAGATTGGTCAACATTGCATTAGATGGCGTTCTGGCATACATTTTTTTTTTGAGGCATTGATTGCAGCATTGTTCATCACAGGCATGGTTACATGGGTGGCGTTGATGGATGCTCAGTCACACAGCATTCGGTGGCTCGTTTTCGTTTTGTTGTTTACTCTGGCCTGGTCGATCCAGCATGTCGTTATGTTTCGTTGCTTCGCACCATAATTTGAAACGTCTTCATTTGGCTGAAACCTCTCGACCAAAGTCCCCGCTCTAGTATGTGTGAAGTGGCTGATTTAAGCTTACCTCCCGTCAGCATACCGACATGAGCAGATAGGATAATAACTGCTGCATGTCGAAGATGCAAGTTTCCGTCGCAACAGCCGCCCCTTCGCCGAGAGAGGAAGTCCAAGCTACTCGCTTTCTACGCGGTACCAGACTCGGACTCTGTCAGCGGCACGAAGGGAAGCGAAGGCGATGAGAGGATGCTGGCTGCACGGGACGATATTGGACGGTCCAGGATGTCCTGTCTTACGGGCTTCCCCAGCATGTGTCTGATCCTGGTCTGTAGCTGGATGATGTCAGCCCCGGTCCTGCCCTCCCTTAGCACAGCCTGTCATCACAACAAATCAAGGCCCGCGGCGGCGGCACCGACATGGACAATCGCATGCAGAGAGTGCTTGTCGGCTCGGGCGACTCGACGCATGGCGCACTTTCCGAGGAAGAGAGAGGGTGTGACCACTTGTTCCCTTTTGCTACATATCACCTTCTAAGGAGAGTGTGTCGCAATGGACAGACAGACAAACCGTATTGTGATGGATGGGTGGACTGAGATGGAGGTGCAAAAGCCACAATATCCCCAAGCCCATCATCTGACAGCCAAATGCGCATATGTGCGTCCTCTGCGATGCGAAATGCCCACGCATGAACAACAAGAGACGCTACCGGCGTGCAATACCACCAAAAGCAAGGCCCCTCGGTAGTTTTAATAAACTTTCCGGATTGGCGATGGCCCAAATCTTGGAGATCAACGCCGACTGGGCAGATCAGTGCAGTTAATATCTTGGTTTCGGTTGGAGGTTGCTGCTGAAAATGGCGCCCCGCCGAGGGGGATGGTGGACCGCACAGTGGGCTCGAGTGGTACCAGAGGGGCCAAAGCCGGGAGCTTCCAGGGATGGGCGAGCCCGGCCGGCCCTAGAGCGGGTACACATGCGCTGCTGAGCGAGCCTCCTAGGCCGTTGGGGGTTTAGCGGGATGCGCTAGCCGGTACAGATGAGCTGGGTGACCCCCCCATAAGAACAGGGATGCCTCGATCTCATGCCATTGTTTATGTCTGGGCTCACCGGCGCTTTTCATTGGCCGAGGCCAACCATGTTATTCAGGTTTCCTGATCTGCTCCCGGTCTTTCCACAGCAGACAGCACAGCAAAGTACAGCACAGCATCACTGGAGCAGCCCTGCCCGCAGCCATTTTTTTTCCCTTTCCGACCAAAGGGAATAATTCCTTCCTCCCGAGATGAAGTTTCTTTTGTAGCGAGATCTCGCCAATGCGCTTCACCCAATGACCAGCAGAGACAGCCCCGACCGACAACGCTGCAGAAGAGAGGCATAGACTGCGTGGACAGCCAGCCCTACGCACCAGCTCGAATAGCTCAACTGACGTTGTAGACCGCCGCGGGCGCTACCGGTTGCTAGGCGAGGCTCTGACGACGACTGCTTTCCTTCCCGACTACTGCCCGCGACCTTGCTGTGCGACGATCAGCAAATCTCAGCCCGACAGCATGCGGTTCACCTAGGTGTGTGTGTGTCTGTTCTGACTTGCTTCTTCTCTCTGCTGTTTGCGCAGCCTATCTACCAATTGCTTCCTATCTGAACCCTCCCGGATGGTCGTCTCCCACCCCAGGTGATCGTCTCCTAGCCTACCTACTAGGGCCGCAGGAACCCCGACCTCGAAGCATTCCGGATCGCAAACCGCCTCCTACCGAGGAATGTAGCTAACCCGGAGAAACTCACCAATCTAGAACATGCCATCGCCCAAACCACCTCCCGACGACCCATCACCGGGGCCTGCCACCCCTTCCACCCCTCACCGTTCGTCCCCAGCCAGCGGCGCAAAGAAGGCCACGCCGAACAACACCAACAACAAGAACGATGACGGCGCAACCCCTTCCTCCTCCAGCGGCCGCAAGGCACCCGCCGGCGCGGGCGGCGCGGGCGGCGCAAACAGGCAGCGCTCGAGCACGATGAAGCCCCAGCCCACCCTACTGAGCGACTTCCTGCTGGGCCGGCAGACGCCCGCGCGCGTCGCCGCCGCCCGGCGCAGGAGCATCGACGCCGCAGCCGTCAGGGCCGAGCTGCGCCAGGAGATGCGCCAGACCTCGGTGCGCAAGCTGCAGCAGCCCGGCGGCGTGCGCGATCGGGTCAAGAACTGGCAGAAGGCCAACGCCGCCGCCATGGCCGGCGGCGGCGACCCCGAGGCCACGCCGACGGAGCCGACCGAGGTGGGCGCCCAGCTGGACGAGGAGAGCGTCACGGAGGAGGACCGGATCCGCATCAAGATGAGGCAGCGCGCGAAGCGGCGGTCCGCGCCGGCGATACACCACAAGGGCAAGAGCGAGACCAGCCACGAGGAGTCTCAGGAGTCCAAGGATGGGCAGGACCATGCGCAGGGCGACTGGGAGGAGGACGGAGAAGAAGAAGGAGGGGCAGCCGATACTCCAGTGCACACACCGAAGACGCGAAGCCCTCCTAAGAAGAGGATCGTCAGTGACGAGCACTGGATGAAGAAGCGGAGGAAGAGCCCGCCGAGGACAGCACCGGCCAAGACGAAGACGGAGGGCAGACCCATACCCAGGGACTTCCTCCAGCGCACTGCGCAGAACCCCTCAGTGCAGAACAAGATCAAGGACTGGGCGACGAGGGTCGAGCCACCGGAGAGTCCGAAGGTGAAGACGTACAACACCAAGTATGGGGATACAGTGACGGTCGAAGAAGACGCCGAGAGCGGTCGCAAGAGCGATGGTGATGGCATTCGTGTGCGGCCCGTTCGAAAGAAGAAGACTAGCGAGAAAGAGGCGGGAGTGGAGGACGCCAAGCCCAGCCCCAAACCGAAGAAGACGTATGAGGATGATGGGATCCGGGTGACGCCATCGAACTCGAGCTTACCAGACGATGGTATCCGGATACGACCAGGTCCCAAGTCAGCAAATGACGATAACTCCTCAGTGAGGAAAGGCTCGGAGCGTAGTACTCGCATCCCCAGCGCTAGACGTGATCGCTCGCCATCGGAGCGGATAGAGGTCGTTGAGGAGCCAGAGTCTACTGTAGAGACACCGACAAGGAAACCGAAATCTCGCAAAGCGTCAAAGTCGAAGAAGAGCCAGGTTGCCTCTAGTTTCACGGGCACCCAAACGGACGGCGTCACGGAAGCGACAACAAAACAAGACGAGGACTCGGCCTCGTCGGCGGGCGATCACAGCTCCGTTGGAGCTTACGAGCCATCCAGTGCCCCTGGCAAATCCCTCGCCGATATCCCCTTTGGCTACTCTGCATTCAGCGAGTTGGACCTCCCGCACGGTGGCAGCGGGCAGCGGAGACCCAAGGCGCAGCGCAATCCTAGCCTGAAGGCGGTGCCCAAGGTGTTGAAGAAGGTGATGAGCGAGGGCAAGAAGATCATCCACAACCAGGTGGACCCGCCCAAGCCGGTCGTGAACCAGCCGCCGAGCATTGAGAGCTGGCTCAGCGGGACCGTCGATCCATTCGTAGATGCTCCGGCGCCGCGGAAGAACTCGGTCGAGGAGGACTGGAAGGACGAGGCGAAGAGGCGGTCCACGTCCGCCTCTCGGGACAATGAGGCCAAGAGGCGATCTACGTCTACTTCTCGTGATAAAGAGGCCAAGGAGGCCAAGGAGCAGACGCCGCCACCTCCTCCCCCAGAGCCTAAAGCTGTTAAGGAAGAGACGACGCCGAAAGAGACAGAAGAGGTTGAGAATCAGGAGAACATCAGCCCCAAGGAACCTGATGAAAAGAAGAGACATGAGGAGACGCCGCAAACGCCAAAGAGGGATAGCTATGCCGCTTCTTCAACAACCCCCAAGTCAAGCGGTCTGAAGAGAAGCATGGCGACTAGGAGTGCCGCTTCGCCGCTCAAGACAGGAAGTGCCAAAAAGACTTTCCGGGAAGCGCTGAGGGAGGCTTTCCGGGGCGAGTCTGGAGGTCACAACTTCATGCCAACGACATATCACACTGTTCAAGACGACCGGCTTACCGAGGACGAAGATGACTCTGAGAGATACGAATCATCTAGGCGCCGTTCCATTGGTGGCTCCAGGGGGAGATCACCGTCACCCGACCCGACTTTGTCAACGATCACCGAGTCAACTACAACAGACTCTGCTTCTCTTCCCGCTACATACCCGAAGCGCAGGCCTCCCACCAACGGCATGCACGAGCTATCTACCATCGTGTCTGAGGCGTCATACAGCACTCACGAATCAGATACGGTATCGACAGTCTCGCAGACGACAATCACTCAAACCACCGCCCTGACGGCTACTGACTTGACGCGCCAAAAGAGCAACAGGTCTGGCCTCAAGAGACGGCTGACCAAGCATTCCGACCTGGTGTCCGTCCTCTCGCTCCCCGACGACTCCCAATTGCCAGCGCGGACAAAGAGTATCAGAGTTGCTCGAAGCCTTCACAGAAAAACAAGCAAGCTCGACAATGCTACGCTGGATGACCTACTCAGAGAGTTCGCCGAAGACGAGAACCTCTACTCCAGAGAGCTCAAGACTCTTGTCGACGGTGTCGTGCCCGTCCTTCTCACGCAGTTCGTGCATGGTGACTCGCGACGACCCACAGACCTGTTCGATCCCAAGTCTTCTGGATCGCACAAAACAGATAGCCTGTCCAAGTCTGTGGTCAGCATGGGCATCGCGCTGGAGAAGCTGAGGAACTTTCACAAACGCGTCCCGTTACATGACGCTCAAGCTCTTCTCACATGGCTGGAGAGCGTGTATCCAGTCTATGATAACTACCTGGATGTCTGGCGCCTCGGCTTTCAGGATCTCATTGTCAACCTTGCCCCTCTGATTGGGAGACCCGGCGATGAAGACTCGCTCGTCGGCGCGATGCCTTTGAATGAGGAGGGAGATGTGCTTGACGATAATGGCGAGAGGGTTGACGTGGCCCACTTACTGAAGAGGCCACTGGTGAGGATAAAGTGGATATTGAAGTTTGCCAAGGTTGGTTGCAATGCATGCTGCATCATGAATTGACCGCGTATGATAAACTAATACGCAAACAAAACAGGGAGCGCGATTGATTCTTGGCGGTTTCATCGATGGAGAAATCGTGGTCAAGCTGGAGGCGCTGCAGGAGAAGGCCCGCCGGCGCCACCGCGAAGAGATGGCCCGCAAAGCCGACGAAGACGCCAACAATACTGACCCGACGCGCGCGCGCGACCTCAGGAATCTGGCCCCGATCAGCTCGGTGCACGTCGACCGGACACGCCAAGTCTACGCCAAGGACTGGTTCTCGCTGGACCTCTCCCACTCTAGCGGCCAGCGACTGGAATGTCAAGTGGAACTCGTCTTCAGGGACAAGGCGGACGACCGAAGAGACCCCGGTGACGTACTCATCCGCGAGACTGGACACCACGGGCAATCATGGCTCCTCTTCCCACCCGTCCCGGCGGGACAAATCTCTGCGCGGAGAGGGCAGTCTTCGCGGTCGCTCGTCGCCATGATCCGGGGCTCGCACAACATGGTGGAGTGGTACGAGCTCCTGACGCTCACTGCTGAGGACGACGAGGCGGTTACGGAGTGGCTGGACATCTTGGGCACGAAGCCGACGCCTCCAGACCTCTTTGCTCCGGGTCCGACCGCGCTCTTGCGGTTGGAGGATACGGCCCTGTCCAAACTGGACGTTGATGACATTCCTCTGGGCGAGCCCAGTGTGGTTGACGAGCCGCAAGCCTCGCCAACGAGACGATCATTTATCCCGCCAGCTGCTCCGGGCCTGGAACATCAGAGGTCACCTAAGACGCCGAGTCGATACCATCAACGACGGCAGAGTCGGCCGACCACTCCGACTTCGACGCATTCTCCGAATGGAGAGTCATCACCCGACAAGACGCCGACCCAGTCAACGTACCACAAGTCTCCTGCTCCTTACGACGCTCGCCATTCGTCACCAGAGGACTCGAGCCGGCCACTTCGGGAGGACATGCGACCTGACCCAGCCAGGTTGGCCAAGTCATCACCTCCTAACAGCACTCCCTTCCGCGAAGATGGCGCACCGCCTCCCCCAATCCACCGCACCCTCACACCGAAGAAGTCTTCCGCCTCGCCACCCGTCGAGCTGACTTCAAGCTCCCGTGTCAAGCGCCGGACCTCATCTCCTCTGAAACACGAGTACCATCCATCTGACGTATCATCCGAGGGCTCTGCTAGTTCCGAGAGCTCTGGGTCGGAGTCGGACGACTCCTCGAGCGACGAGCTAGAGGAGGATGACATCCCTGATACGCTACCCGGCATTAGCATCAAGAACGCTGAGCCAAACCCCACAGAATCTGTGATCTCCGACAGCAGCATCACCCCTTCCCACTCGGCATCGCAGGTTGGCGTGAACAAGAATGCCGAGGGCGAGACTGAATATCTGACCAAGTCGGTCGCCCTTACATCGTACTGGTCGAGTCGCAAGGGTATCTGGAAGGACATCAGCCCAGAGCCCTGCTCGATCGTCATCAAGCCAGGTCTTCTCGAGGCGTATCCCCTCGATGCCTCGCACTCACACCGCAATTCGCCGAGCCCGGGCGATGCCAATGATGAAACTAGACCCCTCATCGCTCTGGACCTGACGCCTGTCGTCATGATCCGGCAGAGCACGGTCGTCGACCTCGAGATCCGCTCGCCTGTCCGGCCGTACTCGAAGCTCAACAAGATCGAGAGCTCCATCTTCCGCTTCCGCGCCCCCTCGGCGAGCGAGATGGGCACGCTGTACGTGGCGGTGCACCAGTCGCGCCTCAACAACGCCAAGTTCAAGGCGCTCGAGGAGGAGGCGCGCTTCCGGTCGTTCGGCATGGGGGCCGCCGCGTCTGGGGACGCAGGTCAGGAGGACGACACGAGCAGCCGCAGGCGGAGCTGGTTCGGGCGCAAGAACAGCTACCGGGCGTCCACGCGGGCCCCGTCGCAGTCGCAGGGCAGCTCGTCGACGGGCGTGTCGGCGTCGAGCTTCCTCAAGCGGCTCACGGGCGGGGGCAACCTGTCGTTCAACATCGACAAGTCGTCGGTCGACAAGCAGAGCCGCGTGGGCAGCGGCAGCGGCAGCGGCGGGGCGGCGAGCCTGTACACCTCGGAGGGCTCGTCGTCGGCCAGCGGCGGCACGCCGCCGCGGTCGCCGTCGGTCAGCCTCGCCGAGGGCAGCACGCGCGGGCTCAAGGCGCTGGGGTCGGACAACCTGCGGATCCGGTGCCACCTGGCCGTGTCGGCGTCCAAGTGGGAGGACCAGGGCAACTGCCTGCTGCAGATCACGCGGCCGCCTCCGGGGATGCGGCAGGAGCTGAACCTGTACCACGGCATGGAGAAGCGCATCATCGTGACGTCGATCCCCAAGAAGGAAGGGGAGAAGGCGCTCGTGGTGCTGGACGTGGTGCTGGGCAGCCGGTGCTTCGGGAGGCTGGGCGCGCGGGGGATCGTGCTCAACGTGTGGGAGGACCTGCGGGACGAGAACAACATGGTGGGCGTGGTGCCCAAGGCCGGGGCGCTGAGCGGCAAGGTCAAGAAGTGGTGCTTCCAGTGCTCGAGCGCGCGGGAGGCGAGCTGGATCCTGGCGCTGGTGGCGCAGGAGGTTGTCATCTCCTGAGTGAGTTTGTTGTCGAATACCCTTGTTCTTGTGAATCGTTTTTATTTTCCCCTTTCTTTTGTGTACTTAGGTGGTCAAGGGGGTGGCGGGGAGGGGGTTGTGTATAGATGGACTTTGGGAGGGAGGCTCTTTTCTCTTATGGGAAGGTCCTCATTTTTTACATACTTTTTTATGAGAGCGAGCGAGGGATATATCAGCGTGTCTTTGTTTTTTTGCTCATTTTGCATTTTAGAGAAAGGGTGGCATGAGGAACTGCGTACATATTTCAAGATGGGCGGCGGTTTTGACTGCATGTATCTACCGTTTTACTGCTTTTTGACTCTTGCGACGGCTTGCATATTGGCATAGCCAGTTGAGGCATCCGCTTTGCGAGGTAGACGTTGCATTTTGAAACTTCTCATACCAAAACCGGTACATTAATGAAAATGGTTATTATTGATCAAGTTGGTATTGAAAACAATGCTCAATGTTCCCCTTTGTTGCATGCACATGCCCTCTGGACTCGACCGAAGCTATTGTTAGCATTGATCGATGTTCTGCTGAATAAGCATTGCATCACCGGCTCAGCCAATGAGCGGGTCGCGCGAGTTTATTGAGGGTATTGTTTGCGGACACGCTCACTGGACTTGAATGGCTCAATGGGTTGGTTGCCCTTGGTAGCTCCCTCCCTTCCAAGGTTCTTATCCATTATCGGCTCCTTCTACTACTGCGCGCCAGCCCGTGTCGCAAGCGGCAAGCTCTTTATATTCCCTTGCTTCTGCGACATCAACACCATCTCCTTCCTCCCTTCCAACCCGCTCTCAACCTTACTACTTCTGCGCATTTCGGTCACTACCTTTGATGCGATAGTATTTCTACAATCCCTCCCTTCTCACTCCGCGCTTTCTCCTTGAAAGGGCCATCCATAGCCTCGACTCTCGACTCCTTAGCTCCCCGTCTCAGCCTTGTTCCACCCACCCGCGCAACCGCACCGAGACACACCTTCAACATGGTCGCATACGCCCAGATGAAGGTCGCCGACCTCAAGGAGCTGCTCGCCAGCCGCGGCCTCGCGCAGACCGGCATCAAGGCAGACCTGGTCGCGCGACTGCAGGAGGACGACACGGCCAAGGCTGGCAGCGCCGCCGCAAAGCCCGCCCCTGGTAAGTTTGCGCCATGCGATTTTTTTCATTGCTTTCCCATCGCAACAATCGTTTCCTCGAACGACTTTCTCCATCATGGTCCGTTCCCGAATTGCTAACGTGTATGTCTATCACAGCCGAGCCCGCCGAAGACGAAATCGACTGGGATGACGACGATGACCTTAAGAAGGACACCGCGCCTCCCGCCGCCGCAGCAGTAGCAGCGCCGGCTGCTGCCTCCGCTCCGGCCGCCGAGCCAGCCAAGCCCGCAGCCCAGCCCGCACCTGCAGCAGCCGCCGCCCCGGCTGACGCGCCCGCTCCCGCGGCCGCAAGCGCCGAGGCGACGACCACCACCAGCGAGACAAAGGAGGCCGTCCCCGAGGCCCCCAAGGAGCTGCTCTCCCAGCACCTCGCCGACACCGACGCCGACGAGGAGGCCAAGCGGCGCGCCGCCCGCGCCAAGCGCTTCGGTCTCGTCGTCGAGGAGACCAAGAAGGACGACGACAAGGCCGCCGGCGAGGCGGCGGCCGACCTGGACGAGGACGCCAAGAAGAAGGCCGCGCGCGCGGCGCGCTTCGGCGTCGACGCCGGCGCCAGCGCCGCTACTGCTACCAACGGCAGCAGCGGTCCCAACGTCAAGGGCCTGGACAGCGCGCTGCCCGACCGCAAGCCCTCGCGCAAGCGGGGCCGCGGCGGCGACGACAACGGTGGGCGGGAGCGGGACCAGAAGAGACAGTTTGGCGACCGGAACAACCACAACCGGCGTGACAACCGCGGCCGGCAGGGCCAGGGTCAGGGCCAGGGCCAGAATCAGAGGAGGCAGGGCGGTGGTGGTGGCGGCCAGAACCAGCAGCAGCAGAAGAGGAACATCCTTGATGACCCCGAGGAGCGGAGGAAGGCCGAGGCCAGGGCTGCGAGGTTCAGGAGCTAGATGCCGGTACCTCGACTGGTGGCCTGATGCTTGCCGGCTTGAAATCGAATCCGGTGAGGTGACGATATCCCGAGGCTGTCAGGAGCCTAGAGATGGAGGGAGCCCGGGAGCCTGTCAAGGGAGACTTGTGAAAAGAGGCTCTGTGTTGGGGAAATTCAGGACGTCTGTATCATTATTCAATTACAAGAGGAAAGGGAGGATGGGAAAGGCTGGGAGATTTCCAAGATAGTCTCTTACTATGGTCTTTTTTGTTGTTGAGAAAGGGGGATACTAAGCAATTTCATTGTCTTCTCAAACTTTACTCTCTGGTCTTTCTAGATCTTTATGGACGAGGAGGGGATTGCGGAGTTGGTGGTCAGATTGGCGTTTCTGGGATAGAAAGTCAAAGGGAAGCTGTATAAGAAAATGGCAAAAAGTGCTCTCAATGTTTTGATATATTCCCTTTGTCCCAAAACAGTCCAACTTCATGTGTGAAAGACCACAAGATTGCTCCATACAAAAGGGCTTATGCACGGCTGCAACTAAGACTGAGCATGACGTAAAGCATATCAGGATAAAGTGGCAGAGGCCTTCGCGCAAAAGTTGGGAGGCTGCTGCTCTTGCTCACCGAATGGCTCGAGCTATTTCGTAGTCGACACACCTTCGTTCTACAGGTGTTGATTTATCCTGGGGATTGTGGTTAGGAGCACCAACGATGACGGTTCCATCCCGAGCCTCTTTGCGCTGCTGGCTTTACAGTCCGCTGTCGTTCTTCCTAAAGAGCATACAAACCAATGACAGCCATCGGCTTGAGCACGCCGACGCGTGTTAGAGTTCCTACGAGAATTCGAGACTGAAATAGACATAGAAATCAATATCTGCCGTAAGCGACAGTCACATACGAAGCGCAAGGTGTCGTTGCTATGACGATCTCCCTCACCTGTCGTCACGATATGTCCGATTTCCGTTCCGATGCGAACGCCCTCCTCTCCACCGGGAAAGAAGCAGTACTTGATAGGGCAGAGTGCGAGAACCGAAAGGCAGTGCGGCCAGCCCAATAGAAGTATTCCCGCATCATGTCCTCCCCCCCAACGAACGACAGCACCGGACAGACACTCGGCGTTTGTGCTTCGCTCAGGTGGAAAGGATGGGACCACATGACCAAACCTCCATGCGATCCTGTCCGAATGCAGAAGGAGGGATGTGACGAGAACGTCCAGCCCTGTCAGTGGCTTCGCATATCACACCCGTCCGTCCCCCTTTAGCTCGGCACCCTGCCGTCACTTAAAGCAGAGAGACCGCTCAGTGACGGCGGCGGCCCACCAAAGGGGGATCCTCCTCTTCCTCCGCGAGCGGGATGCGGCGCGGGTCGTTCCTTTGGGGCGTGATGGCCCCTTTTTACACCCCCTTTCCCCCTTCTCACGAAGTGGGACCTCTTCCATCGGGATGGTTTTGTTTTGGCAAAGTTGAGGACAGTTCTCGAGAGACCTGGAGAGATGGCCGATCAATGCCGGACCCCGCAGGAGTGAGGAGATGGGGGCCGGCCCTTGTTCGCAGAAAGGACCCGGAGCACTGATATCAAACACACACAAGACATATCCTAACTACCTATAAGCTACAAGTCAACGGCACCTAGCCAGAGGGCGTGCCCGCAATAAGTCCGCGCAGCGAGCGGAGAAGTCATTCAGAATGCAAGACCATTCGCGGAGAAGGGGGTCATGGCAAGCGGCATTCTCCACTCGAGCGCCTATATGGCATATCTCACGGAGCAGAGGTCCACTTGGAAAGACTAGCCAGTAGCATATGATAAACCGGAGGGAGTTTCCATGGCTGTATGCTATTTTGTTCGCTGATATTCCTTCATCCTATGGCCAACGCTAGACGACTACACTGGGACTTCACTCCGATGTCCCTCCTGCCTCGAAAGGACAAGAGAGCATTATGACAACTCATCAATCGTCAAGAACGGGCCTGTCCGGCTGAAAGAAGAGTGGCTTCCTCAAGACCAGACCGATCCAGCCAGTCAGTCTCGTAGTCTGGGGAGAGATGGAAAGGACAGGATAAATGCGATCTGAATGGAGAGCACCGTAAGCTTGGAGCCGGAGAGCATCGACCTCTCGAGAAGCGAGTCCTTCCTGTCAGCTGCGGCAAAGCATCGCGCTAATCCCGCATTGAGCACAGGTCGCGCTTGGATTGATACGCCGCTGTCAGCATTCCTGGACGACTAGAAACCTGTTAGAGAGGAGGAAATGTGTACGGCCTTCCAGGTTGACCCCGTGATCACGGTCTGCGATGCGTCTCATAGGACGCCGTCTGCCCCAGAAGGCCACGCAAAAAGGCCCAGCAGGAGACCGCACAGCTCCGTCATCGTATTCCTGCATGCGCTTCTCCCTCCCTCTCCCTTCTCCGACGCTCCAACGTCGATGCCTTCACACCAACTCGCCATCACGTTACCTCTTTGCGACGCCAGAGACCAAAAGGCTCTGCCGCTGGCTGTCTCACTCGGACGTCCAATGAGATCTACGAGACTCTACGAGACCCCTGCCCACCTGGACTTGACCCCTGGTCATGGCGCTCTTGGCAGCTATCATTGGGGGATGGAGGTGTCCGGGATTGAGTGCAGGGGTTGCGCAATTGCGGATTCGAGCTCGTTGGCGGAGAGAGAGATATCTCTCGCCCATTCAATATGGAAGGACTGTCATCGATTGTCCTTGTCTCTCTCTCTCCTCGTTCGTCTCTCGAGGGTCGAGAGCCAGAGCATTGCGCAGAAACAGGCAGACTGACGTCTGCCTTCGGTGAATCCCTAGCCTGCATAACGATTCGCGGGCGTCGGGTCCCCATCTACGTACGTACAGTGTACACATACCATGCAAGGTCCCAGCAAGCGTGCATTCGCTTAGGGCTCAACAGCCACCGTCGCCTGCCACGTCACCAGCCTCAGACTCTCCATTATTCGCCTCGAGTACGACGCCTTTTTGGGGCAAACGGTGGCACTCGGCGGTCCCCTGGCTGTGGCGGAGTGCAGGAGGAAGTTGTTTGTTGGCAGGCAGCCGACCAGGGATAAACTAGGGCACTCGCCACACTTTCTCTCTTCGGCGATCCCAGAAACTTGGTAATGCTGCAGATGAGTTGCATTCGCGATCGGTGCCATCCTTGTCAGATTGGATCTGGGACGGCGGGGGGCCTGAGCGGCCAAGCGGCCTCTCACCTCAGACCAGGTGAAGAAAGGGAAAAAAAGCAGGAAAGCCAGTTCTCGCAGCTGACTTTCGCCGTCGTTGCCAGCGCATCAATCTCGCCACGCTAAAGTGCGGCGTTTCAGCTGGACCAGTTCGCCTTGCTTCTATGCCAGGTGAGCGAGCAAAGGTCGGTCTGCCGTCCTTTTCGACCCGCAGCTGTAAAACAGAAAAGGCAAAAACGGATTTCTTCTCATCCGTCCAGTTTTCTAAAACTGGTTCTCGGCAGGCAGGACAACTGCCAGCCATCAAAAGGGCGTGATCTTCGACTCCTGCATACCAGCCGGAGTAGCTCACAGCGAATCGGCCTGCAGCAAAATCTATTTCTGTCCCTGGCCGCATCGGACAGGGCCTTCGGTCGCGCTACCTTACACGCTGCGTTTCCCAATCGCTGAAACGCTTGCGTCTCGAGGCCAGGCGTAATGTCGTAACGGCAGTCATCAGATGTTGGTTCTCCATATCAGATACGGAGACACAGTTGAGTGGGCAATGTCCACCAGTGTTATGCTTGCACCCTGAGTGGTATTAGGGCAAATTGACTCTCGCCTGCCTGCAAAGAACCAAAGATGGTGCATCCGGCTCCCTTCCGCCTCGCCCGGCTTCAAACTCCCTTCCTCAGTGGATCCGCGGAAGGATGTCAAGCCTGACTAAGAATGGGAATTATGATAGTGTACCCACCCCCCCCCCCCCCCCCCCCCCCCTTTTAGACCATGATGACAATCATGTTGGTCCTCGAGATTAAGGTGAGATATGAGGCAAGGAGACTGCGAAGGCATTGGTCGGAGGAGCAGATCGCGAGATCCTCCTGTAGATAAGGAGAGACATGCAGTAGCATGGCAGAAGCTCCTTTGAGACACCGGTTCGGCGGGACTCAGGGGAAGCGAGGGAGCGAAGGAGAGTGACGGGAGTGATTGGTCCAAAAATGCAGGAAGCTATCCAATCACAAAAATCAGCGGGCAGTAAACAAGGTGCCACCTCGACAGGCGACGAATGGTGTCGCGAGGCTGGGGATGTGGGCGCCTAGCAGTTGGTGTCCGAACCATGAAGAGGGTGGGGAGGGGTGTGAAGGCTCCTGTCGAACGAACAGTTACTGTCATTTCTGTTTGGGGTCGTACAGGTTGCGAAAATGAGCAATCCTGAGGAAGCATTGGTTTCCAGGAGGATGGGATCTTATTAACTCCCCGCCCATCCTTTCCCAAGAACAGGGTGCTCGGACGGTCAGAACAGCAGCACGGCAACTGCGGCGGACAGAGGAGAAAAGCCCAGAACGCAACGAAGGACGACACTCGTCGAGAATGTGGTTCAAAGAGCAGCAGCTGGAGGGTGGGTGACAACGTTGTTGCAATGGTGCCCGTCTCTCCGTACCCTTGTCCGGAACCCTTGTCCCTGCTGGTTACCTACCCCGCCAGGATCAGCATTTGTTCGCAGACTGAGTCCTTTTACGGTGCGATACATACGGACACCTCTGTTACCTAAGGATTATGGATAGTCAAGTAATGTTGGTCGTTCGTTTCCACGCCCGCTGGCCTGACAAGCGCCGTTGAGGGTTCCTTAGTTCCTTAGCTTTGGAGACATGCAGGTCTAGGAAGACGTGCCGGATGTGCTAAAAGTGACCGGTCGGCTGGTCGCCAGAGTGAGACATGCAGATATGCAGCTCGACGCATGGGTGAAGCCTGCAGCATCATTGCCAGTCCTCAGGATTGGAGGGAACGCGCTGCTCAGCAGCAATCGCCAGATCTTGCATAACTGGAAACACGCCGTCTCTGGATGGGCATCTGACTGGCGGATATCGACCAGTAATGCGTTCATCTGTCCGATCTGCGGTTTTCTTGGTAGGATGAGAGATGGAGATGACAGCCAGCCATAGGGAACGGACGTGTAAAGTGGTTAGCTGTCGGCCAGAGGGCGGCATTTCATGGCTTGAGAGGAAGTCCCAACCAAATCGTCTGGACACCCATGGACCTGAAGTGAGGTCAGTATGGCGGTGCTGAAGTTGTTTTAGGCGCTGGTTTAAGCGACACTAGAGAGCAAACAGAGCAAGTGTCCCCGCCAATACCCGCCGAAGCCCAGGCCAGCTTTTCTTTTTCCCCCCTCCGCCAACACCAGACCTTCCTCCATCCGATATGGCCTCTCTCCCAGCTGCCTCCCCACCCACCCACACACACACACACACACACACACACACACACCTTTACGAAGTGGTCTCTCCCATCCTCCTCTCTTTCCGCGTGGACGTTGTGTGCGCTCCTCCCCCGCCCACGCCATGCCTGGAAGCTAAGAGAGCCCTTGACCATGTGGCATTGCTGTCTCACCGACTCTTTTACCGGGCTCACATTGATCAAGTGCCCTCTCCTACTTCTTCTAGTGTGTCTTAGGCTCGACTGTTCACCGCAAGATGATGCAACCGACCATGCCGCCATCGCCGTCATGACGATCGTTGTCTCTCGCTTCAGCAGCAGCCTCTGAGAGCAGTGCAGGCACCAGAGGCCTCTCGAAGGAAAACCTCAGGGTCTCTTGCAGGGGTTGCTGCGAGGTTACAGGGCTCGCCTGCCCAATGGCGTTCGTCAGGCACCACTTGAGCGATCTCATAGGGCATCGAGATATGCATCTCCCAGGGCCTGGCTTTTACGCGCATGGCGGCGCAGTTCGCTGCTGCAGGCAGCGCCTTTGTAGCGTGAGAAAGAGAGAGAGAGAGAGAGAGTCTGCTCGCACAGACTGGCGAGAGCGCGCGGTTGGTGCGTCTGGTACCGACCTGAAGAAACTTCTGCTGATCCGCCCCGTTTCCCACCTGCCCTCACCACTCACGGGCAATCATGGCATCATGCGCGTCCTATTCTCGCCCGCTCCAAGGACGACGCCGTCTCCAAGACTTACAGTGGAAACGGCAAGGCGTGGGCCGCCGGTGCTCTTCGACCTTAGTGAACGGCTGTTAATGTCAGGGTAGTCCCTTGTCTCCACTTCAACGGCCCGCGCCCCCTCTCTCGCAAGTCTAGCTACCTAACTACTCGACAGACAAGACCAGTCGTGCCAGTATCGCTAGGTACCGTAAAGGCTGGCTGGCTGGCTGGCTGGCCTGGCCGTCTAGGCCGGCCCTTCTCGGGTGACTCAAAGGAGTGGGACTGTTCTGTATGATCTGCTCCCACATGCACGCCTGCTCTGCCAATCCAACGGGTTGACCGGCCATGCCTCTTCCTTCCCGGAGACACCTGACTTACAGGCGTGATCCCCAGCATGCCCTTTCAACCTGGCCCTTGGCCCTGGCCTGTTCAAGTACATCGACAAGGGTGCAAACGCCACGCTTGTCATTGTCCCATCTGTGATCTGTTTTGGGGTTCCTGGCAGAACCCAAAGAGGTACCGTACATCCCGGCAGCCTTCGTCGATGTCCTTGACCCCGGCTTCATCCCCATGTTCTTTGGCTGTGATAGACGCACACCTCCGCTGCAGCTTGTCCTTTTCGCTGGGTCTACGCAGCAAGCGGGCGAGGTCAAGCCGAGCACGGAGTAGTCGATGTATAAACCAATATAGTCGTCGCACTGCTCATGGCATCCCACTGCCTCACTGTTGATATTTACCTTCTTTCTCTCTTGTCTCCGTAACCTGTCATTGATCTCTCCATTTCCCGGCTTCTCTCCCTTTGACTTCCAAGTCGAGCAGTCGCCCCCCGTTCACACGAATACCACCCTAGGAGCACGGCTTGCATTACGAATTACGACAACGCTTTCCTCTGAGAGGCGGCAGGATTTCACTTAGACGCCCATCCCCTCTGCCGGCTACTCGTACTACCACCCCACGAGCCCACCACACCATCTGCTGAAGAAAATTGTTCCCTACCCTCCATCAGGACCCGAGCCGTTCTTCGGGGCATACAGCATTGACTGCTTCTCATACCCTGCACCACCCGGCGCAAATCGTTCCGCCGCTGCTGAGGAACAATCTCTCGTCGGCCTGCCGCGCATCAATCTTACACATACACAAATCCAGGGGAGGCCCCGTATATAGACATATCAGCCTCAACCCGGATCGCGCATCTTGGCTTAGTAAACCTGGGTTGGCAAGCCGCTTGTACATCGTCTCGAACCGCTCTCGAGTTGCACAACAATCCGGGACTTTCTTTGCCGAGGCTTCAGCTCTCCATCCAAGTAAGAAAACCCATACTCGGTGTTTCTCTGTCTGATGCAGTACCACGATATTCTTACCGTGTTTCTGTTGTCATACTGATATCGTGGCAATAGGCCTCTTGCGGATCGATTACCCTTTAGGATGCGAGCCTAATACAACAAAGCTGTATGATGTTGGAAGACGCTGTTGAGAATCTGGATTAGGTATATATAATGGCTTCCAGGAGTGGACCTGGCTTACAACCGACCAAGATGTTGCGTCCTGGGCAACATTCGCAATTCGTCGCTGGCCATTCGGATTCTAGCACGGACAGGACCTCTTCAAGACCGGAATCGAGACCGCGAAAGGACATGGCGACTGTGCGGCCTTCCAGGCAAGACGCGAGTAGGCCGAGCACGACCAGCAGGATACCGCAAGCTCCTTCACAGAGACGTCCATCTCTTCCGGGCCAGGGAAGCCGGCCGCCACTTACACACCAGAACCAGTCCTGGAATTCCGTGAGCAGTACTGTCTCTTCCAGGTCTGCGTCGCAGACTGCCATTCCCTCTGCATCGCCGCCCGCCAAGTTGGCCGATCCCCGGACGAAGTCACCCCGCAACGTCTTGCGCAGGAAATCCGCAAATTGGTTCCAAGGCCCGGCGAACCCGCAGCCCGACAGCTCTCATTCCAGCTCGGAGAGAGGCAGTGGCTCGTCCGGCGAAGCTCGCTCGCAGGCAACACCTGATTCATCCGCGTCCCATACCCTCGACCGTTTCATTACCGCCAGCCCGATGGAGATCCAGGTTGCACAGGCAGTGGAGCTACCGGCGACGTCGGCTCATACTGTGACGATATACCCTGAGCTCGACAGGTATCGGGATGTCAGGCCTTTTGCAACGCCCGATGGCCTGGGCTTGGATCTTCCTTACAAGCTTTCTACCCAGGACTTGCCACCCCCTACTCCATTGTTCTCGGGCACGAGCAGTCAGCTCAGCGGGTTCAGTGGGAGCCCATCCACCAGGTTCTCGGAGTCTCCCGGGCCAGGGCCCTACTCTCGGGATACCACTCCCACGTCTATCTCTTCTCAGTCTCCTTGCTTGGTTGCGCCGATACGGACACCCGGCCCAAGGACCATCAAACATAGCAGCCCGGCGCAGGTACGACAGAGGAGGGGCACAAACGAGGAAGATGAAATCACCAAGGCCAATCTGTCCACCATCCGGGAGCTGTCGACTAGCTCTTCGTCCAACTCGACTGTGAGGGCAGAGGACAGAAAGGAGAAGACGAAGAAGAAGAGGCTGTCTCCTCCCCCTCCCAGTCCGCCGCCAAGGAAATCCTCCCAGAAGTTCAAGGCCAGCCCTCAGAAGGATGCCTCTCCTGCTTCCAAGCAGGTTCGAGGCAAGAGCCAACCCTTTCCTATCTCTCCTCCTCCGCAAGCTTCTCCCGCTCCGAGGCAGAAGCCTGTGACTTCTCCACGCGCCACGCCGCCCATCCGTCCGAGCAGAGATGGCACCCCGGATCTTCATTCCCAGTTTGGATTTCCACTGCCGGTCATTCATAGCAACCTGTCTTCCAGCTCGTTCACAGAGAACAGGCGAACGAGCGTCGGCCCGGCACCACCAAGCGCAGGTAGCAGATCCGTGACCCCGGCTTCGGCTTCTAATGTAGACCGCCCCCAGATATCTTCCAAAGCGCCCCGTGGAAAGGAAGCAGCCTCCAGTAGAGAGATCCCCCAACCTCAGGCCCAGGAGGCCGGCAGGACCACAAGAACTCCCAGTCCAAGCGTGTCAACCTTCCGGACTAGGTTTCCCTTGTTTGGCAGACGCACCAAAACCACGTCAGACATCCCCCAGGTGGACAAGAAGGAAAAGAAAGCCCGCAAAGGCCCGGCCGCTGGTACTGGCCATGAAGGCTATGGACGCATTGGTTCGCACCGAAGGCGAAGTAGCACCAGTGGTTCTGGCTCCCGTGAGCTTCCTGGATCATCTCAGGAGAGTCTTAGCAGTGTTCAGTCCCATGATCCGTTCCTTCTGGAGAGGATGAACCCCATTGTCATCTCTAGTGGCGAGGTTATCGAGAACAGGAACACCAGCTCTGAACTGAGCCGCACCGAGAGTAACCAGAGTCTGCCTTTCGGCCGGCCGAGTGTCGACTCTCGAAACGATTCTCAGGTCTCGCTTTCATCCCGGGACGGACGCCAAACACTCTGGCCTTCTGCCTTTCCACGTGGAACAACCACGGCCTCTTCAATCGGTTCTAGACGGCCCTCCGACAGCAGTGATTTCGAAGGAGTAGCGATGAGGTCGACTTTGGCTTTTCGACGGTCCATGCAGCGCCTCAATCAAGCACCTGACCAGCCACAGATCCGCCTACCGAAGCCGATTGTCGTCCGCCCGCCGCAGGGTATCCCTCAACCTTCCATCAGTAGCCTGGACACTGCCATCATGTCCGATGATTCCATCATGGAGCCTGCCCCGGAACCAGTACGGGGACGCAAGGAGGCCACCGCGCCAAAGAAGCTCACCAAGAGGACGCGGTCTCCCAGGAAGTGGAACCTCTTCGGCCGTTCCCAGAGCCAGCCTGCAGTTGCGCAGCAGCAGCCAAAGGCAGCTACGAGAGTGGCCACGAGCGTGAAGGTCGTGCAGGTGAAGCAAGAGCCGAAGCCGGTCGCTTTCTACACGATGATGGACTCATCTGAGCAGGAAGATGATGTGGACATCCCTGCCGTTCAGAACATCCTACGTGAAGCCCAGGTGCTGCACCTACCACCCAAGGAGACAATCGAGAGTCGAGGCGTTTCACCTAGTGTTGAGGGGAGACTACCAAGGCAAAGATCGAACTCTGCGGTCCCAAGTCTCGCCAGGTCCGCAGAGCTGCCTCGAAGGCAAGGTTCTGAGGGAACTGACAGCCCTCAGCTTAGCAACCCTGCCCAGGACCGAGCGGACAGGACAGAGTCATCCCCTCCCCGACCAGGACGTCCCAGTCGCTTGCCTCAAGTTGGCCGAATCCCCAAGGTCATCAGCGCCCGGCCAGAGCAGACATCTTCGAAGAGCTTTTCGAGGCCCTTCAACCGGATCAGCCTGCAGTTGCCACCTCAGACAAGTGTCGTAGTCGATACGGATTCTCTAGCGAAGGGCCCGAGCCCACCAAAGCCATCGACACCGGAACTAACCCGGGACGGTTCTACCGCGACTGTCGATACGACTGACTCGGATGGCCATCGCGCGCCACCAGCAGGGTATAGCCTCGCCAACAATCCTATTGCCAACGAATTCTTGAGATTCTCCCCGCGCAAGGGCTCCCAAGATACTGCATGCACCACGTCAAGCAGCTCCGGAATGCTCAGCTACGCCGACACGACAGCAATCATCCGGGATGCGCATGCCCCCTTGGTTGAGGACGAGATCTGGGATGAGTACAATGACCTCCTCGGTGAGGAATCTCTGAAGGTCCCACCGTCTGCTGGCTCTTCGCAAGGAGTGCCGTTCCATCTTGAAGGGTATGGGCGAAGGCTGGCCAAGGAGGAGGGCAAGCCACTCGAGTCGCCGGTCTACGCACCGCCGCCAAACCCCGCGAAGAGCGTAGATGCCATGATGGCCGAGAAGCCCTTGGCAACCTCTAGCATCTACGAGGCCGAGGTGGTGTCGAAACTTAACGAGGCGATCGACCAGGACGCGAACCCATTGACTCCGTTCTCGGTCGGCGAGTTTGTGTCCGGGTATGGCGACCGCAACATCAGCGGCGATCTGAGCCAGATGTCGAAGCGCAACAGCGGAGCTTCCACGGGCACCAAACGGAGGTCCAGGGCGTCGACTACGAGCTCCTGCTCCCAGTCCTCCGAGGACAACTCTCCCCTCTCGCAGGTCAACCTCCGCGTCGGCTCGATGACGGTCAGCAAGTGGCTCACCTTTGGACACGTCCTCTTCAGCCCCGCGCGGGACGAGCTCGTGCCGGTGATCGGCTCGCTGAAGCGCCACTCGATCCTGGTCATCGACGGCCTGGGCAACGACGACTGGTCCTTCTACGCCGCCGAGACCTACCCGGCCGCGACCTTCTTCAACCTCTCTCCGCGCGCGCCCCTGCCGGCCGAGCACAAGAGCGCCGCCGCCTTCCCCCTGAGCCCGCCGAACCACCACCAGATCCAGTATACCTCGCACGCGCACCGGTTCCCCTTCGCGCCCGAGAGCTTCACCTCGGTCGTCTTCCGGTTCCCCGCCGCGGCGCCCGAGGCGCACTACCGCAACGTCGTCTCCGAGGCCCGCCGCGTGCTCCGCCCGGGCGGCTACCTCGAGCTGTCGATCCTCGACCTCGACCTCCACAACATGGGGCCCCGCACGCGCCGGGCCGTGCGCGCGCTCAAGGAGCGCATCCACGCGCGGTCGCCCGAGACGAGCATCGGGTCCTGCGCCGACGCCATCGTGCGCATGCTGGCCGCGCGGGGGTTCTCGGACGTCAAGTCGTGCCGCGTGGGCGTGCCCGTCGCCAGCCCCATCGCCCGCCGCCCGTCGGACGTGGGCAAGGAGGGCCCCGCCGCCACCGCCGCCGCCGCCGCCGCGAGGACGGCGGCCGGGAAGGACAACAAGGGCAAGAGGAGGCCCAAGAAGGACGACCGCAGCCTGGCGGAGATGATGAGCGACGAGAGCCCCGTGGCGGACGAGAGCATCACCAACATGGTGGCCAAGGTCGGGCGCTGGTGGCACGCGCGCTGCTACGAGGGGTCCGCGGCCAATGTCGGCGCCATCGCCGGCAGCATCTGGAACGACCGGTCGCTGCTGGCCGAGTGCGAGGAGTGGGCCACGAGCTTGAAGCTCACGGTTTGCTACGCCAGGGTCCCGGATGTGAAGCGGGTGGCGAGCATTTAATTCCACAATGTTTACCTTGTTTTTACACGACCTACGACACCTACTACGACTTACGAACTTCGTTTACCAAGCGACGTTTTTTATTTTTTATTTTTGGCGCATCATCCGACCATGCGCTTCTATATATCTACGTTATCTGTCCATGTTGTTTCTGTATCTTCCCGGCATCCCAACGACATATCTATACAGACCCCGAGTCTCGCGACTGATGATTTGCAACATTTTCTGTACTGGCTATCCATCATATTGTACTGGATGGCTACACTATCCTATTCAAAGCCTACATCGATGTGACCCAGAGGGAGGACTCAAGATCAGAGAGGGCGCGAGCCCGAGGTCTTTTTAATTCTTATACATTATCAGCCTTTTCAACGGCACGGGACAAGGCTAGAGCCAGCTCTGCCTTCGGCCCATTTCCCTACGAACAAAGACCGCAGGATAGCCGGGCATCAGTACGGCGTTTTCTGCAAGACGCCCTCGCAATCCCCTCACGGGACCCCCTTTATTGGGAGAGAGGGGCGTCTTTTCTTTCTTTCAACAAACACTCGGGCGATCTTCTCTTGTTCAAGGAGATATCTGGCTCTTCTTTTCACTTTCCTTGTCTCCCCTTTTCACAAATACTGTCATCGTCACTGGCTGGCTAGCAGGCGGGTTGCAAAACCCTCAAACTGGCAAGGGAATTCTTAATGGTTCTTGTGTCTCAATAGGGGCTTCCTTTTCTTAATGGTGGCAATGCTGGCTCCATTGCACTTCTTGCGGGTCTCTCACACATGCTGGCGGATGTGGGCCAGGTTCATTCTTCGTTTCTTGGGGCGCGAGAGAGAGAGAGAGAGAGAGACTTTTGGGGAAGTGCAGGTTGTGAGCCTCGGACTCGGTCGGGTAACTGGTCTTGAGTGTGGACGGACGGACGGATGGACGGACTGACGTATGTGTATTGGATTTGATTATCGGGTAATTGGTTCGGCTTGGGCTTTCGTCTGGGAGTTTCCTATATTCATAGCGAGCAGAGCGAGTGAGCGACTTCGCAGCGAGCGTCATCTGAGAGATACCCCCTCCTCTTTGTAGCAAATCAAGATAGCAACGCATGGAAACACGAGATATGCTTTGGTCTTCTTCATACACATCTCTACCTTGACTCTCTGCCAGCCATGTCTTTGGTCTCTGGAGGCAAACGGTACGGTTCGAACACGGTGGCAGGCTTTCCGAGCAGTATGCCCCATACGAATGTTGGGTCGAAGTCTGATCTACTCAGGGTTCTGTTTTATGATTCATGAGGCCCATCTCTGTCCTTCTTTGATACACGATCTTTATCTTACAGCATTATGATAGGAAGTCATGCTCACATCTATACACATATCAAACATCCAACTCAACAACCTCTTAATCACTCCGTTTCCCTTCTCCTCACCTCCATCTCCTTCTGCTCCACAGCAGCAACACCCTCAGCATCTACCCGCCCCTGGCCAGACACCCAGCTCCTGCTCCTCGTCTCCAGCTTCCTGAACACCGCCACAAACCCTCCGCCGGCGGTGTACGCGCCGACCTTGGGCCGGCACACCGTGACGAGCCGCTCCTCGGGAGTCTGCTGCAGGTCGACGACCTCGCCGCCCGCCTCCTCGGCCGCCTCGGTCTTCCTGATCCCGCGCACGAGGCGGACGTCCCACTCGCGGCCCCCGGTACCGGCCAGGTTCGACGACAGCGTGCCCTCGCCGCCGCCGGAGCCGCCGGCGACGGTGCTGGTCGCGAGCTCGACGACGCGCTCCTGGCGCACGGGGGCGCCGGAGCGGGCGGCCTCGGCGGCGAAGCGGACGACCTGCGTGAGCTGGGCGGCGAAGACGACGAGCAGGCCGTCGGGCTTGAGGCAGCGGATCGCCAGCTCGCCCGCCGTGTCCCAGGCGTCGGGCAGGTCGAGGATGGCGTGCGCGAGGAAGGGGTGGTCCTCCTCCTCCTCCAGCCAGGAAAGGGGGGAGGTCTGGGCGGAGGTTGCTGCTGCTGCTGCTGCGGCCAGGCGGGCCGAGAGGTAGGACTGGACGGAGCCGATGTGGAAGTCGATGTCCGGGAGGTAGAGCGCGCGGCGGAAGCGGCGGACGTTCTTGTGGGCGCTGCGCGAGTGGGCGGGTCTGTTGTCGAGGGTGTGGATGACGGCACGGCGGGAGGAGAGGTGGGCTTCCCAGGCTTGGGACTGGGCCTCGGTTGGGAAGTCCAGGGTGTGGTGGCTGAGGGTCGCGGAAGATGGGTCAGTGGTGGTGGTGGTGGTGGGTTCGGAGGTGGATGATGGGTCTGAGGAGGGTTCCGGGTCCGCGGGCGAGGTGAAGATGTTGTGATTGGATCGCTGATAGGGTGCATCAACGAGGGATTGCCGAAGGGACGGCGAGACTGGCGGGTTGGCTCCGTGGATGGCACGGGCGAGGTGGAGGGTCAGGGAGCCCATGCCGGTGCCGGCCTCGAAGATCCTGTGGGGTTGAATGAGTGTAATGATCATCATGTGGTTCCATCAGAAGGGTGACCTACTCAAAGGGGGGCTGTGCATCGGCGTCGGGGTCCTCACCCGGTACCGGGAGGTTGATATCCAGAAGGCTGACGATGAAGTTGGCATCTGCCGGGTATATCTTGGAGTGGTCTTGTGTGTTAGTCTTGCCGCTCTCATCCAGAGCTGTGTGGGAGGGCAGAGTGTGAAGTGAGAGATATACGTACGGGGGTCACTCCCCTGGGAGCGCACAGCATGAATGAGCCCAGAGTTGGCTCTTGCACGCGGAATACCAGGCCCTTCCTAGTCTTGATCACATCGCGAGACGACTTGCCGATGATGTGGGCAGCGTCCAAGGTGGTGCGCCTGGCGTCCTTGAGCTGGACGGGCTCGTCGGCCTTGAGCGGTCCGGCGCGATGAAGCCTGTATTCTCCACCCTTGTAAGGGGCTTCTAAGAAGACAGTATCGTGCTCTGTTGAGGAAAAAACAAGTCAGTATCCGAGGCAGAGAATGGGGACCAAGTGTCGCGTGCATGTTCAGGGGTAGGGTTTTGTGAGATCATGAGACGATGATTGTGTTTTGTAAGACAGGTCTAATGAGAGCAAACAGGTATTTGAACTTCTCTCTTGGGATAAAACCAGTCTTCTTACCTTGTACAGTCCGTGGGAATGAGTACGCTCGGCTTATGTGAAAGGGAGTCTGAAGGGATGACCTTTGCCGCAAGGGCAGCGCTCTTGAGGCCATCAAGGCCCCGCGCGAAGGCATTGACCACATGTGAGTAGATTCGGTGTTAGGAACAGGCTTTCATATGATGCGGGTTGTCTCCGAACATATCAGGTGGCACTCTCTTTAAAGATATGGGAAGTTGAATGGCTCTCCTCTTCAAAGTTGGCAATCCTTCAGTTCCCTGTAAGATGCAGCAACTTTGAACTTCGGCCCTAGATTTTTAGTGGGTCAGCGGATACCCCCAGATTTCAGATTCTAGAACGCCAGTGAGTTCCTTACCGCTTTTGGCAGGCGGTAAGTGCGCCTACCGGTCCCCTAAACAGCGCCTCAGCTGCCCAAAATCCACTGTAGCTTTCCCCTGAATGGATCGACAAGAGCTGGGCACATGCTAAATTACCCAGGAAATCCACTTTCGTAACTGTGCCAAGAGCCGGTATGGCAAATCAGATCTCGGCGCTACAACTTGTCCTCAGTTCACCTTCTTTCAAGGCCTGCATTCATCTCGAACCTTTTTTGAGAAAGAACTTTTGAACACTCCTCATACATCACCCTGCCCGGCCTTGGAAAGACGCTTTCTACACCCCCCCATTCGACATGAGGTGATATGTCGTTGGGCATGTCCTCGGCACACATCCCAAATACTTCATAACCGTCAACAGCGGCGAGGCTGCTCCCCCCGTGAGGGCCTTCCGCGGCGGCTCTTTGGACCGTTGGGAGCTTTGTAACCATGGCGCGGCGCATTGTAAGTGTTCTATCTTGGCTCCCAACCAATCTGAGGAGGCGCGAGCTCTCATCAGGCGACTCTTTTGGGCTGACAAGGATCTTCCTGCAACCAGTTTCGGACCATCACGCAGGTGGCTGCCGCCGCCATCGTCACCATCGTCACCCTCTTCTTCCTCGACCGCAATTTTCGCGTTCTCCCCTCCTCAATACACGAATATCTACCACAGCACCACCCAGGCATTGTAATCACAGACATCACGATAACGAGATGCTCTGGCATCAACCCGTTTTCATCATGCAAGCTCGAAGGCGACAGCTGGCACCGCATAGAGAAGGACCTCTTCCTCGGCAAGGCCCTCACGTCGACCGCATATGTGCATATCCAAAGGAAAAAAGAGGAGGAGTTAACCCCTGACGACAAGGTTGTCATGGACATCACGGTGGGCCGACTCGACCCGGGTTCCAGTGTCAAGGGCCAAGAGGACGAAAGGTGGGAGGCCAGGCCGTCCGGATTGTGGATCAAGAGGTCGGCAAAGCGACACGCGAGCGATTCCAAGTCGGCAGTGACAGGCGTCGACGTGCTCTTTGGGGATGACGCAGTGGAGGCACGCGATGGCTGGAACATAGTGGGCGTCCCGTTGCTTCTGGACTCGGGGTCCATTCCCGCGGCGCACATCACCATCCGCCGAGGCACCCAGCAGCCGGCTCAAAGGCCACAGCCCCGTATACATGACACTGGAAAATTCAAGATTATGCAGTTGGCGGATCTGCACCTGAGTACTGGCGTCGGCGCATGTCGAGAGGCCGTTCCGGACAGCTACAATGGTGGCAAGTGTGAGGCCGACCCCCGGACTCTGGACTTTGTGAGCAAGATGCTCGATGAGGAACGCCCGGATATGGTGGTTCTTAGTGGAGACCAGGTCAACGGCGAAACTGCACCAGATGCGCAGTCGGTAGGTTCAACCACGGTTCTCCTCCGTAAGCGAGGGCGCGCTTGCTAACGATGTCTAGGCCATCTTCAAGTACGCTTCGCTCTTGATCAAGCGTAAAATACCTTATGCCTGTATCTTTGGCAACCATGATGATGAGGGTTCCTTGCCAAGAGCCGCTCAGATGTCTCTTATAGAGACCCTGCCCTATTCCCTTTCTCGAGCTGGGCCAGAGGATCTCGACGGCGTGGGCAACTACTATGTGGAGGTCCTCGGTCGCGGCAAGACGACCCACTCGGCGCTGACGGTCTACCTGCTCGACACCCACGCCTACTCGCCCGATGAGAAGAAGTATCACGGCTACGACTGGCTCAAGAAGAACCAGATCGACTGGTTCAAGCAGACGGCCAACAGCCTCAAGCCGAAACATAAGGAGTATTCGCACGTGCACATGGACGTCGCTTTTATCCACATCCCGCTCCCCGAGTACAGAGACCCGAAGCAGGTGTTCAAAGGCCAGTGGAGAGAGGCCGTCACGGCGCCTACGTACAATTCCGGGTTCCGGGACGCCCTTGTCGAGCAGGGCGTCGTGATGGTCAGCTGTGGACAGTGAGTTGACACCGCAGACAAACGTTTTGGCCTCGTTCTGGGGAAACCCTGTGCTGACATTGATGTTTCTCTTTTTTTGCAGTGATCACGCAAACGAGTACTGCGCCATGTCGATGAATACGGAGAAGCAGCTGCCCGCGCTCTGGATGTGCTACGCCGGAGGTGTCGGGTTCGGTGGCTACGGCGGCTACGGCGGCTTCGTGCGCAGGCTCCGCGTCTTCGACTTTGACTTCAACGAGGCGCGCATCACGACGTGGAAGCGGGTGGAGTACGGCGACGAGGTGGGCAAGAAGGTCGACGAGCAGATCATCGTCGACGCCGGCAAGCCGGTTGCGCCGATGGAGGGCTAAAGGGGGAGATGTTTGCGATGGGCGTTTTCCGTCTTATATTATCTCATCCCCATCCTCTCTCCACGTCTACGGCATGGAAAGAGAGGTTTTCTCATGGGCGCTGGGGACAGCGGACGGAATGTGCTTTACTAGGAGCGGTTCAGGCTAAGATAGATAAGTACTTACTTGGGACTGGTCCGGTCCTTCTTTTTGGTTTATGCAATGTATGACAACTCAACTTTGATGACCGATATCTCGAGCCATTCTTACAGCCCTGCTGTGCATGGGTTTGATGAGTTCCTACGCGTGCGAAATATAAGAGGTGGTGGTGGAGGGTAGGGACTCAGCCAGTACAATGATTGGCTTCGCAATTTGGGGGTACATTTTCATGACTAACAACGACACGACTGCTTGGATACCAGGCGGTTGCAGTGCCTCGATTATTCGCCTGTGAAGATGCCTTGGCTAACCGCCACCCCTGCAGAGCTGGAACTGACCTCTTGTGATTGGTTCTCTTCATCAGGCTGCCTCTGCAGTGAGCCTGAAGATGTGAGACCCCTCTACAGAACCCGGGCCTCTCGTAATTTTTCTCCTCTCTTCCCTTCAAATCAAGTCAACCGGGTTTCGTTGCGATGGCAAAGCTTCGGCCTCTCGTCCGCCGAAGACTCCGCGGAGGACGTCTACGGTATCGCAGAAGCGGCGAAGAAGCGTTCCCTCATGCCAAGTTTGGTTGTTACTTTTGCACAGCTGCAAGTCAATTTCTACATGCCACCTCAATACGCCGGCTAGGACGGACGTTTGAACACTCCATCCCGCTCTGCGCAGTCGTCTGGGAGATCGGGCATCCGACACTACCAATAGAGGGATGCTGTCAGCAATGTGACGAGCTTAATGGGTTCAACCGAGAAAGGCTCCTGCAACTTTACATGAGGGGTATTAAGCTCGCGACTCTTGATAAAGATTGTCCGCTTTGTCGCGTGTTTAGACAAATCTCTTATAAGTTCGAGGATATATTGACTCACATCACCGTGAGTCCTCGGCAGAAATATACGGAGAGGATGACCGTGACGGTCTGGGGCAGTATTAGCCCATTGGCCTGGTACCTTGTATACACAACACACCCAGTAAGAGATTCCACGGTCGCCAGAATGACTCTCCGCTCATGGTTTCTTTCAGACCACATCGGCAGGGTGTCTGCCTCCTTACCGGAAACGGGTTGACATTTCAACTGCAGTATCTTTTATAAATAAGAACCTCTCAGAGTGTATAGGACATCATGCGCACTGTCAGCATCAGATACAGCCACTGCCACGGCGTGTACTCGATATTGGAACATGGGATCAGGATGTTAAACTAGTCGAAACCAAGGCCATCAAGGCTCATTACGTGACATTGAGTCACTGCTGGGGAGACCCAGACCTCCAACCTCTCAAGACGACACGTTCTAGCTTGGATAATATGCTTAGACGGATTCCATTCGGAGATCTGCCCGTTGTCTTTGCTGAAGCAATTACAGTAGCACGCAAATTGGGAATCCGATTCATCTGGATCGACTCGCTATGTATCGTCCAGGACAGTCCGGAGGACTGGGAAGAGGAAGCTGCAAAGATGGGCGACTACTATTCGAACTCTTTCCTAACCATATCGACTGCCTCCTCCCCGAGCCATAACGTTCCCTTCCTCACACAACGCGACCCCAAATGGTCACCTATCTCGTTCCCCGTTCGGGTTGGTGGGAAGCCACACAAGATTTTTGTGAAGTGGATACAATTATCATCTACGTCCCCAGCTGAAATGACTGGGAAGCTCACTACGCGGGCTTGGGCTTACCAGGAGTCAGTGCTATCACCGCGAGCTATTCATTTCAACAATGATGGCCTGGCCTGGACCTGCCGAGATGAGATAGTAGGAGAACACCATTTTCCAGAACGATTCTCGTCCGACAATTCCATCTCTCCATCTATACAGCGTCTGTTCTTCAAAGGTTCGTTTTGTAACTTGTCCTTTTCTTCTGAACCTCTCCTCTCACCACAGAAGGCTACATGACCGAAAAGGAAAGGCTTCCCCTATCGATCTCTTGAACTGACCGATTGGCTTGACCAGGCCACCGACAATATCTGTTCTGGGAGAGTGCTGTCCATGCGTACAGCCAACGAGACCTCACTTACATACAGGACAGACTCCCGGCAATCAGTGGGATAGCGGCACTCTATGGAAGGATGACGGGCGCCAAATACCTGGGTGGCCTTTGGGGTGATTCTCTGCTGGCACAGCTGTGCTGGTATCGAATGCGGTGGCTCAGAGACGAGGTCCTGCAGCCGCAAGTGGCGGAGTATCTGGGGCCTTCCTGGACATGGGCTTCTATTGTCTGGCGTGTCCAATGGCAAGGTAGTACCCGGTACGCCAGCGATACTCTAGAGCAACATTTTGGTGAAGAAGCGTCGGTCGTAGAGGCAGCTTGCACTGTCAAAGGGAGTAACCCTTATGGTGTCGTGAGCGCTGGACACATCATCCTGGAGGGGTTTGTATTGCATGGTCTTCTCAAGAGCGGTTCTGGGCCACTAACCTCCGACTTTAACTATCATCTGTCATGGGGCAGATCATGGCTACTGGATGTCGACTGTCTCTTGGAACAGGATGGAGAGAGCGTCAAGAGATACAAGGGAACGGCTAGCTTAGGCCAGATTCCGCCTCGGGTATCGGGCAAGGTATGGTGCCTCCTGGTAGGCACCTTCATGTATAGAATGGCCGGCACCGATCACATCAGCAGCAGCGATCTGTCGTCTTCGGAGCGCGACGGTCCTGAAGACGACGGCACCAGCCCACAAGAAGACGTTTGGGTCACGACTGACGGCGAGAGCTGCTCGTCGGGCAGCGAGCCGTCGAAACCTCCTCCTCCAGCAGGACACGGCGATAGGGGCGGCGACGGAGCTGTTGCTGCGCCTCCGCGAGAGAACCAGACACGTGAAAGCAGACGGCTGGCTTCGGGAGCAGTCGACTCGGTACCATCCGCTCGGCCCAACGGGGTCTCCATGTTCCTTGTCTTGGGCAGATCAGGAGGCGACTACACCCGGCTGGGCCTGGCGAAGTGCAAGTTCCACACCGCGATGACCATGATACGTGGGCGCAGGGCGAAGAGGGCCACGGTCAAGATTGTGTGAGACTCGGGTTGCACGTTTCTAGATTATCTTTAGAAGGGAAGGAAGATGGCTTATTCACCGCGGAATGATCAATAAGGGAAGGGATCGAGAGTTTAAAAGTCTGGAACACCCCCCAAGACAAGGAGCGTTCATCAAGGAGCGTTCATCAAGGAGCGTTCATCAAGGAGCTTGTCGGCCGTCGGCATGCGACAATTCAGGGTCCAAGCATTGCTACGCTCCGGGGTTAACTAGCCGTGATACCAAACGAGGACATGGGTGTGTCCCTGAGCGAGGGAGCGGTGTACGGGGTAACTAAGCTTCGAATTCTGCAGACGAGTGCACAGATCCATGTACTGACTACCTAGTTAGGGTCTGGATGTTTGTCTTCTCTTCTCTTCCCTGTCTTTTCTACTTGTTCAACATTGAGCTTGCGATTCTTCCGTAGCATTATATGAAGTCCGACCCTTTGAGTCCACCGAAACGTACACTCTGCACGACCTGGAATTAAGGGAGTGCGGTTGGTTACAATGCATTTGAAACGATTGGCTGTTGGATGGCCCTGACTGACGGGAACGATCCCCACCCACTCCAAGGCGTCGCACATGCACGAGGCCTTAGGTTCATGCGCTACGGGCTGACATGCACAGATGCAACGGGAGCAAAGAATGGGTGCCTTGCTGCTGAATGTGTCACGTACCTAATCAGAGGCTAAAGGAGAAGGGAAGAAAAAAGAAGCGATAGGGGACCGATGAACACGCGAGGAGCTGAGATGATTGAGGCATCTCCAGGTCCTCCTTGCGTGGTGAGTAAGGCAGGGAAGGGCAGCTATGTAACTAATCTCATGACGCACTACTACAGGTGACTATTGCAATACACGAGTGCAGGGATGAGCAACAAGAGGTTTGTCTTCGTCTCGAGTATCTCGCCCTGTCCAACATCGGACGAGCTGTGAATCCACTCTGATCAAGAAAGACTACTACTTGTACTTGTATTTGCCTTGAATGCCATGCCATGCCTTGCCATACCACAACCGCAGCCTGGGGCGGTGGACTGTGGAGAAGGGATCGTCGCAAGCAGCAGCGTCATCCGTCAGACAGGGCCCTACGCACTGGGAGGAATTCAGGGCCCAGAACACTGGGGCACCTTGTCCAAGATACTCGACGAACTGGCTGGAAATGCTAGTCAGTTCGAGAAAACGTGTGGGGATACCTAGCAGCCCAAAGCACGATAACAAGTCCCCGCTACTTCAGGTCGGAGAGTCAAGGGCCAAGCCATCTGCAACTAACCTGATGCCCGTCCGAGTTTTGGGGGGGAGAATAGTGGGTGCTTTTGGCAGCACAGCACGAGTAGTAGCCGGGTACCACGGGCAGGGCGGGCGCAAGTCAGTGCTCGCTCCTGGGCAGGCAGAGGGGAACACTGCTGCGAGACCAGTGACCACTACGGAGTACGAGTGAGTGTCGCCTGGGCGCCTCCAGCTGGCGGAGAGAGAGGAACCCACTCCGTCCCATGGCGGGCGGCCATTCCGTCTTCCCTTTCCCCAGTCCACATTCCTCATGTCTTTCCCGCCTGGATTGCAGATTGCACAGCATTTCTTACCTTACTTCTTGTACTCACTCACTCACTCTTGACGACGAGCCTTCCATACACACACACACCCACATAGTTTGTTTGTTTCGTTTGTTTTCTTCTTCCTCCCCTCAATAGGCATTCGCCTTCCTGCACGTCCGGTACATTTGCTCTCTTCAACCCCCCCGCTTCGAGGCCCTTCAGCGATCAATCAATCTCCAACGGGGTCTGGTCCAGGCGCACTGCTGCGGGCGGAGGATTCGGATCCGCGCCAGCCATTCTAGAACTGACACAGCGCCTGGGAGTTTGACGTCGGCTTGTGTTTGGAGGCGCAACCACCACCCCCCGACCGAAACCTGATCACCACACCTGACCAACCGCTCCTCTCCTCACCACCATCTCCAAGTCCTCAGACTCGTCGAATCCTTTCCTCAGCCTCGATTCTTTTTCTTTGCCGTGCCTCCCCTCAGAATAGACCAAATACCCTGAATCTCCCTTGTCTGCCTTATCGCCGTCCTCAGACGACCAACGACTGCCTCGCATGCCCGACTTCAGCCGGTGACGCAACCATCCCCTCACCCCAAACACGACGATTTCAAAACAACCACACAGCCGGTCATTCCTTTCTCCCTCGTCCATCCAAACGAGCCCACATCACAATGGCGCCGTACGAGCGGCCGGGCGACGGGGGCTCCGCCCTCAGCGGCGTCGTCATCGGCCTGCTGTCCTCCTTCGGCTCCGCCATCCTCATCGCCCTCATCTTCCTCATCATCTACTTCTTCCGCTACACACAATCGGGACGCATCCTCCTCGACAGGATCGGCCGGCCGGGCGAGTACGATGACGAACAGGCCTTTGCGCGGGAGGAGGAGGAGGCGCTGGAGACGATGGACGAGATGCAGCGGACGGAATACCTGAGGGCAAAAGGTTCGTTGAACCCCAGACAAGCTTCCTGTTCTGCTACATTCCATACCACGAATACTGACCTTGACATCCCACCTGCAGCATTTATCGCAGCGAATCCACCCGAGTCCGCACAGACCGACATCTCTCTATCGCAGTATCTTGCCATACAAGAGAAGGGCGTGTCTGCCTGGGAGTTTGAGCCCGAGCTCGAGATCGCCAACTGTTTTGTCGAAGGCCGCACCGAGATCGAGTTCTTCGACTCTGAATGTACCGTCATGAGCAATCTACCGGTGCCCAAACAGAACGAGGTCTACTACTGGGAAGCAAAGCTGTACGAGAAGCCCGAGTCAACGTTGCTCAGCATCGGCATGGCAACGAAACCGTACCCGTTGTTCAGGCTTCCCGGTACGTTTGCGTCCTTGATCGTCGCCTATTTGCTCCCGTGCTAACGTATCCTCTAGGCTTCCACAAACAGTCCGTTGGCTACCTCTCTTCCGGATTCCGCCGCTACAACCAACCCTTCACTCCCGTTTCCTATGGTCCGCAGTACGTGCAAGGAGATGTCATCGGCGTAGGATATCGACCTCGCACCGGGACGATCTTCTTCACGCGCAACGGCAAGAAGCTCGAGGATGTGGTCCACGGCCTCAAGTCTCAGAACTTCTTCCCGGCGATAGGCGCCACCGGCCCCGCGACGATTCATGTCAACTTCGGTCAGGCCGGCTTTGTTTTCATCGAGGCCAATGTGAAGAAGTGGGGGCTCGCACCGGTCACAGGCTCCCTCGCGCCTCCGCCGCCGTACGGCTCCGAGCAAGGCAGCATCCTGTTGGAATCAGGCAGGAAGGATGGCTACACCGGTGCACCGGCTAGAGGCCACGGCTACAGCCAATCTCTTCAGACCTACCGCACCCAGCCCAACCCTTCCGACACGCACACTCATAATCGCTCTCGGTCAGGAAACTTCCGCATGCTGCCACCCACGAGCCCGGGTCCGGTGCGAAGCCCCACCGACATCTCACTTGCCCAGCTAATGCCCAATGAGGAGCCCGGCGAGCCTAGCAGTAGCGCCGCTGGCGAAGGAGGCACGGCCGTGGTTGGACTCGGAGTCGACCACCCTAGCCACCCGCCACCACCCGAGTATACGAGTCCCGAGCATTCGGAGGCCGGCAGTCGTCGGAACAGCTCTGATAGCGACAGCACGCCTCTGATTCGAGGGGGACGAAGCCGGGGTGCTTCGGCAGCGACACTCCGGGCTAACACTACCACGCCACACATCGACGGTCCACCGATTCCCAGCTACCATGATGCTGTCCGTCAAGGTGCTGGCCGAGACCGTAGCGACAGTACGAGATCGAACCGGACGTAACATCCAACTACGAAGGGTTGAGGTCGAAGGGTCGAGGTCAATGAGAGAAGGGCGAGCGGGTCTTGCTTTGGTGCTGACGTTGATATTCTGGCACCGGGGGCCAGACAAACGCTCGGGCACAACACAAAAGAGGGAGCCCAGAAGATCCCCGGAACTGACACGATATATACCACTATGATACCACACTACAACCTGATTTTTCCTTTGCTTTTTTTTCACGGTCGACCACACACATTTGCATCTGGAATTACCCCAACGGAGCATTAGCGAAACGGCGGGGACCAACAGGAGAGACGACACCATGTCGGCAAAGCCATGTGCACCCACAAAAATGGGAGGCAGACTTTGGCTTTTCTCTTGCTCTTTTTCTTTTTTTCATCGGAAATGGAGTTTACAGGGAGACTGCTGGTTTTTTGGCGGGGGGGACTTTGATACTGGGAATTATCTCGTTTGGCCGGACGCTTGATACCCACATTCGTGTGCGGTTTGCGCAGGTGGTTTCTTCCCCCCATTGAGACGTACCTTGACTATGTCGCCGACTACGAGGGGCCTGCCCGAGAGTCGAGGCTGCCCATGATACGCCCTGATGGTGTCATCGGCGTTGGGCTGCATGGCTTATTTAGGAAAGAATAATGGAAATTGCTGTCCGAGAGAGGTGTTGTGTGTTGGTTCTTGTCCATTTGGTGTGAATTTGACGTCTAATTGTTATCACTTGCTCTTCTGTTCCTGTGGATCAAGTCAAACTCTAGCAGACAAAGCTTGGTTGGTTTGTCCGGCATTCAAGTTGACGTGCGGCTCGGTCACTGTGAGAGTACTGCTCGATCTACTACTTGCAATGCACCCTTGCTCTGACCTTTGCTGTAGTGGATATTGCCACCGCCCGTCCAGGAGACTTGTCTTTCTCCGTTATACTCCTCATGGGCGCTGTATTGGGTGTATCCCCTCTTGAGTTGCAGTGTCTAGGTGTCAAAGAGCCACCCTCTCGAGCGCTTCTTCTCTTGTTTCTCCACAAAAAGAAAAAAAAAAACACTTCTTCAACTGGCTCCTCGAATGTGGTCGGCAGCTCCGCACTATTCAGAGAGGGTTGCGGGTCTTCAATCCCATCTTCGCTCAGTCCGGGCCCGGGCTTGGGGGCGCCTTGGGGGTGCCGTAGTGGGACTCGGTCGTGACGATGGGAGACTCGGAGCTTTGGGTGGTGGTGGAGTCTCGGGCCCACGGGGTGACGGCGGTGCCCCCGGGGCGGTCTTGTATGCCGACTAATTAGGAGCACCACTGCTTTCGGGGGTCATACTGCTGGGCTGGGGGGGGAGCTGAGCGGTAATAGATCGGTAAGGGCAGGCAGGATAGGAGGCAGTGAGAAGAGAGAGAGAGAGAGAGGGGCGGTGCTCCCCTTCCGGCCCGGGTCCGGGAGCTCGGATGATGCCCGGGGGGCTCGCAGACGGAACCCCCAATGTTGTCAATGCTTATGAGATGATGCGCGCGCTATCATGAGTACAGGCTCGAACTGGACTTTTTTCTCCGGCTGGGTGGTGCCCATTCTTGCCAGTACGCGTCGCCCAGTCCAGGGCACGCACGTTCGGGAGTTTGACTTGACTGATCTCTTGATAGAAGGCTGTCGGCAAGGACGGCGGCATACTCACGACGGAGTCCCTAGGGCGACGACTAATGCCCTTTTATCTCGATCCTGTCGACAACCCTGGTCCTTTGCTGGCCAAAAAGTTGAAATATGCCACGGCCTGGAGGTCGGGAAGAATGCTTGCCTACTCAGACCTCATTTGATCTGGTGCAGATTGTAATTGCCAAGTGTCTTGTATGTGGCCCCAACGTATTCGACGACGACGCGCTGATAGGACGAACGAGAGGCAAGGGTTATTATTCCGCAGCGCAGCGCAGCGCAGATAACTGAGTCTGTTGAGAATGCATGCTGTTGCCGCTGGGGGGGGGGACTTTTCCGACAAGTCAGAAGAAGAAGTGTGTCATTTTGCTCTGTGCGTCACATGTCAATGCCTGTCCTGTCCCCTGATCTCTGTTTCCCAACGAGCGTGTCCTCCCCTGGAACAGAGCGTCCGTACAATATTGATCCCGGAGGGAGACGGCTGCTTCACCCCTCTCTGTGCAAACTAGGAACTATCTGTCAATGTCAAGTGCTAATAGAGCGGTTCAATCTCGGCCGGAGAGCTTCTGGCTGGCAAATTATACATTATGTAATGCTTGCAACCCATACTACTCAGGAGCAGTCTTCGAAGACGGCTTGACCGGAGTCCAGAGAGCTCTGAGCCGAGCCACGAAGTCGCACCAAGCAGTTTCACATGGCCGCAAGGGTGCATCAGGACCCGTAGAGCAAAGGGGGAAGGGGAGGTCAGAGATGGGAACGCTCGGCAGAGTGAACCGGCACTGTTCGCGATAGAGAGTGTTCCTGCCTTGTCCGACAAGAATTGTTGCTTACCTGTAGACACTACACCCTACACCCCCTAACGATCCCTGACGTACCTTTCATCCGGGAGCAAGGTTTGTGTTGTGAACCAGTCTCGGCTGCCCTGAGGGAATTAAGAGGATCCTCGATGTCTGTTCGGACCATGGGCGATGCAACGAGCCTGTTTCTCCCGGCCCATGACGGATAGACGAGACAAAGCCCCCCTGCCTGATGAAGGTAGGAGTACCAATCATCCATCGAAACACGGCAGTTTCAATAAAGGATACGAACACGGAATATTGGGGGGGTGCCCAAGGAGTCGTCAGCCTCCTTTCCTGTTCCTGTCCCCATTCCCAACAATCAGGAAATGTCCCGACAGAGGAATCGCCTCATCTTACCCTGGTCCGGCAGCCAGGGGAGCCGAAAGTCGAAAGAGAGCCCAGAAGAGAGGGATTATCCACTCCAGCAGCAAAAACCCGGCCGTCTGGTTGCGGTTGACCAGGAACGCGCGAGGCTCATACAGGGGCCCGTCCGTGTGGGAGACACTGGGTGGACTGGGCTGGGGGTGTGCGCCTATGTGTGTACTTGTAAGGTGACTCGCAGGGCAGGCTACGGAGCGTTTTTCTGCAAGGGGTTGTTCCATGGGATCTGAAGTACCTACCTACGTACAACCTCCGTACGCGTCGTCGGCGGCGGATGCCGTGGATGGCTGCGCCTTTACTCTCCAGCAACAAGGGGTCCCAGGGGAAGAGGTCCGTGATACGTCTCTTGTTTTCGCAACCTGTTTCGTGATGTTCTGTTTTACGTACTTGCCTCCCCTTTTCCCACGCACCAGCTCGAATTTTACGAGATCGGTTATACCGGTGGTTTACCTACCGTGGTTGGATGACGATGCAGCTAGAAAGAGAACAACGTTTTTCTCGATTCGCCAGACGGCCTCCAACAGGACATCGCCAGGGAGGGCAAAGTTTACACACATGGGAATAGGGGACACGCGCGCAAGGACTCGCACGGCACGCGTGAGGCGGTCTACAAGTACCTGTGGCCCTCAGGTAGTAGTGCTGTGCATCGCAATGTAACGCTAGCCTGACGATGGGCGATCAAGAAAAAGCCACCGACACGGGGCCAAGGGAGACCAGCTGGCTTATCAGATTCTCTCGTCCACTAATACCTAGGCAAACAAGAGTACTTGTACAACCACGTCACACAAAGCCAGTGAGAGAATTTCCATGCCGGCACTTCCCAGCCAGCCAAACACACAACATCCCCCCCCGGGTGGCTTCCGCGGGAGTAGGACCACCGCACCAAGTGGAGGGGATCAAAAAGACCCAAGTTGTTTCCAGTTTCCTGAGCATGGAGATACAGGGGCATCCTCGTGGAGCAGTCGGTCACCGCAGGAGTCCGCTTACGAAGGAGGAGAAAAGCATGGAGGAGCATGAGAACAGGTGGAACCAGGGAGATGAACCTCGTAAATGCTCTTGGCCAGAGAAGGTTGAGAAGGAAGCAGGGCAAAAGGGCTGAGCTACCTAGCGCCGATGGGGATTCGACTGAGACAAGAGAAAAAAAAGCAACCATGTTTGCAAGGAGGGCTTTTCTGGAACCATCGAATCTTATCTGATCCGGCCAAAATCTCCCCGACCCCTGCCTGGCGTCCCAGTGGAATGTCATTTCGGTAGGGGGGGAATAGGGGGGTTGGCAGATTGATTAGATGAGATATGATGGAATCAGATAAGGGTTGAAGTGTGGGATTGATTAACCGCACTTGGGTCTCGGGCGTTTTGTTTCGATTTTTTACTGGGCGGGCTGCCAAGGAAAAACCGGAGGGCCCTAGCAGCGTCGATCATTCTGTCATTGGCCTGAAGCCCAGCCAGCCATGACTTGCATGGCCACCCAAAGGACCACCCGATCTCGGAGGCCCTGCTGTCGGCCTTCACCAGGCGCACCCGGTATTGGCTGCAAACCTCAGGACATGTGTCATTCGGTTCCACGACGATGCAATCCAGTCCAGGACAGTGTGCGAAACAGACCGGCGCTTGCTTGTCCGGGGCTCCAATTGCTCCAAATTTCGCGCAGACTCGCATGCTCCAAGGCGTGATCAATGTGCGTGCGCGCGTCAGGCACCGTTATTAATCCCGCCCGAGAGATTAGCCAGCACGGACGGGGGGGCCTTTGCGAAGAAATAATGGATATTGCCAGAATTCCCAGCAAGCCGGACAGAAACCTGGAGTGCAGGAGAGTGGCTGTTTTATTGTGGTGCCTTCACTAGGCGCTGGGGCAGGGGAAGAACTTTAGCAACTTTGGCGGCGCATGAGCATCCGCCCATGTGCCGGCTCTGTCCCTCGATCACGAAACCGGAGAAGGGAGCGGTATGCGCTCAAGCTTTCCGGTTCATTCTTTTCTTGATTGCAGAAGAGGGGGTTCTGGGAGGCCAGGCGATTGGAATGGGGGAATGGCAGTCGGCTCTGCAGGTTGGTCCCCGATGGAGGGATGGCATCTCCAAGAGACCGCCGGCCGGTCATGTGCACGCAATCCGAGGAGTTGACCCGCACACGAGGGAAACGGGACGGGGAATGGGGTCGGGGAGATGGGAGGATGAGGACTGGAGGATGGTTCTTCCTCGGATCAGACCCCCCATCTGCTCCGCCCAAATTGGCTTCTGACTACAGTTGAGTGTACGGGTAGGACAGCAGCAGGTTGAGCAGGCGGGATCGGTTCGGCAGTGGCAGTCGCTTGGGTTCGTTTTGGGTGGTGTGGTGGGAAAAATGGATTTGCGCGCACTGGGGATCGGGTGGCAATGGGATGAGCTCCTCCCGACATCACCCCATCGTCGCACACCCAAATTTTGATTCCCCTACACTTCCCATTCCCCCCTCGGCTGCCCCAACGAAACAAAGAACCAAAACACCCCAAAAGTAAAGCGACTCGTCCCGAATAGAGGAATCAAGTCGCCGATTGAAGCATCCATGTATCATTGTTCCCAGGGGTCTTGGCTGGGAATGAGGCAGGGGTTCAGGGGCCCTCTTAGTCAGGCTCCTCGAATGATCAACCCCGATGGATGATATGATGGAATTGATACGTGCTGTCAACGAATCTCGCCCGCCCCAAGAGAGACACGTGCGGGTGACCTTTCCCACCGGAGCAACTCCCCGCAAAATGCAGGTCTTCCAAGAGTTCCCCGGCGTGCGGCGAGGCAGCGCTAGTGGCAGTTTTTTCTCTGCTGTTATCAGATGGAGACCTGTTGGGTCCATTTCTCGGGTCCACTGCCGCACAGTGCGAGCCTTTTTAGCCCGCTCAGAAGGAGGCAAGAAAGCCTGAGAGGCACCGGCTTGTGGCCCAGTTCTGGCCATCTGATTGCTCGGCCCAGGGTTGGTTGATACGGTGGCCTGGACCGGCGTCTGGTCCTTTCCCCCAGCATTTCCCTCACGGTTCATCCCAGAACCCAGAACCACAAGAGAAAACCGAGCTAATAAAGTGTGCTTTTTTGCTCATACTCCGTACTACTTGTACTTTGGTATTCTGCACTTACGATTCTGGCCGATCCACAGAGGAAATGCTCGGCAAAGCCTTGGAACATCCCCTTCGGTACGGCTAGTCCTCTTAGTCCTCTTAGACTTCAAAAGAGGCTTGTCACGCCCTTCCTGACTTTTCGCCTCGTCTCTTGTTGATTCCCTCTTCCTCCTCTTTCCACGCACACCTTGCACCCCTTCTTCCCCTTCAGGGCACAGGACCTGCTTGAGTTTTTCCTTATCTGATCTGTGCATGTCCTTATCAATCTGCAATTCACCGTTTCACGCACCTGCTTAGCCAATTCCTGACTGTCCATCTGATAATCCTGACACAGCCAGTCCAGCGCCAATCTGAAAGCGTCATTATCGTCTGGTCAATTCTTCTTCAACAACCTGGGCCGCCACTCACCTCGGCCTCTCCCTCGACCGCTCCTCCCTCTGGCACTGCGTACTCGGCCATGCATTCGGCTTGCTGAAAACCACCATTCCATTCACCTCAACTCGCGCATCATCTCTACTCTCACCGCGCCGCCCACCTCAACTTCCATCTCTTTTCCGCCTCGCACTCCCGCTCCTCCCACTCTGAACCACTCGCCTCGCAAGCTTGGGAGAATGACCGCAGCCATGCATTCTCGGGTGGACCAGATTCTTGCCGAGAATGCGGCCAACAGCGTGCCAGAGGAGCCCAGCTCCCCCTCGCTGGCACCTTCTCTCACATACTCGGAGTCGGCCGACGAGCACGACTTGGAGGAACCCCACCCTGAACCCCCACGACGCCGACGCGCCTCCACCAGACTCATTGCCCAGAGCGCAGCAGACATCCAGCGCATCACGGGCGAGTCCACTGCCCAATTGATCAACCGGTGCTGCGGTGGCGGCTGCTGCATGAAGTTGGAGGGCAAGAAGGAAGGCATCGAGTACGAGCGCGTGCAGCTGCCCGACAATGACGCATTCCGCTCCCTGCTCCTCAAGATCGACGAGATCCCGACCAGCCTCACCAATGTTGCCGACTACCCCGAGCAAACCGTCTTCCTGGAATCCATACGCCAGCCTTCGGTGCCTTCGGTCCCCTCGCTCTCTCCCACTGACTCTGGCATCTCCCTTGGCGACGACAATGACAGCGAAACCCCGATTGCAGAGGCGCAAAAGACCTTGGAGAGCCTCAGACTCGAGGACCTCGACACATCCATCCAACCGCCCTCCTTTGTGCAACCCCACCCTCCATACCACGTTTTCCCCGCCCGCATCGAGAACACGCGCGAGCTGACGAAGCAGGGTGCCGAGAAGCGCACCTTCCACTTCGACATTGATATCACCAACTACCCCGATCTCGAGGCTGGCGAGTTCAAGGTCGGCGGCGCCATTGGCATCACCGCCCCGAACGAGGACGCCCGTGTCGACGAGATCCTGGACCTGCTGATGATCCCGCGATACCTCCGCAACAAGCCCGTCCTTCTGCGCACCACCAAGGGCCGGTGGCCGACGGTCTGGGGCGAGGATCAGCCCCGCCAGCTGGTCACCACCCGCCGGGACATCCTCACATGGTGCTGCGACATCGCCTCGTACCCTCCCACGAAGCCCATCCTGCGCATCCTGGCGGAGCATGCCACCGACGAGGCCGAGAGGAAGGTCCTGTTTTTCCTCTGCTCGGGCGAGGGCCAGGGCGTCTTCTGCGACTTCAGGACCGGCCCCCACATCACCCTCGCTCAGCTGCTGCAGGCCTTCCCCAGCTCCAAGCCGCCGCTAGACGAGATCCTGTCACACCTGCAGCAGCTGATGCCCCGCTTCTACTCGCTCTCCAACGACCCCCACGAGTCCTTCTCCGTCCGCGACGGCAAGCAGCACCGCATCGTCGAGATCGCCGTCACCGTGCACACCACCCACGACTGGCAGACGGGCACCCGCAACGGCGTCGGCTCCGGCTTCTTCCAGCGCCAGGCCCTCAGGTTCATGGAGGAGCGCGCCAAGGGCGTCAAGGAGCCGCAGCTGTTTGTGCCCATGTTCAAGGGCCTCATGTCGAACCCGCTGGCCAAGCAGTTCGTCTCGGACGGGCCCATGCTGCTTATTGGTGCAGGCGTGGGCATCGCTCCCTTCCGCGGCTTCGTGCAGCGGCGCCTCAAGACGGCCAACTGCGCTAACAAGGTCTGGGTCTTGCAGGGCATCCGCGACTCGCTCGTCGACGAGATCTACAGCGGCGAGTGGGGCGTGCACGAGGACGAGGTCAAGCGCGTGGTGCAGAGCCGCCGCGGCGAGGGCAAGTACGTCCAGGAGGAGGTGCGCAACCAGTCCGACCTGGTCTGGTACATCATCAACTCGGTCGACGGCCGCGTCTTTGTCTGCGGTAGCAGCAAGGGCATGGGCGAGGGCGTCGAGGACGCCCTCGTCGACGTGGCCATGGAGAAGGGCAACCTCGGCCGCGAGGAGGCGCGCAACTACTGGCAGCTCAAGAAGGAGGCTGGCCAGTACATTGCCGAGACGTGGTGAAGCTGGTCCTGCTTACTCGTCTCTCTCTCTCTCTCTCTCCTCCCTTTCCTATTGGATCTGTCAGTCATACATATGACATGACTGCTCTCCATCCTTTTTTGTTTTTACCGTTTCCCTGTCCCACCCATGCATGGAAACTCTTTTTTCCGACCAGCCGGGTTTCGCATCATCATCAGCATCGAAGAGGCGGGGAAAAATTATACCATCTAGACTGAGCGGCATATCGGGAGTGCTTTTACCACAAACCATTTTTAGCATTTAACCCCGTCACCCTCGAAAACATCTGCTGGGGCATATCACTGTGCCTACCTTTGCACCTAGCGCGGGTGCAACAAGATGCAGAACTTCCTTTTTTCTCCTCCTTTACTATTTTGCATTAGACGACAGGCATTGAACGAAACGACCTTACTGCGTGCTCTTCTTTCTTTTCTCCCCCCTTTCCCACCATGGGCATCGAGAGGGATTTTCACTCGACGCGGCACGGCGTTCATTGCCCCGAGTCGGATTTCTGCCTTTTTGTTGCTGCATGGAAGGGCTGTATATAATCTTCGGTCCTCTCCTTCCTGTCCCTTTTTCTCTTGGCGGGGAACAGTATAATATGGGCTAGGTGCAGAGACGAGAGGCTCAAGGGGCCATAGCGGTACATAGCTTTTTGATGAGGGAATCAAAAAAGATTATCAAAAGACCGATGAAGTGTCGCGTTGTGTGAAATATGATTTACACCCTGCCCGTCGACTGAAACGAAAAGCAAGTGTGTGATTGTCTGTATCAATCTCAGAAAGGCATGCTGGGTTTCTTATATGAATAGACACGTATTTGTCCGGTCTCTTTTCGGCGGCGCGGGGTTAAGACGGACTCGGGGCTTGGCACCCGGCCTTTTTCTGGTCCGGGGCGGACATCTCGCGAGCAGGCCGCAGGCCCGTGTTTATATCCGTCTGACAGTAAGCACAGGGGTACAAAGACCTCAATGGTGGGAAATTGCCTTTTGGGGAGCTTATTTACATACCCCCCCGAGATGCGAAATGCTGCTCGGGCTCGCTGAAATCCGGATACTTTACGAGAAAGTGCCGTTTGTGGCTGGCTGTTTATGATAGATACATTGATCATCTCTGATCCTTTCTGATCGTCTGGCCCCTTCCCCCGGCGACATCAGAACATGGCGCGATTGCTGTAATGCCACGGCCAGCATTGGCTTCGTTCATGGCCTTTTGACTGGAAAGCGTGGGAGCACATGGCGGGATGCTGTTATTCCATTCACCATGCCATTGGCTGGTTTCCTCAAGCAGGCGGTTGGGAACGGTGTTCATATGTTGCATGAGGGGTCACCCTGGCTGCCCAACATGCTGCGCAAGGACTGTCCTCATCTGCCTCTCCATTTCCCCCAGTTGAACTTGCCATCATTTTCCTGCCCCTGAAAGAGGGATATAGAGTCCCTGGATTATCTTGCTCCGTTTCATGGGAGATGGGGAGCCACTCGGGACAGAGCCTGGCTGAGGCCCAACTCAAGGAGCTCCACGCGTACGCAAAGCTGCTCTTTCTCCGCAGCGGTCGCCAGTACGAAGACAAGACCCTGTATCACGAGCTCGAAGGCGATGCATCCCCAAATGAAGCCGAGGACGACTGCGGCTCAGCCAGGAATGCTCCTCTCGGCGGTGACCTTGACTTGGATCGCCTGCGGCGCGACTTCCTAAACAGGCTATCCGAGACCGTCTCGTCCACGAAGGGAGGCTCTCACGTCGTCGCCAGCCCGCATGGTCTACTGGCCCGACAAGGCCAAAGTCTTTGTCGCGATAAACTCGGGGTTCTCCCGGGGCGATTTGCTGTCCAAGTTCTTGGGCGGCTTGTGCACAGCGCTCGATGGCATTGCTGCTGCTCCGGGTTGGTTTGTCGAAGGAGGGAGCCCCCCCCCCCCCCCCCTCTCATGAAGGTCTTGCTAATGCAAATTCTCGCAGATAATCAGACAGAGGAGCAGATACACGCACTCCGGGACATGCTGCTTCGCCACCAGTCGTCGAGACTGAACACTGCCGTGGCCGAACTGCGGCAAGTCATGCACAGCTTCCGGCACCTTCTTCCACAAAATGCGTTGCCGGAGTCGACTGCCGTCAGTGCTCTTCCGCCAGACACGGACGCAGTGGTGCTTGGTTTCGAGGACTGCCTGAAGCTGCTGGCCACGTTTCTCTTCAGCGGTAGCCACCCGGACCTGGAGAGACACCGTCGTCTCGTGAGCCTCGGCCATGTCATCTACCGAACCTTTCCTGCCGGGCTCTTCCGGGCCCTTGGCCCCGGGGGCGACAAGCTCCGCCAGGCTATCGGCTTTCTGGGTCGACTCCAGACGTCCCTTCAGGTGCTTGTCACAGCAACCAGGCAAGTGCCCGGGTTTGACTGCTTGTCCCTGATCCCGGTGGTCAGACCGAAGCCTGGCAAGGTCTCGACTGCATGTCGGCAGGAGTGGAGTCTGAGCCAGACGTTTCGCGCTCTCAACCGACGGCTGAACGATGCAGAGGTGAACATACTCATGGGGCGGCCAGGCTCAAAGGGCAGGTGGACGAAGAACAAACTGCTGAACGACTTCTCTAAACTCAGATCCCCGACCTGGGAAGTGCACGCCGAGATCCAGACGATACTCTTTGTCCTCCTCCACCCGGAGGAAGTCGCCAACGGGAAGGAGTTGGACTACATTGGGTGCAGCAGGTACAGTTGTCTACTGTGCTCCAAGTTCCTCTGCCACTTCCAGGCCCTGCAGACGCGTGGGTGTCATGGCAAGCTTTACAGCCATAGCTGGACTGTCCCCCCCCGCGGAGATGGTTTGGGCCAAGGCGAGCTGCAGATGCTGTCTGGGGCTGTGGCGGAGGTGACATCGTGGATGCGGCAGGAACTCATTGGCAGAGCGAGGTCTCCGGCTCAAAAGAGACCAGAGGTCAAGGAGTCCACGATTGGTGGCAGCTCGATTATTGCCATCCCAGGGAACGGCAGAGACGGTCCTCGGCAGAGTTACGGCGCGTCCGAGCACCTCCGCCGACAACGAGCTGAAAGCTCTTATATGCGAGCCACGCAGAAGAGGTGCGTTCCTTGTCGCGCGCGTAGTTTGTTACTTTCTTCACGTCCACCGTCCGCCCTCCCCTTTCCCCTTCCCCCTTGTTTCTCCTCCTTCTGAGCTTCTCCTTCCCGGTAGTCTTGCTCAACACCTCCCTTCCGCATTGCTTTTGAATCTGCTACCCCATATTCCCCGCCCTCTGTGGATGTTTGAAAAGGGCCTAATGCTGGAATGTTTGTGGCTAGTCACCTGGATCTCGTCGAAGACGAGGATGCCTCCAGCATTGGAAGCAAGGCCAGCACGCCCACAGAGACCGGGGCGGAACGATGTGCTGGTTGCTTCGACAGAGAAACCACTCGACGATGTTCTCACTGCGGAGGAGGCGTGTTCTGCGGCGAGGCCTGCGAAAGACAGATGCCGTTGTCACACCTCATCAAATGCAACATGCGGCAAGTCACCTCGGCAGACTACCTTTACCAGGACGTTGTCGAGGACGCAATCCTGACGGACCCTGGTGCACGGCAGGACTACTGGTTCGACCGATGCCAAAGCAAGGGGGAAGAATCGCACCTGCTTGGAGTCTTTGCCGGCCTCCTTAGATACCATCGCTACTACATCACTCGCGAAGAGCTTCACCAGTGGAGATCGCATCCAGGCGGCAACACTTACTTGGTCGCGGCGATAGCCAAGAAATTCGACGAGTTGCCCGAGCGCTACAGGGGAGGATACTTCCCTTGGTTCTGGGGACTGCGGGCTCGCTTCGAGCTGCCGGACGGCCACCCTTCGGTTCCTCGCGCGCTCTGCCCTAGGGCCCAGATGGAAGAGATGGAGGCTCGAGCCCGAAAGTACCTGTCCCCCGAGGACCGGCATAAAGACGTCGGGGACCTGGCTCCTTTTGCAAAGATGCACTGCTTCCGTTTTTACTGCCTGATCAACGCCCATGCATGGCCACCACCCGTGGACACGGGGTATAGTCATTGGTTCGACTTTGGGTTTGTCGTATGTAGTGACCGGCACGAGGAAGCGCGCCTGAGTTCAATGTACATCGGCATGCTCACCGGGCCCGACCGCACGTGCAGTTTCGAGGAATTCTGGCGAGCGTGGGAGGAGGGGGATCTCATGGCCGTATTCGACAAGAGGTATCGGCCGGCGGCATCGCCAGGCGCATTCATGCATGTCCCCCCTGAACTCGACCTCCTCGGTCGTCTGCAGGGCTTCCTCTCTTGCGGAGGAGGAGGAGGAGCAGAGCGTCCATCTGTCTGGAGGCTACGCCACTTTCTCGAGCTGCAAGGTCTTTCCGTCGAGTCCGCGACGTGCGAGACTGCCCGAGGCGCACGGGATTACCGGTTTTCTGAGCAGTTGGACACAAGGACCACCATGGAGCTGAGGGGCTTTTATGCGCAGCTCCTCACAAAGGTGAACCCTTTGACAGTCCACCATGAAAGAATGGAAGGGAATTTGCTGTCCTTTGCGAGGGGTCACATCGACGTCACTCCGAGGGTCGAAGCGGTCCTTCAAAGCCTTCTGTAACTTGAGATGCCCAGATAGACTGATAGCATTGAGGGGAAGCAATCGGCAATAGGTAGCGATACTCCGCAAGAAGTCAAAGCTGGCTCAGGAGGTTAACACAGCGCAACAAGACTCGAGCACTTGGGCGAGGCACGTAAGCACATAAGCCGAGCCTGATTTTCATTGCATGGTGTTGATGTGAGAGACATCGAAACCACTGCGCTATGTCAAAGACCTCAAGAGGCAACTCTGACCAAGCAAGGGCAGGTAGAGTACGAAAGTATTTGCGATCAAGCTGACATGCCTACTCTCCGCTGATTAACCACAGTTCGTTGAAGCTGGAGTTTTTGTCAGCTGCGCGCGCGCATCCAGCCCAAGATTGTGTGGGCCGTCAGTCAGTTTGCTCCCCCCCCCCCCAGAGCTTTTCCCCTTTGGGCCACCGCGCGCGATGAAGTCTGCCCGTTTCAGCCACCTTGGCCGCCGGGGAGAAAAGTCAGCGTACCCACGTCTCGGGGGCCCGGTTTGCCCTGGTTTTTAAGAATCTGACAGCCCCTGCACGATTTGCACCCGGGGCGATCAGTTTACGGTATGTGCCGCACACTGGTAGCCGCGATGTGATTTGCTGACATGCTTCTGCTCTGCTTACTTACATCGACTTACACGGGTTCACAAAGTGCGAAAGGCTCTCGGACTGAGGACTGAGGAGGCGATAAGCGGGAGAAGTATCAGGTGTAAATCTGGAGGTTTTTGATTGCAGAGGTAGACACCTGGAACTGAATGGTTCTTTTTTTTTTCATAGTGAACAAACTGGACAGCGAGAGTCACTGCATTGCATCACGGCCGGCATCACGAGAGCTTGTAAGCCTCGAGGACTCGACACAGGAACTTCAACGACAACACTCAAGAAAGGCAACGGAGAGATATTGTTTTGTGACAGCTCAACCCACCAGTGCGCCCCAGAAGCACTGGATTAGGCCTGTACACACACACTCGCATGGGTTGGGACGCAACCAGACAGACACACGAAGTATCGGCTCCATCGGGACTTGATTTGTCTTGCTTAACTCATCATGGCCAGTGGGGACACGGGCGACAAGACTGCACAACCGTCTCCAGTATCTGTTCACCGCAAACAGTACCCCCCTCTGGAAAGGGAAGTACACGATGGAACGGATGGAACCCCTTGGAAGCGTGTGTGGTTAAGTAGTTGACAGATCAAGCCGATCTAGCCCCGTCCCGTTCTGTTCGGCACCGACCTGCCTAGCTCCCCACCAGGTAACTCGACTAACCTATGTACATAGTTTTCCCTTACTCGAGAACGACTCGGCGCAGCGCGGCAGTTGTACCCCAAGGTACTTTTTTCTTTTGGCGATGGGTCTTGGTCTTTTCTCCCCGCGCGCGTATTCTGCCTTCGTCTCCTCCTCTTGCGCAATTCCCTCCCCTCAGTGGGGTCGCATGTTTCGATACCGAGACGTTCGTAGGAGTAGAGTAGAGTAGAGATGGAGAGCGAGAGAGAGGGAACGGTAAGTAATCGATAGGTAAGCGTGGGAAGGCCTTTCTCCTCCGGAACAGAAAGATATAAAGATCCGGACCCTCCTCCTTCCCAACCCCCATCTCCCATCACTCCCTTTTCGTACCCCAAGACAGCATCTCCCACTCTCTCTCCCCCCCCATGAACGCACTCCGAACTGCCCTCTCCCGCAGCAGACTCCCTTTGCTCAGATCCAGCGCCGTTATTACCGCCAAACCCATCACCGCCGCACACCGCCGCCCCTTCGCCTCCACCACACCCGCCGCCACAGCCACAGCCGCCATGTCCAAGCTCTCCGCCGACACCGTGCTCGAGCACGTCCGCAACCGCCGCACCTACTACGGCCTGACCAAGTCCCTCGGCGACCTGACGCCCGCCCGCGTCGAGGAGATCGTCAAGGAGTCGCTCAAGCACGTGCCGTCCTCCTTCAACTCGCAGTCGAACCGCGTCGTCGTGCTCTTCGGCGCCCACCACGACAAGCTCTGGGACCTGACGGCCGAGACGCTGCGCGCCATCGTCCCCGCCGAGCAGTGGCCGTCGACGGAGCAGCGCATCGCCGGCTTCAAGGCCGGCGCCGCGTCGGTCCTCTTCTTCGAGGACGACGCCGTCGTCAGGCACATGCAGGAGCAGTTCGCCATCTACGCCGACCGCTTCGCGCCCTGGGCCGGCCACTCCAGCGCCATGCTCCAGCTCGTCGTCTGGACGGCGCTCGAGGCCGAAGGGCTCGGCGCCAACCTGCAGCACTACAACCCGCTCATCGACGACAAGGTCCGCAAGGAGTGGGAGGTGCCCGAGACCTGGCGCCTGACGGCGCAGCTCGTCGTCGGCGCGCGCAACGGCGGGCCCGGCGCCCCCGGCCAGGAGAAGACCTTCAAGCCCTTCTCCGAGACGTACAAGAGCTACGGCGCCTGAGGGTCCGGGCTCAGGAGGACGCGGTTATGAAAGTTTGATTGATATACAAAGCATTGGGGCAAATCTGGAGTTTTGAAATTCGTTCTTTTTTTCTCCCAAAAGATGAAAACAAATGAGATTATATGACTTGGTTATAGACCTTGCTAGAGACCAAATAAATCAAGAAGACCGTATATTGGCAAACAACTGCTTGACTGGTTGAACGCATTGTATTTCGTGACTTGTTTGATTTAGACGAGGGGGTGATGCCAGTTGAACACTACCTACATGTACGTCGCAACAAACGCCTGCTTGTCCATGTGCAAACACTCGAACAATTAGAACACACGACTCTCAACACCACCACATCACACACACATGCACATGCACACACACATCCAGACAAGCTACCACCTGTAGTAACATTGGATCTCACTCAACTTTCACATTCTCACTTCGCACATCTATATTATTTCTTGATTTATTTTATTTTCCTTTCATCTTTCTCAAAACCCAATCTCGTCGATCCGCCCCAGCGCCTGCCCGACCTGCACCTTCTGCCCCTTCTCGACCTGCCAGTGGAACCCGCCGGCCTCCCCGCCGGCGCCGCTGGCCGGCGCGCCGGGGTCGGCCCGGGCGACGGGCGCCTCGAACACGAGCACGATGGTGCTGCCGAGCTGGAAGCCGCCCATCTCCTCGCCGCGGCGCAGCGCGTGCCCGTGCAGCACGGGGCTCGCGGCCTCGTACGTCGCCTCGGCGAAGCCCGAGTACGGCTCCCCGCGGGCGGCGGCCTCCTCGGCGGCGCGGTCGGCCGCCGTGTCGGTCGTCAGGCTGTTGGTGCGCAGCTCGCGGTCAAAGTTGACGACGATGGAGCCGACGTTGGTGGCGCCGACGGGCACGAAGCTGAAGAAGCCGTAGCGCCAGCGGCCGAGCAGCACGACGCGCTCGTTGAGCGTGAAGAGGCCCGGCAGGGTGCGCTGCAGGTAAGGGGACACCGAGTACAGCTCGCCGGCGAAGTGGCGGCGGCGCTCGACGACCCAGTTCGTCGGCGAGTGGAAGCGGTGGTAGTCGCCCGGCGACAGGTAGACGACGGCGTAGTAGAGCGCCGTCTTGGAGGACTCGTGCGACAGCAGCGAGTACCACGGCTTCTCGCCGAGGGCGAGGTCGGCGCGGACCTCGGAGACGGAGACGGGCGAGGGCTTGACGGACTGGTCTGTGGCCTCCTCGTGGGGCTGGGCCATGGCCGGGCCCGACAGGAGGTTGGGGAGGGTGTAGGAGATGCCGTTGACGCGCGCAAACTCCTCGTCCGACTTGACGAGCTCTTCCTCGGCGGTCAGAGTCTTTTCCCCGTGCCTGGCCTGGTTGTCGGAAGGAGTTGAGAGCCCGCTTGAGCTCCGCGAGGTTGACGGGGTGGTCTCTCCCAGGAGGGCGTCGATATTGTAGGTCATGCCTTTGACCTGCTCAATGTCGCCGCCCTCAATCTGGCCAAACTGGAGGACGACGCCATCTGCGGGGGACAGAAGAGCGTGAGGGTCCGGGTCAAGTGGTCGAACGCCGGGCTTGAGTTGTCGGTAAAAGAAGGATGCCAAGTTGGGGTATACATGAAGATCATCCTCGCTCGCTTCGTGAATCCTGCGGATCGTTAGCCACTTACTTGGCGACAAGAATTGTGTAGATAGATCGCCACATACTTGACGCCAAACACCCAAGAGTAGAGCTTAAAGCCAGGAACACGGAGGTAGTACGGAATGGTCAGTTCGTTAAATCTGCCCCATAGTCTGGAGAGTGCCTTCAACGGCAGTGTAGACATAACCTGAACCTGCCTGTGCAACTGGTCAACACTCAAGCACCACTATAATTTTTTGCAGCACGTTCGATGCGTACCATGGCCCATCTGGGCGAATGCGAGGCCGCTTCTTAGGCCGGCTCTCGGGCTCACCCCCGCGAGCTGCTTGCTCCTGCGCCTCCTTTTCTCGCGAGCTGACCTTGTAGAACTGGACGAGGCCCAAGAAGCCAATTCCCAAGCCGACAGGGATCTGATACCATTGGACCTTGGTATTGCGCAAGGCGGTCCTCAGCCGGGACGAGAACTTGGGCCGCTTGGGGGACTGCTGCGACATCAGCCGACGGGTCGCGACGGTCGGGACACGGGACTGGAAGCGCTGGGTCAGGAGGAAGCTGTTGGGGGCGAGGCACGAGGTGCAGCGGCCTCTCGCCCCGCTCAACCCAGGCGTCATGATGACCGAGACCATGGTGTCTTCGCAGAGAGGAATTGTTGGAAGGAAGATGGGGCGAGAGGCTGCGATGGGATCGCGATCCGGGTCCGCCAGCGTCGTAGAGAGCGACTCCGGGGAGGGGGAGGGAGCAATCGGGGGCCCAAGTCGTGCTAATAAAATAGCCCTAGAGGTCCCTTTGTGCCCCGGATTACAAGCTCGGCCGTCTGTGATGGAGGGGAGGGTCTCGAAGAGTTCGTGACTGGTAATGACGCAAAGGTGTGCATGTTTTTGGCGCGTGAGAATTGGTTGAAAGGGGAGTGCTAGACTGCTAGTGCAGCGCATGTGTCAATCATTCGAGACGGACCGCTCTGGGCGGGCGGAGGAGCTGCAGCAGTACCTAGTTACGGGAGTTACTCCATTCCAAGATTTGCTCCAGGTGTGTCCAAATGCTAGCCCCCAATGCAGTACCTAAGACGCTGCTCAGGGATCCCCTACAGATGGGTGTACCCAGTACCCGAACCCGCGCGGTCCCACATATGGCGACATGTGTAGCCCCTACCTTTGGGGGATCTAGTACAGTACTACTTGTACCTGGATACGTGGAACTTTGGAGCTTCATCTATGCTGTTCTAATACTCCGTAAGTCAGGTAGTTACATCCATCCCATCCCGTCTTACCCAGTCCGTCCCTCTCTTTGACGAAAAAGCAAAGGACACTTCTCACCAAAGGGGCCAGGCCATGTCGAAATAGTCCCCTCCATCGCCTTACAGTTTTTCTTAGAGAGAAGAAGAACAGGACATACTACTCATCACACTGCAATCATCATGCCGGCCAGCCAAGCATGAGTCCTGACGACGTGACCCCTTGGGCCCAGCTCCACGATTTGTAACGAGATACCTTGCGCTCACATCATCCAAACCCCCTCGTGCGAGCTCGAGGCAGGCATCCGAGTGCACCGATCTGTGACCTCGAGGTCAAATGAGTTCAGATCCAACCCTTTCGAGTATTTCCTCTTGGGCAGTAGTTTCCGTTTGACGCAATGGCCGAACCGACCGTCCCGTCGCCCGCCCAGGCAGGCGACGAGCAGCCCCTGGCTGTCGACCTGCGCATCGTCTCGCCGTCGCAGGGCGTCCCGAACCCATTGGTCATTGCCGATCTTCCTGCAGCGACTACCGTCGGAGGGCTCAAGGACAGACTCCGAAGCAGCTTGGTTGGTGGCGGGAACCATCAAGACGTCCAGCTCCGTTTGATCCACCGAGGTCGTGTGCTGGACCATGACCAGGCATCGCTCGAGCGCATCTTTGGTGCTGCATCCGTACGTACAACCTCTCCAATCGCCACTCGCTCTTGGGAGGAATTGCTAACTTCCTTCCTATTTCAGATTCGCGAGAGCAAGGCTCAGACCTTGCACCTTGTTCTCCGAGACACTTCCTCCCAGCCATCCTCGCATCCTGCACCGCCAGCACCCCAAGCATCGACAGCAACACCGTCACCGGGACCGGCAAACAATGCTCAACAGCAACCACACCCGCCGCACGCCCACCCGGCACATGCACATGTACATATACACGGCCTCCCGGGAGCACAGAACATGAACGCGCGGTTCACTCTCGGTGGCCAAACGCCGCCTGCTACGCAACAGTCACCGTTTGCGGTCCCCCAGCAGCCGGGCCAAGCACACCCGAACCTGCCGCCGGCATTTCTCGCCCAGCAGCAACAAATTCTGGCACAACAACAGCACATGATGCAGAATGCTATGGGATGGATGAACCAACTGCATCGCCAGCCGAACCTAGGACCTCTGCTTAATCAGCATCAACGGGAGAGGGCAGCGATGGGCTTCAACGGTATTCACGATCCGGCGAGGAATGCCCAGGCCGGTCAGGCCGATAACACCGGCCGGAACAGTCCAGCAGGCCAGCCTTCCCATCATACGGTGGTGAGAGAGGGAGTCTTACCCAACGGATCTTGGCGCATTACTGTGGATGGCAGTGTCATTGGCCCACAAGGACCGTTGATGAACACTCAAGCGAACCAGGCCCGACAGAGTCCTGGTCCTGGTCTGGGCCAGCAGCCCCAACATGCGCACGTCCACAACACCACACAACCGCCTAGGGGCCCGTTGTCGGTTGGAGACGTGCAAAACATCCTCCGCGGGGCCGACGCAAACCAGGCCGCTCAGATCATGACGAACGCTATGCACCGCAGTGCGTCGGGCGCCTCGCTTTCCGGTATGGCTAATGGCCCGATGCCGTTTGGGGTGACCGTGCCCGCCGGCTTGCGCCCGGGCCATCATTATGGCATTAGGAGCAGAACAGCAACGCCCGATCTGCTCGTCACACCGACCCAGGCTATGTCGAGCGCTTTGTCGCGAGCACAAGCCACCTCGGGACGCCCAGAGGTGTATATACTCTCATCACCTAGCGGGCCCCGGGCGCTTCTCATCAACAATAATGCCGAGGCGTTCTATACTCCTGCTGTACGAGCTGCACCTGCACCAGCCGTACATGTACAGGTTCACCCTGCAACCTCACCGTTGATGGCAGTTCATGCTCCTCAGCCACCTCAACGAGCAGGCACACCCCACCCGGCAAACGACATCGTAGAGCAGTGGCGTCAGAACGCGGAACAGCAACATGCCGCACAGCAATTGGCACAGGCGCAGGCCCAGGAGGGTCAGCAGCAACAACAGGCCGCCATGCCGCCGCTGGGCCCCCCTCTACAAGTCAACAACCCCGGAGCGGGCGCCATCGCGGCCATGTGGCCGCACATCTGGCTGCTCATCAGGATGGCCGTCGTGATCTGGTGCTTTACCTCGCCGCACTGGAGCTGGACGCGCTGGAGTCTGGTCATCGGCCTCGCTACGATAGTCTTCATCTTCAACACGGGCCTGCTGGACAACTTTGCGCCCCAGGCCCTCGGCCCCTTCCGACGGCACCTCGAGGGCTTGCTCCCCATGGTGGACAACCACGGCCGGCCGCGGAACCCGCAGGACCCGAATGCCCCACTGGCGCCGGGCCAGGCCGGCGGTGGTGTTGGTGCCGCTGCTGGTGCCGGTGCAGGAGACGGAGCAGCGCGAGCGGACCGGCAGCCGGACCCGCGGGAGGCGGCGGAGAGGATGGTGGCGCGGCACAGGGTCGACAATGCGAACTGGCTCATGAACCAGGTGCGCCGGGCGGAGAGGGCCGGCCTCCTCTTCCTCGCCAGCATCGCTCCCGGCGTGGCGGAGCGGCACATTGCGAACCTGGAGGCGCAGGAGCGGGAGGAGAGGGAGCGGAGGGAGGCGGAGGAGCGCAGAAGGGCCGAGGAGGCGGCTGCTGCTGCGGCTGCGGCTGCGACTGCGGCTGCGGGAGAGAATGCAGGGGGGGAGGGTCAAGACCAGGGTCAGGAGAAGAGTGCGGAGGCGGTGTCGCAGAGCGCTGAGAATGGAGAGCGTGCTGGCGCCGGTGCTTCAGGCGAGGCTGGTGCTGTGAGCGGGCAGCAGCCGAGTGCTCCGCGGGAGGGCGCGCTCGTCGACGTGTAGGAATATTGAGACTCGTTGCCAGGGTGGACAAGTTTGCTTGGGGGTTGGAGGTTATTCGTTTAGGGTTCACATATGCATTCTATGCCCTAGTTAACTACCTACTTAGATCGGAGATCCCGGATTGTTCGATAAGGAGCAGTCGTAGCAATACCCATATGCATCTTTCTTTTTCTGCAAGGCTGACAATGCCCGTTGGAACACCTTCTACGGAGTATGTCCTCACAACCTGAAAGTATATTGATTCGGTCAACTGGTGGAATGGCGTCCCTCAAGTGCAAGGGGCTCCGCTATTCTCCCGGAAGCTCCTAGCACCCGCTCCGGCGCCGCTGTAGACTGCCTAATTCGGTCCTGTAGCCCGCGTCGGGGCCAGTCCCTGACGCACCTCTTCGCCCCTTGGCACTGGCGAGCCTCGGCACCTTTTGCAGCTACCCATCATCCCCCGCAAACTGTTCGGGAGCTTGGAGAGGTGGTGACGGGGGGGGCCTCGGCACCCCGGATTGGTCGCTTTTTCTTAATATCTTTTTACGACCTGGATAAACGGACCTTGTCATTGACCTTTCCTCTCTTGTTTTTCCTCTATTCATTCACTCCTATTACCTTGATTCAATTGCACACCGGATCAACCGGGACCAGCAACCATGGCCGAAGCGCAGCTCAAGGACTTCCCCTCCCTCTTCTCCCTCAAGGGCAAGGTCGCCGTCATCACCGGCGGCTCGAGGGGTCTCGGCCTCAGCGCCGCATCGGCGTACGTTTCTTTTAGAAGTGTCCGATCTCTTCTGCCTCCATTTCACTAACTTCTCGCGCTCGCACGCATGTAGCATCCTCCAGGCCGGCGCGTCCAAGGTCTTCATCTCGTCCCGCAAGGCCAAGGCCTGCGAGCAGGCCGTCGCCACGCTCAACGCCCTGCCCAACCTGGCGCCCGGGGCCCGCGCCATCTCGGTGCCGGCCGACTCGGCGACGGTCGAGGGCGTGCAGCGCCTCGTCGACCAGGTGGCGGCGCACACGGACCGCGTCGACATCCTGCTCGCCAACGCGGGCGCCACGTGGGGCGAGAAGTTCGACACGCACCCGGACGCCGCCATCGCCAAGGTGCTCGACCTCAACGTGCGCGCCGTGTTCAACACGGTGCGGCTCTTCGCGCCGCTGCTGGAAAAGGCCGTCGCCGCCAGGAGCGGCAGGGAGGAGCGGCTGGCGGACCCGGCGCGGGTCATCATCACGGCGAGCGTGGCCGGGCTCGGCGTCGGCACGCTCGGCAGCAACGGCACGTACGGGTACAGCGCGAGCAAGGCGGCCGCGCTGCACCTGGGCCGCAACCTGGCGCTCGAGCTCGGGCCCCGGGGCATCAGCGTCAACAGCATCGCGCCGGGCTTCTTCCCGAGCAAGATGGCCGACGGCCTGCTGGAGATCGGGGGCGGGGCCGAGGAGCTGGGGCGGCGGAACCCGATGGGCCGGCTCGGGCGGCCCGAGGACATCGCCGGCGCGGTGGTGTACCTGTGCAGCCGGGCGGGCGCGCACGTCAACGCCGCGACGCTGGCGATCGACGGCGGCGCGATGTGGCAGAGGGGCGAGCTGAATGTCGTTGCTGAGTCGAAGCTGTGAGTTGAGTTGAGTCGAGTTGAGTTGAGTTGAGTGGTGCTTGGGTGTGCGTGTGTGGATGTTTGGGGAAAACATGTTTAGATTAGCAGTAGACACAGGCATAGGGATCTTTATGGAGTTTTTTTTTTCTTCTCTTTTCGGATTGTAATTGTTTCTCTATATTGAGAGACGTACATTGGTCTTCAAATTCTTGTCCTCTGCCCTTGGAGATCTCCGGTGCACTGACTGCCAGTCATGCTATACTTGAACGCCGTCTTGTCCTTTTCCGTCTGTTCCATGGATGTACGCCCTTAAAAAAAAACACCTTCCAATGCATATCTCTTGAACCCTCTCTCTATTCCGCCAAGGAGGTCCGCCCATCCGTACAATCACTGATACTCGTCGCCGATCTGCGCCTCGGCGGGTCCCGCCTCGGGCTTCCTCGCGACCCACGAGCTCGCCCGGTACGTCGTCTGCAGCATCGAGTCCGCGTCCTGGATGTACGGCGCCTCGATCCCCGTCTCCCACCGCTCCACGGCGAACCCGACGCGCGCGACCAGAGCGCGCACCTCGTCGTCCGACAGCTCGAAGCTGCCCGGGTCCGCGATGCCCGACGAGCTGCCCGGGTCGTGCTCGCCGTCGCCGTCGTCCCCGTGCCCGTGGTTGCCGGGCGCGTTGTTCTCAAAGTGCCAGAGCAGGGGGCCGACGTTGACGAGCAGGCCGCCCGGCCTGAGGCAGTGGTAGACGGTCGCCAGGTAGCGGACCAGGTTGGGCGCCGTGTCGAGGAAGAAGACGCTGGCGACGGCGTCGTAGGCGGCCGCGTGCGCGGCGTCGCCGTACAGGCAGAGGAAGTCGGCGGCGCACATGGCCATCGTGCCCACGCCCTGCCCGCTCGCCACCTGCGCCTCGAGCTCGCGGCCCGGGTGCACGTCGGGCACGGCGTAGCCGCGCAGGTGGTTGGCGCGGCTGACGTGGTTGGAGAAGGTGTGCACCCAGGGGTGGACGGTGTGCTGGCCGGCGCGCGCGGTCCCATTAAGAACGTACGAGGAGGCCAGCAGCTGGTGGTACGAGATCTCGTTGCCCTCGACGTCGAAGCCCGCGCGGCAGAGGTCGAAGACGAGGCGGCCGAGGCCGGCGCCGGGGACGAGCACGGACAGCCGCGGTTTCTCTTCTCCGCCGCCGCCGCCGCTGTGAGAAGGGGAGGAGGGAGGGGAGGATGAGGACAGTAGGGTGCGGGCGCGGCGCTCGTCCTCGAGGGCCCGCATGACGGGCCCGTAGCAGACCTCGCGCTCGCGGGCGCCCTCGGCGGACCAGTCGCGGTAGAACTGGCGGACGGTGCTGCGCGCCTTGTCGATGTCGTTCTGCTTGGCGGCGCCGACCCACTCGTCCGGCATGGAGAGCTCCCGGCCCGGCGGACGCGGGCCCACGAAGTCGGGCAGGCCGAACTTGACGATGGCCCGGGCGAGGTCGGCGTTGGAGTCGATGGCCTCGTCGACCTTGTCCAGCGTGTCCAGGTAGGAGAAGGGCGGGTCCGCGAGCATCTTCCAGTGCGCTTGGGGCAGGGCGTAGAAGGACTGCCGGCGCAGGTGGGTGCAGTTGAAGTGGGCGGCTTTGCCGTACTGCCTGTAGGTTTGTATTTCAGTCAGAATATGTATGTAGATGCAGAAGAAGCTGGAGCACATCTGTTCATCGTAATCGAGCCCCGATATGGATCGTTGTATCGATGTAAGTTACAAAGGAAGGACTCACAGGAACGAGTCCATGGCACAGAATATGACTCTGAGCTCCTCCGGGTCGTCTGTTGCGCTTTCGACGCCATTCCATCTGCCATCTTCAGGGGCATCTTCAAACGGCTGTGGATCTGCCATTTTCACTTTGTAACTATAGCTGGAGGCTTGTCCGGACGCCGGGGTGTTGATGACGAGGGAGATGAGCCGTGATGATAAGAGCGATGAGGTGATCAGCCAACTCAACCTATAAGCAACCCAGAAGCGACGTGCATATCCACCAATACAGCCTTCACATCACCTAGAGATGAGGAGAAACAGAACCAGAATGATATCGCAAAGATAGTTGTGGTGCATAACTTGTGGTGAGTTTTTTTTACACGTTGGGGTTCCATCTTATCTCTATCAAACATGATAACTAGAAGTCGGCCTGTGTGGACTGGACGGCCCACTGCAGGTGCTGAAGAGTGCTAAAATGGCACCCCACTCAGCGACCTCGGACTCTTGTCGACATCATCAACACAGAGCTACCTAACTACCTTATTCAGGACTGCCTGGTGGGACTGGCCAAGCTACCTATATTGTCCTGCACAAACTGGAAACCTGTCGTAGACTCTTTTGTCCATCTCAAGATGAGTGAGACGATCGAGCTATCCGTGGCTTTGCCGCGCTCGCTCGATACCAGAATCTTTGTGCGAATCACCACACAAGCCAAGTGCATCATGCTCTCCCTCACAACCGCCTCCGCCGAAGAAATAGGGACACCAACCCCCATAGGATCGTTCGTCTACGCTCTCCCGGATGCAAGTATATTGTGAATCTCCCGATCCTTCTATGCAGGCCACTGACCAGAGACACCGCAGAGATTCAACGCCAATGAACCATTGTCGACCCCGCTGTACACAGTCGAGGCGACTCTGGAGTTCACCTCGAGGCTGGCAAAGCTGGTTGCCAAGAAGACCCAGCTGCCCACGTACGTGAGCAACTCGATCAGTCTCGCCAGCACCGGCCTCGGAGGCACGATGGAGGAGGAGATGGAGGCCTACAGGAAGGTCGTCGAGGTCGTCATGCCCCGGATCCAGCACCTGGCGCAGGGCGCCGCCCCCTTGCCTAACGGGGTGAACAGCTCGTGAAACTCGTGTCGGTCGAGAGGCGTACCACGCAAACATTGCTTTCTCAGGCCACGGACGGAGGCCGCTTGGGATGCCCGCGGCGCTTGGGCCTCACGAGGGCTCTGGCCTGGCAGGAAGGGCCAGACCGGATCGTGTGCAGCCCCTCTACGCGCACGAGTTGAGCAGAGCAGGCAGACAGCTAGAGCTATTTTCGGAATCCCTCGCCACGGTTGCTGCACCGCTACAAGCTGCCGGTAGCGAGCTGCATGGATACAATACGAGTCACTCGAGAGGCGACAGTGTAGTACGGAGAGGCAAACGCCTGCTGCAGTGCAACCGGCCGGTCGCAGGCGGGTATCGGTTGGAGTAATAGAGCAGCACCACGGGCGCCATGGACGTGGGTGTTTGGCCAGGAAGCACCAGACAAACCGCTTTCTACGGCATGACCTTCCCTGCGCGGGAGCAAACATGGGACGGGAAGCGGATGGGTAGGCGAGCCTGGAAATGGAAGAGCTGTTCTCACCAGCGAAAATAACCCAAGACCATTCTACATGCTTCTCAGAGAAATTGAATCAAAGATCAACAGTCAAGTAAAATGTGTATTGTCCCCACGGGCGTCGCAGAAGACAACGGCCACACAGACACGTAAAACACTACCCCTGCTGTTAGAGTTTCTCCCCAGCTTCAGAAGGAACTCCTAACAGTTTGATCTGCACATCTCGCCCATAATTTTATTGCTGATCGTTTTTCTCTTCTTCAACTCCTCGCCGTGGCCTCTTGTTTTCTAGTTCCTATCTAGTCTTCTAGCCTTGGAAAGCGAGAAGCCCCGTGCCGGCTGTGATCACCGTATGACCTTGTCAACGGCAATCTGCCGTCGTTGACAGCAAGCCGGAGGGTATCACTGCCTTTGCCGTGGCAATGTCGACGCGGGCAACGGGAGAGAACTAAGAGGTGTCGTGATACACGAAAACGTCAGTGGACTCAATGAGCACCTCGTTCTTCTCACAAAGGTACATTTCTCGAGCAATCCGGCCTGCGCAGTGGTGACCTGGCTTCCACTCTTCACGATTGGCCTGTCTCAGGTGTGCGAGAGAGCAGCAAGCCAAAACTCGGCTGGAGCAGGGCTGGAGCTCTAGCGCAAACTCCTCTGCACCTCTTCCCCTCCGATACATGTCATCATCAAGTGGATGGAGTACTGTGACACCTTTTGGCCGCGCTACGTAGAGGTACACCATCTAATCCATCAGATAATATTCTGCTTTAGAGGAGCCGATCATGAATTGATTTCTTTTTCCGTCAAGCAGAGAAATGCAAGCCCTGGGTTACTTGTAGGTTAAATTTTATCAAGACCAGCAGCCGCTAAACCGTTAGGGGCTAAGGTTCCTTGAGGTCCCTGGATATCAACATTTCTGGCGCTGTTCCCCGCTGTCACCAGTTCCTGGCGAGAGCCGGAAGTCAGGGTACCCTTCCGGCAGGAAATGCCGTACCTAGCCCTCAATTGAGCAAGATGATCAACGAACTCTGACTTTAACAGTTGAAGATCTTAGGTGGAATGCTAGTTGGAGACAAGAATAGGTGTCTTCTACGCCCTCGGATTTTCTTAGAGGCACGTATCAATGTGCTAGACCCAATATTTGAAGTTCTCAGGTACCTACTTAGGTACCTACTAAGCTTCCCAGGTACTAGCCTCGTCCGTAGGTGCTTGCATCAAATTTTGCCCGTCTCCAGCTTTTTTTATCAGGCCAGGAAAGAAAAAAAAAGGCTGAGAGGGGTGAAGGCCCCCCCACTCGAACTTGACCAACTTCTGAGCTTGCAGTGATGAGCCCGGGGTACCTCTCCCCACGATATTCAAACACACTGCCATTTCACCGTCGATAATCTGACCAGCGACACCACCCAGAGGTATCTGCGCCTTGTTGCCAGTGCCCTTTTCGTCGCTGGATTGCCCCCGGTTGACTTTACCTCCCTCTATTTGCCCTCGCGGCTTCTCGAGGCCCCCCCTCTCTGCACAATCACCGTACTCGACGACCATGGCCTGGCAACCTGTGCCCGAGTCCCTGCGGACTCTGGCGACATGCCTCAAGGACTCGCTCAGCGGCTTCGACAAGGCTGCCCAGAAGCAGGCCGAGATTGTAAGTACCTTCCCAGAACTACGCGTGCCCTCGCCAGTGTCTTGCGACCTGCGACTGACCCGTGCCCCTCCCTGTCTAGATGCTCGGACAGGCCAAGTCCTCGCCAGATATCAACAACTATCTTGCCTACCTCTTCTCGAGCGTTGACCCCCCCGAGGGTGTCTCTCTTTCCGCTTCGGATTTCCATGTCGTTCGATCTGCTGCGGCCATCATGATCAAGAACAACATCAAGACGCACTACAAACAAATACCGGAGCAGAGCCTGGCCTTGATCAAGCTCGCCGTGCCCATGGGCATCCAAGACAAGAACGCGCAGATTCGCAGCTATGCCGGAAACATCGCCACCGAGTTGTTGAGGAGGGGAGGTGTCTACAGCTGGCCGGAACTGCTGCAGGACCTCATCAAGATGATTGGCAACGAAGGCGGCCAGTCCTCCACCGAAGCGCAGGAAGGCGCCATGGCTGCCATGGCAAAGATCTGCGAGGACAACGTCAAGATGTTGGAGCGGGAACACAACGGCCAGCGGCCTCTCAACTTCATGCTGCCCAAGTTCATCGAGGCGACAAAGAGCCCGCTGCCCAAGGTCCGCGCCCAGGCCCTGTCCGCCATCAACGTCTTCACGCCCCGCAAGTCGCAGGCCATGCTCAACTGCATCGACGACCTCCTACAGCACCTCTTCATTCTTGCTGGCGACACCAACGCCGACGTGCGCCGGCAGGTATGCCGCGCATTTGTCCAGTTGGTTGAGACCCGCCCAGACAAGCTCCAGCCGCATATCTCTGGCCTCGTCGATTACATCATCACCCAGCAGCAGAGCGATGACGAGGAGCTGGCCTGCGAGGCCGCCGAGTTCTGGCTTTCCGTCGGTGAACACGATGAGCTCTGGGCCGCGCTCGGACCCTACATCCAGAAGATCATCCCCGTCCTGCTCAAGTGCATGGTGTACAGCGGTGACGAGATCGCTCTCCTGGGCGGCGCATCAGATGACGAGGACGAGGATGACCGAGAGGAGGACATCAAGCCGCAGTTTGCCAAGAAGAACTTGAAGCGCAATGTCAACGCTGAGGCTTCCACAGATGCCGCGCAGAACGGTAACGCATACGAGAAGCTGGCCAACATGGACGAGGATCTCGAGGAGGGCGAGATCGACGACGACCTCGATGATGGTGACGAGAACCCTGACGAGAAGTGGACCATTCGCAAGTGCTCCGCCGCCGCCCTCGACGTGTTTGCGCGCGACTTTAGGAATCCCGTGTTCGAGTGCATTCTACCGTACCTCACCAGCAACCTCAAGCACGAGGAGTGGCCTTACCGTGAGGCAGCCGTCCTCGCGCTTGGTGCAGTCGCCGAGGGCTGCATCGAGGCCGTTAAGCCTCATCTGCCGGAGCTTGTCCCCTATCTCATCAGCCTTCTCGAGGACCCCGAGCCTGTCGTTCGACAGATCACTTGCTGGACCCTGGGAAGATACTCCTCGTGGGCAGCCGAGCTGACTGACCCCGTGCAGAAGAGCACCTACTTTGTGCCGATGATGGAGGGTATCCTCCACAAGATGCTGGACAAGAACAAGAAGGTGCAGGAAGCGGGAGCCTCTGCAATGGCGAACCTGGAGGAGAAGGCGGGCAAGACGCTGGAGCCCTACTGCGGTCCCATAATACAGCAATTCGTGCGATGCTTCGGCAAGTACAAGGACCGCAACATGTACATCCTCTACGACTGCGTCCAGACGCTTGCCGAGTGCATCGGCCCCTTCCTGGCGAACCCAGAGCTTTCTGGCCAGTTGATGCCGGCCCTGATAGACAGGTGGCAGAAGGTGACCGACCAGTCGCGCGAGCTTTTCCCGCTCCTTGAGTGCCTCTCCTATGTTGCGATGGCACTGGGCGACTCCTTTTCACCTTATGCCCAGCCCATCTTCAGACGATGTATCAACATCATCCATCAGAACTTGGAGCAGTCACTGGCAGCTGCCAGCAACACGACCTTTGACCAGCCGGACAAGGACTTCCTTGTCACCAGCCTGGATCTCCTTAGTGCCGTCATTCAGGCTCTGGAGGACAACAAGGCCAGTGAGTTGGTCACCGATACACAGCCAGCTTTCTTCGAGCTGCTGAGCTTCTGTATGGAGGACCCTGCCGACGAGGTCAGGCAGTCTGCCTATGCTCTGCTTGGCGACTGTGCTCGTTTCATCTTCCCCCAACTCCAGCCTATGTTGAACACACTCTTCCCTATCCTGCTGAAGCAGCTCGATCTGGATAACATCCTTGACGAGGAGATCGACGCAGGATTCAGCGTGGTAAATAACGCGTGCTGGAGTGCTGGAGAGATTGCCATGCAGCATGGAAAGGACATGGCGCCGTATGTCCAGGAGCTGCTGCAGCGATGTGTCGAGATCATTTCCAACCCTCGCGTGCCCAAGGGTGTCAACGAGAATGCGGCCATCGCCCTTGGCCGGCTTGGCCTCGAGAACTACGAGCAGCTCGCCCCGCACCTGCCGACGTTTGCTGAAGAGTTCCTGAACTCGATGGATGACGTCGACCCCTCCGAGGAGAAGGCTACCGCCTTCAGGGGCTTCACCATGGTCGTGGGCCAGAACCCTCAGGCCATGGAGAGCGTGTTGCTGCATTACTTCAACGCGATCGCGCGCTACCGAGACATCAAGCTGCGCAACCCCGCTAAGCACGAGCTCCATGATGTCTTCCAGAATGTAAGTGCACAATGCTGCCTTTTTGTTTTCTTCTCCCCATCCCTCGCCTTTCGCCAACTAACATCTATGTCAGGCCATCAACGTCTACAGGCAAATCATTCCTCAATTTGACGATTTCATCAAGCAGATGGATCCTCAGGATCTCGAGGTGCTGAAAGCCAACTACACGATTTGAGCCTCATTTTCCTTCATCACCAACATCACATAGCATAGGTAGATAGTTACGCGGTGCCGACTTTGGCCACATTTGTCCTTCCTCGTTTGCCGGATGTACTTGGCTGCCTGCTCCGCCGGGCGATCGCATCATTCAACACTTTGATGGATCCAACGAGAAGAGGACTTTACGACTGGGCAGCATGGAATACGGTATTATTCTGTTGATAGGAACTCCCTTTTACTGGCTGAATACGACCGAAACACAAGGGCCTAGCGTGGCGGCGATTCACACATGGCAGGAAACCCTTTCATCAACAAGGCCAATCAAGGTCACCGCTTTAGATAGATTTGCTTTTTTTTCTTGACAATCATGGGGGGCGTCTCTAATGGGTTATGCATGAATGAGAGACATGGGCGGGCGACAATAAAAACAAGGGGAGAGAACAGACAACAGAAGCACAGGTGCAGCCTGTGACGAGAAGAAATAAAAAACCATTTCAGACGGCAGGGCGGAGATATCTTTCTTGAGCGAAGCATCTGCGGCAGTCACCGGGAGAGAGGACTTGTGTGCGTTGTTGTATCTACCTAGTTGAACTTGAGCCGGGCAGGCGTCGTCGTCCAACCCCTACGGGCAAGGAGACGTGGGTGGTCATATCACCTTGAGGCTTGCATACCAGACCTGACAATTCAGAACCGTGCTCAGCGCTTTCTCTATTCTCACTGCAGAGACCTGGGACCTACCTATCTGATCCGTTACCGACAACACTTGGACTCGCAACATGAAGACATCTAACAGATCCACGCTTGCCATGTCAGGCAGCGCAAAGAACAGGTGCCAGCCTCAAGTGCGATATGAAGTTCTGGAAGGACACTCCCTCTGGTGCCTCGCAGCTCGCAACCGCGTCTCGTTCTTTACAAGACTGGCTCCCTCTGTGCTCGAGCCTTCCCCAGGACCTCCTTCGTGTCAGCAATGGCAGGAGCAAGGCTTGATGGTGCTTTGTTTACTATCTCCCGATGCAGCTGGAACATGCCCAACCCTTTCTGTCCTGTTTCTCCCATCTCTCTCCCTCTTCTTGTCCCATCCTTCGACACTCCCACTGCCTCGCTTTTTTTGGTGCTTCATGCTTTGTGGGCGAAACATCGATAGAGAGGTTTCTCTTTTCTCTCTTACCACCGTCATCTCCTTTGCTTGGCTTTTTGGAATAGCCCGAGGCATCCTTCTTTCTCCCTCTTCCCCTCGTCGGAACTCGACTACCATTTCTTCCTTTGCCCTGGCTCGTCGTGGACGGCAGTCAAAGTCCCATCCGATCCGTTTCTCTGCCTCCGGTCTTGATAATGGCTATCCCCGAGAAGAGACTCCGCAAACGGTTCCCTTTCTGGATCCGCCGCAGCCACATGCAGCTTACTTTCGACCCTCCAGATCCCCAGGTCCAGCAGGCTCTACAGACCGACTCTGGATCAAGTGAGGAGGCTGCGAGGTCCAAGGTCCCACGTACGTCTGACCAACGTACTGCTACTGCCGGCCGTGCGGCCTCTGGAGTGCTGGCCCTGACTCCCTATCTGACCTCATGTCCAGCGCCTGCCATCAACGGAGACGATGCTCCGCCATGTTTTTGCGACCCCGGGTGTCGGTGCGGCAGGACTTGTGGCTGCCCCCCAAACGAGACTCATAACTGCCTATGTACTTCAATGGACCAGAAGAGTTTGCCCAAGGGCTCCTCTCGCCTCAAGTACCTGAATTCACTGAAAAAGTCCATCGGCAAGGGCAAGACCAAAGTTTTTGGAAGGGGTGCCATCAAGAATGCCTTGGGCACCGAGAGCGAGCCGCCGCAGCAGAAGCAGCAGAAGGACAAGGTCACGCCACCGGCTTCGGACGATCCTGCGAAGGATCACGCGCAAGACCAAGAAGAACCAAGCACCTCCTCTACTCTACCTCCGAACGGCTCGGAGTCTGCTCAAAATGACGGCCAGAGAGATCGAGAAGAACAGCAAAAGCGATCATGCACGAGCAGTGCGGCGATGCAAACCAACGCATCTCCGGTGGCGCCAACAGCATCAACCAATGTTTCAAGGCGGTCCAGTTTAGTGACTACAAAGCATGAGAGCCCCCCAACCTCACAGTCCTCGGTGTCGGATCACGAGGCAAAGGGCAAAGCCAGAGCGTACTATGCCGTTAAGCGCAAGTTGCCCTATCAAAATGAGCCACGAATGACCCTCGCCCCGTGGAATCATAATGGCTCGACGACTCTGGCAGACTTGCTTACCGCAGACTTAGCTCCCTCCAATAACTTACGAAAACCCAATGCTACAAACGCTCCTGATGATCTCCCCAGTGGCCGTGCCGTGGTAAGCTTCTATAGCGAAGCTGGAAGCCAGTACTCGGAGGATGACGCGAGCCGGCTGAACAAAGGCGTGGTGCCAAGCTCCGATCCTACTCCGCTACCGCCTCCTCCAGGTCCGCCTCCCAACAAACCGCTTCCCAAACCTCCCAACGGGGGTCCCCCTGGCGGTGGCTCCGGTGGTGGTTCCAGAGCTGCTTCTTCTCGGGGTGCTGTCGAAGACCCTCGCCTCCGTGGGGGAGAGGTGTGTTCTTCTGCCGGAACCATGCCGCGTTCACAGATCCCAGTTCACAAGAGCGGGCTTGCCGGCAAGCTTCGTCGCGTGGCTTCCAGCATACCGTTGAGACCTGGATACGCCTGTCTTGGTGAGTCGATCAAAGGCCCAGAGCCCATTAGATCGTCACTCGACACGCAATGCAGCACCAAGGCTCTCTTCCAAAAGCCTGTGGACAGCGAACAAGACAGTCATCACTCACCTGGTAGCAAGGCATCACCTATGCACCATGGCAGTATTCGCCATGTCCCGACAGACGATGCAGCAAGCTCTCCTGTCAATTTGCCGGGACTCACTCTCAATCATGGGCCGGGTGCAAACGAACAGTCTACACCGAAGACCAACTGGGGGATTGATGCACAGGCTGCCATTTTTGGATCAATCAATGGAAGAACACCTGCATCAGGCTTCATGTACGGCACCCCAGAAGTCTCCATACACATGGACGGATCTGCAAGGAGGTCGGAGGCTAACACCGCGCGTAACGCAGCAGAGACGACTTTGAGACATGCTGATTGCAGTACGGGCCTCCCAAGCTTCGGGGACCGTCTGGAGGTGGGTGCGCAGAGGCGTGGCAGGAAGCTGTCTTGTGGTTATCCAGAGCAGTGCGAGTCTGCTACAGCTGCCTTGACCGACCCTCACTCTGCCCAAGCCCAACATGTCCTTGTGGATCACAGAGGCACGCACGGCAACAACAACAAGAGTCGGTGGCATAGTATCTCAAACGGTCTAGTCCTTTTCGGGTGGTCGACCAAGCGTCTTGAGAAGAAATGCACTCGTGGGCCCATTCCAGCGTTTGGGGTTGCCTATGTCACGAGAAGCCGACATCGGGCACGGGAAGCAGCAAGACCTGGATGCAAAAGGAGGGAGTGATGATGGTCGACAAGGTGAAGAGGGTATTCATTGGTTACTGTCGTCAGAGTATCGGGGGATGGAGAGAAAGGGGCGGCGCACTAGGTGGTATCGCAAGCTGTGGAAATATTCGGTATGCTGGCAATGCTAGGTTAGAGGAGAGCAGAGAAATGAGAAGGACCTTATGCATCCCTATCCTTCTTCTGGCATAGGATGCCGTAGTCTTGTGTGTGTCTGTGACCCAACAGATGTACCTGTACCTTGATCAAGTACCTTTGCCCAGCTGGGGCCACGCCCCCTCCCCCCCTGACGATGCCCCTTTGGATCTAGAGACGAAGCAAGAATCGAACGATGGAGATTGTCTCATAGCAGCTGAGTCAAGGCTAGTAGATGTGATAGGTCTTTCGAGCGTTGACTAGGGTTTCGGTCGTGTGGGAACCTGTGATCGGGACGGGTTCCGCTTCGTCGGGGAGTGCGTCTGCGTCTGGGTCCGACGGGGTGTACGTACGTGTCGGTGAACGTGAGGGAGGGAGGGAGGGACTTGGGGGACTGAAAGCAGTTTGTCTTGTTAGCAGAGGAGGATGGATGCCTGGGAGGGGATCTTCCCGGGCTGCGTCTTCACTTTGGGGGGTCCTGATGTGTCCTCGACGCGGGCATTCTCAGGGGGTTGGCCCTGATGCCGGCCGTCCTGCTGCCTTGGGGGGATGGATACCTAGATGGAAGGGGAAGGTTAGGATAGAGCATAACCTTGCTGTTTTTGCTCCCTTGTCCTCGAAGGGATATAGTAGGGCATAGCTGCGTTCGGGTGCTGTGGTTCCTTGTTGATTTAAGTTTGCCTTGCTTGCGCCGGGCGTGCGTTGTGGGAACTTGGGGAGGGCCGGCCCCTTGTGACTTACTTATGTGACGATCACAGTTTGACAGCCCAGCGGACAGGGACGAGCAGGATCATGAAATTGAAGCCTTCATGATGGGCAGGCAGGCAGGGGGTCAGAAGTCCTTTCGCTCTTTTGCTTTGGGGGGGAATGAATGTTTCGACTGGTTAGGGGGGGTGGGGGAGGAGAGGAGAGCAAGAGGACTTTCATGACGTTGCCCTTGGCTTTTCTTGCTCGAAAGCACGACGGCTGTGCCGAGTTACCCAGAGAAGTCAGCCGCATTGCCCGCTTTCCCTCGAAGGTACCATCTGTTGTTCCGTGTTCCGTGGGCGTACCGCTCAGGACGATCGTCTGTCTACGGGGGGGAGCGAATGATATCACGACGAGGAAGGCTGGCTAATGCCGCGGGTTTTTTCTTTTTTTTTTTGCTTAATTTTCCATCTTTCTCTCTCCATCTCTCACTGCTGATCTGTCTTTTCTCTGTGAGGACCAGAGGAGAGTGCCTACAGGGCGAAACGGGGGGAGGGAAAGAAAAGTGAATACGAGGTTCAGCGCAGAACCAAACCCAGTCGGGATAAAAAACAAAACAACATTGTACAGAAGCCCAGCGCCCGCCACCCGCCACTCGCTCTTCACGAACGTATGTGTTTCGCTCGAGGCGAAGAGAATAACGGGATCTGATAAAAAGCGATTTAAGCATAACCTTCCAAAAAAAAAAAAACGTCATGTTTCAGGATATCGTATCTATTTACGGGCCTGGTTGTTTGTGCCTTGTTCCTGGCGGAGAGAGGCGCCGAACAGCGGGGAGAGCCGCAGCCGCGGTGCAAGCTCGTATCAACTAGACAACAAATGAATGGCCTCCTTCCTCCCTGTCGGGTCTGTCTTGTCCAGAGTCCCGCGAGGGGGAAGAAAGGGTCTCTCTTGGGTCATTGTCCGGACCATGCCTCCGGGGTGGTTCGTCCCCGTACACCAGCCTACCAAACAACCGCCTTCTCCCGACCACCGCCCCATATACTTACTCCGTACAGTCAGCCGTCTCCGGGCGTGTGCGTGGGCGCCGCGTATGTCTATTTTTGGCATTTCTCCAGGAGAAGAGGACCGGAGGAGGAGGAGATCCAGCCCTGTCCTGGGGGGGGGGGGGAGATGATGGCAAGAACCGCGATGTTTTTTCTGCTTTGCTTGCTGCCACTAATAAAACGGCCGGGGGAGTGCTCCGCCTGTTGTGTGTGCTGGGCGCCGCATTTTCCGCCCATTGGTTTGGCAAGGTCAAGCGCCCGCCCCCCCTGGCTGCCTGCCACTGTCAACTTGGGCCCTACCCGTGAATACGAGGCTGTCATGCCAGCAAGCACCGAGCACCAGCCCCAGCGCCAGTTTGAGCACGCACCGGGTTGCCGTTCCTCAACTCCACACGCGTGTGTGTCGCACCACTTTTCTCTTCGAGTCCTCCCTAACCGCGCTTCTTTCTCTCTCCACTCGCTTTCAGCTGGTGTAGGGCAGCACTGCCTAGGTACCGATGATCTCGTCATTCGGGGGGGAGAGGACAAGTCCCCAATCTTTTTTTTTTAACGTGACATAACTAGGGCGGCGGGTTGCTACAACCGGCTACGGGGGCGCCACAGAGGTTTCCCTAGCAGTGGGGGGAGGGGGGGGGGGGGTCGAGGACACTACTCGTACAAGCAATAGTTACAAACTGTTAAAAAGCTTGACCTTTTTTGCCAAGTATAACAAACCATTGAAGTGGAATTGGCTTGGACCACACGCCAGACAGACACCCGTCATGACGATGGCTTGCTGCTGTGTACCTGTGTGGACACATGGACAATTACCTAGAGTTGCCGGGGGACTCTGTCTTGCTCCGACTTACACCAAGGCTAGACTCGGGGGAAGGAAGCAAAACCGTCCCGTCATAAGGCAAGGCGAGACGGAGACACCAGGCGCACGCTCGTGCTCCCCGGAAAAAAATACACCGAGGTCCTAAGAAGAATGAAGCTACGTTTCATAGCCTGACCTTTCCCACCTGAACAAGTCCAGAGGCTTAGCTCGAAGCAGCAAAGCCCAAGGCCCCGGAGACGGTGACACACGCCCGCCGTAGGCTGCCGCCAAAAGGAGAAGTTGTTTGGGATTAAACTACTCATCCAATCCAAGGGGATCCGCATAGGACCCGGCTCCTTGTTCCCCACGTGCCGGTGCCAGATCGGCGTCAACCCCGTCGCCTGGCAAGAGGCTCGTCACGGTGACACAAGAGGCTATTCGCAAGAGGACAGGGGGGTTCAAGGCACCGGTAAGGTACGAGAGCCTTTTTTTTATTTGACAAGTCCCGCTGGCTTGCAGGGTGGCCAGGCCTGGGCTTCATTAGGACCTGCGGTAGATTCCGTCCAAGTCTCCGGCTCGCAGAGATACAAGCTCACAATGTACCACGGGGGAGAGAGATCCTGCAAGGGAGGGACAAGTTGTGGAAAGGCATTATCCATGTTTGATTAAGCGTTGAGAAGCATCCACTCTAATAGTGGTAGCAGCAGCCGCTCATGATCCAAGAAGAACAAGAGACGTTCATCCAAAATGCAAGTGAAACCAGACAAGACGTGAACAAAAGCTCCTGTGATATACCCGGTGATCCCATCTGCCCTCTCGCCCCCTGGTCATTCAGGGGTGGCGGCATTATGTTCCAAAGAACCAATAAACATTCCAATAGAGATTAAGAGGAAATCGCTCTGCTAGAAAACGAAATCGTGTAAAACAAAAAACAACAACAAGCAGGTAACCAAAAACAAAAGCATTGTTATACCAAAAACAGATTGAACTCCGCCCAATGCAATTTCCCTTGAGCACGCGCCAGCGTGTCTCTCTTTCCTTCTCCTCTTGTGTGCTTTTGAGTCCCCCCTTATCCCAAGGGCTGGGACAAACAGAACGCTCAACGTTGCCAAAAAAAAATTAGATTAATGTCGCTATGCAGTAGGGGGGTATCTTGATCATCATGTCCGTAAGGAGCGTATTTGTAGGGTGTAATATGGTTGTCTATGCCGAAAAATGCAAGTCGTCGTCGTGAGTTGTGGTGGTCGTCAAAGGAGCGTCTAATTAAAACAGAAAGGAGTGTCTATGATCCGGGGTATCATTGGTTGTGTTGGACAAAGGAGCGTCGTGGGTCTCGAAATGAGAACCTGGCCATGCGGCCCTGGGGGGTGGATATTGCGTCAGAAGGAAAGTCGTACTAGTTGGTTTGACGTGTTGATGCTGTTGTCGGGTATAACGATCGTGTGTGCTAAGGAGCGTGGGTTGCATGTGCGTTTCCAGAAGGGTTGTTGTCGAATTTGGTGGGGGGTTTGAGAAAGTGAAGTCATTGGGAGAGAAGGCAAGGCACAAGAGCAGTGTCATGTCGCTCTGTCCTTGCCTTTCTCCCTGTCACCGCCGGGTGTCGGGGCGGACGAGGTGGAGAGATTGTGACGATGGCCCGGGAGCTGCGGGAATCCCAAGTTGGGGACGGGTGACTCGGGAAGAGGGAGCATGTGGAAGGGCTCGGACCTGAGGAATGGCGAGGGTGCAGCAGCAGGTAGTGAGGTGGACAGGAGCGTGGACGGGTCCTCGGGTGGCGGATAGGTGGGTGTGCTTGTCATGAAGGGGGTCCTGGGCGTAACGGTCAATCACTTTTTGCCCTTTCGAACCGGTTGGAGGGCGGCCGGTGTGGTGTACCATCTAGACTCTAGATCCACACGGTCTGGATTGGAGTGACGAACCCGGCACCATAGCTGTTGTGTCCTCCCATCATCGGATCGGCCGAAGGGTAAGAAGCCATGTCATAAGTAGCAAATTCCTCGTTGTCGCTGTAGCCCATCGACGCGCCGTCGCCAAAGTCACCAAAGGTGCTGGACGCGGGGCTGTATCCGCCGTACGAGGGACTCGGGATGTTCAGGTACTGCGGGTTGGCGAAGTGCAGAGGGTTGATGGCGCTGGCGGCGCTCGGGCCGGGATCTGCGCTGAGCATCGACAGGTCCTCGGTGCTGTAGCTGAACGCAGGGCTGTCGGCATACGGCAGGAACTCCGAGGTCGGCGGCATCTGCGACGGGGTGGAATCCTCGCGGTAGAAGTTGGGCGGGTTGAACTGCGGGAAGGACGGCGTGCGCGTGGGCTGCACCCAGCCCATGCGCTGGCGGAAGCCGTTGACGGTGTCGATGGGGAACTCCATCAGGGTGAGCGCGTTCTGTGTGTCGCCCTCGGAGCCGCCAGAGACATTGATGGACAGGAGCCGGCGGGCGATCTCCTCGACAGGGCCGATGGAGAGACTGCCAAAGTAGGCAGCGCCAATCTCGGGGAAGAGACGCTCCATGAGCAGAGCGGCCGTGTAGTAGTGCGCAATGACGAGCAGGGCGCTTGGCGAGCCCCCGGTCTGCTGCAGGAACATGACCGGCAGCCAGAAGAGCCAAGTCCGCAACGGCCGCAGGCGCTCGAACTGCTGGGCCACCGAGAGGGTCGGGCTGACCTTGCGTGCGCCCTTGACGAAGGTGATCAGCTGTTGCACAGCCTTCGTATCCCCGCGTTGCTGCTTGAGGTGTGTCTCGACCTTTTGAAGCTGCAGGAGCGTGTGCTGGAAGATGTCGAGGTCCTCCTGGCGCGGCTGGCTCGGCTTGTGGTCGGGGGTGGGCGAGGGCGGGGCCGTTGGGAACGTGCTGCTCTCCGCGATGAAGTCACCGAATTGGGACTCGTGCTTCCAGGGGTCCATGGCCTCGATAACCTTTATGCGAACTCAAAGTCAGGGATGGTGCGCCACATCTTGTACTCTGTACGACTTACCGAACGGGTTCCCTGCATCAACTGGGTCCAGCTCCGCCTGCATCGAGGTTAGCCCTTGTTACGCTGATGCGGAAGGCTGCAGAGTTATTGCTTACCAATCTGTAGCTTGCCACGAGAGGACGAGCGAGGCGGCGAGAATCGCATCGGAGGTCTCTCGCGAGAAAGTGCCAATGGCCTCCTGCAATCCCTTCAGGGCGATGCCACGGTGCTCATAAGCCATGTTGCCGACCAATGGGCAGTCGGTGAGGAAAGCGAGGTGCATGGCGGAGAAAGCTAGCAGGGAATGCATAACGTAACCCTGGGTTGCGCCGATCTTGATGATTCTGGAAGCCTTCGTTAGCCTCTGGCCTTCAGCCCTACTTCTCAAAGCCAACCGGGACTCATCCTTACGTGGGAATCTGGCGGGTCCAAATAGTGAAGCCGTCGGCGTCAATGAGCCTCAACTGATGGCTGATGGAGGCGGCATGGTGGATCAGGCGCAACTCCTCGACAGTGAAGACTTGCGGGTTGGGCGCCGGATAGATGTTGAGGCTCGGGAACGGGAAGATGCCAGTGCGCTGCCACTGCTCAATGACGGCCTCGATTTCCGGGGTCCACATGAGATCCGGCTTGTCGGGGGTAGTAGACCTATCATCAGGGACAGGAATGTCATTGTAGGGGCAGCGGATCTTGTGCTTGGTGCAGTTGCGGCTGGACATAGGCATCAGTGGCTGTTTTATTGTCCAAGCTGGAGGAGGTTTCTACATACCACTGGGGAAAGTTCTCGTCACACCGGATGTGGCGGCGTTTGCTGATTTCCAAGGTCAGTCTCCCGGATCGTCTCTTTGGAACACTTTTCCGAGCGGTGTGTCTACATACCACGCATCACAGCCCTTCCGGGACTTGGTGTGGCTGAAGACTCATCGTTAGCACCACACTCCTTCAGCAAGGTACGAGGCTCACTACTTACCTCCGTCGAGGAGGACCACCGCCAGGGCCAGCCATTGCTGCGTTCGGGGTTTTTGGTTTAAAACGAAAGTAACTAGATGCCGGAGACCTGGTCAGTTTCCTTGGCAAAGTCTTAATAGTGAAGGGAGTACTGGTGCAAGTCCCAGGGGAGTTGGCGATGGCGCGTGGCAGTCTTGATATTGGCTGACTTACACGAAGGTGGACACGAAATGACTTTCGTGCCCGGGTAGCGAACGAGTTGCAGAGGTTGGTCAGATTATTATAAGAGGCTGCACACTTGATGAAGCCGTCTAATGAGCTGAGTGAGACAGTCTTCTTAGCCGGGGATAGAGGCGGGTCAGAGGCACAGCTGAAGACAGGACGGGCCGGAGTTGACAGGAAGAGGCGCCGTGGCTGCTGGACAAGACGACGGGATAGCCGATAGCCTGCCTGTTGGTGGTGTTGGTCGTGATGGCTCTGGGCTTCGTTCCCTCCTTTGGTGAGAATCTTCCTCCCTTTGCGGACGTAGCGATCGTATACAATAGTGTTGGTGAATTAGTTTGGGAAAAAGACTAGAGGGTCGCCCAGATATGCTTCTCCATAGGCGTAGCAGGTACGGAGAGGAAAGCCTTGATCAGGTTCTGTGCTGGAAAGCAGCAGCAGAAGGACTCGATATATGTGCGAGAGAGGCTGATACAAGACTACGGAAAGCTGTATTGGGATTTGGGGTGAGAGGATATGGGTCTGTGTAAGACGGCTATCTTCTCCAAGTCTCCAAACCGTAATCAAAGAAAATTAAAAGCGAGTGACAGGAGCCAACGAGGACTTCCTAGAGTAGATTGAGAATCAAGCGAAGGTGAGTGGTGAACGTTGCAGCGACGTGGCTGAGATAGTGAATCTGTTGATCGATCAGGAAGGGGAGGAGAGGGCCGTGGCGTTGGAGGGAGGGGACGTGACAGTAATTAAATACAAAGAAACGAGTAGCATGGCGGCCAGCAGGCCCAACAATGGAGCTCCGAGTACCGCCCACCACCCGGCCTGAGCCTAGCGAGGACGAGACAAGACGGACGGCGAGTGACTTCATGGGTAGGGTACATGCTTTTGGGCGGCGGCGGCGGCGACGGGAGATGGAGTGAGCGAGTGGTGCCTTCCCTCCCCCCCTTCTTCCGCTTTCTCCAGTGGCAGGGCAGGGCCCCAGGGCTGGCGGGTGGGTAAGGAAGGTAGCCCTCGATGCTGGGCTCACCAGACGACGAATGATGTGGCCTCCATTGTGCTGGCCGCCGCGCATTGTTGCGTTGCTCCGGGGGGGGGGGTTCGAGGTACTACCCAGTAGGGTAGACCAGGTAGCGCGTTAGGTGGTGGGTGGGCATGGATTTGACGGGTGGATTCCCTTGGGATGGATGTGGCCGGGTGTGTCCACACTCAGCAGCTGACTAGGGGTGTATTTTAGGGGACGTGGGTGGCCCTCTGGGTGCATCGCTCAGGCAGGGTACTGGTACTCCAGGTACCTCTGCAGGTGTGGGGAGCCACCAGAGCGGTGGCCCAATGCTTTTGCTCAAGCATGGAATTGCGAAGGGGTGTAACTCTTTTCGTCGTCACAAGGGCTGGGAATTGGCTAGGTACATGCGTGCCATGTCCTGTCAGACAGGTACCCCAACCTGGATTAAAAAAGCTTTGCCTACACGAGAAGAAGAAACATTGATCCCTCAGCGCATTCATCCGTGTCAAAGGGCATGTTTCACATACCTCTTCTGTCCTCAAGATCACAGCACGGCATCGATAACTCGTGTCATTGACGGTCAACGTGTATGGAGAGCCCTCTGGATGCTTGTCCTCACCCGGTGGACGACGACAAGTACAGATGGAGAACAACCTCTTTGGAGAAGCTCTGATTCCGACTCTTCTTGAATCTCATTCCCCACTTCCTCGTCCCGGTGGGCATGTCTCCATGCCATACCAGCACAGAGGGTCCAAGAGGACGATGATTCCGACCTTAATCCAGGGCCCACCGGACTATGTAGCGACGGTAACATGAGGCTATAACTCTGGACAGATAGGGAAGTTCCCGTGCATGAGGTACAGGGGTGTCATGTACGAAGCGTGGGAAGCATGTCTGGAGAATGGGCAAGATTGGCTGAAGAGAGAGGCAAGAGTAAGGCGCCGTGGCTCGAGCACAGCCAAAATGTTGTTTGCATTTCGTGGAGATGGGCAGACTAGAAGGATGGGTATCGTGCTTAGAGCGGGCAAAAGGCGGCGCTGCTAGCCCGCAACGGGCCTTAGCTCAGGCTAGGCGAGTCCTAAAAATAACACTCAACGGCCAAGGGAGCCGGTGCCTTGGGACTTTGACCTGGGTTTGCCTCTGTGGGCGTGGGGCCGCCCGGGGACTGCTCGGCCGCACACCAGCAGCAAGCACCAACCATCATCACATTCACAAGCAAGCTCCAGCCAGTACAAAACCCAAAAAAACCGACACCGGCCACCGCCAGTGGCGCAAGGGCGTGTGTGCGCACAAGGAACGGACAGCAGCACGCGTGAGGAGCATCATCCGTGGATGATGCTCTCGTATGCCGCCACGATTACAACGGCGTCTTCCGACCCCAGAGTAGAGTGACACCGACTGACTCCCGCCGGTATTGCCATCCATCCCTTGACGGTGGTGGTGGTGGTGGTGGTGGTGGTGATGACGATGATGATGAGGATGATGCCATATGCAGGTTGTTAGAAAAATGCTGCACCGCGTGCAGTTGTGCGCAAATACAGTCTCCCTTTTCTCTCCAACCGGATATGTTGGAGGAGAGGGAGGAGGAAAAGTGGACATTCTGCCCACACCAACAACTCAGATCATGGAGCACAGCTGGTGCCATAGATCTGCAACAGACCCATCCATCATCGATCTGGCGTCTGGATGTGCAGAGACGGCTTTCTCTCGCGCACACACACCACACAGTGCTCTTGTCGTTGCCATGGGACTCTACAAGTACCAAAAAAGTTGAACCCTTAGCCCCAAAACCGACGGATCCTACTCCACTCCGTCTTGCCCTGTCGCTCCGCTCCTCAGTATTTCATTGTGTTGTAAACTACGGAGTACGTCCTGGTAAACTACCTACTGCAAGTAGGTACTCTAGTGTGTAAAATATTGCCCGTCAGACGGGTGCTATCCATCGTTGGTCCCGTCTGAGGCGGAGACGCCGAGATTTTGCTAGGCTGAAACAACGTTTCCAGGACGGGGATTTCTTCCACCGGGATCATTCATTGCCTCAAAGACTGGACAGACTGGACTTACGGGATGTAAGTGGGAAGAAAAACGAACAAAGAAGCTTCTTGCTATTCTCAGTCTATGGCATCTCCGGCCTCTCCCTCTGACGTCCCGTGTCATCGCTCACCCATCTCGGCCTTATTTTGCTGATACTTTCCTGCTTGCACTTTCCCATTGCACAGTCATGGAGCCAAGCCCAAAGCCATGCCACAGTGGTGGCGTTTTAGTTGCGCGCCGCTCGAGCTCCACAGGTTCGCTTGAGCTGAGGCCCGTCCGTTCGGCTACCGTATCCTGCCTCCTGCGGTCTTGGACGTCAGCCCGGATGGCTTGTTACTTCTCAGCGGCAACAAGCTGAACTACTCTATTATTGTCCGAATTGCTGCATGAGACTCCGTTATTCTGAGTTTTCCTTGCCGTGCTTGGACGGACCATATCGGTCCTTGGTATGACCCGGAAAACGTAGGCTTGGAGCCGATGCTTTCCCTCTCGTCAGTAGTCGCTGCTGGAACCTTCTCCTCCATGACCAACTTTTGACAGCACCACCGCTGCGGCACAGTCCTAGGGGTGGCACTGCTCCGCATGCTGGCCTGCTTTCGACATGGAGATTCGCCTTTCTGGAGCTTTCTGGTGTGGTGGCATGCATCTGTACCCAAAGCGCTTCGCCTCTATCAGATGCAAGCAAGCAACTTAGCCAGGCCGGGTCCAGGCCTTGTCGTCCATGTGTCCCTTCCCCCTCGCGATTGGCCCAGCAGAGTCGCACTCTCCTCGTTCGCTTCAAATGCATCCGACCTGCAAGGAAGGAGCTACTGTATCTGTCGACTAAGGGAAAAGTACTTGCCTGTCTGTGAATCACTCTTCGTTACCACTTCAGGACTTTCGCCCATGATAGTATTCCCCCACGCTCACCTCACCGCCTTTGTGCCCTTCTACCCTAGAACAACAGTCGACGATGTGCTGCATGCGCCCAGAATACCCGATCAATTTTTCCTGCAGTGTCCAAGCAGTCCACCTGCAGCTTGGTCACCTCTTTGAACTTGATCAGCAGGACATGACCATCTCAATTTGGCGTATGCTCGCACACTCCCTTCTGACCCATGGTTGATCAGGATATTGCTTCGACTCCGCCAAATAAACCATCGTCCCCGGCACCCGATTTCACATCGTGCCATGCCGCGATTCCCGATGCGGGACATATCCCGGCTCTCTATATGCCTTCGCCCACCGTTCTGATATGATTCCGAAACGATGTTCCCTCCATGAAAAGTGCGCACGATATCACGCTCGTCCTGCGAAAAGGCAACCGCGGCATCAGACCTCTCTGCCATGGTACTCCGCACGCGGCCACAAGCACTCTGTCCCCTTTCCCTTCCCCGGGCTGGCGAGGGGTGCCAACGATTCCGCCGCAGCGGGTGTTCCTCTCTGCCGCATCGCTCCCGCAGGCTTGTCTGGGATCACTGCGGCCCACATGGAGTGCTTCACACGCGACTCGTGAAGGACAAGGCGGCGCCATTGTCAAAGCTGAGCACAGGTCCCCGGCATCAATGTCATTATCGAGGCAGGTACGCCTCGTCTCGCGCTCTTGGTAGGTTCCAGCATAACCCAGAAAACTGGGTTCCGAGGCATCAGGCATGACTTGTCCCACCAGATCCACTACAAGGAGGGTGTTGATGGCACCATTCACCGTGCATGACGGGCATCTTCTCAAACCGCCAGTCTTCCGAGATCATCGCCGGACCCTTCGCTACCCTGCCAGATGTGTCTACTCTTTCTCTCAATTCTCGGCCCACGATGCACCTATCAA